CCCCCCTTTCACATTCACCCCCTTTCGTTTTGCCATGTTTGCCCAGCGCCAACTTTTAGTTACCAGCCTGTGCGCAACTGATGATTAACCGCCAGATCCTTCTTTAACCGATTTTTCCCCCACTTCAGATGAAAGGATCAGCGTTGGGGTAGCCTGGGCGTGCGATGAGGCGGGAAAGGGGGTAAGGCGCCAACCACAGCAGTGGTCGTAGAAGTCAGCTAAGAAGCCTTGCTTTTCCCCAGGAGTGACCTGGGTTACCTGCAGGCTGCCAACTCGGGCAACCTCAGCAGGCTGCAGCGCACGGGGGGGGGGGGGGGGCAGATGTAGGAGGAGCAGGAGGAGGAAGAGGAGGGGAAAGGTTCTGTTGCACGCAGCTCACGCAGGACACACAGGACGGACTGTGCATATGTCCGATATAAAGCTTGCCCTCTGACGCTCCCCACCCCCCCGGCCTTGCCCTACGGGTTGGGTTGGTTGGTTAGACACCCAACCCCAACATCGCGAAACCTCTCTCTTTCCTCTTAATTCTTTCCCCGTCTCTCGTTTGCTCCTTTTTTCTCTCTCTTATTTCACTTTCGCCACCCTTCCACAATGGACCGGCCCGTCCAGACCGTCGAGTATTCCACCGACGCCTACAACTCTCTCCCCAACGTCGCCTCCGCCGCCGCCGCCTACCGCGCCTGCCACGGCGACCTCCTCACGCGACAGCTCATGCCGGACCTGTTCCGTCGGCACGCCGTCCAGGCCAACCTCGGCCTCGCCCTCCTCCACCGGCACCACCACCACACCGGCGCGCCCCCACTCGGCGCCGGCGAGAGCATGACCGCGCTGAGCGGCACCAAGAGCCCGGCCCCGCGCCAGCTCGGCGTTCCCGCCGTCTGGCGTCTCGACGTCGCCGACGGCCACGTCATCCCCGTCGAGTTCTCCCTCGAGGCCGCCCCCGTCGACTGGGGCGGCGACCGCCTCCAGGCATTCGTCAAGGAGTTCGCGGCGGTGCTGCGGGAGCACAGCGCCGAGGCGCACTTTGGGCTCTGCCTGTACCCGGGAGACGGCTACCCGGGGCACATCGAGGTCGAGGATGGGCGCGACACCGTGGGCTTGTCGCCCGAAGAGGTAAAATGCCCCGCCGTATTCCGTTAGGGGGGGAGTAGGGGGGAGCAGACCAGGGCAAGTTCCAGCTGATGCGGTCAACATAGGCACACACGCTCCCGCCGGGAGACTTGATAGAGGTGGCGTGGTTTTACACCGACGACCACCTTGAGCGCGACTGCAAATATTACTGTTTTAGTAGCAAGGAAAAAGCTGACCTGAGTACCTAATGCGAGACGAGGTACATAGATTGGTTATGGTTATGGGCGGTATGTGGTTTACCAGCGTGCGTCCCTCGAGTGTCAAGGGAAACTTGCTTGGTCATCAGCGCGGCGCAACGTTATTCCATTTTCACTATTTAGGGCACGGGCAAATATGTGTAATTAAAAGTGTATCTTGTCTGTTTGCGCGTCGTTTGAGGGCAAAGGATGGCAACCGCCACGGTCGTAGCCCTTGGTTGTTGCATCGGTGCTTGGGATAGCCGGGTTAAAGAGTAAACTTGCGCGATACCGCCCAAACAAGGGCAATGTTATGCGATGGCGTTTGGATATGGCATGATTGAAGGGAAATGAAAAGAAATGGAACGAAAAGCGAGTAGCTCTGGAATTTTGACAAAATTTGCATCCCTAGACCTCACCCAACCATCCGGAAATATCCTTCACCGCTCGACCTGCCATGACGATGAACAAGAGGGCCCCGAAACCGCTCGCCTGCGAAGCAAGTCATCCCACGTCACATCCCCGCAAGTGCCCAGGCACAGAAGGCGAGTCTGCTTAGAAACATGTGCCCGAGCGGGTTGTTAGGAGCTTGGAACCAGGAACGTCTGTGAGGTGCGGGTAGGCCCTCGACCATGAGAGCAGGTCGTAGCAGAGATATTCCTCAAGCAAGAGTACAAAGCTCTCTCTAACGAGCACAATAGAGTTGTCCTTTGCTGACTGGCCAGGTTCTTGGATATCCAATAGTCGACGGTGGAGGGCGTGATCGCCGCGGCGATGAGGAGAATCCCCGCTACCAACAGCGCACGACTGGTGATGGGGAGGTATGGTGTGGTTGCGTGCGACATTTGAGGTGATTCCGATGGACGAAAAATCATATGCAGATGTAACCAGTAGATAACGTTGATCGTATGGTACGATAAGTGGACAAGTCCCCAGCTTTAGAAGACGTTGAATTTCTGTGGATTTGCGATCCCTCCAACGCTAACTAGATAGCTTGACGTGGCGGCAACGGTTCGACTACCACGACGACCAGGAAGGGGCTGGAAGGACGCCAAAAATGGTCGTCACCTTGCCTGTTGAGTCACCATCGGCTCGCCTGCCTGTCTGAAACCGCTGCTCGTCCGATCGTTGCTCGTCCAGTCCGAGCGGTACGCCCTGGTACTGGCCACGGCCCGCATCGGCCATGAGAGCACGACACAAGGCTCTCCCGGCTGTGCGTGACGCCCACCAGAGGCCGGTGGCGAGTGCCAGCGGTGTTGTCGCCATGATGAAGGAAAAGACGAGTCCCAGCAAACGGCCGATGTTTTCGCGGTCACGATGCCGAAAGAGCGACTCTGCCGCCGCAGGGACGGACAGGACGAGGCCAAATGCCGCCATGACGCACCAGGGCACGCAGAGGCACAGCAAGACGACGCTGCCGGCGCGTGTCTCGTGGAAGAAGGCGTCGACGGGATCGGTGACGGCCGGACAGGCGCGAGTCTCGGAGACGAGTCGGTAGAGCAGAAAGACCTGGAGGAAGAAGACGAGCGAGATGACGGCGGTGACGAGGCTGACGAGCTCGCGGGGCGGAAGGGTGCCCTCGAGGGCCATGACGGCGAAGGGACCCCAGAAGTAGAGGACGGACATGGCGAGGCCAACGGCGAGGAGGAGGTGGTTGCGGATGGGCTGCCGCGGGTGCCCGGGCGGCTCCTGTATTTCGAGCGGGGAAATTAATGCCATCGTGTCGATGTTTTCAGTAATGATATAGATGGGGAAGCGATGAAACTGGGAAGAAGGAACTTGCGTTTGGTTTGTGTCGAGAATTGGGAATGGAATATTTGAGGCACGAGCAGCAAGGGGGCTTTGAAGATGATGTACATAGGTTGTGGGGCTAGGCCTGGCTGATCAGAGGTACTTGCAGGGGGGCTGTGACAGGACAGAGATGTCAGCTCGGCTCGGAAAAGAAAATGGCAGACAGATTCATGTTGATACCTATTGATTGATAAAGTGTCAGAAGATTGTTTGAAATAAGCTGTGAAAATGATAGGCCTGCGATGGAATGTTGCTAGCCTGGACCTGAGTCGACTCAAGTAAAACAATGGTCTACGGCTATCGCCGATCTATAATTAGTAGCTCACTGACTAACTAACTAGCTGATGGTCTCACTACCAGACGATTTTTGGAAGAAAGCAGATGGCTGCTTTTCAGCTGGTTGGGTATGCACTTTTAGTTACCTGTTACGCGGCTGGGCATCTACTTTGCACGAATTGACCGCCTTTGGCACCAGATTGCTTAAAATATTGTACTTGCGTTTGATAGAATTGACTGCAATCAGACTGGAACACTAGGCGGGTTCGGCATGTTGCCAATTCTAGTGTACCCAACATATTGTTCGACTTCGCTCTTCATAGATTGCCAAGCTCTCTCATTGAACGAGAAATCAGTCTGTTCAAACGAGAACAAGACTTTGACGCTGCTCTTAGTACTTTTGTTCCTAATAGTCGTGTGCATCTCCTTTGACAAGGAATAGTTAATGTTGCGAAGCGCTTTTTTTTAGAGCCAGTTAGCAAATGTTCTCTACATTCTGGAACATGTGTGCACTTACACACCCGAAGGTCATCGCGCACCTCGTCGTACGTGTATACTTGAAGGAGGCTCCAGAATGCCCTTCTCTCGCTGGTGAAGTTTGTCTTCTGAATGCTTTGCGAAATTGCGCCCAAGATGGCTTCGCTCGAAGCCGCCAGCGGCCGGGGAAGTACAATCCCAGCAAGCATAGCGGCGAGCAGTTCCCAGTGGAATCTGCTCCTGTCAGCGTCGATCTCCCTCTGAACAGGGTTGAACGAAGGACTGAAGATCCTGATTCACGGTAACGGTCAGCGTCGCTGTGACATCTGTTTCTTGGCAAAAAAGTTCACTCACCATGGATAAACGCCATCGTTAAAATAGACCTCCATGACCCTGGCGCGGTAGGTGGCGCGCCTCCATCTGGAGTCATCGCTATCATCGGTCGGCAGCTGACCTTCTTCTTTTCTCCTCCTCACCTGGATACCAGCGTGAATTGTAGCCAACTGATGAGTCAAAGCGAGCATTTGCTCGATCTCTCCCATGCGCTGTCTGAACCTTTCACCGAGGCCAGGCCCCTCCATATTGACATACAAAATGTTGTCTAGGCCATTCAACCCCATGTCATCCTCATTTGGGATTTCATTGTGCTGAGGGATCCTGAAGGAAGGCTTGTCAATGGGGAGTTGCGCGATGTCGGTCATGGTGCTAGGAGGCCTTGCGATCAATTTCAGTTGGGTCAGGTGTAGATGGTTTCCTTAGCTGACAAAAAAGTTATGTGAGTGATGCTGATGGGAATGTATGGTGTGAGGCGCTGGTGTGAGGCGCACGCATTTAATATCTGAGTTTTAAGACTTGCTTTTGTGACTACGGTGCCTATAAGACTCTCCCCATCTCTTGCACGTTCCTACTGACCGCTCATTCGCAGTATTCCGTCCGAGATATTTGAATCTTGCAAGACACTTTGATGGCATCGTCCTTACGTGTTCAACGCCACTCTTCGGGCATCTATGCATGGCGCATCCAGTATTTCATGCAAGCCGGGTTGTATTTGGCGAGTAATATAGAGGCTTTGGGTGACATTCATTGAGACGGTGCATGGGAATGTCGTGTAATGCTCTCATTTCAGCTAGCCAATGTCCTGCAGGTTGATGTCGTTCAGCCCTCGTGCGTATCACAGGGAAATGGTCTAGTGCTCTACAGCACCGACCTCTGTGCCTTGAGAAGTGGCTAGATGGTACAAAAGTTCGGACCTCTTCCGAGACAAAACGAAAACAGACGAGAACTAAAGAGTGCGGAATCGTATACCGGCCGTCATCGAAGAGGCAGCCCGACAGACACGGCTGACAGAATCCGGTCGAACCCGAGACTCGCCTCCTCGTAGCGGTAACAAGCACTCAAGACTGCAAGTCTATGCGACTCTTTTGACAAAAGTTCTCTACAGAAGATGCAGGTGAGAGTGTATGTATCATGCATGCCTCTTGGCCTTTGTTCACATCCATCCCGACGCCCAGAGCACAGCTGGAAGCCAATGCACTTGTCCACCTTAATGGTAGGATTGATCGCGCTTGCTTGGTACGAATGTAGCGTCCCTGGCACCAACTTATTAAAAGAAATTGTATAATTGAAGCTATAAAAAAACCTTACCAAAGTAAGGACAGGAGAGAGAAAAAAAAGTAGCTACGTTAATATGTTTTCCATAAAGCGACATCCATTTAGCTCAGCTCCTTGCGGGGCTGGCGAGCCTCCCGCCACTCCGCATCCACCTGGGCGTAGGCGTCGCCGAACTTGGGGACCGACTTCTTCTCGCAGTAGCGGAACTTGACCTCGAAGAAGATCTGCGCCTCGAACTCGCCCTGGGCAGGGTTGCTGCCCGAGCGGCGGGCGCAGATGATGGCATCGTCGAAGAAGCGGTTGTCCTCGAAGCCCTTGCCAGAGCACAGGCACGCTTGAATCGTGGCGACGTCGCCCTTGCCGAGGCACTCCGTCTCCTTGTCAGACTTCTTCTTGCAGATGTCCTTGGCGTCAGGGCGGGCGGTGGCGGCGGTGGTCGGGCACGGGGGGCAGGTCTCGGCGGGCTTGCTGGGGGCGGAGGAGCCGTTGTTGCCGTTCTGGGCGGGAGTCTTGGAACCGTCCTGGCCGGGAGCACCGGGAGCAGGGGCGGCGGGCTTGTTGGAGTTGTCGCCGGAAGAGCCAGGGGCGCCGGGAGCGGCGGGCTTGGATTCGCTGCCGGAGGGGGTCTGCGGAGTGGCGGGAGCGGCGGGGAGCGGCGGGCACCTCAACACACTCCTCCTGCTCGGCGTTCTGGGCAGGCTGAGCACCCGGGCGGCCGTTGTTGCCGGTGGCGGGCTTGCCGGTGGAAGGCTTGTTGCCAGACGAGGGGACCTTGACGCTCTCCTGCATCGGGGGAGGGAGACGCTGCTGCTCGCCGTTGCCGCTGGGCTTGGAGGGCGCCACGACAACGGGCTTGCCCTCGCCGCCGACAATCTGGTTGACCTCATCGGCCAGGTTGACGTCCTTGCCGGCGTCGGGCAGGGCCTCCTTGATCTCCTCGAACTGCTTGTTGCTGCCGATGACGTAGACGGGCTGCTGGGTGTCGACGCCCTTGTTGTCGAAGTTGATGGTGATGCTGCTTCCGGAGGAGCCCTGCGCGGGCGAGCAGCCGACGGTGACGTAGACGACGACGATCTTGCACACCTTGCCGTTGATGACGATGGTCACGCCGTCGGAGCCGGCGCCCGGTGCGGCGGGCACGGCGGGCGTGGGGGCAATAGGGGTGGCGGAGAGGACAGAGGTGGTCGAGGTGAGGGTGGTGAGGGTGGACGGCTTGCCGCTCACGATGGCGGTGCCGTTCTGGAAGGGCGGGCGGGAGGTGGTGCTGACGGTGCTGGTCGCAGGCTTGGTGTCGTTGGCGGGCATCTCGATGGCGACGAAGACGGGAACCTGGACGTGACCGGCGGGCTCCTCAGCAGCCACAGCGGGGGCGGTGACGTTCTTGACCGCGTCCTCGCCGGCGGCCGCCGCGGGGGTGAACTTGCCCGGGCCCTGGACCTTGGGCACCTCGAAGCCGGCGTCCTTGTAGTACACGGTCGGGTCGATGACCTTGCCCGGGTGCTGGTTGATGGAGCCACCCGCGGGCGGGTCGCCCATCTTGTTTCTCAGGTCATCGAAGAACTTCTCGTAGCTGCGCGTCTCCTCCTTGTTGTCGCAGTAGCCGGTCTGGACCTCCTTGAAGAAGGCCTCCCAGTACTTCTTCTGCACCTGGGGTTGAAGGCCGTTCTGGAACTTGCACTCGGCGCAGGCCGCCTCGTCGGCGACGTAGGAGCTGGGCTCGGCGCAAAGGCAGTCGCGCTGGGCCTTCTGCTCCGCGGGGTTGGCGACCGTCCGGGGGCACTTCTGGACGCGGGTACGGAGTACCGAGGCGCAGGGCCAGATGAGCCCGTCGGCGGAGGTGTCGATCTTGTGGCAGGCATCGAAGGCGACGTTATTTCCGACGAGGTTCAACAGATCCTGGGGAGCCGGGATGCCGATGGCGTTGGCCTCCTTCTGGGCGGAGACGACGGTGCTGCCGAGCGTGGCCGCGCCGGCGATGGCAACGGAGATTCTCATCTTGATCTTTTTCTTGGTAATGATATTAATGAGTAGTAGAGAAGAAGAATAAGAAAGCAAAAGTGCTGAAATACAACGACGATTAAATTGCCACTTATTAAAACGAACGAGTGTATAAGTCTCTCAGTCGCGATGCCTAGAATCAAAGAAAGAAAGGCACAAGTGATTAATTCAATGGTATCTAAAAGAAAACACAAACTGAAGACGGGTCGTCTTGAAGAATATATATCATTACAATTCAACAGTTGAGCCCTTCGACCGTGAGGCTTAGCCCGGACTGTCCGGCTTCCATGACTCGTAACCTGCGCGACTCTACGTCTGGCTTCGTCTCAAGTTGGAAACACGACCAACTCGCTGTAGCCCAGTAATGTGTTTCTGCGCGTTTGAGCCAGTCACCCAGCGAGAAGCGCCCTCATACTGGAGCCCAACAAAGAAAAATCGAGAAAAGCTCGCCCTGACTAAGTCGAAGCTGCCAAGTCTCTCGCGCATTGCCCAGCTTTCATTACTCGGGCCCGCAGCGGGCGCAGGAAGAAGGTAATGCAATCTTGCTTGGTCCCTGCGATACCGGACCAACGTTAATCATGCTGAAAGATCCGCGAAGATTATGCGCAATGTCAACGAGGTTCCATAAGTAATGACCTGATGCGGTGGCAGCGGTGCACAGCCGGGGCGAAGGTGTAAGGCGAGGCTGGAAAAGGTTGAGAGGAGGCGGGATACCCACGTAACGTTGACTTCTGACATTGCGGGAGGGCCGATGTATATCGTTCGAAGAGAATATTCTTGTTAATCAGAAAGAATAAGCCACGCATCTCCCTGTTCTCGCCAACATTGGCCGAGCACGGGTACTCATTAACCCATCATCTTCGTCATTATCGTCACTACAGCCACTTATTAATATTCAGAGTGCTGGTAGGACATACAAGTATTCTCCCGCCCCTGTCCCAGACGTTTGCTGCCGCGACCATGAATCCAGAATATTCTTTTTTGCCCTGCCTCGTAACAGATTCTCGGCCTGTCTCGCCGAACATCCCCGCTCCGCTGACTCGCCCTACCATCGTCCGAGTAGAAATTACAGCATATTAATATGCTTAATATGCCCGTGCTACAACATGCGTACTGAGAGCAAATAATTACGATTCACGAGATCCCATTCACGGAAGCACTTACCAATACAATGCTCGCATTATACGGTCACTAGGGCAGAACCATTATTAAGACGATCAATGACAAGGCTAGAAAGACTGGAGAAGCGAGAAGTAATTAAAGAAAGATTTGAGGACCAAGGAAAATCAGTTCACTGCCAAGTCAAATCCTTGACGCTGATTACCTTACTCGCTTAGGAAGTCGACCAAAAACTGCTGCTTCCCTGCCTTTTTGTAATCGCCCAGTTGTTGCTGGCGCCGCCTTTGTGGTTCGTAAACTTGACTCGGAAGATCAGGCTACCCGCCTCAATGTCAACAGACTAGAACAAGGCTTGAGTGTCGGGCGCAGAAGCCAAAATCCATGTCTCGTCCTTGTTGAAGAAGTTCTTATTCTGCTCGTGCGAAATCGCGGTCCTGTGTGTCGAGTAGCGGTCATGTAGCCAGATTCGCAGCTGCTCGTTGACCGTGATGCTGGTATCGCCTGAGTCCTTTATCACCGTAGCGTCCAAGAACAAGGTCAGAGTCTTTGTCAGTGCCGAATTTGAAGCCATTTCCAGAACTTTCAAGAGGCGGGTTGAAGGCGTACCAGTCCATCAACATCCTCGATATCCGCCGTGAGGAAGACTAGGACGCCTTGGTGATGTGGTTTCGCGACTGTCGAGACGAGGCTCAGGAGTGACACGGTGAAGCCACCCATTGCTCTCTCACCAAATTATTGCTTCCAGGGCTTTTTCTTTTGTGTCGTGGGCGCATCATTGCTTCTGGGCATCTTGCGGCTAGGAAAATGCTATTGTCTAACCCGACTATTGCATTGGGCAACCTCGGTTGCCCTGGCAAGTTACAGACTATGTAGTACCTTGTACCTATTGTTAGTACCAGACGGACGTGCTGTGTGTATCATGGCATCTTTTTGACTTTTATCCCTCTCCTGATTCTTGTTTGTTGATTTCCTCCTCCTCCATCATCATTAACTACAGACAGCTGCTTCCCCAAGAAACACTCTAGCTACATACCATCTACCCACGTCACACTCTCGGAAGGGTTCGAATAGCTTCATCTGCTTCGCCTTGGCCCTCCAGAGCAATCCAAGACATCATGGCCGTACTCATGGACGGAGATTCAGCGATGCCCGCCAACGACGCCTTAGCTCTCAGACTGATGTTTGTTGAGCCTGACAATCCTGACCATGCCCACCCGTTGACCAACTCCTGCAGGGAAATAACGCCGCCCATCGCTGAAGAGGAAAAACGCCAGCTGGCGATAGAGATTGACGCTGAAGACCGCATCGAGCTAGAAAACAACGGGCTGCCCGCCATGCTACCCACCTAACATGGACATCACCGCCGAGCCCCCCGCAGAATACCAAGAGCATCGTCGACTACTGGAACTTCGACGGCATCGTGCTCGGCGCGCAGCTGCGCGACTGGAAAAGGTTCCGCTGGGTGCAGGCCCGAGACCGGCAAAAATACCGCAAGCAGTTTATCGAGTTGGTGCACCAGCGTCTGCGCGCGCACGGCGTCGAGGAGATGCCCAGGCTGCTGCCGAACCACAGGAGGCAGAGCAGGCGCGACAACCGGCTCGAGTTTTACCACCACCACCACCTCCTCCTCCTCCTCCTCCTCCTCCTCCTCCGGCTCCGGCGCCTGGAGAAGATGGTCAAGGAGCGAGGTTGCTGGAAGGAAAACAGTTGGGCAGCAAGCCACCAAGCCTACCCGCCGCTTCTGGATCCGGACTTTACGGGGGACCCCTCGCTGAAATTCTTCCCAGGATCCTGACAACGTCGCTCATCACCGGCTCGGGATCGCGCGGGGCAGTATCGAGAGCCAGGAGACGCTGCTGCGGTGGATGGCGGCACGGTCGGCCGAGATGGGGACAAGACGACGGGTTCGTGAGCGGGCCGCGCCCGGGAAACACGGCGTTCACCTCGGGCCGGACAGCAGAAGCGTCCCGGTGCTGCTGCTGCTGCTGCTGCTGCTGCTGCTGGCGAGCGATGATGGCGGCGACAATCCAGAGCCTCCTCCGAAGCGGAGGGCTGTCGCTACGCCGCGCAAGTAACGCGCCGCGACCCCGGACACCAAACCCAAGCAAGCCTGAAGCGCCATCGCGGATCATCACAACCCGGAGCGGCCGCGTAATCACGGCCGCCGGAGAGGTATACGCTCAAACTAAAGCCAACTCATCACGACACTAATCACAAGGGGAACGTCAACCTTTTAAGGAGATGTTTATTTTCATACTATTGTAACCTAAAGAAGAGAAATGGCAAAAAAAAAAAAAAACCTATGTACTCGAATCGATATCCCGTAAACGTTTCGGCTTTGTTTTACATCAGACATGACTTTGTATAACATGGCCTCATATATGTCCCATAGCAGCTCCTTGAAAGATCTCTCTGGCCAATGACTATCCAAAAAGAAAATCAAAAAATACAGAACCAAGCAAAAGAACTCCAGGCCAATTCAAGCAAGATGCAAACGCACACACTACAAAATTCACGCCTTTGGAGACTGTGACTCCTTGCGCTCCGGGCTCCCCTCCCTACTCTCGATCGAGTCCACCATCTGCAGCACCCTCGACTTGGCACGCGCCCGCTCCATCGTCACCGCCTCCGCCGTGCCGTACACCGCCGCCGACCTCCTGTCGCCGACGCCGTGCTCCGCCAGCGCGCCCTGCCGACTCATCCGCAGCATCGCTTCCCGGTCATCGTCGTGGTGCTCCCCCGAGCGCTTCCCCCCGTACGTGGTCACGGGTGTCAGGCTGCGCAGCGACGGCGTGATGAACGGCGACGCCTGGCTGCCCGGGTCCTGGAGGAAGGAGGCCGGTGGCGCCATCACCGTCTGCGGGCGCTCGGAGCCGCTCGAGGACAGCTGGCTCACCGAGTCCAGCACCTCGGCCGAGTGCGGCTCGTGGACGCGCGGCGGCGGCTCCAGCACCAGCGCGCTGGGCTTCGGCTTTGTCTTGCTGATCGCCAGCGGCGGCGGCACGTCCTCATCTTCCTCGTCGTTGTCGTTATCTGCAGCATTCACCACCCGCAGCCGTTCCTTGGGCACCGTGAACATGACCTGCACCAGGCGCTGTTCCACCGCGCGTTCAATGTCCCAGTCGGTCTCGGCCTCCGGCTCCGCCGCACCGCTCACGCGACGACGCTTGCTGCCGCCGTCCAGATCGGTCGCCCCGTCACGGTCGACTTGCGCCGGAGGGTCGCTCAGGTTCCAGCCGCGGCGGCCCTGCTTCCTTCGCAGGATCTCGCCGCTGACGCCGGCCAGCGGTGCCTCGTAGTCGGCGCTCCCGCGCTCCAGGGACGGTCGGCGCGGGCTCTCCTCGCGCATCGACGAGTCCGGCGACGGCGTGGACTCGGACCCGGAGAAGACGCGCCGCAGGGAGCCCAGCCACGTCCTCCGAGCTTTGTTCTTGGACGGTGACCCCGGGACGGGAATGTGGTCGTACTCGTCATAGCCGCTACCGCCGCGGAGGAGACCGGGCGCCTCGGCTTGGAGCGTGCCGAAGCCAGACTTGGCCGTGCGGTAGCTGCCCGACGAGGAGCTGGCAGCCTTCTTATGGTACACGCCAGCGCCGGCGAGCAGGCTGTCCGCGGCACTCCGCGTCGACTCGGACAGGTTGGAGCCGCTTCGCGAGTCGTCGTCGTGGTAGGCCGATAGGTGGTGCCAATCGCCGCTACGGGTCGGCGAGCTTCGGCCGGCGCGGTTCCGGGCATGTCTCGTGAGCAGCGCTTCGGCACCGCCATCCGCTTCCGAAGACCACTCCTGCACCTCCGGGTCCGGCCGTTCCGGGCTTGGCGTGCCACGACGGGGAATCGCGTAAATGGCCGCCGCGCCCGCCGCAGCCCCGATACCGGCCGCCGCAGCATAGTGACCCGTGCCGGGCGGGTTCTGGAAGGGATCCGTATGCCCCTCTGACGACGGCGTCAGCAGCTCCTTTTCGCGGAAACTATCCTCATCCTCGTCGTCCTCCAAGATCGGGTGAATCTGTCCAGGGGGCGAGGCAAAGTTGGACATGCGCCCGTCAGGCGACGGCAGGTAGGGCACATAACCACCACGAAGCTGACCGCTGACGGGTTTTCTTGTGATGGGACTTTGCTCGCCGGAGCCGCCACTCATAAGCAGGCTCTCGTATCCTCCGTGGGACTTTTCGCTGTACATCTGTTGGCGATTGTTCTGATTATAGTCAACGTTGTTGTCGCGCTGGCCGAACCATCCCCATTGACCATAGCCAGCTGGCGGATCCAAGACGTCGTCGCGGTCGTTGAAGAATTCGGCATCCCGCGCCATGGCTCGCGCAGCGTCATCACGTCTGCGCTCGTTGCGCTGCTTACGCTGTCGGAGGCAACAGAACAAGGCAATCGCGCCAATCAACAGCAGCAGGCCAAGACCAAGACCCAGGCCCAGGCCCAGGCCGAGTCGTCGGGAGCGGCTGCCTTCTCCCTGGCCATTCGATCCGATGCTAGGCGCATCAGGATCGTTCGGGCTAGGGGGCGGTCGCTTGTACTCCTGCGTCCACTCCATCGAGGTTAGGTTGAGAAACCTTGCCGTGTACGGCGCGGCTCTTTTGCTCGCCGACGAGCCAGCACTCGAGTTGATCGTCCAGCCGCCATACACCATCATGATGTTTCCGGGCAGCAAGGCCGATCCGTGTCCGTAGATGCCGTCCCCTGCCGGCTGCGCCTCCGGCACCGCCCACATCCACGAGTTGTACGTCTGGCTCATCTTGAGCACCGCCAGCTGCGGCTCCGCAGCCGTGTTCACGTCGCCCACCCAGCCGCCCATCACCACCACCTCGCTGCCGTCCTGGCTGAGAATCGCCGTGTGCCCGGACCGGCTCGTCACCTCCGGCACAACGTCGCCGTCGTCCCTCCTGCTATTCCCACCGCCGCTGCGGACCAGTTCCGTGTTAGCCGTCTTGCTCACGGGCTGTTTGATGTCAATGTACGACCACGCCTGCTCCGGAAGGCTCCACACCGCCGCCGTGCTCATATTGATGAACGCCTGCTGTGTGTGCCCGCCGAGCAGGATGTACGTCATCTTTTGCGTTATCGTGCCGGATATGTTGGTGATGGACGGCGGCTGCGGCGTCAGCGTGAATCCGGCAAACGGCGAGCGCGGGCCGGCCGTTGACGCAATGGACGCGTCGTATCCCGTCTGCGCGTCGCCGCTCTCCGGCGTCAGGCTCACCATCATCTTGGTGTAGTTGGCGCCCGCCTGCCACTTCTGCGCATCCGTGCTTGGCGCCTCGCACATGCCGCCGTAGCTGTACAGCGTAGGCTGGTCCATGACGGGCGCCAGCTTGGCGGAGAAGGCCAGCGTGCCGCCCAGGAAGAAGGGCGCGCCGCCCGGGCTCGTGCCCTGGGCCGTGTTGCGAGTGCTGCGCTTCGTCCAGGCGCCGCCGCCGACAGTCGCGCCGCCACCATCCTTAGTGTCATCGTAGGACCAGACGGCGCCGGCGTCACCGCCGCAGACGCCGGCGTAGACGAGCACAGAGCCGTTGGCGGTGCGGACCGCGCCAAAGGCGGTGCCGGGGGCGGCGTCGCTGAGAAAGGGTAGCTGGCTGGAGAGCACCTTGGGGCTGAGGTCGGCGTTGAGCTTGTCGTTGTAGTCGAAGGAGAGGAACTGCACGCTGCCATCGTCGGCTTGCTTGAACATGTACGTCTGACCGGCGCCGTGGCACGACGACTTGCTGAAGCATGACGGCGTGAGGATCTGCGTCGGCACGTAGGGAAACTGGTGCGCGGCGACGGTCGTCGATGCCGAGGCCGCGACGACCAAGGCTGCCAGGGTCGTCCGCCGTATAGGCCGTCGCACAGCGTCGGTACGCCGTGGCGATTTAGCCATCTGTGTGATATCGTCGGATGTACGATCGTATGCGTACTTATAGGGTAGAAGGGGGGGGAGGTTCGTATTGTTTCGTCTGCAGTCGTCTGCCTAAACCATCATGCTGGAGACGGCACTTCGTTTCTCTTGGGCTCGTTCTCTTGTTTTCCGTAGATCCGGGATATACCAGACCACGTATGACCAGCCACCAGGGAAGCAGCGAGCTGTGCGACGAGCCTGTCAAAAAAGCAACGAGACAAGCGGAAGCACAACGACGGGGAAACACTCGACAACGTCGCCTGCCGTCAAACCTCCTTGCCTCGGGAAAGATGATACGCAGTGGAAAAGATCTGTCGAGGGAGAGCGTAGAGAAGTTACTTGCAAAGCAGGGCGAATTGAGGCCCAACGACTTGTCTCGCCGGTCCGCAGTCTAATATCCCGAGCAAGGAAGCGGGGATCCCGGTAACGACTGGCAACGGGAGGAGGAGGGGGTGCGTATGCATGTCGCATGCGGGCTTATCAAGATGGGCAAATAGAATCTGGCAACTGACCACTTTGCAGTCAAGGTTTCTGGTATAAAACGGGGTGGCGCTGCATCCTATTCGCGGCAGGTGAGCGACTTGGGTCTGTTCTAGTTTAGTTGGCAACAATGGACCCCTCGAAGCGAGGCTCTGGGGGTTCGAGAACGGTCCTATTGTCTACAAAGCTTCTCCCTGGGCTGGGTTGGTGGTGAATGATTGGGGGGGTGGGTATGTTTTGGTTACGGTGGTTGCCACGGAGATGCCACCATCACAATGGTGTGGGTGTGGTGGTGTGGAGAGCTGGCACGCGCTTATTCGCGATTTTACGTGTCTAGTTCTGGATGTTATCCGTGTCGCGCTTGGACGGTGAGGGAAAACCTGTATAAAATATAAACAGAAAGAAAAAAAAACAAGTACAAAAGGCTTGGAAATGCTCGCCAACAGAGAAAAAGGAAACAACATTGCTTCGTAGCTAAGCTGGTGATGCTAGGACCCGTTGCAGCCGGGACATTAACGACGAAACGTTAAACACGCCACATACTGGTAAATGCTAATGACTGGTAACGTTAGCTGGTAATTTAGTAGAATCTTCAACGGCTAGTTACCGCCGTACCAGATTGACGAATGAGGAAGGTGTCATGATAAATTACGTGTAATTCATACTTGTATAAACGCATACAGCCTGCCATCTGTTCAGGTAGCTGGATGTGCGAACAAGTATAGGGTAGTTGTTTGTGTAGAGGTTGCATATCTTCCTTGGCGCCTCTGCCACTATCCTCTGCGCAGCTTAACAATAATCCGAAAAAAAAAAATTCGAAACTTGCCGCAGTCGCTCTCCAGTATATCAACGAACAAAAGAGCTAAGCAGCTCGATCTCGTCACAAATTCTCATAGAACAGGCTGTGACACCAGGTTTCTGAGTATTAGGGCTTGTCTGCCATCACTATGTATCCTTGTACTATTCAATGTGGAGATTTAGTCATCTGAAAATCTCAGTCTTTGTGGCCTCCAGATCTGTTTTTACCTAATTCCACACATTTCTAACCCCCCTCTCGGGGCGAACCTCGATCCGTTCGCCTGTACCCGACCTGACCTGTTGGTCGATGTGCTGCGCCGTGGCTGAAAATGGAGGCGGTGCAATGACAGTGATCCTCCAGTCAATCGCCGCTCCTCTACGAAGAAATTTTTGAAGACGTCCACCACGGCCTGTCGTCTTGTTCTTTGCCCTGCCTCTTATTAGATAAGCTGCGCGCATCTCCCAGAGCATGCATAGCAATAGAGAATAATAACCCCCGCGTTATTACAATAGCGTCCCGCCCACTTGTCCAGGATTGTGGTGGAGAAGCTTTCACATTTCACTTTGAACGCCTCGGGATGCTGAATACCTGACCCCATTCATTGTTGCATGCAATTTATCTAGTGCATCTCTCTGCACCTCCGCATCTTTCGTGCGGAGAAGTCTGTCAAATGCTCCTGTCAAATGTTTGCGCTTCTCGGGCGTAGACGTGCGTGCCAGGGCCAATTCTGCTGTTCGACGTCGAACCTCGACCCTTTTTGCGCTGTTCGGCGGTGAACTGCGCCACAACTGATCGTCGTTCGACGTCGAACTCATCTCTACCCCAGAAAAATGGTCCGCGTGCGGTGGAGCGCTCCCCAGCACGACGACGGAGTTAGCAGGAGAACACGGGCCTTTCACCACACAAGGGAGGACTTTGCGAGCTCTGTCAGCTTATTAGCGGTCGTACGGCCCAGAAGAATTTCAACGGCATCACGGCTTTCAGCTCCGTCTGCCCTTTTTGGACCGGGCCCGGAGCCTACATTCTTTCATCATGCTCCGCGGCCGGTGTACATTGGCCTCGGGCTTGGCCTCGTCCCTGGATGAGGGCGAGCTGATCTTGGGTTTTCATAAGTTCATTTAAACCTCACGGCGGCCCCAGCTTCAATGCGGTTCAGGACTTGCAACGAGGATGACCAAGGCTCACACGAAGCCAATCCCCAACGATGCAGGTTACCCTCTGGTCCGTGGCTCGCGCCACCCTTCTCCTGTCTACCTTCCTCCACTCGGCCCATGGCCGGGCCATTGAGACTGCCCAAGGCCGGGCCGTTGAAACCGCCCGGGACCTGATCCCCGTCCCTGCCCAGGACCCCTTCTACGTGCCGCCCGCGGGCTTCGAGTCGGCCAGTCCCGGCGCCGTCCTCCGCTCCCGCAAGGTCGTCTCGTCCTTCTTCGGCCTCATCCCCAACCCCGTCGCCACCTATCAGATCCTGTACCGCACCACCGCTATCGACGGCTCCGCCATCGCCTCCGTCACCACCGTCTTCAAGCCCGCCCTCGCTAAGAAGGACCGCTTCGTTGTCTGGAACACCGCCTACGACAGCTCCGCTACGCAGTGCGACCCCAGCTACACGTACCGCCTTGGGTCCAACGTCCTGCCTTCCATCTTCACCACCAACGGCATCGAGCAGCTCATCATCCAGCTCTACGTCCTTAAGGGCTACATCGTCTCGTCGCCCGACTACGAGGGCCCGGACGCGGCCTTCACCGCAGGCCGGCTCTCCGGCATGGGCGTCCTCGACAGCATGCGCGCCGTGTCCAACTTTGGCGCCACCCTGGGCCTCTCCACCAAGACGCCGGCCATCGTCGGTGCCGGATACTCGGGCGGCGGCCTCGCGACCGCGTGGGCGGCGGCGCTGCATCCCGTCTACGCCCCCGAGCTGCCGGTCAAGGGCTGGTCCGCGGGCGGCATCCCGGCCAACCTGACGTACATCTTCGAGTATATCGACGGCAACCTCCTGAGCGGCTTCGAGGCGATCTCGCTCGCCGGTCTCCAGAAGCCGTCCGCCTACGGGGCGACCCTAAAGCCTTTACTGGACAGCATCGCCACGCCGGCGCTTCAAAAGGTGTTTGATTTCGCCAACACCCAGTGCATGGTGCCGAACCTCCTCAATTTCCCGTTCCAGTCTCTGTACGACACCAAGTACCAGAGCCTCGGCAAGAGCGTGCTCACGAACCCGACGCTGCTCTCCGTCCTGCAGGACAACACGCTGGGCGTCGACAAGGCGCAGAAGCCGGCCGCGCCTTTTCTCATGTTCCATGCCAAGCCCGACGAGCTCGTTCCATACGTCCCCGCGGCCAAAACCCGTGACACGTGGTGCGCGGATGGCGCCACCATCAAATTTGTCGAGTACGGAAATGGCGGCCATATCACGACCGCCGTGCTGGGTCTTCCGGATGCTCTCCAGTTTGCCGACGATGTGTTTGCTAACAAGATTGCTTCTGGGTGCACGAGCAAGACTGTTCTCGACGACACCCTCAACCCGCTTGCCTTTGGTATCTCATTGGAGCCTCTCGCCATTAATCTGATCAACTACTTGGCAGCCCTCGGCAAACAAGATGCGAATTGGCTGGCGGGTATCAAGAAGGGCGCAGCTACGCGATGAGACATGTGTCAACGAGCACCACAAGCACATCATAATTCAAATGAATAATCTTATTTTTTTTGCGCGGTTCTTCAGCTGCCTTTATCTCGCAAGTGCAGAACATTTGTGACTGTATGTCGTTGCTCCGTCGCTTCTCTGGGCGACGGCATTGGTATCCGAGACCGCTTGAGATGCATGTACTTGATGCATGGTAGTACGAAAAGTCCTCCGTAGCAAGAGATGGATAAAAACCCACCGCTTAGAGCCAAGGGGACGATGATTATTTTCATCCTGCATTGCCTGTACACCAACAGACGATCACTGCGCCCGCCTGTCGTCTCCACTCTGGAGGGCGCGCCCAAACGAGTGACTCGATTTGGAGCTGGAGCCCTCAGTTAGTTAAGAGCCAGGTGCCCTTGCGTCATCCCACCCCCAAAAGTAGACATCGTTCACAGGATAAGCATCCAGAATTGCGCTGTACCCAAGATTTCTGAGAAGATAATGCCTCTACAAATGCGAGTGGCCACCGAGGCCGACACAGACGCCATCGCACGTCTAGCCAGAGCTGCGTTTGACCCTGCCACTGATGCCATCGCTCGGAACCTCTTTCCGAAGAGGCTGCGGCCGGCGGTGCCTGCGCCTGAGGACCCTGCCATCGCGTGGCGGCGCACGCGCAAGGGAATCAAAATGCAGACGGAGCGCATCCTGCTAATGGTGGTGACGGACGACGCGCTCGACGGTCAGGTCGTTGGCTTCTCTATGTGGGAGGAGCCGCTGCCCGAGGGCCAGGCGGGCGAGTCTATGACTAAAAGCGTCGTGCCGTGCGAGACGCTGGATGAGGATGCGTTCCGGGAGTTGCGGCGGGCGAGCGAGGTGGCGACGATAGACTTTCTCGGCAAGGACGGCTCCAAGCACATGTGGTGTAAGTGCTCGACGAAGTGTCTGCTGCTGGTGAATGAGGCGGTGACTGACGAGGAGCAGATCTTGACTACCTGGGGGTCGACCCAGGACATCAACGCAGAGGAATCGGCAAGATGTTGCTTAATTGGGGCTTGGATAAGGCACAGAAGCAGAACAGGGACGTATATTTGATTGCAACGCCGGCTGGAATTCCGCTATACCAGGCAGCTGGATTTGAAGACCTGGGCTCGTTTATGTTGTTTGACACACCACATAACGGCATGATTAAGAGGCGGGCGGCACCATAAGTAGGCTGAGGCGGTTCATTAGATGGCAACATACACATGCGGTAGAGTTCCACGTATAGGTAGATCTAGAGATATGGCTAGCTTGTAATAAGCATTTCGCGTTGTCCTATTGCTGTGCGACTGAGTGAATCGTATACTGATTTGGTTGGTAGCTGTTCCAAGAGGGGTTGAGGGCGCCTCTTGTGCCTCGAGCAATCTCGGGTTAGAGCTAGTGAGGCAAGGCAATAAGCTTGAGGAAAACGTAAACGAATCACCAACAGAGCTAGACCCGTCTAAGTGCCCATGTAGCCGAAGAAGGGACGGAACAGGTACGGACCTTGAGCAGTCGGTTTCGGACAGAAAACAAAGCCCAAAGATGTGGTGATGTCATGATCAACCGAAGTTGATGAGTGCTGGCTGCTTCTGCATGAACAAGGTTTGGAGCCTTTCCACGCCAAGCCTGACGCGAAGGATGCAAGATCCTGGCGGCCTATCAGTTCCGAGGTCGTGGACTAGCATCGTTAGGTCGGACGCTGGCGATCAAAGCAACAATTGTGGCCCACAGTCCACACGGAGACAACTCTTTCATCACTAACAGATGTGCAGCCGATACGTTGTTGTCCTGTGCGTGGTTGCAGGGACGGATCGACAGCCACCAAAGACTTTACTCTCCACTCTGACGAATCTCGCGACCCCATCTTTTTCACCTTGGTTCTCTGGTGCGAGATTGATGACTCGAGGTATGGTGGGAGCGCAGCCATGACGACGACAGGCTTTTACTAGCCTTGGAATGGGAGCATGTAGCTCACAGGCGCATGTCAAAGTGTTTGGAGGATTAGTTCATAAATGAAGACGGAGACGATGGTGTATGGTTGTCTGGCAATGGTTAGCTGTGGTGCAGCACCGAGAAAGTGATATCCGTATCAAGGAAGTATCACGAGGATCAGAGGGGTGGTTAGCGGGTTCGAAAATATTGGCTGCGATTGAGTGCGTTCGGAACAGGGGACGTCGTCTGGAGCCAATTTGGTAGCCACAGCGCCCAGCCAGTCGGGTCTGGCGAGCCGAGGGTTGATGGATGGTGCTGCAGGATGGTGGCGTCGAGGCGTTGAAGAAGAGGGTGGGCTGGACGAGAAGAAGGGAGGATGGCAAAAATGAGACTGCATGAATGGTAACTACTAAGTTGAGCTCAGATGCTGGAGTTCAACGGGATGAGAATGAAAGCCAAGCAAACGGGCTGGCGGCTGGGAGTTGTTGCCAGCTGGCAGTACTTTGCAATAATGTTTGGCCAGGCATTGAAAGTGCCAGGTGCCAGGTGCCAGGTGGAGGCTTGCCAGCTGTATTGATGTGGCAGTGTGAAAGTGGCGCTGCAACACCAGCCCAGCTGGTCAGGGATATGGGCAAAGGCCAGGCGACGAGTCAAGACTCAGGAGGGAGGCATCCGCAGTCAAGAATATTGGGAGTGCTACCATATCTATCAGGTAATGCAATGGTTCTATGGTGATGGCAGCTATAATAGCAATAATAAAGAATTGTGATGGCGTGTATATGGATTTTTATTTATATTTGTTTATATTTATTTTATACATGGAACGAGGCCAGCACAAACGCACGCATTACGATCAACTGGCCTCTGAGGCCATTCTGCTCCGAGGTGGGGCGTTTTGCTCTCGCAGTTCGTCCCGAAAATACAGGGGGTGACGGAGGCAGGGGGGCCATCACCACCCCGGCGCTGGTTCCTCGGACACAGAGAGGCTTTGCTAGCGGCCGAAACGAGGGAGCATAGGGGAAATTTTTTAAAATTGCACGTGGAGACGAGAGGTAAGAGCGCAGACAGGAAGTCTAGAGCAGACAAAAAGAGAAGGGAAGGAGAATATGCTCCAGTAAGGAGAATTCTGATAGTGATGGTGACGCTGCTTGGGATGCCAAGTTTTGCAACATGCAGCATCGTAGTAAGAGGCCATGACGCAGTTGACGCAAAGTTGTTGTTGCAGCTGGGTTCGATGTTGCTAGGAAAGGCATGCCGCGCTGGCGTGGCTGGAATGCCGGTGGATCTTGGTTGCTGAATTGGCGGCGGACACTGTGCCGGCCTGACAATCCGGGCGATGGACACGCGGGCGAGACAAGCAATGCAGACCGCAAGTTTGTACGTAGTAATTGTTTTCCTTCTACACTCTGCCTCGTTTTGGAGGGTAGTATTCTTGACTCGATTTTTCCGCAAGGAAACGCAGTCCCCCTGGTCATACATACGCCAGGTCGCACTGTACATCGAGGACCCTTGCGCTGTGCCAATATCTCGCTACTGCAAGCCTCCTGTGCGTTCCAGCGTGTCAGGCCTCTGGCTCACTCACATGGGAAACAAGACAAGCGGCAGGGCAGCAGCAACAGAGAATATGAGATGCAGAGCTCAGCTCCTCTTGTCTGCCGGTCCCCACTTTGACCCACCTCCAGATCGGCATCCACCTCAATATCCAACTACAGGCCCACCAAGTCGAGCCCTCCTTATGAGTATTACTGGTATCTCGGCCGCTACCAGCCGCTACTTGTTGTCCACGACTTGGTTGCCTAAGCACATTGACTGTCCTCCACTGGAGCGCTAACAGTAGCGTCAAAGCTGCACCCCAGCCCAAGACAATGACTTATTACGTCTTTGACCCAGTCCTGACCCAATGTACCTCTTGCTAGTACGCCGACGCGTATGGATGGACAGCCCACATATTGATAGCTGCTCAAGCTTGCATGATGGGCCCAGCTTCCTTGTTAATTTCCCTTGCGCCTGATCGCTTCCCCCATGTGCCTCCAAAACGATCGATTCTTTTTAATGCTGCCAGCGCCAGCTTCAGCTTCTCGTGTCTCATAATTCGTTTTTGTCCTCCCAATCGCCTAGCCCGTGGACACAACTGTCTCGTCCTGCTGCTGTTTGCAGTAACCACAAGCGCACCTGTGTAAACAAAGCGTCCCATCGCTGGCAACAACAAGGCCACACACACACCTCTTGGAGATTTGCTAGCTGCAAACTCAAATCTCCCCCCATACGCGCTGCTCGTGTCTCGCGTAGATACTACGACGACTAGTACGGGTATTAACAGAGACAAAACCCCTCCGGCTCGCCCACACGGACAGCCGTTTGGCTTTCCCTTTTAACCTTTCTACGCCAATCGCGACAGCTCAGCTACCCAGCTATCGTCCATCGTAGGCCCTCGCTACTCGAAGCCAAATCCGAGCCACTTTCAACCGCCGTCTAGTCGCTGCACGAAGCAGTCGACAATTCATCAGCTATGGGCGCCTTCATTAGCTGGATTCAGAAGGCTCTCGCCAGTGATCCCAACCAGGGATCCAGCCAGTCAACTTCGTCGTCTTCGCTTTCGGGTGCGTCATCTCTCTGCCTCGCCGCCAGCGGCTGCACTACACTCTTCCTACTGACAATTCTCTCCTAGGCATGATTTCGACGCTAGTGCCTGTGCTACTGCTTTCTGCAGTCTACTTTATCATCTGGCTCATCGCCAGACGTTCGCAGACGCGCTTTTACGAACCGAGAGCATATCTCGGTTCACTACGGCCGTAGTAAGTACAAACAACGGCGGAACATCATGCACTCACGACCGAATCACGCGGCTAATTTCACACCTCCAGCGAACGGTCGCCTGCCCTCCCCAATGGCTGGTTCAATTGGATCGGTCCTTTCTGGAGACTTCCCGACGAGACAGCTCTGCGCCACCAGAGCCTCGATGCCTATCTCTTCATCCGCTACCTCAAAGTTTGCGCCACCATCGCCTTCGTCAGCCTGTGCATCACTTGGCCGATCCTGTTCCCCGTCAACGCGACCGGTGGCGGCGGCCAGTCCGAGCTCGATATTCTCTCCTTCAGCAATGTTGACTCCACGACCCACAAGAACTACTACTACGCTCACTGCTTTGTCGGCTGGGTCGTCTATGGCTTCATCATGTATGTGATTACGCGCGAGCTCATCTACTACATCAACATCCGCAACGCCTTTTTCAACCACCCCAACTATGCTCGCCGCATTTCCGCTCGCACTGTTCTCTTCACCAATGTCCCCAAGGAATACCTCGACGAGACACGTCTGGAGGCCATGTACCCTGGCGCCATCCATAACCTCTGGATCGCTGGCGATGTTAAGGAGCTCGAGGAGGAAGTCAACAAGCGAGACGAGACCGCTCTCAAGCTCGAAAAGGGCGAGGTTGCCCTCATCAAGGCCGTCAATAAGGCTCGCGCCAAGGAACTGAAGAAGAAGGGCGGCAACACCGAGGAGCAGGCCGCAGTCACCCGCGACGCCGAGACTGGTAACATTGCCTCCCGCTGGGTTCCCGACAAGAAGCGCCCCTCTCACCGTCTTGGCTTCCTCGGCCTCATTGGCAAGAAGGTCGACACCATCGAGTGGGGCCGTTCCGAGCTGAAGGAGAGCATCCCCAAGGTCCAGGCCGCCCAAGACCAGTACCTCGCCGGAAACTACACCAAGGTCCCCGCCGTCTTCATCGAGTTCAACACCCAGCGCCAGGCTCAGGATGCCTACCAGAGCGTCAGCCACCACACTGCCCTTCACATGGAGCCCAAGGCGATTGGCGTTCAGCCCCAGGATGTCATCTGGAAGTCTCTCGGTCTACCCTGGTGGCAACTCGTCATTCGTCGCTATGCCGTCTACGCTGCCGTCACTGCTCTCATTATCTTTTGGGCTATTCCTGTTGCCATTATCGGTGTCATCTCGTCCGTCGACACTATCAAGTCTCTTCCTGGCCTGCACTGGATCGGTGACATCCCCCCGGTTATCCTCGGTGTCGTCTCCAACCTCCTGCCCTCGGTCGCTCTCGCTATCCTCATGTCTCTCGTGCCCGTTTTCATGCGTGGATTCTCTCACCTGGCTGGCGCGAAGACTAACACGGAGGCTGAGCTCTTCACCCAGCAGTCGTACTTTATCTTCCAGGTCATTCAGGTTTTCCTTGTCCGCACCATGACCAATGCCTTTGCCGACTCCATCGTCCAGATTGCCAAGGACACGTCCCAGATCCTTCCTGCCCTCGCCACGAACATTCCCAAGTCTTCCAACTTTTACATTTCGTATTTCATCGTCCAAGGCCTGACTATTGCCATCGGCACCCTCACCCAGGTTGTCGGACTGTTTATCTTCAAGCTTCTCTACAAGTACCTCTCTGGCACCCCGCGTGCCCTCTTCCAGAAGTGGACCAGTCTTGCCGGCGTTCTCTGGGGCAGCATCCTTCCCGTCTACACTAACATTGTCGTGATTGGCATTACCTACTCGGTTATTGCCCCTCTGATGCTGTTCTGGTCCAGCCTCGGTCTTTTCCTCTTCTACCTTGCCTACCGCTACAACCTGATCTTTGTCAGCGAGACCACTGTAGACACCAAGGGTCTCATCTACCCCCGTGCCCTCAAGCAGCTCTTTGTCGGCGTGTACCTGGGCGAGGTTTGCATCTTTGCCCTCTTCGTTCTCGCTAAGACCGCTGGTCCTGCCGTCCTGATGGGCATCTTCGTTTTCTTTACTATCCTGTACAACATTACGCTCCTCAAAACCTTTGGCCCTCTGTTGCATGGTATTCCCACCAGCCTGGAGGCCGAGCATCACCTCAGCGCCGGCCACCTCGGCACTGCTGGCACGGACGCCGCCATTGACGCCAAGAAGACCGAGGCGGCCGAAAACGGTGCCAATCGTGCTTCCGCCAACAACGGTACCAACGGTGCCCACGCCAACGGCAGCTCTGCCGCCGCGCATCCTGCCGCCGCCACCGCCAAGCCCAAGGGCAACATCTTCCAGCGCTTCTTCAAGCCTTGGATCTACTCCGACTACCACGTGCTCCAGAAGCTTATCCCCGCGAATGACTACGACGTGAACGAGGAGCTCTCCCCCGAGGCGGCCGCGCAGGCGTACCTGCCCCCGGCCGCCTACAAGCAGGTCCCCAGCCTCTGGATTCCCGAGGATATCGCTGGTGTGTCCAAGCAGGAGGTTGCCGAGACCTCCAAGGTCATCCCCATCTCCGACCACGGCTGCACCCTCGACGAAAAGGGCAAGATGCACTGGGACGAGGAGAACGCGCGTCCTCCCATTTACTCGGAGAAGCCCGAGTATTAAGGGATGAGTTGACGGACGTGTGTGTAATGTTTTTTTGATACCCGTGTGCTACCAGGCGCATCCTTAGCCCCTAGCTTGTCTGCCGAGGCTGTACGGTGCGTAAACGAATTGCCTGTACATTTTTGTTTGCAATGGAGCCCATAACGACAAAAAGGATTTTGCTGGATATTTGATTCGTGTCTCATGCTTTGATGCTTATGGGGAAGAAAGATCAATGTTTTGAAAGACTGGGTAACGCGAGCTTTGCTTATTGTATCTCGAAATATTGGTAGTTATTAAAGACATAATGTAATGACTGTTATCATCCTTCATTTGCAAAGTGTCATCTGGGTTTCAGCCAGTCAAACATTCGCTCAAGACAGTACACGTTTATTCTTGTAGAATAGGGAACATTTGAACTCGGATTGATCCTTGATAACATAATTGCTTTCACCAACATCTCAGTTGCTTTGTACCAGCAAGCTCCTTTACCCACCCCATACTCATGCAGCATTTGAATAGCGCCGTACTGTTTTCCCCAACATTCTGCCATAAGCGGATAAGATCAGGCTGGAAAGGGGACAAGATCGGATGCGATCCGAGCCCGACTGTAGCGGTCCAAGATCGCACAAAGGCAGCCAACCGGGCCTTTTTTTTTTTTCCAATCTCACGCTGCATAACAGCTCTGCCTCAGGAACCCCCCATTCGCGGATCCGCACCATTGCCAGTAAAACTCTGTCGATCCATGCATACAGACATTGCCACGGGGACTTGCATATTGTGTGGTCTGATTTAACGAAAAGGTACGTCTTATCTGGGGCTCGGAGATTCGCCTCCTGTGGTTGTGATGCGCAACCCCGGCAATGTTCCCGGCTACATAACATAGCAGATGCGTTGCCTGGAGGGACGACACGAGCCAATCTGCTTCGCGCAAATTCGAAATACAATCAGAATTTCTCTACAGCATGCCAAATATACAAAAAGCTCCGGACTCTTGACGAATACTTTCTCGCCACGCAGGCCTTGCCACACGCAGCGCAGTTGGGCGACCAAGAACCAGCTCGCTCACCTTTCCCACCCAATCAAAGGATCAGCGAACTGGCATTGGCGGTTTTTTTTCGTCTTTCTGGAGATTAAATTTCTTACATGCAGATACACTGCATGCCTTTCCTGCATGCTTCCGTTGCCTTTTCTTCGGTTTTTGCCTTTGGAGGCAAGGGTTTGGGTAGAGGTGACACTGGGCGCCGACAGCTGCTGGGACGACCCGGACATGTATCTGGGACTTTGCCTTCTGGAACAACGTTGTTCTCGAATCCGGTAATACGAGAACAGAGTAAGCCGGTAGAGCACGGATTGCCGCTGCGGTCTTCCCGGAGTCTAGATGACGGGAAGAGGTTGGACGAGCCTCACGCTGGACGCAAAGTCCGGAGCGCGCCGTTGTAAGAAGGCAACCGGAGAGTCAGCGCTCACTATAAATGAGTTCGCTATCCTCCTTACAAGTTGAAGTATACACGCAAGATTAAGGAAATCGGCCGAATCTTTTGACTGTGGCCTCTACCGCTCTTTTCCGGGGTACCATCTCATTCATCTAATGTGCGTCTTAGCATCGGGAACCGACATATCTCTATCCCACCGTTTTTTTCTAACATCAGGCCAGGCCCAAGCGAGTCCAAGGCAGGATGCCTGGAAGCTCGGAATACTCCGAACTCTTTACCTCCCTTAAAGATCTCCTAAGCAAGGATGACGGGAAGAACATCATCATCATCGCCGTCGGCAGCGGTCGGTGCGTCGAAGAGCTAGAGCGCACCTGCGCGGAGCTCTTCAAAGAGTCCTGGCACCGAAAGCTCCGGTTTTGGAAGGGTACGCCGTCTCTAGTTTTCTCCCCCCCTCTCTCTTTCCGATCCGCTGACCTTTCAACAACGAGCAGGTCGTCCGCGGCCGCCGGTATACTTTTGCACCCCCCGAAACCTCCCCTCCGCGCTGCACTCTGCCGAGTCCCTCTGCCGCGAGCGCCGCCGCCACCGCGAGCGCAGCGTCGCCGTCGTCGCCAGCCGCGCCGTCCGCTCGCTGGACCTGCGCGTCGGGCAGCAAGTCCGCTCCCTCGCCGTCCTCGGCGCCAAGCCGGCGCAGACCACCGCCGCACCACCGCCGTCCCCCACACTTGGCAGCCGCCATCCCGCTTCGCGCAACTTGACGCTCCGCGAGTCGTCGAGCTTCTGCAACGTGCCGCTCGCCGAGTGGCGTCGCCGCCAGCCCTCCGGATACAGCCTTCTCACCGGCCCGGGCGTGCTTGTCGAGGCCGGCACGGCCGCGGCCAAGCGCTGGTCCTCCACGCCGTCGTCGTCGGTGGCGTCGCCGCTGGCGTATGGAGAGGAGGAGACGGGGGAGGAGAGGAGGCGCGGCGCGATCAGGAAGCACCTGGAGGCGATGGAGCGACGAGCGGCGAGCGGCAGGGGGCCGCGAGGGTGGAGGGCTCCCGCGGCGGCGATCCTGGGCGTGCTCGCGGGGGGCGCTGCCAAGGGCGCAGTAGTAGCAGCAGCAACCGATGCTGATGGGCTCACGTTCCGCGACGACGACAAGGAGGAGGGGGGTGCGATGGCGCCCGGCGGCGTCGGCATGAAGGAGACGCTGGTGGCGGCCGGGTTCGGGCTCGCGGCGGGGACGACGGCGGCGGCGCTGCTCGTGTATGTCGTCCCGTGGGAGGCCTTCTTCGGACACCTCCGCGGGCTGCTAGCTAGCTGGTGGGCGTGGATCTGCGACCTGTTCTCGCGCCTGCAGGACGCGGTGCGGTCGTTTCGGGCGCGGGTGGAGGAGGTGCGCCGGGGAGGCCGGAAGGTGGTGAGGATGAAACGAGGAGGTGCTCGGTCTTCTGGCTCACGGTAGCTGGTATTCTTCGGGTACGATCTGGAGGATCTTGTTGGATGGTCATGCTGTGCTGAACGAATAGATTGATAATGTTGTTATTTACTGACTGGTTTTAACTGATGGGAACTAACCAAGTGGCTTTTAAGTGATTGGAATTGCACCAAGTATACTAAACAAGAGCTACATAGAACTCTGAGAATGTACACAAAACGACACCACCACGCTCAAAGCTTCCCAAGCGCCTGCCGCAGCGCCGCAAAGTTCATCGAACCCAGCCCCGTCGCCGCGTCCCAGCCCTCCGTGGCCGGGAAGCCCGCCTCGCCGCATCCCTTGCTGCTTCCTCCGACCACGTCCCGCAGGGCCGCGCGCACCTCCTTGTTCCCGTACAGCGCCGGGTTCACGAATCCCAGCGGGCCTTTGCCCAGCGTCTGTCTGTAGTCATTGACCAGCGCCAGCAGCGAAGCCCACGCCGGCGTCGACGCCGACGTCCCGTACGCCTGGATCTTCTCCCCGTTCTGCACAATGTCCCAGTTGACGCCGACGAGGCTCACATCCGGGATACCCCGGCCGCCTTCACTAAACTTGTCGTCATACTCCGCCGGCAGGCTCTCAGCATACCCCGCCGCGTCGGCTTTTTGGTAGTCTGGCGCGGACCAGTACCGCGAGAAGCCGCCGCCGGTGGCGCCGTTCAAGGGGAACGCGGCGGCCGCCTCGCCGCCGGAGGAGGTGAACTGGGTGGACCCGACGGCGGTGACGTACGGGCAGGAGGCGGGAAAGGTTGGCACGTAGCCGTCGGGGCACGAGTCCTGGGGGAAGAGCCCGGAGACGCCAAAGTCGCCGGAGCAGAAGAGCACGGTGACGCCGCGCGCGCCGGCCTTCATGAACTCGCCACAAATACGGTCCTTGTAGCTGGAAGGGAACCCGGGCTCGTTGCCGAGGTACGAGCTGGAGATGACCGGTGGCGGGTCGGCCGCCGCGTTGATCCACTGGCCCAGGCTGACCAGTTGGTCGCCAAAGTACTGGTTCGGCTGCGCCTGGTTGTTCGGCCCGACCATCAGGTACGTCACCGCCGACGGGTACCCGACCGACAGCGCAATCTGCGTGTCCAGGTTGCCCTCGAGCGTGGCGTTGCGCTCGTTGTTCGGGCGGGCGTTGTCGCCGACGGTGACATCCGTAAAGTCGTTGCCGCGGCCTTTGGGGAAGAAGCGCTTCAGGAACTCGGCGGCGTCGGCGTGGCTGGCGGAAAAGTCGAGGAAGCCGGTGACGGCGAGGCTCTGGGTGCCGTTGCCGGCGTAGTCGACGTTGTAGTAGTTGTTGATGCAGTCGGGGGTCACGTCGTCGGGGCAGGCGTTGCCGACGGCACGGTTGGACAGCGGCGCGGAGGCGATGACGCCTTCCTTGGGGCCAAACTCGCTGTGGAAGACGGTGGTCGGCTGGATGGTGTCGATGTGGTCGTGAAGCATCTGAGGCACCGAGTATTCGAGCGCGCGCGCGGCGACAACCGTGCCGGCCTCGCTGCCGCTGCCGCTGCCGCTGCCGCTGCCGCTGCCGCCGTGGAACAGGCTGTACTTGGTCTGCAGCAGCGACTCGGCCTTGCTGACGGGCACATCGAACGAGATCCAGTCCGGGGAGGACTGCCGGACCGCGTCGCCGGTGATGCCGTGCGCCGCCAGCCACAGCTTCACCAGGCTCGTGGTGAGGGTCGAGGGCGCGGTGTGCTTCTGGACTTCCTCCTTGGACAGCCACTTGCCGTAGTTGGGGCTGCTGGGGTTGGAGATGTCGAGTAGCTTCTTCTCCAGGCCGGCCATGTCATTCTGCTTGAGACCAATCTGCATGTTGAGAACGGCCTCGGCGGGAGCGTCGCCCTGGGCGACCCAGCCGGAGGCAGGGGCGGTCAGCTTCTCAAATATGGACAGTGGCCCAAGATCCTGGAGAGGGGAGGCATGGGCGATGGCGAGGAGCGCGGCAAGGAGCGCGGCTGGCTTGAAGCCAACCATGATGGCTAAAGTGGTGGTGTCCACTGTCGGGCAACCTATAGACAGCTTGAAGATGATCTACGCCTCGTCTTCATGCACGAGGATCTTCACCCCTATTGATATATGAACTTTTAGCTACCAACACATGTAAATTCTCGCGTCGTCGATTCACGTCTATAATCATTCCAGCGCTCTTCCGCGCTCCAGGGTAAAGTGAGACCCCGGATCTCACCATCGGACCTAATGTGAGACCTTCTTCCTATTAGGTCCGATGAGACCTTCCTAGATGGGATAGATTTACCCGGGCCCCAGTTCCATCTCGACTCACTACTGGTAAGATACATACCTGGACGGGGTTAATGGGCTGTTAGCGAGGTAAAATGCTCTCCGCTGAGTGAGCAGTTGTCTTGTTGCTTATCGCACCGCAGCACCCGCCGTCGAGGGGAACCTGCCATGGAATGCACCCAGAATGATCGAGACCCTGGAGAAACCCTGCCCGCTCAGATACCCATGTTGTCGAGATGCAAGCCAAAGATTACATGCTGGAAATTCCAGAGAATGAACAAGTTGCGGTGCTGTATGTCTTTCAAGAGCACATACCTGCATAGGTCTCAAACCACCTCCTTGTTGGTCCCAGCCAGCAGAATCGCACAGGCTTCACCAACGCCGGCTTATCATGGACAGACTTGTTCCCTCATCCCCACAGTTGTGTACCTGATGTACCTGTACCTGGCTTGTTGGATACAGTACGACGGAGATAAAATTGGTAGAGACTAGAGTTGGCTAGAGTCATGGACCGACTGATGGACCTGCACGATTTGCTAGTAGCGCCCATCTAGCAATTGCACTAGACAAACTCTCCTTCCCTTTCTGCTAGTAGGTGGTAAGGCGATTTGTGAAATTGGTCATGCGATTTGATACCCAGTCATTTGAGCCCAGCGGGATGGGTGAAAACTCCGACTTGCTCTGGTAAAGCAACCCCTGAGCGCATCTCGCACTACCTCCCTAGAAGCCGCAAAGGCGGCTATTCCGGACGCACCGTTATAGCAGCATTCTATGATGGTGATTGGAGTCACGAAGTCCTCCCTTCAAAGTAGGTCACAGTACTGCAGCGACTCCAGATCAGCCAAGAACGCCACCAAGATCCAAGCCCCCCCGGGAGGCTTTGAGATTCGGTCAAGACGGCGGAGTAGAAGAGTAAGCTGGCAGTGGGGCCAATTGCCGATGACGCAGCAAAAGAAGGCTATCTTGGCAAGATTCGGCGTACTTTGTTCATCGTGGGGTGCGGTAGATGCATTCAAGCCATGGCAGGATGCTGAATACATGGTACGCCCTCTTGTAGTTATCAATCAACTACCGAACAGCCAAACAACCATGCCAGATAAGAACCAGCCAATCGAAGAGTTTACCAGTTAAAACTTTCATCTCGCAGTTTGTAATTATATATTTACAACCAATTAATGTATCTTACTATATAATCAGCGCCAACTCAACTCGCGACCAAGAAGTATGCTAACGTTTCCCTAATACCCAGAATTACCTTCCCGAATGGTGCATCAGCCCAGGTCAAAATTTCCGACCTGTACTCAACACTAGTATTGAACTCTGGTGTCACGAGTTATCTCGAATCATTGTTCGACAGCATTGCACAGTTTGAATCGTCAGATCGCCTCGTGGTGAGACCGCGCATGAACCCTAACACACTAGGCCAGCTGGCAAGACCCCGTCGGATGCGTTTACGAAATGATTTTTAAATTTATTACCATCAAGTATGTACAATTTTTCAAAATTCTTCCATGTTGGCACCGCCTAGTCCTTAAATTCAACAGTTACTCGCTCCCGCTTCCTCTTCGTTTCCGTGGCTCAGGCTGAGACCACTCAGACCCGTCACCCTCCGATGCACGCTTCCCTGCTCTCCTCTTCCCAGCGCCGCTGCCGGACTCAGTCGCGTCAGCATGATCTCGGTGTCCCGCAGGTGACGCTTCTGATAGAGCAGTATTATGGTCCAAAGGTAGCATGACATCCACAACCCACGGCAGCTGAAGATCCCCACCCACCTCGCCCTTGATGGACGCATTCACAAACAGTGTCTTGCCAGCATCGCTCTCTTTGATGCTGCTCGCGGTGCAGTACCCCTGTGCCTCGTACCTTTCCCGTTTCTCCCTTTTGTCTTCTACCTCCTCTGGGCCGTCAAACTTGCTCTCCACAAGCGTGCTCAGCTGCTCGACGACCCGCGAGGCCGAGTTGTCAATGTCCGTGAGGAACGACGGGCTCTCGCTCAGCTTTCCCCTTCACGCGACCATCTTGGCGCCCCATCCCTCGTGGATGTGGCCGAAGCCGTGAATCTGCGGCCTCACCCTGGCCACGGCCGCGAAGAGAAACGGACACCCGGCCCGCTCCCGGCTATCAGTGCGGTCCAAGACGCCACGCGGCGGTCCGTGAGTGACGACGACGTCGGTCCCGTCCTCGATGGCGAAGTCGCGGCCCTGGCTCGGGTGGTACTGGAAGCCCCAGTCGCCCAGCGACGGCGTGTAGGGGCTGGCATAGACGCGCAGCCTACCGCCGTTTTGCAGCGTGAAGTCGTGCGTGCCCTCATTCAACAGGTGGATGCCATGCTTCTTATCATCGAGGAGCAGCTGACTGGCTTCCTCGAACTCGCCGTAAACCTTCTTGACCAGCTTCGGCTCGAGCGGTGGTTTTATCGCCTGCAACTTCTTCCTGAAGATTGGCGTGTCCAGAGTGAAGTCGTGGTTCCCAGCGATGACTAGCTTCAGCGGCGCGTTTATTCTGCGCAGCAGCACGATCGTGGTCCGGAATTCTTCCAACTTGGACTCTTCCGTCAAGTCTCCGGCGTGGATGCACACGTCAACGTGTTTCGGAGGGATTCTTCCCTCGAGCGCCATACCGTGTGTGTCTGACAGCATCATGATGGATGTCTTGACGGATTTGCAAGGTGTCATCGCACCAGTTTGGGCAGACATCTCGCTCCGAGGGCAATCTTCTTTTGCAGATGATCAGTTCCTGAGAGAGGCGGAAGACCGCCTTTAAATTCTTGGAACTGCGCGACGTAGCGCGTCATTGAGTTTGCATTCACACTTACGGCCCCGGTCGGCCAGTTAGTAAAATGGTGAGGAAGAGATGAACCATAACCCTACTTTTTCTAGAAGAAGATACTTATGTTTGGGTTTTGTAGGGCTGAACTAGAGATGGCATAACTCAGCTTTGGGGCATAAACATCTACTCAGGTGACATGTTCTGTATTTTCTGACGCTTCTGAGAAACAAGACTCGATACTAAATTTTTCTTCGCCGTCTTATCGGCAAGAGATAAATCCTTCCGTCTCACACAGTAGTACAGTAGGGCCCTTTCCAGTTGCGAGAACGACGTCATCTCCATCAAGAATAAAAGTATCGTATTATCGTTGCAGGTGCATTCCACCAATGAAACAGTATGTATATAACTGTATATAAGACAGACAGGAGAGATGAAGGAGATGGAGTAGACGAGATAAATAAAAGATTTGTCTCTTATTTGTTGCAGGCTGGGTTCTCCCCGCTGGCGCAGCTGGCCAGTCCCTTGCCGATGCCGTTCATCATGTTGCTGGCGCCCTTTGCCAGGTGACCAGCCGCGTTGGCCGCGCCCTGAACATCGTCGCCGACCTGCTGCGCCATGTCTTTGACGCCGTCCGTCACCTGCTGCGCGGCTCCCTGCACTTCCTGGCCGACCCGTTGCGCGGCGCCCTGCACCTCCTGGCCGGCCTTTTGCACCATGACCTGCGCGTCGCCGACGGCCTTGTCGGCGCCCTTGCCGGCCTGCACCACGGCGTTGGAGAGCATCTCGCCGCCGTGCTCGAGCATGTTGCCGGCGTTGTTGGCCATGGTCTGGATCCCGTCGCCGAGTCGCTGGGTGCCGTCGCTGATGGCACCGCGGGCGTTGACGGCCTCGACGGGAGCGCCGGAGACGCCGCCGGAGACGGCGAGGAGGAGGGTTGCGAGAGAAGTAGTGAATCTCATGTTGAATATTAAAATGCAAGTTCTTAAAGAAAGAATTGAAATGAATGGGGTGTATGTAAAGGAATGACAGGCAATTAAATTCCAGAAAGGACGGCGGATCGTGCATAGGGCTCGGGGTTTTATGTACTTGACGCGGCCCATGCTACAAAATTACAACAACTCCCCCATACGACTGCAACGCATAGAGTAGCATCTACACGGACTTTTCGGTGGTGCTTGAGCCGCCTCGGGATTAATGGATCCATCTGGATATGAGATGGATGAGGCTCAGGCGATAAGAGAAGGGAGGCCAGTTTCAAGTTCCGGTAATAAGGTTCAGGTACGGACGGCCGCGCTCAGTCTCACGACGGACCACAATGTTACAACCTGGAGTCACATCTGAGCGGACCTCATCTATTTATTATCTGCTCGGTCGCCAGACTAGGACTGATTGTGGTAAGAGTCTGCGAGCTCGCTTGCCGGCGACTGGTGGCCGCCCGCATTCATACCGCCCCGTCAGACAAAGCAAAGGGTCATTTATTGCCTTTTTTTTCTCTGCGGCTTTGTTTGGAGGGAACTTCGGCGTCGAAATGCTCCATATCACGGCTGCCAAGAGGCTGTGCCGAGAACAATGGAGTCAGTGCGCGGGGGGGAGAGGACTGCGCCAGAAGCATGAAAATGATATTGCGACGTGGTTCTGAGAGAATCAGGTCATAATTTTATAAGATATATAAGATTAAGCATTAGCCTCGGCTTGATGTTTCGAGAGTTGTTGGCGAACTTCTAGAATTGAGCGGTGGTGAAAGAGTTTGTCCGAGAGTTACTGATTAATAATTGCCAAGCCCCAGCTGCAAACTTGCCAGCTCACCCTCGGCTTTGGTCACCGTTATGATTCCCTCGTTTACTATAATTAGATACTTTCAGTCTGCTCAAGTTCTATGTGTGGGAAGATTTCACAGCCTGTCGCTGTTGGCGCCTGGAGAGCGGCTACCAAGCCAATGCAATTACTACTACGTACTAGCAATCACTCCCAAGTACTTAGTAGTAATTAGTGGAAAATCTGCAAGGCTAATATTGAACCATTTTGGTTTTTATCTACTTGCTGTAGCAGGTTATTATACCGCTTCCTGTCTCAAACGTATGGCGACAGTGGCCACAGCAACGTGGCTATCACGGTGTCAGGATGCCACGCCACAGTTCTTCATCGGAAAAATCCTTGACTAGGTAATACCAGAATCTCGGATTTCCCAACTAGCTCGAAGATCACGCCCCCTGGTAGTGTCTTGCAGAATTACGAGCAAGGTTCATAGTGCTCTGGAATTGTTTGCGAGTTGATCCCAGTGACCCTAGTGGGACCCCTGCCAGCATCTTGCTTGGTGGAGATGATTCCCTGCCTTGTTCATCAGCGGGCCGTAACTTTCCATTCCCAACACATCATCTCTGGCGTCCGTACCAGTTGTTCGTATCAGTACGCATCCGCCACGCACCAACGCTTCTTCTATCTTCCAGTAACCGGCTTATTATGGGACAATTATAATCGGTCCGATGACAACCCTTTCAACATGATGCGCATCAAACGCGCCTGCCGACCGGTCCTGACGCCAACAGCAACGCCCACGGCGACCCAGGCCAGGCATCTCCATCTGGCTCCTCCGTTTCTCCTTGACAGCTACGTGCCTCGCTATCAAATGCTAGGGTCCCGCGAGGCCGCACAAAAGCGATCGAGGGCCTATGCCCACCTACGCAAATGCAACCTCTGTCCCCGTTTGTGTGGCGTCAACCGCTACGAGACGACAGGCATGTGCCTCATCGGAGACAAGGCTAAGGTCAATGTCATAGCTCCTCACTTCGGCGAGGGCCCCCCCTTGCTACACCCGGTCACACAAAACCTGCTCACACCGATGAAAATTCTTGGCAGAGCCTTGCATACAGGGACACAATGGCAGCGGCGCCGTCTTCATGAGCGGCTGCAATCTCCGCTGCGTGTTTTGCCAGAACCACGACATTGCCCACCAGCGCAACGGCATGGACCTGACGCCGGAAGAGCTCGCCGAGTGGTACCTGAAGCTCCAAACGGTTGGCGGCGTGCATAACATCAACATCGTCACCCCTGAACACGTCGCACCGCAGGTGGCCCTCAGCATCCTCCACGCGCGCGAGCTCGGGCTCCACGTCCCCATCGTCTACAACACCTCGAGCTTCGATTCGCTCGCCTCGCTCGAGCTGATGGACGGCCTGGTGGACATTTACCTGGCCGACTTCAAGGTGTGGGAACCGAGTTCGTCGCGGCGCCTGCTCAAAGCGGACGACTACGCCGCCACCGCCCGCGAGAGCGTCAGGGCCATGCACGCGCAGGTGGGCGACCTGTGCTTCACACCCGACGGAATCGCCAAGCGGGGCCTCCTAGTCCGGCATCTGGTCATGCCCGGCAGCGAGCGCGAAGGCGCCGCCATCATGCGCTTCCTGGCCCAGGACGTCTCCAAGGACTGCTTCGTCAACATTATGGAGCAGTACACGCCGCGTGCACACGTTGGCAAGGCGAGGCGTGGTGCTGCTGCCAGGGCTGGTGGTGGCGGCGAGGCGCGGTACCAGGAAATCAATAGACCGGTCAATGACGACGAGGTAGCTTCAGTGCGCCAGGCCGCCGAGGCGGCGGGGTTGTGGCGCTTCAATGAGCCGCCCAAGCATGAGGGCTTTGCCATCTGAAAAGGGTGACTTACAAGGACGACTCTCACGCCGGAGCCGAACGTGTGTCTCGGACGGGTCAATCCTTGCGCTGGGCATGCATCCTCTTTAACACAGCAAACGGATCTTATGAGATGCAAATAAAGCGCAATGCTAAAAACCGCTCAAAGCCGTCTCAGCCCTTGCTGAACCACAAAGGATCAGCCAGATGTTAACCAACAGCGGCAGCAGACAAGATACAACTAATCTTGGTGGGGCTTCGACAGCGGCTCCCCCGCAGCCTTGCAGAGGTTCCGGATCAGTTGCGCCCGCTACAGCGCCCACGCAAACAATCCAGAAATGAGAAACTAGTATGTTCTGTATGTAGTAGTTCTGTGTTAAACAATCAGTGAGGTTGCCAAGCTAATCGTATAGCGGCCGCCCTATACTCTTCGGTTCCTCTAGGCTACCACCCTCTTGTCTCCAAGGCCCGGAGTAAAGTTACACCATGTAGAACAATAGCTACCACGAGTTCGCACATTCCCTGGCATTTTTTTTCTCTTTGCTTTGTCCCCCTTCTTCTTCTCAACTATTTTGGTGGATGGAAACGTCACACGTAGCGTCCCGGACATACACGAAACGAGACAAACATACACCAACATATCACCAGCGTGAGTCAACAACACTAACAATCCAGCATCAACAAAAATCGCGATCAAGATGGTCACAGCAGTCACCCATCGAGATCCTGCAACGTCACTCAAACCCCAACCCCAACCCCATGCAGCAGCAACACCAGCAGTCGTCCGCCCCGAATCCGCGCCGCCGGACGTCACGGACGCACTGCCTCCTCGCACCACGCCCATACGAGGAGATCTACCACGAGCAGGCCTACCTGTCCGCGCACCTACAGCAGAAGATGCAGCGCGTCGAGGGCCTCATTCGCGAGTACTCGGCGGCGCAGGCGCAGCTGAGCCTCGGCGCCGAGGGCAAGACGCGCCGCCGGCTACGCAAGCTCCTCAACCTGCTGCGATGCAAGCTCGAAGAGGCCTCGGAGCAGGAGCGTGCGATCTTCGGCCGGCTCGGCGAGCTGTACATGGAGCAGAGTAGCAGGGATACGTGGGAGCGAGCGCGTGCGGCGGCCACAGCACCGGTGGTGCTGGTGGCTCCGTCAACACCGACGCCGGAAAACGACGATGATAACGTGTCAGTCCAGAAGCCCGAGATAGAGGAGGAAGAGGAGGGGGAGGGTACTGCCGCGCCGGTGACGCCGTGCCCGAGCTTCACCCTGTCCGAGTGCAGCGTGGCGAGCTCGCCCGTACCCGTGCCGCCCGTGTACACCGCGGACCCCGGGCGGGCGGGCTACCAGGCGGTCGCGCGGTGCGTGACGGCAGATTATCTTGAGAGCATGCCGGAGGAGAATATGGAAGACACGGCTGCGGCCAAGACGCCGACGGCGCCGCAGCACGCAGCCAAGGAGGATGACGAGCTGAGGCTTTGTACGCGGCAAAGCAGCAGCAGCATGCCCGAGGTCGGGAGCCTCGAGCACTATTACGTGCAGCGCGAGGCGATGTCGCAAGACCACGGCAGCGGTAACGACGGCGAGGAGGGCTGCGCGAGCAGCGGCGACGAGGGAGGCGGTAGGACGGCGGTGAAGCTACGCTCCTGTAGGCACAGCATGCCAGTGATGCAGTTTACGTGGCCCGAGGTATGAACGAAACAAGGTATTCCCAGATGTACAGCACTATAATTCATAATATGATGTCTTTATTTTTCCATTATTTAGCACCCTCCAATAAAGTTATCCCTGTAAAATCATGCCCGTTGCTGTGCCCGCCTTTCTCTCAAGACTGTGTAGTAGTTTGCCTCTATGAATTTCTCTTCTCTTGGTATAGTTACTGCGCTCATATTATCGAAATCTTTTGTTAAACAGCAAATGAAACGAGCCCGGTTCGTGTGCTAGGCAAACTCTCCGAATTGCCCGTCGTCAAAGCCCATGGCCAGGAGCGATTTGCGCTTCGACTTGACGTCCTGGGCACTCGGCGGCGGCGGCAACGCAAAGCCACCACTTCCTTCCGACTTGCTCGCCTCCGCCGCTGACGACGACGCTGATGACGACGGCGGAGGCGGCGGCGGCGCAAGCGCAAAAGACTGCAAGCTCGCACCAGCCTCCCCTTCCTCTTGCTGCTGCTGCTGCTGCTGCTGCTGCTGCTGTCTCCTGCGGCCAAACTTGCCCCCGATGTTAACCGTGATCGTCTCGCCCTCCTTCAGACTGTAGTCCTTCGCCGGTGCTGTCTCCTCCGTCTTCCCATCCGCGCCGCTTCGCTGTCGCTCCCGCCCCCCAGCTGCCGCCGCCTCCAGGCCCAGCGCCCTGCGCGCCTCCTGCAGCGCGACCGCAAAGTCAAACGCCTCCGGCCTCTCCTCGAACCCGATCCCGAGCGTCGCCTTCCTTCCCTGCGGATCGCGCACCGTCAGCGCGAAGAACCGGGAGCTGTCCGTGGCGGGCTCGACCACCGCGGGGTCCGCGTACGGCGCGGCCGCGAAGAGCTGGCCGGTCGCCGGGTCCTCCAGCACCACGTCCACCTTTATCGAGCTACCACCGTCACCGGAGGAGGAGGAGGAGGAGGAGGAGGTCTCGAGGATGCGCGCGCGCGCGGAAAAAATCTCCGAGGTCCAGGAGGAGGCGACGTGGCCGCGCATAGAGGTCAGAGGCGGGATGGCGTAGACGTGCACGCGCGGGGCGACGAAGAGGACGCGCTGGATGGCGTCGGGCGGCAGCGCGGCGCCGGTCGCGGGATCGAGCAGCTCCATCGGGGAGGAGGACAAAGCAGACGGTGGTGTGCTGGTTGATTTTGTTTGGTTGTGGCCTTGTCGCTTTTTGAGGCGGACTGAGGGGAGGCCTTGTTGCGTAATCTCGTTTGATACGCCTGGGCTGACGGCGGGGCGGGCGGGCGGACGGACAGGAAGCCGCGCGACCAGCGAAAACAACGGCGATAGAGATTCCAGACAATGGGGTTTTTGGCGAGGAAAGGCCAGAGAATTTTGGGAGTGTGTAACGGACTTTGGAGGTTGTCGTGTCTGATAAGTATCTGCCGGCTTGGCCCTCCGCGGGGTCGTATTCTTTGGCGGGGCGCACCGCAATATCCTGACTGGTCCGTGTTCAACAGATACAACTCCAAGGCTACAGCGTCCCAGCAGGTGCTACCTCCCCTTGCTTATTTATTTATGTATGTATTCCTAGTGGCTAAACCATGTCACTCGCCATTCACCTTCTCCACGGGAAGCCTAGATAGGCAGTAATTGGTGCAATAACTTGCTGCCTACATACATAGGCCCTCCCAGTCAGATGCCACGTCGAGTGACACGCAACTTTATTTACCATTGCACGGAAACGTAATGCCATTAAGCTACTGAGAGGCAGAAGCTGTAGTCCTTTTGAACTCTCTACCGGTAACACCCAACTTGTATAATTGTCAGCCCGCAACCCGTCCTAGCTGTAACTTCATTTATTTTGCACGAATTCAGGCATGTCCCTTCTTCTTTTCCAACGAAATCAAATACCCATATCATGACCCTACTCATCATCTTCGTCAGCCTGAGCCTCGACCTCTTCCACCTCCTCGTGGCCATTCACTGCAACAGGTGCAGTGTCGATAACCGAGCCACCCTCCGTCTCGAGCTTCAGCCAGGCATCCCATTCAGGAAAGAGATCATCATCCTCGCCAGGAAGACCAATTAGCTTAGCTACTCGAGCCTTCTTCGATTTTTCTAAGCTTTCCTTCCACGACGTGACAGCACCCGCAGTCAGGCTTGGTTTGTACGTCTGTGTAAAGAGTACCGACTCGGCATATCGCTCCGTCTTCGCTAGAATGTTCTGGCACTTTTGCACATCTCCAAGCAGCCAGTAACATGAAAAGGCCACGTTATTGGCGGCCCTTTCCTCAGCTTGCGCAGCTAGCTTGGTCAAGCCGTCACGATCACCAGTGGAAGAATGGAGGAGGAGGAGTGACCCAATGTCCTTGGCCTGTGTGAAACACTCAGCAGCCAGCGCAACATCCCACGCGGCAAGAGCTGCATCTCCTACAGTCTTCCACTTGTGCTCAACATCGGCGGCGCGGGCAAGCTCCAGGGCAATATCGAGTTGGTTTAGGCCAAGGGCAAGATCAAATTTGTGTTCGGGGTCGGTTGCGACCTCGAGAGCGAGCTCCTTGTGACCCTGCCCCTCAAGAAATCGGGCAATCTTGTTAAGCTGGTCGTTGGGAATGGTGGGCAGCAGTTCAGCCGCAGTCTCCATATCTTCACGCAGAACAAGAGTCTGGTACTCAAGAACGGGCAGCGACAGAGAGAATGACGTAACGTTGACATCTTTGTCGGCAAGGTAGATTCTCGAGTCTCTTTGGATATAGCCCAAGACGTACATAGCCTTGTCAAAGTGTGACACCGTGTAGGTCTGGTCACCGACTAGGTAGTTAAGACGGTTGGTGCTATTCGTGTAGATAAAGCAGTCGCCAACCCATTCACCGGTGCGTACCCTATAATACGTTAGAGGTTATACTACTCATCGCGGTTGGGATACTCACGTCTCACTGATGTCGGTGACGACCTCAAAAGCGGCCTCCACACCGTCATCCTCGACCTGGCCAGCCTGGACAGCCTCAACATAACTCTCTCTGGAGAATCGTAGCACGTAAAAGGTGTCCTCGCAAGCAATAGCGACAAGTTCGCCACTCTCGGACCAGTAAACGTGCTTCGGTTCAACCTCGATTCTGCGAACAAGGCCGCCGGTGGCCCAGTCAAAGAATGAAACGCCGCCCTGTCCAGTCACACCGAGAAGAACACCACCCGTCAAGCCATCCGCCTGAAATCCAACATCAAGGCCACCAGACTTTTCGGCAAAGTTTTTATAGATCTTGACTGTCGTCGGCGTCTCGCGAATGGCGAAGTCATTGCTATTCTCCTTGGAAGCCCAGACAAAGTCAAGAGCGGAACCGAACGCTTTGTTACGCCACGCCAAGGCGGTATAGATGATATATTCGCCATCGCCACAGACGGCAACAAAACGTCCGTTGGGCGAGTGGATCAGAGTCTGAGGGTAAACTTCGCAGGTTCCGAGGTCCTTGGTCGGGAGCGAAATGGGATCGCTGTCCTTGATTTCAGTATCTAGCCCCATATTAGCGAAAAGAAACCCTTGGTCAACCTCTTCCTACTTGCCTCCTTTAATGATTGAGGAAACAACCTCGTTGTGCTTGGCCCAGATAAGCTTGCCTGAAGGGTCCATGGACACGGCAGGCTCTTCACGACCAAGCTTAACAACCACGACACCATCGTCGTAACCAGCTGCAATGCATTGCTGTCCTTTTTGGGAAGAGACACACCAAGCACGCTCCATGCTATAGTTGAGAGACGTCTCAAAACGATAGGTATTGGCGTGCCAAACTCGCAGTGTGCCGTCCTCTGAACCAGAGACAATCACTGGCAGCTCGGGGTGATAGACTGCAAAGGATACATTGTGCGTATGGCCCTCGAGTGTCGCAATCAGCGACTTAGTTGTGTAATCCCATATCTTGATTGTTCGATCATCGGAGGTTGTGAGAAGGTAAGGCTTGTCGGAATGGGGATAGTAGTCGACGTGATTGACACCCTTAGTCTCATGCGCTTCGAGGGTGAAGTTAGCGTGTGGCGAGCCGAGATTCCAAATCTTAACAGTTCTGTCTAGACAGGCAGAGGCAAAGGTGTTGGTGTCCTTCGGGTTGATGGCCAGCGACAGAATGTAGTGGCTGTGGCCCTCAAAGACGCGCACGCACTTCCAGCCCTTTTCCCAGTCCCACAGCTTAATAGTCATATCATCAGAGGCAGTCAGTACAAATGGCTGCGTCGGGTGGACAACAATGGCTCTGATATAGTCTGGGTGGGCTTCGAAGGAGGTAATCTTCTCAGACGTGTTGTAGTTGTAGACACGAAGCTGAAAGTCATCGGAACCGCAAACGATCCAGTTCTTGCGAGCGATAAATCTACCGGCACGGACGGGAACATCGGTCATCTCAAAGGTCTTGACGACCTGTTGAGTGTCGTAGGAGGTGATGTTGACGTTGCCTGGGTCGGGTCAGCAGAGTGTCGGAAGACAGGCTTGCACATGGACCGTACCATTGTACAGGGTCGTGAGCACCCAAGGCTCGTGGGGGTGAAAATCGATGCCCTTGACTCGGTCGCTGCGGGTGTAAAGCTGGCGCTATACAGGCATGATTGTCAGTGCCAATTCGAAGAGCTGGGGAGGTCGCGAGGGAGCAGAAGGCCAGATTGCGCCCCAAGAGACGGTCAAGTTTGAGCTGACCAGCGCCGTCGTCACGAGGGTGAACTTGATGCTCCATCGCAGAATTTGAGCGTACCTTAACGTCGAGCTTCATGTTGACGGTTTCTGTCCGCTACTCGCGACGTTGTAGAGGGAGGTAAGTTGCCAACGTTGAAAGGCGGCGTGGAGGATCCCCTGATAGTGGGGTTGGCGGGCTAGGAGTTGGGAAGGAGGGCAGGCAGGGTACGACCATGGGACAGGGCAGTAATAAGGAGGTTTAAATTTATGAGGATGGTTTTTCTTATTCTGTAAAGAATTCTTGCACTTTCAATGGCAAAATTTGAATAAAAATTGACGTAGCGCAGGCCAGCTCTTGCCGATGCACACAACGAGCCTGGCAGTACGTTTGGAAAATGTGGCCATCTGAAGCTCCAGGCCAGCTAAATTTTGGTGCCTAATTTCTCAGGCAATAAACCTTCACTTACACTGCCATTGGCAATTGCATTCTTCGATGCGAGCTTGTCTTGTAACAGAGATAGTGTTGAATAATTTTTTTTAAATTGTGGCATAAAATTTTGACTGAAAACTTGTACACTTCCGTGTTCGTTCATCCATCCATGGCCAAGGAGAATTGCCCCAGTTCAATTGTGTCACAGTTTAATTCGGCTTATCAACTTAAGGGGTTAACAAGCAACCGGCCATCATGGTATTGATTTGGGTAGAAAGTCAGTTTATGTTCCTAGCTCTTAAACTTATAGCAAACTTTCTTTGAATACTCAAAAATTCAAAGTTCACAAGAGTGAGAAGACAAGATAACAAACCGAGTAGCCAAGAGCCCTTGCTCTCTATGGGTAGCTTTTTGGATGCTGATTTCAACTGCACTATCAGATCGTCCTTCCATCTAAAAAAGCATGCTACGTTTGGCATTTTCGCTTTAAGAAATTTCAAAAAGATTATATACTAAGCAGCTAATACCATCTTTACCCCCCCTCCCCCGCATCTTGCCATTGGCAAGTCCCTACCAGTATAGGGTACTAGCCCGCGTCGCAGCAAGCATCGTTTGCCCACCCAAGACGTTCTGATACTTTGTAGCGTTATTGCACTCATTCGCGGTGCCCTACCATGAGCAAATCGGTCGCCGTGGCCTCTTAGTAGCGCCCTGCCATTGCACCCAATTTGCCACTTGGCGTCATAGGGGTCTGGTTTGTGGATGATGTTCTCAGCTTCTGACAGTCTGTCTTGTTGGCACTGTCGAGTTTGCACTGTGCGATACACCTAACTGCGGCATGATTTGCATCGATGATGACATGTTTGCACAGTGCGGCTTCCCTTCTGTCAACAACGCCCAACACACGCTGTACTTCGCAATTGCGGCGCCCAGGGTCTGGCCAGCGCCACATCATGGCTCTGCAGTACCAGCTACAGTGGTGCAGACACTGTGCCACCCACTGTCCTCGTACCCAGGTACAAGCCACCATGCCGTGTTGCACACCTCTCTGCACAGCCCCATCCGGCCCAGCCAGCAGGCCGGCCCAGCCCAGGCTCAGGTTCGCCCGGCGATAGCAGTACTCTAAAAAAAACCACCCTTGGCCTTTTTCCTGGCCTCCTTACTGCTGCAGGCCTGTGATGTCCCCATCTTGCTGTGCTTGGCCTCCACCAGTTCCGCCTCGCCCCTTTCGCCCGACATCCATCTGCTTTTGTCTCTTCCCATCTCATAATTGCCCAAGGTGCGCCGCTTCCCCGTCGCCTCTTACATACTCCCGCATCCTCTTAAATCCTCCACTCTTCATAGTTTCGCTGCCTCGCAACAGTGTCATCCCGCGGCAGCACGCACAAACCTTGGGCCGCACTTATTCCTATCCGCCTGCGGGGTTGCCGACCTGCATCCACCGCCACCTTTTCCCTCTCACGCCCTCGAGTGCTTGATTTAGTCCTTTCTATTTATCCGGCCACGACTCTGCAGCCCTGATTCGATTTCCATGCCAATTCGCTACCACTAGATATCTTGCCTACGACTTCCCCGCACCTCTTCTTGCACCCCGACGCTCTTCGACGCCCCTCTCAGGCATTAGCCCCGTCCGTCAACCAACTTCCCCTGCCACAACTTTCGCGACAAATGGCGATGTCGTGGAAACTAACAAAGAGTGCGTATATGAATCACCCACCTGCAGTTGAGCAGAGCGTCTTCCTGGATCCTCTGGAGTCTCGCTGTTATTCGCAATCTAGTGACGAATGTTTGCTGACCAACCTGTGCAGAGCTCAAGGAGACGCACTTGGGCACCCTGAGCCCATTCTCCCGATCCGCTTCGACCTCGACCATAACAGAAAAAGATGGCAAGGCCCAGCCCAGCCCAGGACTGGAAACTCCTGTCCCCGAGAATGATGCTGGTACGTCGCACTGAAACCCCACAACCGGCTGCTTTGTGTCACAAGCTAATGTCGATACGAATTGCAGCTCCTGCCACAGTTACGGCCCCAGAACCGACCGCCAAAGCGCCAAAGCCCGGTATCTTGATTGTTACTCTTCATGAAGGGCAGGGGTTCGCTCTCCCAGAAGAGCACCGCGACGCATTTACCTCACAACACCACGGTTCATTATCGACGAGCAATGCGGCATCCGTCAGGCCTGGATCCCAGCGTATGGCAGGGTCCCTGATCAACACCGGATCGCACCGCCCCCATTCGTCTGCTGGCGGCTTCTCCGGCATTCCTACCAACCACGGTCGCATATCCGGAAAATTCATGCCCTATGCTCTCATCGACTTTGATAAAGTTCAAGTTTTCGTCAATTCGATTCAAGGAAATCCAGAGAATCCTCTATGGGCAGGCAGCAATACGCAGTACAAGTTTGATGTGTCCCGTGTCACCGAACTCGTCATCCACCTCTACATGCGCAACCCAAATGCCCCGCCCGGCGCTGGACGCAGTCAGGACATTTTTCTTGGCGTCGCTCGTATCAACCCCAAGTTCGCAGAGAGACAACCATATGTGGACGACCCCAAGCTGAGCAAGAAAGATCGTGAAAAGGCTGCCGCTGAACATGCCCAGAAGCAGAACGGCGAGGGCCACAGCGGAGTAGAATGGGTCAATGTGCAATTCGGCTCTGGCAAGATCAAGGTTGGCGTCGAATATGTAGAGACTCGAGTTGGCAAGCTCACTATTGATGACTTTGAATTGCTCAAGGTAATTGGCAAGGGCAGCTTCGGCAAGGTCATGCAGGTCCGCAAAAAGGATACCAATCGAATCTACGCCCTCAAAACGATTCGAAAGGCGCACATCATTTCTCGATCCGAAGTTGCGCATACCCTCGCTGAAAGATCCGTGCTGGCACAGATTAACAATCCCTTCATTGTCCCCCTCAAGTTCAGCTTCCAGTCGCCCGAGAAGCTATACTTTGTCTTGGCTTTTGTCAACGGCGGTGAGCTCTTCTTTCATCTCCAAAAGGACGGCCGCTTTGACGTGAACCGGGCGCGATTCTATACGGCTGAGCTGTTATGCGCTCTCGAGTGCTTGCATGGATTTAGCGTCATCTATCGCGACCTTAAGCCCGAAAACATTCTTCTCGACTACCAAGGCCACATTGCGCTATGCGATTTTGGTCTGTGCAAGCTTGACATGAAGGACGAGGACCGAACGAACACGTTTTGCGGTACGCCCGAGTATCTCGCTCCAGAGCTCCTCCTGGCCCATGGCTATAACAAGACGGTCGACTGGTGGACCCTTGGTGTTTTGCTTTACGAGATGCTGACGGGCCTGCCGCCGTACTATGACGAGAACACGAATGAAATGTACCGCAAGATTCTGTCAGAGCCTCTGCACTTCCCCGATATTGTGCCGCCGGCCGCCAAAGATCTGCTTACGAAGCTGCTCAACCGCGACCCGAGGCAGCGGCTTGGAGCTAACGGCTCTGCTGAAATCAAGGCGCATCCGTTCTTCCACGCCATAGATTGGCGCAAGTTACTGCAGCGAAAGTACGAGCCTACTTTCAAGCCCAGTGTTGTAAGTCCCCTTGATACTACCTGTCAGAACTGGCCAGCATTCATTCAATCGGAATTCGTACAATCCACTGTATAAATAGTCTGCCTCGCGGTTCCATGATGCTAATGCTAATATTTGCAGGCCGACGCGTTGGATACTGGCAACTTTGACCGTGATTTTACACAAGAGATTCCAAAAGACTCGCTGGTGGATGGCCATCCGCTTTCGGAGACGATGCAGAACCAGTTCAATGGATTCAGCTACAACAGACCGATTGCCGGACTGGGAGACGCGGGCGGCAGCGTCAAGGATCCATCATTTGTGGGCAGCATCCCCGAGCATTAGTAGAATATGCAGGGACGATCTGGTTTTGCGAAATTTACAATGGGCGAGACCGGCAGTTGAGAACTTTCGGCGTTGATGTCTTTCCTTGTTTGCTTTAGCGGGCCTGTAGAAGAGATTCATCCACCTCTGATCGTGTGCGGCCGGACATGATGGATAGTTGAACAGGACTGTGGAAAGCAACTATTCAACTGGCGTGGCTATGCTTTTCAGTGGGCACTTGACCGGCGGGGATATAAGTAGAAATGAGCATTTCCTTGGTGTATTATTTTGAGTTTATGGATTCTACCATTGCTGTATTATTGGTGCGAGACCAATGCAGATTTATCTCTTGCTTTGTACTGTAATCGTACCAATGCTGTCTACCATGCGCCACCCTTTGGCGTATGTGCGTGGTCTCAGCCGCTGGCTCGCGTCGAAGGCATTGTGAGAACTGAGCTTATTATTATGATTTGTATCTGTGCAGGTCGCGACGTCGACCAAGGCACACGGGAGCCCCATCGGAACGTTCTCGGCTCCGCACCCATCTGCCGATCCCCCCAAGGCAGCATGATAAATTCTGGGGGAATGTAAGCAGTGAGAGGAGCTGAGATTAGAATGGGGTAAGTACGTTTCTGTTCGGTAGTCTGTAGGGTGACGAGATTCATAAATAGAGAACTACGTAACCTTGTAGAATATGTTGACGACGTTTGGGATTGAAGGCAATGTGATGAGTTGAAATGTGATGATGATGAGTTGAAGCTATGTGATGAGTTGAAGCTATGTGATGAGTTGAAGCTATGTGATGAGTTGAAGCTATTTGATGAGTTGAAGCTATGTGCTGGGCATATATGTGATTGACCGAGGCATGTTGGATGGACTAGAGATATTCGACCGTATCAATGAATGTTGGCCCGGCCAGAGGAACGATTAGTACTTGCCGGCATCAGTATCGGCGTCGAAGACGACGCAGGCCAAGAGCTGGGCTGAGAATGCATGGCACATGGCTGCATTTCCTTTTCGTAAAGGAATGAGTAACACTTTTATGTAGCCGAGCTATTGAACTATAAGTACCCCAAGCATACTGTCTGCATTACCCGGTCGATGTTCTGTGCCCATAAGAAATATATGGTCATCTCAGACATCATGAAACTTGCGTTCGCAACATCTATTCTTGCCGTTCTCTGCCTTGGCCCTCGTGTCTCGGCCGTGGCCATTGCCAGCGAAACCGCCGTCGACACACGAGGCGCCGCCGCGGCGCCGGCCAAGAACCCCATCCTCCTCCTGCACGGCGTCGGCGGCAGCGGCAACGGCTACATGGTGCCGCTGAAGCTGTACCTGCAGAGCAAGGGCTGCACCGTCTTCTCGCCGACCTACGGCGCGTACGACGCCTTTGGTCTCGTCGGCGGCCTCAGTTCCGTAGCCGACGCCTCGCGTGAAGTCGCGGACGCGATCCGCTCCGTGCGCGCGCAGACCGGCGCCGCCAAGGTCGACCTCATCGGGCACTCCGGCGGTGCCTTCCTCACCCTATACGCGCCGCTGTTCGAGGACGGCGTCGCGGCGAGCGTCGAGCGCGTCATCGCCGTGTCCCCGGCGACGCGCGGCACCGACACCTTCAAGCTCATGACCCCTGGCGGAGGCGCTGGGCGTCCGCGACCGGGACTGGCGTAGCCGGGGAACAAGGCGACGATCGTGGCGACGAGGTACGATACGGTGGTGACGCCATATGACACGGCGTTTGTGAGGGAGAACGGCGTGAGGAACGTGCTGCTGCAGGACGTGTGCGGGCTGGACTTGAGCGGGCATATTGGCGAGGCCAGCCCGCCGAACCTGTGGGGGATCATCATGAGTGGCTCGAGGAGACGCCGGATCGTAGGCGTCTTTGTGTCCCGTTTCGTACTCTGTTGTATGCTTGAATGCTATGCATGCGGTGACGAGTTGAAAAATACAGGATATACTATCGGGGGCTGTGAACTGGACTACGAAGTAAAAGATGTAGGATATTTTATCGGGGGCTGTGAATCAGTTTTAACAACGACCCGCCAGCTTTTTTATCCCTCTCGTTTGTCCAAATCCTCTTTGTTGATCAACTCCAGGTCCTCCTTCACTTACCACGCACGATGCCTTCACTGTTACGGCCCAACGCAGGCAACCCCTGCACGGACCCCTGTGATAAAGAACATATCGGTCAAGAGCTACCTGTATAAAGGTGCCTTTCCTTCCTGCTCATAGCTCAAATTCATCATCAATACATCTACTCTTTCCTCCACTTGTTCTTCAAGTCCAGTCCCTCTTATTTTGCCAATATTTCTTATTTTGCCCATCGGGGTTATTTTAACAATCCCTCCTATTTTGCAAATCTGACATAGAAGTCTTTTGCACTTACTGATTATCACGTCATATCACCTGCCATCCCCCGGTACAGAAGAACTGATGCTGATGACTATGTGCCGCCAGCACTGGGATCGCCGTTGAGAGACGCTGATTTACCTGGTTTTAAACCAAGTCAAAACTTCAGAACCTCTATTGAGAGTCCATCACGGTCGAGCCACAACAGAACCGTTTGGTTCTATACTCACGGCCCAGACAAGCACGAGGAAGAGTCCAAAGTAAACTCAAGGAGTGTCTAGAGTTCTTCGATTCAGGAAAGCACCTCTTTCGCCGCCTTGATCCCGGATCTGGCTCCACGTTTCGGGCACCCACCAACGGAAGGCTTGACTGGCCCTTATTGAAGTACACCCTTCCCGTCTTGGTAGGAACAAGCTGCCAAATCGGGATGTCTGGCCGATTACAGTACACTCCCACCGTCCACCCAAGGAGTTGACCAGAAGACCATTGAGAAAGCCCGTACTGGCCCACAAGGTCTGTCAGAACAAGAGAGTTTTCAAGATTTCGGCCATTACCAAGGCCACTTCCGGTCGCTCTTCCCACCACAAGGTAGCCCTTAAACTGAAGGAGTCGAGCTATCTTACCGCTAATGATACCATGAGCCATAGTTCCGAAGCTTGCTTCTTTACTCACGACTAGAGCAGCAGAAAGGACTTTGCTGCAAATGGTGATTCCGGCGCCGTTATTTACGATGAGCGTGGTCGAAGTGTGGGCTTGCTGTTTGGAGGAGGGCCCGAGACTAAAGAGCCGTTGATGACACTCGTTCACGCCACTCCAATGGGATATGCTATGATGGACATTGGCCAGTTTCTGGACCTGCAGCCCTGTGAGGTCAGAATCGCCGAGTTTTGAGGTTTTCTTAGAGGGCTGTAGGCCCAGAAAGTGGGTAATGTGTGCCATAACACATTCCATTGGAATGGCGTAAACCAGTGTTAGTTGACGCTTTATAGTGGGCTTTTGTTTTCTCTCTTTTGCTTTGTTAATTTGCTTTGCTTTCACGGAGCTGACGTAGCTCAGGATACGCTGGTGATAATCAACAAAGATTTTGCTCTTTTCTTCAGCAAGGATCGTGACACCCCCGCTTAGGTCAATCTTCAACAGAGACAAATGCTGATGGCCGCGCTCGTTGAAGAAAAAACAATACTGCTGGCTATCGCTTGACCAGCCAATATTGGTGATTGCGTAGGGATTCGCAAAAAGGGAGTTGTCAACAAATACTTCAGCTTTTGTCGTGAGGTTGAATAGACATGGCCGTTTGACTTCAACATCGTCTCCGGCTCTGAGATAGTCCTCGGTTACGAGTTTTGGCCGAAACTGATCGTGCGGCATCACGTCAATAAAATGCGCCAACACCTTGGACGCTGGCTTGCACCGCATAGCAATTGCAAAATGCCCATCCGGAGACGTATATACGTCTTTGAACTCATTATCAGCGAAGCCGTGGAAGGAAACTTGGCTCTCAGAACCGTCAATTTCCCGTGCCCTGTTCTGTGACACCCTCGACGCCCTTTTTGACGAGCCACTTTACCTCAGTGCCTTAAAAAGACAGGTCTCTCTATCAATTGGCCGAAGACCAATTTGTGGCAAATTGTGAGTCGACTATTGCCTCCAAGCTTCGAACTAGGAGCAGCGACATGCCAATGCATCAACGTATGTCTCGCAATGAGGGCATGCGTGGCTTTTCGTTTGCACTTCAGTGCCTGCATCCTATGTGCCGTTCAAAAAAACATATCTTCGTCAATGCGACCTGGACAAGCATTACCGTTCACATTCCCGCCGTTTTTTCTGCCGCGAGCCTGGCTGCAATGGCAACAACGATGAGGGACCTCCAGGTTCCCGACAGTGAAGGACAGAGATCGCCACGAACGGGCACATAATCCCAAAATACACTGCGAGCATTGTGACAAGTTATCTAGTAGACGGGAAAACTTGGTAGCCCACTTACATTCGCTGCATGCAGAGGATGCCTGGGCATGCGATTACGGATGATTTTTGTTGGCAATCAGTGCTGATCATACTATTTCCACTTCACACATACGCGTTTAGGAAGAAGACAAGGAAAGTCTGCCGTTTCTATCAGCAGTGGCTGTTGGGCCATTGTGGATTACTGCTTCCCGTATTCTTTTTTAAAGAATTTAGAATATTCATTTTAGGAAAGACCTCAGCTTTTGAGACATAAAAAATCCTTATTAAGCCCTCCTTTAAACGTGCTGCCGGTCCCGGCTGCGGGACTGCCCTTTGCGGCACCTGCGAAAAAGCCGGCCCCACAGAAGCTCTCAACAGGTCAGTCAGTCTGCGGTATTTCATCATACTGACTTTCCGTTGCCGCGGCACTGGCTTCTTTTTCCCTTGTAAATCCCCGAAATCTCCTTGCAAATCCTCATTCAGAAGCTCGAGCTTGGCAGTCTCGATTTTGGTTCCAGGTATGTTGCGATTGAGACGGCAGCCCAGTGTCAGATGCTGCGCTGCCCCGCCCCCTCCTCTGGTTGCCCCTCCATCGTCTCAAAGCTGTGATTGATGATGCTTCCGTCATCCATTCATCCTGCCCGTGCTCAGCAATTGGTCATCATTTACACCTCGAGGGCGTAGAAGCTGAACCTATTCTTATCGCATCTCTCGAAACCTCCTTTCTCTTGTTGATCTTCGCGGAATATCTGACCCCGCCCTGCATCTTCCTTCTATTTTCTTCTTTGCTAATCAGCTCTTCGCCATCCCTAGCTTCCCGTCAAACACGACGCTCCGAGCTTACCGAAGGAGCCGCCCCAACCCAGTCCGCTCAAAAGCACAACCTTTCCGACTCTGACAGAAACTACATCTTTTCTTGCACGCATAGTCTTGCATCTCGCGAAAAAATGGCTCCCGCAAACACTCTTCCAGCCTGGTCGGAGCTCAACGCTCACCGCGACACCATCAGCAAATCGTTTGTCCTCAAGGAAGCCTTTGCCTCGGACCCGGACCGCTTCAACCGCTTCACCCGCACATTCAAGGCCCCCGGAACCTCGGCCGATATCCTCTTTGACTTTTCCAAGAACTTCCTGACCGACGAAACCCTCGACCTCCTGGTCAAGCTTGCCGAGCAGGCTGGTGTCGAGCGCAAGCGCGATGCCCTCTTCCGCGGCGACAAGGTCAACTTTACTGAGAACCGCGCCGTCTTCCACCCCGCCCTACGCAATGTCAGCGGCTGGGAGATGAAGGTTGACGGGCAAGACGTCATGGACGTCCCCGGCGGCGTCAACGACGTCCTCAAACACATGAAGGAGTTTTCCGAGCAGGTCCGAAGCGGTGAATGGACCGGCTTCACCGGCAAGAAGCTTACTACCGTTGTCAACATCGGAATTGGTGGCTCCGACCTGTAAGTTGTCCCCCGAGAGGTCCTTCAATTTGGAATTGTCTAACTTTGGTAGTGGTCCCGTCATGGTGACCGAGGCGCTCAAGCACTATGGCGCCAAGGACATGACCCTTCACTTCGTGTCCAACATCGACGGCACTCACATCACCGAAGCCCTCGCCAACTCGGATCCCGAGACGACCCTGTTCCTCATTGCCTCCAAGACCTTTACCACTGCTGAGACGACCACCAACGCCAACACTGCCAAGTCATGGTTCCTCGAGAAGACGGACAACAAGGGCGATATTGCCAAGCACTTTGTTGCGCTGTCGACCAACGAAGCCGAAGTGACCAAATTCGGCATTGACAGCAAGAACATGTTTGGCTTTGAGAGCTGGGTCGGCGGTCGCTACTCTGTCTGGAGTGCCATCGGCCTGAGCGTTGCGCTGTACATTGGCTTTGACAACTTCCACAAGTTCCTCAGCGGTGCCCATGCCATGGACAAGCACTTCAAAGAGACTCCCCTCAAGGAGAACATTCCCCTCCTTGGTGGTCTTCTGAGTGTCTGGTACTCTGACTTTTTCCAGGCGCAGACTCACCTGGTTGCTCCGTAAGTAATGGGTTCTTGTGTAAAAAGAAAGAAACTTCTAACAGCATGCAGTTTCGACCAGTACTTGCACCGCTTCCCTGCGTATCTCCAGCAGCTCTCTATGGAATCTAACGGCAAGTCGATTTCTTCTGACGGCTCTGCTGTTAAGTACACTACTGGTAAGTCCCAAGATTACTCTAAATAGGGAACTCCATGCTGATAATCTAGGCCCTATTCTGTTTGGTGAGCCTTGCACCAACGCGCAGCACTCGTTCTTCCAGCTCGTACACCAGGGTACTAAGCTCATCCCCACCGACTTCATTCTGGCTGCCCAGTCGCACAACCCTGTTTCACAGAACCTGCACCAGAAGATGCTTGCCTCCAACTACCTGGCTCAGGCTGAGGCCTTGATGGTTGGCAAGACTGACGAGGAGGTGCAGGCGGAGGGTACCACTGGCGACCTCGTTCCTCACAAGCGCTTCCTAGGCAACCGGCCTACGACTTCGATCCTGGTTGGCGGCAGCATTGGCCCTGCTGAGCTGGGTGCTCTGATCGTATACTACGAGCACCTGACGTTTACGGAGGGTGCAATCTGGGACATTAACAGCTTCGACCAGTGGGGTGTCGAGCTTGGCAAGGTCTTGGCCAAGAAGATCCTCAAGGAGATTGATGAGTCCGGCAACGGCGAGGGCCACGATGCCTCGACTGGAGGCCTGCTGAGCGCTTTCAAGAAGTACTCCAAGATTTAGGGGCCACGAAGGAATGCAGAAAAGATGAGACAAATGAGTAATAGTACTGTTAGCTGGAATATGCAATGCAAAAATTTTCAAGACTGCAGTCTTTGCAACGTGCTCTTTGCAAGCTGGGGTTCTGTGAAGCCGAGTCACGATGATTGCTCGAGTGCATTTGACGGAGGCCGTCGTGACAAGTTGGTAGGAATGTTGGTGGGATGAGACGAAGGCCAGTGGCGCAGCTGAAGAAACTCTCCGGAGACCAGGAATGCCCCACTGCTATTGAGTGATGTTGAAAATGCCATGGATGAATCGAAGAGTGCAGCTACTGAGCATTTTGAAAGCAAGAAACCAGGGCAAAGAAGGGGAACAGAGAGCACTGTGCAGGCATATCCGTCACTTTCTCTACAAAGCTGTCATTTTTACGAGAAATGGTATGTAGCTCGTCCAAGACTAGAGATGGGGAATGCACAAGTACCTATCATTTACTGGGCCAAAAGAATCCCCTTTCCCACGCTCGGGAATCCTCAGCCTTTTTTCCCCGAGGTACGTTGGAGAAGTTATGGGGGATGTGCGGAGGGTTGCGTTCCAGGCCGGGGCTGCGTAAGACATGTAAGGGCGGTTTTATCCCCTCCCCAACGGAGAAACTCACGATGATTTTGTCTGCGGCTTCATTTCTCGGGAGGAAGAACTGAACCCTTGCCACACTAATGACGAGAAGATTTTTTTTTTGTTTTCGTAAAGGACAAGCAACTGGCATGGGGGCGTTTGTGAGGAGTGATTGGGAGGAGGACTTGCTGAGAAGTGGACAAGGCTAGGAACGGACCGTGTGGGCGAGAATATGCAGGTCGGACTCGAAGAGGTCGGGGGGGACATGGGCCCAAGTGTGCGAGGGACTTAATTAACTAAGAGAAAGAAGGGGGGAGAAGACTATCGTGAAAGGGCTGGTGGTGGCATGTGGCTGTTGTATGACTAGGGGGCCGATTCGTGATGGGCGGGTGACAAGTGACGGCGGCTCGGCTGTGTTGCTTTGGTGAAAGCATATGACGCGGAAGAAGTAGGAGGTCGAACGAGGAAGAAAAGGCGAGATGGCCCTTATGGGATATAGACAGCCGAAGATGGGTACTCATATGAGAACAATAGCTCTGATATTTTGAATGGCACATGTTGAAACCGGACATTGAATTCGGTCAAACGGCTCCATGTGAGGGCGACAAAAGGCAGGTCGGTACGTACCGCACGAAACGAAACGGTGGCTTACGGTGGCTTGCGCCATCTAAAACGGTGGCTGGCAAGGTACATGTTACCCTTGGTGGTGTGAAGCGGAACAGCCGAAAATGGATTGCCGGACAGCACGCACTGAGGCTGTGATCGGGAAAGGACAGCGAGAGGGGGAACTCCCCGTAACGTAAGCTGAGTTTTGATAGTGGCCAACTCGGCTTGCGGAAAGGGGGAATAGTTAGAGTTGTACCAGTGAGGCTCTGTATTTACGGCACGTTTTGGTCTGTGAGTTCTTGTGGGCCTCTTTCTGCTGTACAAGGGACGACGGTGTGTTTCGGTTTGTTTATTATTTCGAGTCAGGTTAGACTACATTCAAACTGACCAGATAGTGGCACTGTGTAGACATGAGACGTATATGTTGTGTTGATGCTGGATGGTTGATCCCTCACAAGTTGAACTAATAAAAGCGACAATATTACGCGCAGATGGAAAGGTCCTTTCTCCCAGCAGACGGTGCAAAAAGCCGCTCACAATCTGTTAGCGCCGGCCGCATTACGGTCCACCAGAGGGGGGGGGGGGCGAAGCGCAGGGCTACCAGGTCCAGAGACTTGCAGCCAATGTATTGACGACAAAACAGTATCCCCCGTAACTAACTATTTTCAACTAATAAAGCTGATTCACGACGGTCGTCGCAGCAGCCCCGCTGGGCTTTGGGATGATACGTTGGACGCGGATCCTCTGGACTAGGAACAATAATGAGGCCATGAGGTAGGTGGTTGCTAAAAGGAAAGGGAAGCAAAAAAGCCTCCTCGTCAGTCGGGTGGACAAGTGACGTTATTTTACATGTGGTCGTGCATTATCGCAAGAAGCTAAACATCGGATCATGGGCATTGTGTAACTACATAGCCGAGGTGCCACGAGACAAAGGCAGAGATAGATACATGGGACAAGTTGAGGCAGTTCACGATAATTAGGCGTTTGATATCCTAACAGGGCAGCCATGAATTTCCAACCGGGTTCTGACAGCGTCAAGTCAAAACAAGCACCACGTTTCTCCATAGAAGCTTCTCCACGCTGGAGAGACGCAGACTTGTTTCCCCAGAAATACCGGCACACAGTAGGTTTAGACAATCGAATGATGCTGTTGATTTTGTGGACAACCATTACATCAACGCGATCGGTAAAAACGGGGACCCCGAAATCGTCGTCATAAAGCAAATGGGGATGGCGTTCTGGCGATTGTGTTCGGCATGAACGGTCTGGTGGTTCCTGGTGGTAGAGTCTACAAGACCGGCCGTGCCAAAACGACGTCATAGCTGCCCTTGTTCTAAACTTGTCGGAACCCCGCGGCGCCATTCAGGGAGGGAGGGGGCATATCCGCAGCCGAACCAGGCTTTTGGTGATGAGGGTGTGCGGCCACCGGCATTGTTTTCTTGGCCTTATCTTTCTGCGCAACACAAGGAGGGGGCCAGGGAATAGCGCAGAAAGGCACAAGGTGGTATATGTGACTGATCTGTGTCTTGGCCACAGGCACTGTGTTTGTGGTGGCGGGATAATCTGTCGTGACAGGTGGCGATAACGATGTTTCTGGTTTCACAGCAGCTGATGCTAGACAACTTGATATCAAGCCGCGCAGGCCGCCTAAGTTGCAGCAGCCCCTTATGCAAGCCGCTAATCAGGTATGCTGGATGTCACCGCATGAAGGCATCGTGAGCAAAATCAGGAGGCTTTGACTAGCGCAAAAGGGCGAATCTGTGCCGTGTCATGTCGTATGCTGCCTATCCCGACATATCTTTAGGGTGGCTCGATGGCCGAAGAGACCTTTGAATGGGCTGCATCGTGAACAAGCCATGACGATGACGTTTCATGGTCAAAACCCAGCGTCGGTCGGTACGGATAAGTCTGTCTGCTTTCCTTATCTCTGCAAACCCTTAATGAAGATAGTGGCGTTGGAGGACAGAACATGCAGGGCGGATCCTCTTTGGTTGGCACAGCCTGACGCCAAGGAACCTGACAAAGGGGGCTCGGATGGGTACTTGTGATTGCGGTGGGGGAAGGTGCAAGGCTCAGGTACCCCGCAACGGAATACGTTGTCGAAAACGACAGGTACAGGGGAGGTTTGACGCTGGAATCTTGCGCACTTTGAGGGGTTTTCGGCGACGGAGGGCGCTGTAAATCCACCAACTTGCAGCTCGCAGCTCGGTGGGGGCAGCTGGTCCTCACAGTTTGCTACGGTTTCACAGGTCAACTTCGTAATAAGCAAAGCCTAAGCAAGTCCAAGTCGGTTAGTCAGCCCCGCTTGGGAAACGGAGGAAGCTGCACTTCGGCCAAATGGCAGAGCAGGACCCGCCTACCGTAGGTTACGGTGGCGCCCAGTCTGGCTTCGTGCTGTCCGCTCTCGACCAATCACGATCTGCCGCTCGACGCCACCGTCATGTATTGCGACATGGGAGCCCGCACCACCACCCATGGATGGAAGGGCTTTTGGCTTTTGGGCCCCGCGTTACGCTTTCCATCCACTTGAGCAAGAAAGCCTGACGTATGTAGGTGCAAGTCCGCCCGTGTCTCTCCGGAACTGGTTCTCGACTTTATTTATTTAGTTTTTTTTTTCTCTTAATTTTTCTGATACCTGCCTGCCACCCCCACTCTTTTGTCCCATCGCGTTCCAGCTCACGATCCGCAGGTACTTGTCATCTCTCTCGCCTTCCAAACGCCATCGTTCTTTATAAAGACCCGGCCACCCCCCGCCTCCCTCATCAATTCCTCAATTCTTAGACTCATTCCTCATCAGCCTCTTTTATCTCGATCACATCTCTTCTTCGATATCACCTCTCAACTCGATCGTCTTGCATTCCTTAACTGGCTTTGCCCGTTTGACATCCTCTACACCCAAGCCACAACCTATATAAAGTTCTATACCCGCTGTTTCTCTTTTTTCGTCTCCTCGCCAGACAATACCCATCCATCCTCACTTCAAACCTCCAATCCAAAGAAACTCTTCATCATGGCTCCCAAGGCTGTTCATTTCGGTGCTGGCAATATCGGTAAGTTGGTCTCTTCCAAGCGTTACACAAAACCCCCAAGTGGTGGCGCCACTCCGGCTTCCGCCGACGAGTACCGCTTGCCCCGCTGCGCGTCATCGTTGCCTTACCACACACAACCTCCACTATGGATGGGCTCATGCAAACAACAACTGGAATCACGATGCTAACTTTTGACGTAATCAAGGCCGCGGCTTTGTTGCCTGCTTCCTCCACAATTCTGGCTACGAGGTCGTCTTTGCTGACGTCGCCGATGCCCTGATTGACTCTATCAATGCCTCCCCCTCGTACCGCGTCATCGAGGTTGGCGTAGAGGGCACCACCGAGTCTAAAATCACAAATTACCGCGCCATCAACTCCAAGACGCACGAGGCCGACCTCATCGAAGAGATCAGCACCGCTGACATCGTCACCTGCTCCGTTGGCCCCCGCGTCCTAAAGTTCATCGCCCCCGTCATCGCCAAGGGCATCGATCGCCGCCCGGAGACCCTCAAGCCCCTCTCTGTCATTGCCTGCGAGAATGCGATCGGTGCCACCGACACCCTGGCCGAGTTTATCAAGAGCCCCGAGAACACGTCCGAGGAACGCCTCGCGGACCACTCCTCGCGCGCTCGCTACGCTAACTCTGCCATTGACCGCATCGTCCCCGCCCAGGACCCCGACGCTGGCCTTGACGTGACTCTGGAGAAGTTCTTCGAGTGGGTCGTCGAGAAGACGCCGTTTGAGGACGTCGGCATCCCCAACATCGAGGGCATCAACTGGGTTGACAACCTGGCGCCATTTATCGAGCGCAAGCTCTTTACCGTCAACACTAGCCATGCGACGGCCGCCTACCACGGGTACAACCGCGGCAAGCGCACCGTCTACGACGCGCTGCAGGATAAGGCCATTATGGCCGAGGTTCGCGGCGCGCTCGACGAGACCAAGGGCCTGATTGTCAGCAAGCACGGCATCGATGAGGCCGCGCAGGCCGCGTACGTCGACAAGATCATCAAGCGCATCGGAAACCCGCACCTGGAGGACGCTGTCGAGCGCGTCGGTCGCGCGCCCCTCCGCAAGCTCTCCCGCAAGGAACGCTTCGTCGGCCCCGCCGCCGAGATTGCCGAGCAGGGCGGCAGCATCCGCTACCTCCTCGACGCCATCGAGATGGCCTTCCGCTTCCAAGACGTCGAGGATGACGAGGAATCCAAGGAGCTGGCCACCATCATGGCGGACAGCGCGCCCGAGGACGTGGTCGCCAAGGTCTGCGGAGTGCAGACGTCGGAAAAGATTTACCCGCAGCTCGTCGAGGTGGTCAAGCGCGTGCAGGCCGACGACAACAGCGAGTGACTACATGGCTCGCGGTCCAAGCTGTGAGGCTTTCCCTTTCCTTAGCTCTTGTTTAGCCTCGTGGATACCCGAATGGCGTTTTGTGCGAATTTTATGGGCATGGCAGCATGGAGTTTTGAGTTACATAGACGAGATATGATCAATAGCGAAGGTCTCTCTTTTCACCATGAATTCTTCCGTCTGCGAATGTGAATGTGAAAATGTTAAGATGATGCTGGCAAAGATAATACCGCCGTCTGTAGAGTCGTGCAACAGTGGGCGAGGCGAAGAACTACTTCCTTCCGCCACGCAACCTATTGAATTCCCAACTTTTGGTCAATTTAATTGTAGCATCGCCTAATAATGGTGAGATGTCAGGCCAGGCCGAGTTATTATTAGCGCTGCTATTTACGTGGCCAGACTGGCACGCATCGGCCCCCAAAATATTCCTACGAAGCTCGCCCTTGCAGCGAGTCCTTTGCACCTGCCTTTTTGGATTGAATATTTGAATCAATGTCTCGAACTTCCTTCTTCCATTTCCCACTACAATGCCACCTCGCGATACTACCTATCGCCCTCTAGCCCTCAATTCCCCCTCTCTCGGACATTTCGCCACCAAACCCGCGTCTAACCTCGCCGGCCCGTCGCTGCATCGTGGCTTGCATAGTCCGTGCAGCTCTAAATTCGGACCCCGATGCTGCGCCTGCGCATGGCCCTGAGGCTCAAAAGCCCGGCCATCCGAGATGCATGGCTGGCGAGATATTGATACCAGAATCCTGCTATACGTGCATCCATTTGCACATTTATTGATTTCGAGGAAAAATTTTTCCAACCTCTTGTTTGCTTGGCGGGACAAACAAGCCGTGGCGAAGCGACACCAGCCCTCGATGGTCGCCTCACCATGACACGGTGTAGGCTGACGGGAAGGTCTTGGGAGGATCAGACTCGCAGGAACGAGCAAACTTTTCATTGTCGGCGAGCAAAAGTTCCTGCATTCGCCAAGCGAATAGTGGCAAAAAAGGCTACAAATTGCAACGTCCGAGGAATGAGAGGCAAGTGCCGTCCGCGCTCATGTCTCACGTCCGCCCATTGTATTACCTGCGGGAGTCTCGTAGTTTTTGTGTATATATATAGGCTCTCTTTCCCCAATGTCTGTCTCACTTGTTCTTTCTTCAACAGCAGCAGAGCATCACTTCGCGATCCCTAGCATCGCTTGATTCTTACAACATGCTTCGAACAGCTCTTCTTGGTGCCGCCCTCGCGGGCCTCGCCGCCGCCGACATGACCGTCATCGTCGCCACCGACGTGCCGCCTCTCCCCCTCCAGACCCAATCCGCCGTGCTCTCGGCCGGAGACCTCTGGGCTCAGAGCCTGCCCGAGGAGCGCCCGCCGCAGACTCCATACAACGCCTCCCTGCTGCTCTCCAAGTACACGCCCGAGTTTGACGTGGCCGACACGCGGGCCTTTGCCCCCAACACCATCTACCCGTCCTCAGACAGCGTGGTGCGCGGCGCCCTCGAGGCCTGGGCCCAGCACCAGCACCTCGTGCTGCGACCCGACGAGGTCTGGTTCGAGGTCCTCGCCCAGCTCAACTTTTACATGGCGGCCCACGCCGAGGAGGTGCGCCACCTGTTCGTCGACTTTGACGGCCAGGAGGAGATTGTTGTCAAGGCCTTTACCTGGCGAGACGTCATCTCGAGCTTCGCCGGGGAAATTCAGAAGCGCGTCAAGACGGACTGGCTCAAGGAGTGGATCATGCCCGGCTTCAGCACGAGCAACGAGGACGACGGCATGACGGCCACGGTGCTCATGATGGGCCTCGTGAAGCAGTACTTTTCCTTCACAGGCGGCATCATCTGCGGCCTACCTCAAGTGACGCTCCTCGGCACCCGGGACGACTGGGCCCGGCTCGTCGAGAAGCTGGATCGCCTGTCCGAGTTTGGCGAGGAGCCCCAGGAATACGCGGAGAACCTGCGGCCCATCTTCAACCGCTTCGTGCGGACCTTTGACGAGCCCGACAGCGAGGAGATCAAGACGTTTTGGCGCCAGATCGTCCGCGCGGAGCACCACATGACCTGCGGCAAGGGAGCCATCGAGTTCAACATCACCGGCTGGATCCTGGGCCTGCTGTACTGGAACGAGAACGGCGGCCTGCGCGTGCCCAAGCCGAGCCCCGATGGCCAGCACTACTACGTGCAGGGCAGCGGCGGCGTCACGCTCGACGGCGTCGAGTACCATGGCCACCCCATGGACAAGCTGCCCGTGGGCTACGCCCGGGTGCCGCTGAAGATGCTCGACTTCCCGCAGCCCGGCACCGACAGCGACGCCTACCTGGTGGCAGGCAACATCGGCGTGAACCGCACGGCGGCGGTTGAGGAGGGCGGGTACGCGCGCGCGCAGCCGATGAGCTCGTGGTTCATGTTCGGACCCGTGGACAAGAGCCACAACCAGACGGGCGCGCTCGGCAGCTTCAAGGAGCTCAACGCGATGGCGATGGGCATGGAGGAGCAGCCGAGCTGTCCCGGCTACCAGAAGCCGTGGGACCCGGCGACATCTCAGCAGTGATGCGGACCGGTGAAAATGGAACGACGAGACGGGACACGTGGCTATTGTAATGGATGAAGAGTTTTTTGGTAATTCAATAAAAGTTGCATTGTCTTGTTAGCGTGTCGTGAATTGAGGTGACTGACGCCATGTAAGTTGTTGAGTGGCCGTATAAGTCGACGGGGAGCTTGGTTCAGCTGGCAAGCCACAACGCTTTTGCGGCAGACCAAATGCCTGAACAGGCTCAGCTCAACGCCTCAACGCCCCGAAATTGATGGTTAACACGTCTCCAGCCAGATTCAACACTGGTAGCGTGAACTCGCCGTGAACTCTGCAGTTAGCGCCCATCTCCACAGACCCGGTCATTGGGCTGACGGGCGAGTACATATATGGCAGTCCCCGAATGAAAGGTCTAGCTATCTCATCCCAGCTTCCCCCTCCTCCGACGTTTTCACTTTTCTTTCCATCGATTTGTTAAAACAAAAGCAACGGAATAAAACAAAATAAAAAACTCCCTCTTCCACCACAATGTCTCTCATCAAGTTCTACCGCGCCGACTACTCCACCGCCGGCATCACCGACGCCGTCCTCCGCGAGCTCGAAGCCGCCGCCGGCCACCCCCTCGCCGAGCGCATCGACGTCGCCCTGCGCACCGGCACCCGCGACCCCTCCTTCCTCGCCGTCAACCCCAACGGCTTCGTCCCCGCCCTCGTCCTCCCCGACGGGGAACCCCTCTGGGAATCCGTCGCCATCACCGCCTACCTGGGCGAGACGCACGGCGTGGCGGCCGGGTTGTGGCCGGCGGCGACGGAGGTGGTGAGGCGCGCGCAGGCGCTCAAGTGGATCGCGTGGTCCAACGTGAACCTGCCGCTGCACGCGCGCGCGATCGGACGGGTGCTGCACGGGGAGAAGGAGGCGGAGGAGGGCGTGCAGAGGGTGAGGGAGGCGGATGCGGAAAAGGCAAAGGGGGAGTTGAGGACGCTGTTGGCGGTGCTGGATGGGGGGTTGGAGGGGAGGGAGTACCTGTTGAAGGAGGGGTATTCGTTGGCGGATACGCATATTTGGGCGTTTATGAGCTACGTCAAGATGTTGGGGGTGGATTGGGAGAGTTTGGGCAACTTGAAGGCGTGGGTGGACAGGGTGGGTGCGCGGGAGCAGCTCAAGGGTCTGTGAGAAGTTGGATATGGTAAAATGGTTTGCATGTTGGAGTTCTTGCCGTCGGGAACTGAATACTGCGATTGATGAGTAGATTGGCTTCGCATATGTATGTCTCGCAGTTGTCTTCAGACCACACCGCAAGATGGATGGGCCCTATGAAATGACTTTCAAACTTGCTGGAAGAATTCCAACACAATCAGATTGTTAACAGTCGGATCTGTTCTACAGAGTAAAGCATGAAACTAAAAATACAATAGGTGGTGCTATGGTATGCGAGTCACGCTGTCATACATTGTACCTGATCTATACATGGCCGACATTGTCGCACGGGCGAAATACAGCTGTGTCTGTACCTTGGCCTAGAGCTGTTATTTGCAATTAGATGAGGAAAAATATATATTTCAACTTTTCTAAATGTTTCTATTCTATTTTTACGCGGCTCCTTTAACCCGTAGTCTTTTCTTGCTATTCTGGTGGCAATTAACTGCGCCCGCCTATTAATTTGGTTGTTGCATGTCAACACGAATTAATGCCCCACGATCGCGAACCCCCTGCCTCTCTGTCCTCAGCTCCTGCTCCTGCTTCACCGACCAGCAAACAAACGCCCTTCTTCCCAACATTCCGCATGCATGCCTCCCCGTCGAAACGCCGCCCGATCAACACTCCCACGCCCATGGCCGCCGCTGCTCAGCACAGTCGCACGCGCTCCGATCGCGTCGGCGGTTCTGCTGCCGCGCCGGCTGCGGCCCCGGCCTCGCGACGACCGCTCTCGATGCACGGCCGACCACCACCACCATCACCATCACCCGCAACAGCCTCGACCCCAACGACGCCGGCCGCCAAGGCATCGGCTGCCGTAGCCCCCAGCCACCACCCATCTCCGATCCCCGCGTTCCTGACCAACCTGCGACTGCTCGACCTCGACCTGCGCCACGACTGGCCCGGCATCACGCCCGCCACGTTTGCCGGCACGACGCCGCAGAACCACAAGCGACGCGTGCAGGCCGTCGAGTGGGCCCTCTACCGCCTCTTTGAGATTTGGGACCCAGAGGATACGGCATCTGTACGTTGTTCACTTCCTCGACAAGGAGGGTGGGTGTTGCTGACCGTGTAAGAAACTCAAACCACACTTCCCCGCGGTCGACCAGCTGCAGTCCGTCAGTCTGCGCGCCGCGCTCCTCCGCGGCCTCGAAAACGCAAAGAAGAGTGGCGCGCTCGGCCGGGACGCCCTGATTCGAAAGACGATGCTCGACGACTGCAAGGGCGAGCGGCTCGAGGAGGTGCTGGCCGCCTTCTCCGCGACGGTGCTGCGCAGCACCCTAGCCGCTCGAGGACCGTACCGCCCGCTGGCCGTGAAGCTCGCCATAGACGACGACGGCCATGACGACGACGGTCACCTCTTGCGGCCGCTCGTCCTCGCGCACCGCGCGTCCCTGCGACGATCCCTGGACAGGCGACGGGAGGCCGCGGCCAGGTACCGCGACTTTGGCGACCTGCTGGCCATGAAGGAGCGGGGTCTTGCCCGCCGCGACGAGGTCCTCCGCGCGAGGCCGGCGCCCGCGGTGTCGCAGGACACCTGCCGGAGGGTGCGGCAGACGGTGAGGGACAACTGGTCCGGGAACGAGGCGTGGCTGGACGCGCTGCTCGCGGGCGACGCGAGGGGGCAGACGGGGGCGCTCCTGGGCGCGCCGTACGATAGGGTGTGGCGAAGCGTGCAGCAGGGACGGCTCGCGGAGATCGAGGACGACGCGCGCGGCGGCCTGCTCCGGCAGCTCGACGACCGCGTGGAGGCACAGCGGCAGCGCCTGGCACGGTGGGATGAGTTGCGTCGGGACATGGTAGGCGGCGGCAGCAGGAGAAACAATCAGCAACCGGCCTCGTCGCCATTGAAGCGGAGAGCGGCGGCGGTGGCGAAGCCGGCTCAGAAGGGCATCGATTTACGATTCAACGCACATGTCGACTTGCATGTTGGCGCCGCTGGCGTGACGCGGCCGACCTACAGCGACGAGGAGCCACTTCACCAACACTACGCGACCATCATGGACGAGCTCGATCAGGAACTCACGGACATCAAGACTAGCAGTTTCGAGGACGCCGTGCAGCGGCTGAATAACATTCGCGCGCAGTATGGCGGTGGCCGCGCGGACGTCTCGGCGCACCTCTCCAGTGATCCCATCTCCGAGCTCAGCGACCTCGATGAGGACGAGGATGTGCCCGACGACTATGCGCCGTACCGCCATCATCCCCACCAGCACAGCGCGGCCAACGCAGTGCCGCCCCGACCGGTCAGCATGTACGCGGCCGACCGCCGGACCGGCTACTCGGAAGATGACGGCTACTCGTCCGCCTCCACGTCGCACGCCGGCACCCTCCGCGCCACCACCACCGACTGGGATGCCTCCTCGGCCTCCTCGCCGCCCACCAGCGGGTTTTTCGACGACGCCCAGTCCCCGACCAAGTCTAAGCGGCACACGCTGTCCCTCGCGGAGCGCACGCGCATGTCCATGGCGCGCCGCTCGATGCAGCGGCTGCGAGACGAGGAGCCCGAGCCGGAGCCGCTACCTGTGCGCACCAGGGCGCCACCGGAGGATGAAGAGGAGGAGGAGGAAGCGGGGGGGCTCGATTTGGTGAGCAGGACGCGCATGAGCATGGCGGGGTTCGAGAGAGCGCAGCAGAGGGCGAGGTCGGATAGGCAGCGTGAGATGCGCAGGGAGATGAAGCGTGCGAGGGCGCTGCCGCCTCGTCGGGAGGGCAGCCAGTGGGAGGACTGAGGTGGAAGCTTGCATTTGGCGAACTGTGCATCGTTGTGTGTGATGTGGCCGGTGTGAGGGGGGATTGGACTACCTGCGAGAAAGAGGGGTGGTGAAGGAGATTAAGGAAAAGTATAGCCTGTTTGAAACTGTAATGATGACGACGACTTCACATCTCTTACTCCCTGTTCGCAGAACGACGCGTGCATACCCTTGACTGTCCAGGTTCTCACAGCAACATATCACCATCCACCAAAGCAACCGCCGTAGTATTACTTTAGTGGTGTGCAGATTTATCATCACGTTCGGCCTTCCGCTCCACGGGTTGAACAAGAGTATATTTTAGCAGTTTCCAAGTATGTTCTAGAATACAATATCTGCAACGAGAGCCAAGTTCTCGATCCATCTACCCTACAGCCTGGCCTCCCCGAGACCCTTGTAACAAAAGCCTACCACCACTGGGCAGTCGTCTTGCGAATCGTGTTGGAGCCGCAGTGCACCTCGCCGCCATTGGTATGGTGCGTGTGCCAGTCGTCCATGTAGTGGACGGTGTAGTTGGCCTTTGCGTAGGCCGCCGTGACGGCCGCCGCCAAGACATCCTTGCCGCCGATGACGGGCCCCCAGGGGTTCGGCGCCACGTACTCCTTGTCTGAGAGGACGACGCCGTTGATGCAACCGGGATACATGGCGCTTACCTGCATGACGGCGCTTCCGTCCTGGCGCCGGATGATGCTGCCGGGCTTGACGCCGGCCGCTTCTCGAATGTTGGCGTAGGGCTTCAGGTTGCCATAGTGCTTGCGGCTGCCGCCCTGTCCCGGCTTTCTCGGAGACGGCGCGTAACCAGGAGTCTTCTGCGGCTTCTGTGGCGATGCCGACGAGGTGGTGGAGGGCCCGGTGTTGTTCGATGGCCCGCATGCCCATGGTTCGGGATGGAAGAGAGCGGGGACGCGGATAATCTCGGCGTCAGTGACGCCCGTCTCGCGCTTGAGTATGGCAATGTTGGTCTTGATGCTCTCGTCGCAGTACTTTTGAATGTCCGTTATGTTGACCATCTTCAGCAAGTCGTCGATGGTGCTCGTGGGCACGCATGTCGCCGGCGCGTCGCCCGGCACCACGGGGCGGGACACGGCACGAACCTTGCCGTGTCCCTGCTTCTGCGCCTGCTGAAGGATAGCCAATCCGGCGAGGGCGTCATCGACCATCATAACCCAGCCGCGCTTGTTCTTGGCGGGCAGGAACTGCACGAACTCGTCCACGTGCCCGACTTTCAGCCAGGTGGTGTCCATCTCGATGGGCGCCTGCACTTCCTGGGCGTTGAGAAATTTGACCATATGGGGCTTCTCCTTGTTTTGAGAACCCATAATCGTGCGCCCCGCGGGATACGACTTGCCGTTCAGGGTGTACGGAGGGACCGTCTCTAGGTTGCCGGTGGAATCGGTGGTAAAGCCGTGCCAGGGCTGCTGGACCGCACCCATGCTGTCGGACCGCATATTGCGGAAAATCCAGCGATGGGCCTGTCTTCTGTCGTGCTGCGCAGAAGCAACCATGATCCGGAGCACTATTGGTCCGGTCGGTCCCGGCATGGTAGTGTAGCCCGGCTCAAAGAAGTCTTGAGCCCAGGTGTCTGTCGTATTGACCAACACAAACTGCCCCTTGACGCCTGCCTTCTTGGAGATTTTCTCAAGGTCGTCGACAAACCTCTTCTGCATGTCAGACTCCGGTTTCTGCACGCTAGAATCCGGCGGTAGTATTCCCGAGTACCAGGACGAAACAACCTGTTCAGTAAGCTGGGCATGGTGATGAGTTAGGACAGGAGCAACTCGCATGGCTACACTGTCCTTGGCTTCCTTGCCCTGGTCCTTGACCGAAAATTGCAACGTGGCTCTACCATCCCATTCCACGGTGCGAACCTCGCGAGCGTCGACGCCGAGGCTCAGTCCCTTGCGCAGCTGATCTGCTTTAAAGGTGTAGTTGGATGCGATGTAGGTCCAATTGGATCCCTCCTTGAGGAAGACGCGCACCTTGGAGGCAGCAGTCTGGTTGATAACCACAACAGACCCCGTTGCCGAATTACCGAGAGTAGGGATCGGAGCAGTTAAAACGGGCGCCAAATACTTGGGATTGCGCTGGATGTTGTCGCTTGCATCGTTGCAAGAATTGAAGTTCGGATAGCCCTCAGAGGGGTTGTAATTCTCTTGGCCCCCATTGTCGCCGCCGCCACACTCGTCGTCATCTTCGCCATCCTCGTCGCCGTCGCCTTCGGCACCAGGCGGGAGAGGAGGCGCATCAGAAGGGTCTTCAGCAGCAATTTGCGACGCGCAGCGGCGGTTCGAGTCCCCAATGTTGGCCAGGAAGAGGGCACCGGACTTCTCAGTCCAGGTGTTCTTTCCAGCGACGTCGTTTCCTCCAATGTCTACCTTGCCATCGCGGTTGGAGTCTGCAAATATCTTTGCCTCAAGAGCCTGGCTTGCGCCAAGGAGGCCTGCATGTATACACTCGTTAGCGCTCACGCAACCGCATATGATATGTACTCAGCAGCGGCCATACCTAGAGTAAGAGCGGCTGCGCTTCCAAGATACCTCATGATGTATCGTGAAGCAGAGGTAGAAGGCGGGAGAATAAAAATGAAATATCAGTCAAATAATAAGCGAATGAAAGTCGGACAAGATCAGGACCGCTTCGATGAGCCGAGCAGTCGAAGATGCTTCTATCCATCTGGCTTTGAGGAGCGAATGGGCATATTTATAACTTTTAACTAGATGCCTGGATTCAGCCAGTACTCGAGGTCTATTGCTGGACACTCATCTCTGCCAAGATGGCAATGGTTGCATTGCCAGAATGCAACCAACTACTTGTCCGGGCCACGCGTCCTGCTCAGCCGAGAAACGCACTTGGCTTCGCGATGAGCCTCCGTTTAGTGGGTGTTGGCCGCCTCGTGGCTGCGATTGGGTTGAGTTAAGCTTGATGATCTTTTAGGCAGGTGCCCGGTGATTGAGGCAAAAGCTCATGCCGATCGCCCAAAGACAAGCTATGAAGCGGGGGATCCGGCATATAGCTCCATTTTGCCCCCCTCGTGAAGCATGGACGATGTGAAATTTCCTTCCCGAATGCGTTTCGAAGACGGCGAGTCATTCTTCAGATCGGGTGACTGTGGGCTGCTAATCTAGACTGTGGCGGAGGAAGGGGGCGGCGCAGAGAGAAGGAGCGATGGGGGCGTTAATACAAGCTGCCGGCAATGCCTCGAAGATCAGCTGGCAGCCAGCCTGCAAGGAATATGGGGAGGGTTTCCTGGGCATTAGCCATGGCAGAGCAAGGTTGGCTTGTTGGTATCTCCGAAACCTGCAGTTGTTGCAGACTCAGTTCGGCCATGTACGGTGGAGGGACACAAGTCAAAGCTCTCGCCGTTCGGTTCGGTAAGGCCAAAGAGATTACGAAACTATACACAAATTGACAAATCCGGAGGGCCAAGGTAATTATGTCCCGACAGTATTTCTTGGGGGTGCTTAAATCGCTGTGAATTGGAGCTTGTTCCCCGTCGCTGTGATCGGGCAAGTCGGTTCGCCGACTCGCGTCGTCCGGTCCTCCGTAGTAAACTACCAGACTAATTAGCTTGGCAGCTTGGCAATTGAATCGAGTTAGTCGCTACGGAGTACAGCCGACTCGGAGCGCACTCCTCACAAGGCTTAGCACCCGGATAGGTCTTGGATTGCGCGTGTTCTCGCCACGCCAAGACCTTTGCGAGTCGACTACCTGCCGAGTGACGAGCAAGAAATGAGAAGATTCATGTATACGAAGTAGAATAACCCTCGTTGCAGATCCTTGTGATTCTTCAGAGGACCGCCGTGCGATTCCATCTTGACGATCTCGGGTAATTACCGCAGACACTTAGTTACTGCTCCCGTCGGACTGCGTCTCGGAAGGCGGCCGGATCTCGTCGGCGATCAAAATTATGCCTTTTGATACTGCGAATCTCAGTAGTTCTTGGGCAAGTTAATGCGCGACAAGAGCAATGCTTCCGAGCGCTACAGTGTCCCGTATCTTAATCTCTAAACAAGAAGGCTGCCTCAATTCAGTGTGCCCTAATGACACTCGATGCACTCTACTGGAGTAGTAAACCGCTGTTTAGCTGATACGTGCAATATCATCATCTGCATGCTTCGTCTACCTGCTAATCAAAACTATACAAGAAGGGGGAGGCAGTCCAGCCATGACGAAGCTGTCAGGCTGAACACCCGGTTGGTTGACAAGAGACAATCAGCAAGCAGTATTCGACACGCAATCACACCGGACGTTGGGGCAAAAATGTTAACAATGGGTAATTGTTTTTGCACTGCCTCTTCTCTCGTCCTATTTTGGAACACTGCCATCCTTGATTTGATTTTGTTTAGCGTCCAGTGTTGCTGCTCCGGGGCTGTGTTGGCTTGGACAATAACGGCAGTTGTTCGTCGATGTCTGTGCCACAACATGTTGACATGCGCCTAGCAAAACGTGACGTGTCGATGACAAAAACTTCGATTTTTTTCGGAGCGCAGATAATAACGTCATTCATGCAAATGCGCGTACAGTTTGGTCTCAGTATTCGCTGTTGGCGGATGCGCATGCTCTGCCTGGTTTGTGGCAGGGATTTGGCTTGGCCTCCGTTTCGAAGAAGTAATGAATAGTTCTCTATCATTACAACCATGCACCGCGTAATGCTTGGACTTGCTATGCACGGACTGCGGAAATGTCTCCATTGAACCAAGTCTACTTACCCCATTCGCGATACCGTGCTCTTCAGATTCACAAGTCTGACAGCCAAAACCATTCAAGTTATGACCCAGTTGCATCCTGGAAATTTGTGTATTCTTATAATAGTATATCATACAGTGATTGAGACATTCCCCAATCCTTGGTTTAGTGTTACATCGCTGCCCTGTGGTCTCCGACCATTCCCTACCAGCCCTGCTTTCGCAGCTCGTGCACGCGAGCGTACGCCGCGCAGAAACCGTCCCTGAAGCGCGACCGCCAGCGCTCGCTCGCCAGCCGCTTGCGCTTCAGGCCTGGCCGCTCGTGCGCCTTCTGCGAGTGGTACTTGGTCTTGATGTGCTGGTGCTTAACCAGGCGCCCCAGCATCGCGAGCGCGCTGCGGACCGTCGGCGCCGAGTTGGGCCCCGGCTGCGCGGCACGCACGAAGATGGTGCGGCCCGTCGTCGCCGCCGCACGCACCCGCGGCCGCGTCAGGGGGTCCTCCTGCTGTAGAGAGCGCCCGTAGTCGGCCGCCTTGGTCGACAGGATCGACGTCACGTCGAGCTCGAACGGCAGCGCCTTGCTGGTCGCCGAGTATGGGTGGGCGGGCGCGTCGGTGGAGGGGGAGGATTTGGCGACGACGTCGGAGGCGGACTTGGGAGGAGGAGGAGGAGGCGGCGGCGTTGTCATGGTGGTAGCGGTGGATTGGACGTCGGGCTTGGTGGGTGTCGGAGCGGCGGTTTCTTGCGGTTTCGGCTGAATGCCGCCGATGAGGGGATTCACGCGCGGCGCGGGCTTAGGTGCGCGACGATCGGCGAGGTTCATGGCGGTTGTGGTGAAGCATCGCGCGACCGGACGCTGGGTGGCTATCCGGCACAGCATCGAGCTGCTGTGACGAATTGAGGCAGCCCTGTTGAGGGTATTAGTACTGGAGCATTAAGGCAATACAATTGATGCAAAGTTAAGGAAATTGACCGTACATTTCGATCCGAGCCAAGCGGTAGGCAATGCTGTCCAAATAGATTGATGCTGGTCGAGCCGTAGCTAGGAGGTCGACGCTGGTCGAAAACTGAGTTGGCTGCTCGAGCGGAAAAAATATTGATGCGGCGCTGCCAAAAGCTCATCTTGTGGACGGTGGGACCAATCAACGCCGCGCCGCAAACTTGGAGCTCCATCCATCTTTAATCTTTAACTCTGCATCGCGCCAGGCAACTTCTTGGTACAGCCAAAATATTTTCCATCTCCTTCATTTTTCCTGCTACCGCATAATTACAGTCGAACGAGCCAAGCTGGGAGTTTCGCCGCAGTCGAAATCGCGTTGAGCATCACGCGACATGTCCTACAACCAATATGGAGGCAAGTCGCCCACTTCACTGGTGCGAATGCCTAGCTAACAGGTTGCAGGTAATCCATACGGCGCGCCACCTGGATATGGAGGCTACGGCAATGCTCCCCCAGGCATGGGTGCTCCTCCAGGCATGGGTGCTCCACCAGGATTGAGTAGGTGATGATGCTATCTGCAATCGAAGTGAATGCTGACGTCTGACAGGCGCTCCTCCTCCTGGTGTCCCAGCCCGCCCAAACATGCCACCGGGCATGCAACAAGCGAACGCGCCACCAGCAGCTCGTGGTGCACCGGTCTCTTTCCAACCCCCGAACCTACCTAACATCAATTTCAGCGCCCCCGTGATCCGACTCGGCACGACAGGACCTGCCTCCGGAAACGAACGCAACGACGGACCCAGACAAGGCGGCCGCCCGGGGCTTGGCATGGACAGAGGCCAGGACCAAGGGCGATCGTCGAATCGCGATGCAGTGCAAGCTCTGATTCCCGCAACGGCCGAAGAGAAACTGCGCACGATCTTCATACACCAGATTCCAGAAGGCGTGGGCAGTGATGGCGTTCAGAAAATTCTCAGCGCCGTGGGGCGGCTAAGGAGATGGGAGGCGCTCGACAGCGTAATGGATGATCACAAGGGTGCCAAGTTTGGCTTTGCGCTGTTCGAGGATGTTGAGTCCCTGCACAACGCCGCGCGCCTACTGGCCGAGGAGGAGGTCCAGGTGCCCAAAGCAAAGCAGCCCATTGCAAAGGAACAGCCCAAGGACGATACGTTCGAAGGCATCGAAACGGTCAAGTTACAAACTTCGCTGGACGCCAGCTCGGTCAATTACCTAGAGGCGTTTCGCAAGGAGGAAGAGGAAGCCGATGCGGGGGAGGCGCACGCCCGCTCGCAGCTCAAACAGGCTCTACGTGATTTATTCTACCCACTCTCGGCGCCAACATCTGAACGCGTGGAGACCCGCGTGGAAAGCTCTGGAAACGAAGAAGTAGTAGAGGTTGTCAATATTGGCATGGCACAGGAGGACGAGCTGTCGGACATCCCCGCCGAGATCCGTGAAGTCGTGCTCAAAGAGATCGCGGCCTTCCGTGAGCGCAGCAATCAGCATGACTTGGAACGTCTACGCGGGGAGGAAGAGTTTGAAGAGCAAGAGAGACGACGCAATGGAGCATCCAGAGCCGCACCCCACGATGGCTCGAACGGCACCCCCCTCGGCCCGCGCGGCGCACCCTCCGGCCCCCGAGCGCAGAACGGAACGACTGGTGGCGGCCCCTCGTCCACTTTTGTCAACGGCGGCGTGGAGAATGGCGGCATTACCTACGAAGACGACGACGACGGCATGGACGCCAGCGACGACGAGCTCGACCGGCGACGGCTCAAGGAGGAGCAGGCCGAGGCAGACAAGGCGTATGCCGAGGCGGAGCGGCGGTGGTCGAACCGCGAGCGCTCGCGACAGGCGGCGCTGGAGCGGGAGCGCAACCGCGAAAAGGACGGCGCGGCGGTGCGCCAGCAGCGCGCCGCCGCCCGCCTCGCGCAGGACAAGGAGTGGGACGACGAACGCGAGGCAGCCCGCAAGTCCCACCCGTATTACCGCGACCGCGCGGCGTGGGCGCGCAAGCGCGCCGCCGATCGCGCCGACGAGGACGCCAGGGATGACGCGGACCTCGCCGCAGCCGTTCAAGCTGTCCCTCGGCGCCGCGGCCCAACGCGCCCAGGCCGGAGCCGCCCAGCGGCGCGCGCGCCGCACCGTCGCCGAGGTCGAGGGCCTCCTGGACGACGAGGAGGAGCAGGCCGGCACGCGCCGCATCCGACCGCTCGTGCCCATCGAGCACACCGCCGGCGGCGCCGGCATGACGGAGGAGGAAGTGTCGGAGGCGGTGCGCGCGCTGGCGCAGGAGATCCCCTCGGACAGGGACGGCCTGTGGCGGTGGTCGGTGCAGTGGGACCACATGGACGACGGCGTCATCGCGGACCGCCTCCGGCCGTTCGTGGAGCGCAAGATCGTCGAGTACCTCGGCGTGCAGGAGGAGATGCTCGTCGAGGCGGTGGAGGAGCACCTGCGGAAGCACGGGACGGCGGCTGCTCTGGTCGAAGAGCTGGAAGGGGTAAGTTCTCTCTTCTTTCACCCGTCATTCCACCCAATTTTTACCACCTTGGCAAGATCTCTTTCTCTGTCGCCATGACTTGCGTCTAACCCCCCCCCGCTTGCGTCGCGGCTGACACGCATACTAACACATTTGATAGGCACTGGACGACGAGGCGGAGGACCTGGTCAAGAAACTGTGGCGCATGGTCATCTTCTTCACGGAATCAGAAAAGAGGGGGCTGCCGGCGTAAGCAGGATGATGCGCTTTACTGCCGCGTGCATGGAGGGGATGATGGAAGCAGAGAGCACGTTTTCGGAGTCTGGGACATTGGTTGGTGGATTTACTTCAATCCACACGGATACTATTTATTCCTTGCTTCATCTTTCTGTAAAGTATTCAAAAAGCTACAAATGGCGAACGGTTTCGGGTTATGGTCACGTTGCTGGACTTTGAATGTGGACTGAACATGTCGTGTTATTTGTGGTGTTAGAGTAAGCTGAACATGGAGTCTATTCAGTGACCTGTAAAGGCTTGCTCCGCCTCGCGTCGCCTTCTGTTGTAGGGACAACCAGGCGCGTAAGTCATACTATTCGTTTTTTGCATCGTGATTCATATCTTGATTTCATCGTTTCATCGCTCGTCTCATAGCACCAGAATACTCCGTTTTCTTTTACTTGCTCTCGCCGCGGGGCTCCCAGCCCCGCTTTGCCATCTCAAAGCCCTCAAACTCGAAGCCAGGAGCGACAGAGCAGCCGACGAGGGTCCAGTCGCCGAGGCTCTGCGCATGCTGCCACTCGCCACGCTCGACAATGACCTGGGGTCGCTGGCCGGCCAAAATGTCCGCGCCGAGAACGGCGTCTCGGACGGGGGCGCCGTCGTCCCAGGAGAGCGAGAGGCGGAGCGGGGCGCCGGCGTAGTAGTGCCAGACCTCGACGGCGTCGAGAACGCGGTGCCAGTGGGAGATGCCCTCGGCGCCCTCGAGAAGATAGTAAATGTAGGTGCTGGCGGCGCGAGGCGCCTTGCCGGGGGCGTCATCCGCTGAGGTGGCTGTATGGGGGGCCACGGCGGCGGTGTCGCGGTAGGTTTCAACAAAGTAGCCCTTTTCAGGGTGGGGGGTCAGGTTGAGGGCGGCGATGATGTCCTTGGCGGTGCGGGAATTGGCGGCGGCCATGATGGGCGATCGATCTATAGGCTGATATGGAGTGTTTTGTTTGGGTTGATCTTGGAGGAGGAGAAAAGTTCACAAGCGCTGACTTGCGTGTTTCGTGTTACCTGGTTGCTGATGAGGGGAAAGCGGTGGAAGCTTGGTGCTTATGGCTCGGCGCTTGGCTGGCTATTCAGAAGAGGGGAGAAATGGCGTCGAAACGGTTGGGACGGACGGGTCTGGAACTAAAAACTCGGCAGGAACTACCTATGTACTAAAGTGGCATCAGTAAGCTAAGTCATAGTGAGGTATTCATAAGGCAGGCTCTCGGGACGATTCGCGTTCGGCTGGTGGCATAAAAAAGGTAGTGGGTGTCAGCGGTTTGTGTCTTCTGTTGTGTGTTGTTTGCTTATTACATAGCTTGCTTGACAGGAACTTTTTTTAGGCGGCATTGCTGATCCATGATGACCAGGGGGTGGTGTCGATCGGCATTGGTGGGGGCAGTTTTGCGCCACTGTCTGTTGGCATTGGCGAGGCTGTTCATGCCAAGGGTCTTTTTGAGAGTCAAGGTGTACTGTACGGACTAGGTAGTCTAAATTGGAACGGTGGACGAGTGAACTTTGGATGCCGTGGGGTGATTTGATAATGTGACAAGATGGAGTGGGATGGATCGTGATAGGTTGGGCGGTTTGCATTGCTGAGTGTGATATGGAGGAGGTGATGGAGGAGGGGAGAGATTTTGCTGGTGGCGGCGTATTTGCTGACCACCAAGTGGGCGAAGGGAGGAGGAAGGAGGGGGAGGGGTGATATTGTCAAGGCTGATAATTATGTGTGCATTGAGTCGGCAGACGAGACAAATAGAATGGCAAAGAGTTTGATGATTCATTTCTTCTACTTCGTACTGAGAAATAATTAACAACCTGGGGTGCTACTATTCGTCGTGTTTGGTGATGCCATCATGGGCCTCTTCAGGTGACCGGCGGGCAAGCCCACTAAACCCACCAAAGCCAAGTGCGGGCGGCCTGGGGGCCAGGGACCAGGGGGGCCTTCGGTGGGAATTTGCAGGGGCAGATTGGCAGAGGCTGGCAGGGGTCTGGCGCTAGAAAGGTCCGATAGCTGCAGGTAATAATGAGCGAATGGCCAACTTCCGAGCTTGCATCTTGTTAACAGAAAAGACTCCTAAACTAAGAATAGCCTGGTTGGATGTTGGTGTGTTGCACGGAAAAGAAATAAAATTACCTGCCTACCAAGCTGCAATGGATGGCGCCGCACATATCAGCTCATGAGCCGCGAATGCAGGCCGGAGGAGTTGCTGCCGTGTTGGTACCTTGGTACGGATACTGGACCAGTTATCGCCTCAGCCCAGGTACTATACCCCTTGACGCAATGTAAAAATAACTCTATTTACAGGAAAGGAGGAGGCAAAAGACAGAGACAATTGTTGCAGAAACAGAAACAGCAACAGAAGCCCTTTTCTTCCGACACAGCGTGAGTTGTCTCAGTCAGTATCCGTAGGTAGCGCTGTAACTTGTCCCCCGCCGCATCGTATCAGGCAGTTCTTTCAGCCCACCATAGCGACCACACCAAGTCGGTACGCGGATCGGAAGACGGCCGGACAGGCGGACAAGGTCAGCTAAATATTTTGCGCCGAGACAAGCCTCTCTGCCTTGGTTCTCGAAAGGTCGAAAGGTGAGGTAGCATGGGCTTACCAAGTGTAACCTACCGGAAGGTATAGCTTGATACGCTTACACCTTAACTTTTCCCACCTTTTTTGCTCCATCTCATCATTCCTCTCACTCACCCACTTTCCCACTTTGGTCGGCCCTCCCTCCTTGCCTCCTCCTTACGCCTCTCCCTCTGCGGCTATCTGGAATAAAAACGCCTGCCGTCCCGCGCCGCCCTCACTAACGTGGCCGCTTTTTTTCTTCCTCACCTCTCCGATCTTTCCATCTCTTCAACAACAGCCCGCATTGTGTCCCATCTTCATCGTTTTGCGTTCGTTTGCAAATACCCTTCGTTTGGTGGAAAGATGTAGCCAGGGCTACCCCTCCCTCGACTAAGCAAACCATCACCAGCTCATCACATCACGCAAACGCACGCACCAACCCGTGCCGGCAGCAACATCTGTCTGCGCCCGCACCTCGACCAAGAGCCAGCCAGCCAGCCAGCCTCATTCTTTCAGTCTCACCTCTCGACGCAGCCAGCAAACAGCTGGCTTGCTGCCCACCATGGACGACATCAAACAGGACCTTCCCACCTCCATGATCATGGCCGCCTTCATTGGCATCGCCTGGTACATTGGCATCGAAATCAACGCCTCCCTCTTCCTCCTCTTCAAGCGCCGTCGCGGCCTCTATTTTTGGTCCTGCGCCCTCACCTCATGGGGCGTGATCCTCCAACCCGTCTTCATCATCCTCGCCGACTTTTCCGTATGGAGGGATGCCGTTCCCTCCATCACTATGATCTACCTCACCTGGTTCATCATGGTCATTCCCCAGAGCTGGGTCCTCTATTCCCGTCTCCACCTACTCATGCACACCGACGCCATCCTCCGCATCATCAAGTACGTCTTGATCTTTAACTCGATCGTTTTTTCCATACCCACCATGGTCATTGGAACTGTCGCTGTAAGTGTTCATTGCCCTTCCTTGCCCTCCAATTCGGCGTTCACAGCTTGCCTGTCACACCTCGGCATACGCTTACACTCTCCCTAGCAAGCTACTACCATCAACCCCCACCTCACGTCCTTCAACCTGGTCTGGGATCGCGTCCAGCTCGTCGTCTTTTTCGTCCAAGAAACCGCCCTCAGCATTCTCTACATCTTCCAAACCCGCAAGTACCTCAAGGGCCGCGCCCCCCTCCGCCAGCGCGCCTGGTCCACGCCCTCTACCGTCCATGCTGGGGGCACTTCCTACCGCCAGACCTCCCAGGAAAGCGCCATCCTGTGGCAGCTTATCTGGGCCAACACCCTCATCATCGCCCTCGACATCACCCTACTCGGCATCCAGTGCGCCGACCTCTTCCACCTCCAGGGCGCCTTCAAGCCCTGCGTTTACGGCGTCAAGCTCAAGCTCGAGTTCGTCATCCTCAACCGTCTCATCAACACTGTCCGCCAGCCCACGAGCGACGTCTTTTACTCGGGCAGCGGCGGCCCTGGGGGTGCTTTGGGCCCGGGCAGCGGCGATCGAAACCCCGCCGGCGCACTCGGTAGTAACGGCAGCCACGGAAGCTCCCACCTGCGCGGGAGCAGCCTCTGGCAGAAGACGGAACCTGGCGAGGACACATCCGGCGTTCAGCTGGTCCAGAGCCCTAGCCGGACTGCCGGGCGCGACAACAGCGTAGGCAGCGAGGATCCCATCTATCACCGAGCCGAGGCCGTCTGACCTGCTGAATAAGAGGGCCAATCTTTTCCTTTTTCATATTTGTTATGTTTCGATTTACTCAAGCGGCATAGTGCCACACATTCAATCGGGACTGAATGGGATGAGCGATGGAGTTTGGGCTTGATTTTGGAGTTTATGATGGATGCCTCACGATACCATTTTCTATTTTTGCTTTGGATTAATTTTTCCTCTCTTGCCCTGTCACTTTTATAACTCTACGTGTGCACCGAACATATTGAAGCGCACTTAACGGCCATCTATTCTATGTTCAACGACATTTGCATAATACACAATTGCACCACCAAAAACGGGCCCATCCAATCCACCCCTCTGCTAAGCACTCAGTGACGTCACGCATCTCTATGCACCAGCTTCATGAGGGCATGTTTTATGCAACCAAGATGTTGCACATCAGGCGCGAGATGTGTTTGCCCCCTTGCATAGTCATGAATCGTTATATGTACGGTTGTTCTATTTATGCATCATGTCTATCATGCGCATTGCATGAAATCGGCTCATGTTAACGCCGGCACGATGTTGCGCCCTTTGGCTGCCACCCGGGCGGCGCGAGGTCGTAGCCGTCCGTGCTGAACGCGGGAGCAACTGTGCACATCCATTGTTAGCTGCTTATGCCTCCTGGCATGGCCAATTATAGAGACAGAGGGCCCGAGAAAGATGATGACTTACCCGTCGTGCCCACCAGGGTCCAGTTACCGTGCGAGCGCGCGCTCTGCCACTGGTCCTTGAGGATCACCACCTGTGGGCTCTCGCCCGCAAAGATGTCCTGCCCCAGCAGGTGCCTCTCGACCGGCTTGCCGTCGTCCCACGACAGCGAGAGCGTCAGCGGCGCGCCGGCGTACCAGTGCCACACCTCGGCGGCGTCGACGCGGTGCCAGACCGAGTCGCCGGCGGAGCCTTCAAGCAGGTAGTAGATGAGCGTCGAGGCGGAGCGGTTGCTGCCACCGCAGGCCTTCTCCGGGTCGATGAACGTCTGCGCGTAGTAGCCCTTTTCCGGGTTCGAGGTGAGGTTGAGCTGGGCGACGATTTCCTGCGCGGACCGCCGGCTCATGGGGGTGCGGTGGTTCTGTTGCGCGTCGGGGGAGGAGGACACGGCTGCGGCGGTCGCGGTCGTGGCCAGGGCGGCCGCCAGGAGGGCGAAGAGCTGCATCGCGGGTGTGCTTTGCGGGTTCTTGTGTTGCGTAGGGTCCAATTTTGGGTGAGACTGTGCGCTTGAGGGCTGTCGCAAGGTAAACGGACAATCTTGGTATACTCCGCTTCATTGTGCCATCCGAGGAGGGGGATCCCAACGGTCTTTGTAGGATTTGGTCGTCCGTCTGTTCCCCCCTCGCACCCAGGTTCCACCGTGCGCAACGCCGCGCAAAAAGGGACAAAAAGAAACGGAAGGGCCAGCACGCACGGGGCGAGCGGGCGGGCGTGACCAGCCGGGTTGGTGGCGGCGCCCTTTCCGCTGGTTTCCTTTGTTGCACGACTTGGCACCCGCCCGCGGATCGAATAAGGACTAGAGGGCCGGTGGATGCGCGGGCGTATGAACTATCTTTTTCATTTGTTTTTTTTTCTTTTCATGGATTTCTAATCATTGTCATGCAGCTTTCCCGAACGTTTTGTTTTCGTTCTTTTCAGCTTCCAGATGCCCAAATACGAATAAGCTGCATGTCGAACTTGGGCCTCACAAACCCCAGCTTAGTCCGTGTCCCAAAGACAAGCGGAGGGCGCGGAAAATTATGACGACGGGGAACATCAGATGGGACTGAGACTTTAGGTAAAGTTGGGTGAGGCAAGGGCGCTCGCTCCCTACCAATGGCGAGGCTGGCGCAGAATTGGTGCCCATGCCGTTAATTGCGTTGTTAATTCCCGTTATGACTGGAAATTGCCCGAGTGAGGGATTCATAAAAGCCGAGCCCCCCCCCGGCCGCGCAACAAGCCAAATCCTCTTTCAAGCTCCATCCAAACTCCACTAGCATCCCGCGCGACCCAAGGTTCGTCGATCGAAGCGCCAATTCGTGCTAGTTAGTGCTGAGTCCAAGAAGAGGGACCCAACAAATGATGTGAGGAGGGCGCATTTCAATTAACATGGAGCTGTTGGGGCCTAGTGGCGCAGTTGTTGTCGGTTGAGTAGACGGTCGGTGATGAGACGACGCCGCCGCTTCCGCCAGGTCGGTTCATGACTAGGGACAACCAATTTGGCAAAAAACGGGCAACTAGCGCAAGTTGCCAAGGCAAAGGACAAAAACGGGCTCATCGATGTTCTCGGGGATATCAGGTCGGTACGCGTAGTGCACCGTCCGTCTGTTTGTTTGTACTCGTATCAGGCTCGGGCCGCCGCATGGTGCAACTGAGCGTCCAGCGGGTCATTCATCAACAACTGCGAGGCTGGGACATGGTCCTAACAAACTAAGAATGTATGCGCAAGTATGCGAAATGTGCCGTTGAAGACAGGTGCACCACCGTCGGGCGAATTGGTTAAACGAGCGTGCTTGATGGTTGCGGTGCGGTGCGTTACTTGCCGATGTAAGTCGTCAGCTGCCCCATGGCTCATTGGCTATGCATGGTTGTGTGGTTCGATCGCGGAGCGATATATTCGATAGCGTCCTCAAGCAATTCTAGAATACTGCCATGCAGCCCGTGGTTTGGAGTGTAGTCCAAGCAATGCAGTACTACTATAGCTAGAGAAGCAAGCCTTGCATCAGCTCAATATAGATTGAAAGCCCGGGCCACCGCCACGTCCAGCCAAGCAACGACTATTCGGGTATGCACCTGACACTTCATGGTCATCGTTTGCGGATATATTCTCTCCCCCTCTTCTTCTTTCAGCCTTCTTCTTTCAGCTTGGAGCGTGGCTGCAGTGGTCTAACTGTAAGTGAGAAACGGTTGACAACAGCGTTGGGAGCTTCCGTCCTTTGTTGGCTGAAAACTGATGGCCGACATGACGGTTGAGAAGGGGCCATGTGCCGTCTTTTCTTCAGGGAGCACTGGTAAGGGGCAGTCTGAATTCAATTTTTTTGACACTGCGAGGAGGCATCGCAAGATGGTGTCGAGGGAAGTTCGGATGACGGAGGCAGGATGGAGGCGTTGGCAGCCTCAAACAGACAGTGTGGCGCACCTGGCAGCTGTGGCGGAATCATGCATCCAGCTTGGCAATGCAGCTTCGCAGATACCACTAGATGAAACTAAATGGCCATGGCTCTGCCGACATTCTGGAAAACTGAAGAGAAGACGCCACTGATTCCATGACCCAGTCTAGAACGCTGGTGATGCATGAGAGATCCTTCCCTGCGTATTGACAGCATGTGTGGCCTGCTCTATCAGGCAGCAAGGTAAACCCTCAAACTGCAGCGCCCGCGCTTGGCAAACACCCCTGTTCGCAAAACATACTTTTTGGGTAACTCTCACCTGGCGCCGATCACATTACCCGTCCTTCCTCCCACCAACATTCTCGATGTCTTCCTCTGGCATCCCTCGTCCACCTCCCCCTCCACGGCGAACGAGCGCACCGCCCGTCGTCGACAATCGCCCAGCGCCACCGTCGCCGCCCTCTGTCGCCGCCTCCGGGCCGCCCGAGGCCCTGCTCCTCGAACTGCTCGTCGCCAACGGCCACCCCTTCAAGGACCACTGGTCCTACTTCCTCCGCTCGCGGGAGCACCCGGACGTTGGCGTTGTCGTGCACGCGACCGGCGACGTGGCCAACGGCTTCCGCCTTGAGGCTAAGCGCTGCTTCAACCTGGGCGAGCCCGAGAACCAGCCCACCAAGCGCATCCCGCTGCAGTGGCTGGAAGGGAGGTTCTTCGACGAGCAGGGAATGATGAGCGGAGGCGTGTCCAAGTTTGATGAGGCTCCGGTCGGCGCGTGGGAGGAGAGCGTGCACAAGATCAGGGCCCCGGGGAAGACCCTGAACACCGTGGGGGACGGGGCGAGCAAGGGAAGAAAGGTGATGCAGAAGAACTGCCAGTGGTGGATTGTTCAATCTGCAGCTCAACTTGTTGCCGATGGCATGCTTTCGCCAGAGGTTGCAGCATATCTCCGGGTCACTGCGCAATAATGCCGCTGTCGTTGCCCTTCCTTCCCTCTCTCTTCCCTATCGCTTTTGCTTTTGATCGCTAGGCCGTTGCTGTATAATGTGACGAACGACTGAATCATATTCCTGGCGCGGCACAACAATGGGAAGCCGGTCAAGTCTATGACATTAATTCAGATTACTGACTTTGACCTTGCAGCTTCAGGCATGAGAAACTATACTGATCATCTTCACGTGGAAACAACCCGCGCTTGGAAGTGGTTGTCGACGATGTACACCTATTGTGTGAACATCTGGAGCTTTGGCGCCAGAATAGGTCTCCAGGGTAAGAGTTCTCAAAGACCCTTGACTACTCGGACTTTTCGTAGTTGGCGAATAAGATGCCAGAGCCAAGCCAGTTCGGTACCGGCGCCATTTTGTCACGCAGATAAAATGCGAATGTTGAAGTACCACTCACCCCGCGTATGCCGGAGTGTATGCAGCTTTCGATACTCTTTAAACAGACAGAACGTGGCTTGGCCGCCTCGTCTGCCGTGGCCTATCATATAGTATAGGTTGGTTTGCTGTGCCGAGGCAGCCCCACGGTGTATTTGTGTTATAAACTCCGGTCCGGGTACCAAGAAGTACGGATATTGCATCAATTAATTGTTATTATAAACAGGAATGATGATCAGCATATCTGCTTATAAAGACAGCATGATGCGGAGTTTTGGCCGTTCTTTGTACTTCACACGTACTCCGGAGTTCGCTCTCAAACCGGGGCTACCCACCTAGTTAGATGGGACTATATCACGGAGCTTACCCCGGTTACCGATAGAACCGGCCGTTTTCCATAGGCAGTCAGCACGCGACACTTTTGCTCCTGCAATCATTTTTTGTATTCATGCTCAATTTTCCAATCACCCAATCCGCATATACCAAGCTCCTCTAAAGTTTACAAACATGGCGTTTACGACACCACCACCAGCTGTCCAGGACACGGAGGTCACCTTTCCCCGGCCGCACGTCCTGCTGGTGACGCTCAACCGGCCCAAGGCCTTCAACGCCATGCCGCGCGCGCAGCACCCGCAGCTCGCCGCACTGTGGGACTGGTACGACGCGGAGCCATCCCTTCGATGCGCCGTGCTCACCGGCGCCGGACGCGCCTTTTGCGCCGGCGCGGACCTCCGCGAGTGGAACGACAAGGCCTCCGCCGGCGCGACGAGCTCCGCCGGCGACGAGCGCGACGCCTCCTGGGCGACCAGCGGCTTCGGCGGGCTGAGCAACCGCCGCGGCAAGAAGCCGGTCATCGCCGCGGTCAACGGCGCGTGCCTGGGCGGCGGCATGGAGATGGCGCTCAACGCGGACGTGGTGCTCGCGGCGGCGGGCGCGACGTTTGGCCTGCCCGAGGTCAAGGTGGGCGTGATCGCGGTGGCGGGCGCACTGCCGCGGCTGACGAGGATCGTGGGGAGGCAGCGCGCGGCGGAGATGGCGCTGCTGGGAAGGACGTACAAGGCGGGGGAGATGGCGGCCTGGGGCGTGGTGAATAAGGTGGTGGAGGAGGGCGGGAGTGTGGTGGAGGAGGCGCTGCGGTGGGCGGAGGAGGTGGCGGGCAACTCGCCGGACGCGGTCATCGTGACGAGGGCTGGGCTGCTGGGCGGTTGGGACCCGGTGGACCCGGTGAAGAGCACGGGGGAGATTTTCAAGGGGATTTACAAGTTGTTGGAGCAGGGCGAGAACCTGAAGGAGGGCGTTAAGAGCTTTGTGGAAAAGAAACGGCCGGTCTGGAAGGATAGCAAGCTGTAGACGTTGAGGTGTTTACATGCCGAGATCTCAGTCTACCATTAAGCATGCCTTTTCAGTATATGACATCTCTAAATATACTCTTCAGAAAGAAATTTCCCACTCATTTACACAGACAGATGTTAAGTTAGAGTGACATTTTGAATCAGTATGGTCATGCTTCTGGGAGAGACTGAGTTTCTCGAAAAGTAGCTGAAGTAGCTGAGTCTAAGAGAAAATTAATAGATGATTTTAAAACAATTTTTTAACAAATTCCAGATTTCTTCCTATACAGCTGACTTCTTGTACCTTGCTCAACATGTCGTCAGCAGTCGCCCATAATTTGATGATAAAGTAGCGGACAGTAGCTCTGATAGGAAGAATGTGCAAGTAATCTGATTTAATGATTTGATTTTGTTTGGTCAAAGTAACCAAATTATTCCTAAATTTGTAGCCGAATCTGAATGTGTATCATGCCTTCAACCGGGCAGTTCAATTCAACGGGACGAAGCTCATGTGGGTCGCCAACGTCACCAAAATCTGCCTCTTCCCAAACCCCCTAGAAGCTCTTTCTCCTTTAACCGCACAATCACACCGACGATGCCCGTACCCACGATATTCTACCTCTTCGAACATGGCCCGCCGCAATGGCTTCGAGACCGGGCCGTGCCCATCACCATCGCCATCGCCGTGCTGACTCTGCTTTACCTCGTCAAACGCTACACCTCCGGCGCCACCTACGAAACCAACAAGCCGATGCACGGCAAGGTCGTCATGATGACGGGCGCGACATCGGGCGTCGGCGCCGAGGTAGCCTTTGACCTCGCGCAGCGCGGCGCCCAGCTCGTCCTGCTCACGCACGCGCCCACGTCCGACCCCTTCCTCGCCGACTACGTCCAGGAGCTTCGCGACCGCACCTCGAACCAGCTCATTTACGCCGAGCACGTCGACCTTGCGAGCCTCCACAGCGTCCGCAAGTTTGCCACCGCGTGGATTGACAACGCGCCCCCGCGGCGCCTCGACATGGTCATCCTGTGCGCCTCGACTATGACGCCGCCCGGTGGCGCCCGGCGCGAGGTCCCCGGCGGCGGCGTCGAGGAGACGTGGATGGTCAACTACCTGGCCAACTTCCACCTGTTGGGGATACTTAGCCCCGCAATCCGCGCGCAGCCGTTCGACCGCGAGGTCCGCGTCGTCATCGCCACCTGCTCGTCGTACATTGGCGCGCCGTCGTTGCGCGGCGAGATGACGGCCGAGACGTGGACGCCGTCGCGCGCCTACGGGCGCAGCAAGCTCGCGCTCACCGTCTTCGGCCTCGCGTACCAGAAGCACCTCGACGCCTACAAGCGCCCGGACGAGATGCCCATGACGGCGCGCGTCGTCTTCGCCGATCCGGGCCTGTGCCGCACGCCCGGCACGCTGCGGTGGCTGAGCCGCGGGACCATCACCGGGCTGGCGCTCTACGCGCTGGGGTACCTTGTCCCGTGGCTGCTGCTCAAGTCGGCGCGGGGCGGCGCTCAGTCGATCCTCTACGCGGCGATGGAGTCGGGCCTGACGCGCAAGACGGGCGGCCGCCTGATCAAGGAGTGCCACGAGGTGGACTTTGCGCGCGCCGAGGTCCGGGACGAGGAGGTGGCCAAGAAGCTGTGGGAGGAGAGCGACGCGCTGGTGGAGAGGACGGAGAAGAGGCACGCGAAGCTGCGGGCGCAGGAGAAGGCGGGCGAGGTGAGGAAGGAGGACAAGAAGAAGGAGGACGAGCAGGTCAAGGAGATTGAGAGCCTCATGGCGGCTGTAAAGAAGGGTAAGCAACAACAACAGCAAAAGGAAAATGAAAAGGGCAAGGGAACGGGAACGGGAACGGGAACGGGAAAGGGAACGGGAAGGGAAGGAGAAAAGGACAAGGAAAAGAAGGGTGGCAAGGCAAGGAAACGGGTCAAATAGAGACTCTATCACGACTGTATGATTAGACTACTGGCATGGGCGGCGTTTGTGCTCAACTAAAACTAGAATTGATTTATTGGGAGGCCCACAAACATGTCTCTGAGGAATATCTCGTAGAAACCATTCACTGATACGCCTGATGCCGTCATACCCGTAGCACTGCCTCATTAAATCCAGTCTTCAGCAGGTGCCCGCCGTGTTCTACGCCATCAATGCCTTGAGCGCGCTGCATCAGTCGGTGGGCGAGGGCGAGGGCGAGGGCGGGCAGATGTCGCTGGTGAATCACCGGCTGCAGTTTGCCATTGATCAGTATTGCAAAAGGTGAGGCCTTCATGCGTCCCGATTCGGAAGGTCCGCTAACATGCCATACAGTATGAAGCACATGAGGGAGTTTATCGGGGCAATGTCCAGCGACAAGGACTCGGACTCGCAGGCTGAGATTTGTGTAAGCGCGAGGTCCTCTCCGAATTGAAGCATATCTGACTCGGGTAGCTCATGGTTTGTCTGTTGTTCATCTCCATCGAAATCCTGCAGCTCGCAAGACCGGTCAAGCGGTTATATACATTATGGTGCGGGACGGGTGGCCACAGTCGAGGGAGATGACGCTGGAGGCCGTGCCGTTTAAGGTGGATGCACCGGCGTCGTTGGTTGGCAGTGAAGAGAGTTGAGGTTGAACACAAGACAACTTTGGATGCTAGTAGTGGTCGGCATTTTGGATAAGATACACGATCAAGAATACCCTTTATTTCAACGTAAGATTTGCGCAATACTACAATTTGTATAGTGTATAGAAAGAGGCTATCGGTTTATGGAAATGAAGTGATAAAGCGTCAAGCGCGTAATCGACTCGAGGGCTACTCGTCACCGGGTTCACGGCTGATACGTCGCCCCGTCCTCCGGCATGATGCCATCCACCAAGAACACATCGATGGCTTTACTCGTATCACCACCATTCATGTACCTCGTATGCCCGTCCCCAAGCCTCGTCACCAGCACCGACCGCGGCGGCTGCGCCTGCACCCCGGCCGCCAACTCCAGCGAGCACTCCGGGTCGTACATTGAATCCACCAGCAATATCGGGGCTACTTCGTCTCTTCCCACGCTCGTCGCACGCGGCAGATTGGGGATCCGGCCCGGCCAGCCCAGGCACATGCTCGACCACACCCACATCTCGCCTCCGCCGCGCGACAGCGGCGCGACCGCCTCGAGCATACGCTGCTTGTGCTGCAGCGCGTCGACGTCGGTCGAGTTGTGCTAGAAGTCGAGGCATCCGACCGTCAGGAAGCTCTAGACGCTCGACGCTTCCGCGGCCGAGAGCCCCTCCCGGATGCGGCCCTTGGCAAATGCCGTCGCGTCCCCGGCGTCCATCGCCCGCCGAAGAGCCTGGCCGAGCTTCGTCCACGAAGGGAGGTGCGCGGCGACGGACGGCTGCGCGTCCATGAAGACGAGCATGTTCTGGACGCTGTTCCGAAAATCCTCGCCCGTGACGTTGGCGAAGCACGTCCCCGTCGTCGCAGCCCTTCGCAAGGAGCTTATGCTCGTCCGCTCTCGCCGCCAGCTCTTCATAAATCCGCTGCACGTCCCGCCCGGGCAGCGCGCACGTGTCGTTGCTGCCGCACAATGCAAAGAAGCGCCGCAGGTCCGCGTCGTAGGTGACGGACATGCTGACGAGCGCCGCGGCCTCGGGCTGGGGTGGTCGACCACGCCGTCGAGGACGACGCGGCCAACGCGCCGCGGGAAGAGCTCCGCGTAGCGCGCGCCCAGCTCGGAGCCGTACGAGTACCCGCGCCGGGACTTGCTGAGCAGGGTGGCGACGGTGGCGGCGTCTTGTGGGAAGAGCGACGCGCTCGTTGTAGATGCTACAGTCGCAGAGGATGGGTGTGCTGGCACCGATGCCGCGCGGATCAGGGCCAACTGCGTATGTTAGAATCAGAGGTGAGAGGGGGGATGGGGGAAAACGTACTGATGTCGTAGTGCTAGCGCAGCTTGGAGGAGGACCAGGTGGTGGGCGGAGAGGAGACGGCCATTTTCATCCAGCTCATGGCGCGGCTGCCGGGGACGCCAGGGTTGAAGACGAGGCTGCCGAGTTTGCGCGCAGGGTCACGAGCGGGAAGCCGGGCCATGGCGAGGGAGTTGGTGGTGCCGTTGGGTCGGGACCAGTCGAGCTGCACGGAGAGGCGGGCGCACTGGATGGTGGCGCCGGGCGCGACGTCGAGGTCGTAGCCATCGCGGCAGTCACCCCAGACAAGAGAGCTCGAGGTGTCAGCCATGACGGAAGCAGAGGCTTTTGTAGAGATGGATGCCTCGACGACTGTGGGTGGACTGGGATTGGGAACGGCGACTGCAGAGGCCGTCGAGAGTAGGGCCAAGAGGAGAAGGTTGGGAATGGAGGGTTACCTCGTAGTGATGAGCAAGAGAGGATGTAAACAAGTAATGGAGTCTGTAGAAACGATTTAATTGAGTGAGTCGTGGTGAGCAAGAGGTTGAACTATTCAGCTTACGTATACATACCGAGGGTGTTGGCAGAACTCCAACCTCCAGGATGGCTTCGTCGTGCGGGACCCGTGTCGCACGGTTATTCGGTCGATACTTCCAAAATCTGCCCACTATTCGAGTTCAAGTAGATGCTAGTGTGGCTTTGCTCGTTCAAATGAGCCGACAATGGCAGATTGCGCCGAGAATGTCGTGTGCTCACAGCCCCAGCTGATGAAGTTGCCCATGCCCGGAGATGATTGGTACATATTAGCGAGAGACAGCGAACTAACTGTATTGTGGATCTGAGATCTGATCTTCCATACGAGCACAGCCCTTTCTTGAGGCAATGCAATTGGGATGTGCTTCCTTTTCCTCTTTTGGCATGGGCCCTGAAGGTAGGCCGGACGGTACATTTATGCAGCCATGATGCAGTGAGGAAGAAGTATCGATTCCTGTTTCTTTTTTCCATTCATCTTCGAGGTACATGGATATGGATATGATTTAATTTCTTCATTTCTTCATTTTTGTTGTTGTTTGCATCTTTAGCCGGGCAGCACCCGGCAAGGTAGTTTCGACTCGGCAACCGCACCAAACCACCACATTGGGCAACCGCGTCTAAGTCGCCAACATGAACCTTTCCGAGTCAATTCGTTCTCTTCCCCTGAATCCAGAAATGACATCATTTATTTTTCCATTTGATCACCTGCATCATCATTGTTCCTCGCCCTCTCAGAAACATTGCCTCTCTGTTCCAGCACTGTTGTCAACACTTCCCGCTGATCGATCCAACCACCATCCAACATGAGCGGCAAGTGGGAAAATGGCCTCTTCGAGATGGACTGCGGGAACTGCCTATGTGAACATAGTACCTGAAACAGAATCCGACACTATTCTACTTCTTGTACTGACTACCTCTAGATGGCAGCGACGTTTTGCCCATGCTTCAGCTTTGGCCGCGGCGCCGAGCGCATGAGGATGTTCCCCGACACGGACGAGACCAAGCTGAAGAATCTCAATAGTCTGTGTCTCTCCCACTTCTTGGCCGGGTGCTGTGGCATTTCCTTTGTCATCGTTATGCTCCAGCGTAGCCACCTCCGCCGACAGTTCGACATTGAAGGGGACGTCTTTAGGGACTGCTTAGTAGGTTTCGCCCTACCCATCTTGTCCAGTCTTGCTGCTCATTGACCGGTGCTCTAGGTGGCGTTTTGCTGCCCATGCTGTTCCACGTCGCAGTTGAACCTGGAAATGAAGAAACGCGCAATCAAGAAACAGAGTGCCGCCATCAAGGCGGGCTACATGGCGACTCCCGCCATGGAACACGGCCTGGACGACCACCCTCTGCCAACTACGAATGTACAGCCTCCCAAGAAGTCACACGCTCCCAACTCTTGAGCCTATTGATACCTGGTTGGATCTGAATACTTTCCTGGGCCAATGGCCTGAATTTTTATTTCTTTTCGGCAGTTTTAAACTTCAACATAGAGTAATTGTATTCTAATTATTGTCACCGTCATGCGTGAGAAATCATGCCGTGCTTGACAAGATCACTCGGTAGATAGACTCCATGTCGCCGTAGCCGCGACATGAGCCAAGCAAAAATACTGGCTATTTGCTCGCGGGTACATCATTGTTGATGATGCAAGCCAGTGCGCCAGAGCAATCACAAATATCGCGCCTGAAGTGTTCGACCTTTGGGATCAAAAATACCCGGGAGCTTGACAGCGTAATTGCCTCTATGAATATATCTCTGTGGGAAACCACGGGTTGAGAACAAGCAGTAACAACTGCAATTTGTACATGTTCATGATCAATACATAGAGTCGCCCCGGAGTTGGTGGCAGGGAGGGAGGCAAGTCGCGTTAGGATGATCTATCCGCGGGCCAGCCTCGAGATCTTATGCTACATACCGACCCCACATTTACGAATCACAACAACACCAAGTTGGTTCCAACCATCCATCCAGTATTCCATCATCCCATCATCCTCGACCCAGATTGCATGACAGGAACGATGCAACGGATTTCAATCTCACCACCGATGGCATCCGCAGTCCTGAAACCAGCCCGCCAGCCGCTTTGCGTACGAATCCAACATTACTGAGGGAAGACTTCGCAAGGGGCAAACGCCCGTTCGTCCCTTCGCTAGCCGCAGACTAACTAACTAGTTAGACATGCATGTCAAACTCGAATTGTCGACCAGGGGTATCCGGGCGGGATATATTAAGATGAGACCATGTCCATGGCAGCCACTGTCATTCGACGCTACCAGCACCTTTTGCCCCTGACCAGAATGTGGCTTCGAAAACGACTCTATTCCGCCTCTCCACTCTTGCCAAGGAAGGCTTAGGAAAACGCGCCGTTTTAAGCCGCAAATTTCGCAAATAGAAAAAGACATTGCCGATGCTTCGAGGCAGAATGAACCACTTCGACCTCTGCAGTCCTCGTGGCATTCGTGCTGCGCAAGTTGCCATAGGCACTCATTCGCCTGCCTGCTGAGCAACATGGGACGAGCAAGTTGTGAATGGTGACAAAACTGCCCCCGCACTCGGGACGGTCCAGACCCTGAGAAATCAGCAACAGCCCACTTTGTGATTAGCGGTGTATAACCTGGATCGTCAACGGCGAACGACAGCACCGCCAACGGGGCTGTACAGGCCGATCAGGTTGTGTGACGACATATAATAATGGCCCTTCGTCCGCACTAGCATCGTCGGCGGAGATGGTCGTCCTCCAGCCGCAAACCCAAGCGAAGCCATCATCATGGCGGTCGACTCCGAGTTGAGGCCCACGAGCGCGCCAGTCGCGCACAAGCTACAGCAGCTGAATGGAGGCATCAAAGTAGATCCAGTCCAAAATGGTGCGCACAAACCCGATGTGGTATCATCGGCTGTAAGCGGTGGTTATGCGGACATTGACGGAATCGCGGACAAGTTTCGTCAGCATCTCACCATTCCTATTATTGACAAATCTACGGGAGACTCATCGTGGACTGTTCTTATTCCCGGAAGCTTCATCACTGAAAAGGGTACTTCCGTCGACTCCATCAACGACTGTGTCTCAGCGAAACCAGATTGGCGTGCCGGTGACGTCGTCGTCGACGGCATCACTGTGAGAGCCGTAGTCGGCTCGCGCGGCCTCCTGCTCTCCGCTCAGCAATCCGAAAAGTCGCACCAAAGCACCTCGGTACATCTCGACGAGAGCGGCTCTTCCGCCAACGTTTCTCTCAAGGTCCAGCCCGATGGCACGCTCGAGGTGCACAAGACGTGCTCGCATGATGGCATCGACGAGAACGGGCGACCCTGGTTGGAACGCCAGAACCGGTTCCTCGAGACGAGCGTCGCCGTTCGCGAGACGGACATCTTTGTCCGGCCCCTCCGTTTTACCGCCAGTGACGAAACCTTTTCCATCGACTTTCCCTACCTACCTAGCCAAACGCTAGCGCAGCTCGCCATGGCTGGTATGGGCGGCGACCTGCTGCTGGACACGACGAGTGCGCTATTGGGTGAGATGGCGCAAAAGGTCTGGCCGAAAACTGCAACAGAAGCACCCGCAGATTTCATCGAAAAGGCGCACTTTGATCGCATCGACAGGCGCGTCGCCATTGCCCGCGCGGCCGTGCCGGAGCTCGGCGCCATCGTTGACAGCTCCGAGGTCATCCTCAACGGCCGCACGCTGCTCGGCTTCCACGCCGTCACGGAGCAGCTGCGTCAGCATCCGGCCTTGCGTCGTATCGCACCGACGCTTATTGGCGAGATTCACGGTGACCTTAACCTGCACAACATCCTGTGCTGCGTCGGGCCGGCTGCGCGTCGGCCTGTGGCGCTGATTGACCCACGCGGTGTCCACCTGCTCAGCGACTTTGCCCATACTCGCGACTTTGAGCCCGGTGACTACGCCTACGAGCTTTCGAAGCTCAAATTTTCACTCTCGGCCTTTTCTGAGATCCGCCACGGCTACTTGACGCTGGAGGGCGCCGGTACCGAGTTTTGGATCCGCTTCAGGCACCACGCCGGCTCAGAGACGATGCGTCAGGCTGACGCAGGCTTCTTTGACGCGCTCGCGGCCAACGCCGCGTTCATGAGCTGGGTCAAGGAGGTCGAGCCCGCTGGGTTCGACGCCCTCCGGATGCGCGTGCTGCTCGGTGAGGCGGCAAACTTTGTCGCTGACGCGGCGTGCGCGCTCGGCCGGGACACAGTGCACGAGGTGGTGCCACTCTTCTTGATTGGTCTCGACAAGCTCAACAGCGTGCTGGCCACGCTCAACGATAATATACCGGAGCACAAGCTGGACGACTGGTTTGCGCGTAGCGGCGAGCAGGACACGACGGCGGGCATCCAAGCCGTGCAGCAGTCGCTGCTCAAGAGTCGGACGGCGGCGCCGCTGTGGGATGTGCTCGAGATTTCGGTGCCGGCCGGCTTAGTACTGACTGCAAAATGTCTGCTCGAAAATTTACGGGGAAGGTGCTTCCCGCGGAGCACGGTCATCTACCGCTCCTCCACACCGGGATCCGAAATTGCTTTCCCTTGTGTTCTACTCCACGATCTCGAAGAAAATCAAAGTGCGACCTGCGCATTACTATCTAAGGTGAAGCAGTCGAATACTTTCTTTGAAGCTTCTGGCGTCTCGAATAGCACAAGAGATGCGCTGCGAATCATATCTGTACAGGCGACCAGTGATGTCTCTTCCTCATTTGGGCGGCAGGGCAATAAGCTCTTGGCACCGGGACCCTGGGGTGCCTCACCTCTCGAACTGATTCTCTTGACGGCCCAACAGCTTCGTTTCGCCAAAGGTGGACGATGGGTGCTGGATGATTCGTCCTTCTCCGTCTTTAGCAGAGGGCTGAAGGCGCCTTCGGGTGACGTCTGTGTGCTTATCCGCTCGATTGCCACGGACCAGATCTTGTCACCGCTTGACAGGGTGTTTCAAGATGTCGTGTACAAGAGCCGACCGGACGAGCCGAGAGCTGTGCTGTCCGGACCGGTGTTCCTCTCGACGGAAGTGGCCATAGCCTTGGCCAGCGCAGTTGCGAAGGTTGTACAAGCTAGAGGAAGCTTGTTGTCGGACATTCTATTGGCGCCCAAGATGGACAAGAGCACGTGGATGAAGCTGTATCGCGCCACCAGTCGGGCTGACGCGGAAGAGGCGTGGGACGCGGCGCAGAAACTGTCGGCCGCCGTTCCAGCCGGAGTTGAGCCTGAGTTTCTGTCAAGCGGGGATGATGAGTCGTCGGTCTATAAATTCGGCTCCCTGGAAGAGTATAGGTCCCTGGTGGAGAGGGCAAAGAGCGATCCTGACATGAACAGCCTGGCGTTCCTGGCTGCTACGCTAGCTTGGCGGGAGCAGTGGACGATTGGCGAATAAGTGGCGTCAATAACATGGAAAAGTAGCTGCGGAACAACTAGAAACGCCAAAGCTCCTTGTGCAGGTTGATGCTTGTGCGCCAGCCAGGGCCAAGAACGGAGGTCGATGGATGGAGCGGCCAAGCCGAGTAATGATAATCCGTCAGTCTATTATGTTCACCATGCTTGAAAGCAAGCGGAAACCAGAATTCGACAAGAAATCATATCTTGAGAACCCCCCCAAAAAATAACAAGTCCCTTGTTTTCGATGAATTTTAACAGTGGCACCTACCGATTTAGCTGCAGACGCTTGCAAAACTCAGCCCAGCCAGGCAGGGGCGAAGCTTCATCACATGCAAACCGAAGGCACTTTGTCAATTACATGTAGCTTTTACAGCCAAGCTCAAGCTATGCCATGTTCAGTCTTGCTGCGGTGTGGCGGAATGAGCATGGTTGTGGTCGACGTCTGGCCAATCTTGGCGCATGAGGCTTCTTCCCCCGCGTGGAAAGCAGATACCCGACCTACCCCGATAACATAGCCACGATTGTAACTAGAACTGCAGGGATTAGAAAGTCAATTTCCGCCCGCGGCCGTCCCGCTTGATACGGCTAGTCCTTCCGTCCAATATAATAATGGAAGAGCTAAAAAACACCTGGTGGCAAACTGGCTTGAGCTTTCATACCCCGGCGTGGGGTCTGCCTTGTTACCCCAGTTTTAGCTCCGGGTTTGTATCTGCCGAGGACTTTCCAAGTTCTGTAGTAATAAGTCTGCGATGAACGAGCAGAGGTAAGCTCTCTCCTTTCTTTTGAATGTTATTCGTGGCGTCTTGGGCTGAGGTTCCGGTGCAAAGGCCAACTAGTTATAGCACAAAAGTTCTTGAGGAGGTATAGTTAAAAGGAGGAGCCCTATAGTTGCAGGATTTCGCAACGACTTGAGGGAGGTTACTGCAAAGGAGAGAGGATTCAGCAGTGGCGTGAAACTATTGGAAAACAGATGACCTGTTGCGCAAAGCCGCCGGCGATAATGCAGAGTTAGTTCGACGTCGAGCGGCAGCCGACCCGAGCCATCCGAGCGCCGGTCTCTTCTCCTGTGTAGACTACCACATTTTATTATGTGTACCTATATACCTTCTTGTCTTTACAATCATCACGATTAAAGCGATGCAACCCCCCTGCGTTGATCCTCTCTTGACCCTCTCTCCGCACTTTCCCCTGCAAAGCCCTTCTCCAGGTTCGTCCTCTTGTCGTGTGTGCCCGCCAAACGTTTACGAAAGAAGGAAAAGAAAATATTCCCGTCATTTACACAGCGACTGCGGCATCAAGATGACCAGCTACAAAGTCACCAGCACGGAGCTCATCAAGGACGCGCTGAACCGCGCCGCCGTCTGGATCCTCATCCTCGCCTCCGTCATCACCGGCGCGACCAGCCACCAGCCCAAAGCCTTTACGATGCTCTACATTTTTGTACGAACCAACAAGCCGCACCGATCACCCTCAAAGACTTGTTATCAGACTTCATATACTAACACCGTGTCTGGTAGGGCGCGCTCGCTCTCGCGCTCTCTGGGGGCATGCTCCTGCACGTCGCCCTCCGCATCGCCACCAAGAAGCGCCCCGAGACCAACATGCGCAGGGCCGTCTTCAAGCTTCCCCTCGAGCTCGTGCTGCTCGCGCTGCTCATCCTATGCACCTACTTTGGCTTCTCCGTCAGGGGCTCCCGCGGCGCCGACGGGCTCGTGGACGGGGACACCTCCAGCCGCCGCGTCGCCTGCGGTTTCCTCGGCCTCGTGGCCGCGTACGTCATTCCCCTACATTCTCCTGATAATCTTATACTAATCTTGCTTTTCCTTTTCAGTGGTGCTCAGCTTGTTCATGCCCCAGCCGCCATGGTCAACCGCCTCAAGGCCAAGTACGCCGAGGAGGACAGCCGCGAGAAGCAGAATGCCGATGCGGCGGCCAGCGCTGCTTAGAGCAAAGCCGTACGAGATTGCTGCCTTGTCGGGGGGGGGGGGGGTTGCGGAGGCGAATATACCACTGTGTGAACAAAACTGTGTTGGTGTTGATGGGAGGAACGGGCAACGGGGAAGATGCGCGGGCGGTAGTCGTAATGAGATACGGAATGGAGATCTTTTTACTCCATGGAAATCGGTAAAGTTCAATGATGACTTGTCGCTTTACAGGGCGTATCATTGCAGTCCAAAAATTACATCCTGACGTTCTACACTCGGCGAGCTGCCACGCCAGCGTGTAAGCAACCAAAAGTGAGTAAAACACCATATCCGCGTGCCCGCGCCGGCTACCTCTCGACCGCGTACACCCCCAGTATCTCGAACCAATCGACCCCCAGCTCTACCAGCGTATCTACCAGTCCATCCCGGCGCCTCTTGATCTGATGCACCAGCTCTGCCACCACACCTTCCTCCTCGGAACATTCGATGCTCCAGCTCGTCACGCCGTCGCTCATCTGCCACGCGAACGTCAGCGCCGGCTTGTCGGCGCCCGCAACCTCCCAGTGCCTGCCGCCGCCGCCCTCACTCCGCCACCCCCCCGGAGGGTCGAGCACGAGGTAGACGGTCCGCAGGTCCTGGCACAGCTCCACCAGCGCGCCGTAGTCCGGCGCCGCCACCACGTCGCCCGCGCCCGCCCCCGGGGCGGCGGCGGTGGACGTGACGGCGAGGCGCGACACGGCCGGCCATGGACAGTCGACGTCGCGGCCGGTAAGGTCCGGCTCGAACAGCCGGTCGAGGCTCTCGCTCAGCAGGGCTCGCTCAGCTTCTGCCCTCGGCAGGAGAAGGACATCGCGGGATGGGTCGAACCGCCGCGCGAAGCGGCACGAGGCGTCATCGTCGTCGTCGTCGTGGCTGGACCGACGGCGAAGGTTCTGGGAGGCGATGTACGGCCAGGCGACGCTGCGAGCCTCCTGGTTCACGGAGTACAGGGGCACGTGGAAGAAGACCTCGTCCAGGAGCTCATGGCGAAACTCCAGGGTCAGGTTGAGCTCGTCGCGGACCGGGTCGAAGTGCGGGTCGGCGGGGGTGAGTCGCCGGGGCTGCCAACAGCCGCTCTTGAATGGGAACAGGACGGGGCCGGGCGGCTCGGGCTCGAGAGCGATGCGCCATATCTGCAGCCGAATCTCGGTCGGGAGCCTGGGGAAGAGTGTGAAGAGGGGGGTTGCCATGAAGGGGAAAGAGGGCGGTGTGCTTGAATGACAGATACTTGGGGATGAAGGTCAGGGCCCCCCAACGTAGTGTTGTTTGCCTATGTAGATACCTTACGTATGTATGTATCTGTACGGAAGTAGTTAATGGAAGTGCAAGCGACGTGTAACATAAGCGGCCCCGGAGCATGTAATGATCCTTGATTGGGCGACTGCTGGTAAAACGGTGGCACTGCTACCTACCCTGTAAATCCCTCCAAACCATAAAAGATCGTTATGTTTTATTTTATGATAATTGTTCGGGACTTCTGATTCCCGAGACAGATAACTGGTAACTACCCGAACTCATCAGGCAGTGGCTGCACTGATATGTTGTATTGATTGTGAGTGACAAGGTTGCGAGTCCTGAGATGAACAGTCACATCGCAGCTGCAGCCTCGCCAACCGTTATATACTGTATAGCCCTTTTTGTGCTTGATAGTCGCTTTGTGGATGAATTATCCGAGACCACTCTGCAGAAAGTATCAGCAGTGTGCCCCGGGATTGTTCCGTTGACGAAATGGAGAGGTATGCAGCAAAGGCGTTTGAGTAGTGGCCAACGTATAGCAGACATAAGACACCTTCCCTATACAATAAATCTTACCGCGAGAGCCCAAACCTGCAGATACTACAGTGTATTGTGAAAGGGAGTGATTTGCCAAATGGTTGAGGGCTGGCGATTACCCGTGAAGCAACATGCATGAGATATTCAACCGACACATCCCCCCCCCCCAAGTATCCTGTCCGTCGCCCGCCTCCTCTAATCGCAACTCTACGGTCAAGCTATCAACACTTCTCTCTCATACAGACTCGAGTATAAAGGCTTATCAGCTGTCTCATTCCAATTTCTGCACCGTAGATTTCCTCACCATCAAGGAAAAATAGCAACTAACCCACAAGAACACCACGCAACACCACACACCGTCCCTTTCATAAGAGAAAATCATCATGATGAAGCTTCTTTCCACTGCCATCCTCCTCCTCGCCGCCGAGGCGCTCGCCTCCAAGGTCAACTGCTCCACCAAGTACACCACCGGCGGCTTCGAAAACAAGGCCGGCGGCACGATCCCCGACACGGCGGACGAGCAGCTCATGGCAGGCATGGGAAAGAGGTCCGACAATAAGTTCAAGGCCGCTCGCAGCTCCAAAGCCCCCAGCATCATACTCGTTTCCAGGACTGGGCCTGTCCTTACCAAGGGCCAGGCCACCGACACCGACAAGGAGGCCCAGCGGAGTGTCCAACAGAATATCAAGCAATGAGCTTTAGGAGTTGCGAGGCTTTGGCTGTCACTCGTTCTCGGGGATAAATAATGCATCTGATATACAACGACTTTTAGTGTTCCTAAATTGCCCAGCCATCAACGGCATGCTCACGCTTCAATTCATCTCAATGGCGTAGCTACAGGTTAGCAGACACAGTGTAAATCCACAGTGTGAGATCAAGCTGCGCCAGATGACAAGTAGTTTCAGCTCAGCGTCGCTTAACTCGTATCCCTCGCCAAACTCTTCCAATCTTCTCATCATCCAACAATTCATCTCACGTTCCCAATGTTACAGTATCTCCCCGACCTCAGCCGGCCGCAGCACCGCACCGCCGCCGTCGCCGCCGCCGCGCTGCTCCCCGTCGTGCTGCCCACCCTGTACGTCGCCTACCTCAACTGGGCCGTGCGGCGCGTCACCACCTGCACCGCCACCCCCCCTCCGCGCACCCCCTCCAGCCTGCCCAAGGAGGTCGCCGCGAACCCGGACGACTGGGTCGTCTCCTGCGAGCGCGTCGTCTCGCAGCCCCTCCCCGCCGGCACCCTCCTCCTCCCCCTCCGCACCTCCTCCGCCTCCTCCTCGACGCCGTCGCCGCTGCTCACCGCGTACCTGCGCACCACGTACCGCGCGTTCAGCTGGACGCCGCAGGCGCTGCTGATCCGGGCCATGCTCGCGGAGCCGGAGCGCAGGGCGAGCTTCGCTGGGGGCTACATCGCGGGGCTGAGCTTTGCGCGCGGCGACGTGGTGGACGGCGTGTACCGCGTCACGAGCTACGAGGGCTGCCGTGGCGGTGGTGCGTCGGGGGAGGTGATTGAGCTGAGCATCGACGTGCCGCGGTCGTACCGGGGCCCGCCGGTGCGGGGGCTGATCTTGTCGGCGGTGGAGGAGGAGGAGGAGGAGGAGGGGGACGGCGCGACGGTGCGGTTCGTGAATGAGACGTGGCTGTGGCGCAAGAGGGATGAGAAGCCGACGCTGCTGGAGACGCCCTTTGGGAGGTGGTTTCATGGCTTGCTGGCGGGATGGCTGGTGATGAAGGGGTTGGGCGGCGTGACTCGCAAGTAATCAGTGTATGTGGTGCGGCATTGTCATTGCAATCTCTACTCAGGTAATACATGAAAATCAAATTCGCTTTCTATTAATATGTTGTCTCGTCTGAAAACATCCAAGAGTGAACCTACAAATCATCGTCACAGGGCCTACAGGAGAGCAACAGCGCACAAAGCCGCAGCTACGGCGGAGAGGCCGCTCACAGAAATTGCCGTGCCCGCGCTCTTGGGCTTGCTCGTTTGGCTTGGATTGGCGCTGCCAGAAGCGCTATCAGATCCCGATCCCGAGCCCGGCGGGGAGCCCGATCCGCTCCCCGAGTCGCTGAACTTACCCGCAGCCGTGATGGTGTAAACGGTGCCATCACCGCCGTTGGTATAAGTGAAGACGCGACCCGAAGCCGGCGCCGTAACCGTACCCGGTACGTTGCTGATGGTGGCTGTGCCGGTTGTGAGCTGGTCATCGGGCTTGAGGTACGTGCTGACGCCGTCAAGTTTGAAGCCGAGGTCCTTGGCACAGTCGTAGGTGTTGAGATATTTGCCGCAGCTGGAGAACTGGGTGTTGGCTGCGGTTTGCAGCTGGCCGATGTTGTTGAGACCGAGGAGCTTGGGGTCTGTGTTTGGGCAGATTTCGAAGAAGCTACAAAGATATCATGTCAGCGGACTCCTGAAATTCTCTTTCTTTCTCCCTCTTCTGGACATTGTGTCTGTTTCTCCCCCCCTTTTGTATATATCCCGTGCTTCGAGTTGGTATGACATACCTGGACATCGCTCCGCTGATCTGGCAGCAGTTGCAACCCTGCATGACCTGCAGATTGGCACCGGCATCGCCCGAGTTTTGATTGTGCACGCACTGCGCAGCCTGCTGGATGGCGCCGTTGTAAGCAAAGAAGATCTTGCCTAGGTTGCACGAGCACGCGGCCGGGGCATTGTTCGGCGCGGGAAAGTAGGGCACCGGCTGCTTGGCGATGGGACAGCCGCGAAAGTACTGGACTATGTACTCCTGGTACTGGCATCCCCAAACCTGGTTCCAGCAGGAGGCGGCGTAGCAGTTGAAGTTATCGACCGAGTCCTGGCATCCACAGGCGAGCAGCTCCTGCTGGCTGCCGTCCTTTTTCGCCTGTGCAATGCAAGCGCTCGTCTTCTTGTTGGCCGCGGCCTGGCACGACTCGAAGCTTGACGGGTCGATGCAGCCATTCTTGGTCAGGGTTACGTCGGCAGCGACGGTGGCCGCGCCGAAAGTGATGGCGAGAACGGTGTAGAGGGAGGTAGCGAGCATGGCGGGCAACGGCGACGGTCAGGCTGGTTGGAATTCGTGAAATGCACGGGGAGACAATTGAGCTACGAGGTAGGAGTAGCAAAACAGCGTCTACGTTTTCATAATAACGGTGAATTGGTCATTTTATCTGCCCGTCAAGGTAGCCCGTAGGAGAAGCTGCCGCGCGAGCCGGTTCCGCTGCAAAGTGCCTTGTCAGGCAAATTGAGCATTGAGCAGCGCCACTCGACGGGAATACTCGAAATACCGCTTTAGGTTATTGATTCGACCAATCTGATGCGATTCATAGGGCAGGAGCTGGGCTGAAGGACCCCAGAACAGCGAACAAGGGCGTGGGTGATGTGCCTGACCTGCGACGCCATGCTGGATTTGGTGGCAATGCGAATAGTGCTGCGGACTTTACCCAGTTTGCCATTCCCGGTGGGATGAAGCGGAATGGGTTCCGCAAACTGAATTACTGGCATTGACTATGGAATTGTGTAATAGTGAGAGCATTGATCAGATCTGATTGGGGTTGCGGCCACGTGGGGAGAGTTGTGCATTGTCGCTGTGTGGGTGAGCTCCATGTTTGAGAATGCTTGGAGATATGGTGCCAAGTTCGAGGCGTTCTGACAGGGCGATGAGAGCTAGCCGAGTACCGACTTGGCATGGGCGGCTCGTGAACGCATATCCTCTGATCCTCTGTCCAGATGCGGGTGCATTGATTGAGGGGCTTGCTAGATGGTGGCGATGCACTTTGCCGCAAGTATGCCTCGCCCATCAATCGTGGATATCATATGTATTGGTAGCGCAAACGAGGCAGCCACTAATACAATGCAATGCTGATGGATGATGGCGATGATAGCGATGATTGTTGTACTTGTGCTCGTCTCATTAACGCCGCTCCTCCTGCCAAATGAAAGGGCCGGGGCAAGTGACGAGTTGATGGTATAGGGTCATATGTAGGCCATGCAGATACTTTGTCTGACTCGATGCAGCGACTGAGTAGCAGCTTGTTGCTTCTTGGGCTGACTTGGCGAACTACTTGCAGCGCCATGTGGGGAGAATGAGTCGTGGATAGGCCGTCATTGGTGGTCGGGGAAGGCGAATGACGGTTGGCTGGAGGCTAAGAAGGAAGAAAGTTGCTGTTTTTGTCATTTCTTCGAGAGAAATGTGTGGCGGCAACTATCGTCACGATGATGATGGACGTGGCTGTGTTCGTTGGTCTTGCGGCGTGATGTACATACATAGGTAGTTAGGGTAATCATCCGCAGGCGAGGCGAAAAGGGCATACGTAGTCGTCACGTGGAGAGGAGGCTGCCAAGACCGCCGCTGACGGGTATCGGCACAGACGGGTGCTGCTGCGGCCAGGGAAATGTAGCTGGAAATCCACCCGGTTGAGGCTGGTGGTGCCAAAAATGCATGACAGCACAGTGTTGGAGGCTTTCCATTTCACCTCTTTCTTTTTCTCATATATTTTTTTTCATTAGCAAGGACCAGGCCAGGCCAATCAGAAGTGCGATGGGCAGTAAGATTGCTCGTTGGAGGATAGGCAATCGCGTGCGGCTAGCCCCCTTTGGGAGTGGCTCCTGTACGGTGACGAGGCCCTCTGGGCGGCATTGTACAAGCAACTTTGAACCGTTCATCAATGCATATTCGCCCTGGCAGATGCTGTAAAGTGTTGGAGGTACAAGGTTGCATCGCCAGGGGAGGCCTCGTCAGGCTCACACGACAGTGAACGGGTACGTAGCTCTTTTTTATAAATTTAGAATGCACAGCAGTCGTTCTGATGGTGGCTTGGCTTTATTTGAAGAAATCGATAAAACGCCGCATATTTCGATACCCTTTCTCAAAATCTATTTATTTTCTGTCATTTTCTCGGTCGATTTACCAAAAACCCCGGCCGCGTTTCCCTCCGCTCAGGGGCAACTCAATCCCTCATCAGTCCCGCTTTTACGACGAGATTTGCCTAGTGTGATTGGCTCAGATCGGCACACCCGAACCTCTCCCAATTGTTTTCTGCTGGGTCTCTTCCACTCTCTTGCTCTTGCTCTTCCCATTCTTCTGCTTCTTTTGTTGGCTCCTCCTCTTCTTCGTGCACTTGATCTCTTCCACGAAATTCCCTGTCTGCCACCAGTCTTCTAGAAACGACGCGCCTTTCCAGCATTTGAATCGTCTCACTTCGCGCTGTCGAATCCAAGCGCACCGAACCCGTCCTGCTAGCTCTTGCCAGGCGTCCGTCACTAATAAAACCGGCCCAGCTTAGCCCCAGGCAGTCCCTGAACTGGGCTCCTCACTGCTACGTTGGCTATATAACGTAAGGCTGCCGAAACGACGCCTTTTTCCCTCCCCCGATCTCCAGCCCCAGCAAACAAACCACCGTTCTCCCACACCACCACAGCCAACTCCTCATCCGCCTCTGCGTCGGCCTCGACTCTCTCGTGCACTGCTTCCCTCGACCGCTCAGCAGACCGAAATCTTCGACAACCCCCGCCGCGCGTCATGGCTTGGCTGTCCCGGATGTTGGGCACTGGTCCTCGGCAGCCTAGATACGAGGCTGTCCCCGATGAGGAGGCTGGTGATTCCTCGCCCTCAAGACCGTATCGTCGTCGTCGCTCCCGCACGCGACTCTTGCTCCCTCGACAACGCAAGGCGGCCGCTCTCCTCCTTTTTATCGATGTCCTCATCGTCGTTGCTCTCGTCGTCCTCCTTGAGCCCCTCATCACCCTTCTTCGCCGCAATGACGACCTCTTCACTCCGAGACTCAACCTCCATGGCGTAGCCGCTACCCCAGACACACCGGGTGTCAAACACAAGATTCCACGCATCCTTCACCAAACCACCCCCAACGATACCATTCCCGATAAATGGGTAGAGTCCCAGCGCAGCTGCAAGGAGGTGTACAAGGACTACGAATACAAGGTGAGAAATTACTCCTAGCCTTGCCACTGGCGACTTGCTTGAAATACTTTGAACCTAATCACTGATAAAATCACCCAGCTCTGGACCGACAAGGGTGCTGAGGATTTCCTTGCCAAGGAATACCCTTGGTTTGTTGAGTCGTGGAAGAACTACGCCTTTCCCATCCAACGCGCCGACGCCATCCGATATTTTGTCCTGCACCACTTTGGCGGAATCTACCTGGATATGGATACGCAGTGCAACCAGACGTTTCCCATGCAAGAGGTCGAAAATGACTCGTCCGATCACGTTGCCGTCTTTAAATCCACTGCACCCACCGGCGTTACCAATGACCTCATGATTGCCTCGGCGCGCCACCCAGCCTTTACCATGGCTGTCGCCCAGCTCCCTTACTACTACGCCTGGACGCGCTTCTGGGCTGAGTGCGGCCCTTACATTAGCATCATGCTCTCCTCAGGCCCTCTCTTCCTATCCCTCGTCGTCAAGGATTACCTCTTGCAGCAGACCGTTCTCCCCTCACCCACCGTCAAGGTCATCTCGCCCCCCGGTCTCGACGGCTACATTACCGACCTCGAGAGCAGTACCTGGCACCGCGCCGATGCCCAAGCCCTCATGTGGCTCGGAACCCGCCCTTGGACCTGGTTCACCATGGGTGCCATCGGCACCTTTTTCGGCCTTTGCATCGTCAACTACCTGCTGCTGGCGTTCTATGGCTTCTTTGCTCGCCGGGTGCTGAGCATTTCGGCCAGGCTAAAGGAGGCCAAGGTGGCATAAAAGACGATACGTCCACAAACGAGAAGAAAGAAGCGAAAAAAAATGCATCAACATCAAATGGGAATGGCGTTTACAAGCAATCAAGTGTATAACGGTCTACATATAATAATAATGTCGAGTAAATAGTTTCAGCGTAATTCAATCCATGACACGCCGCAAGGCGCATGAACAAACGTTCGACCGACCACGCACTGTCCTGAAAGCAACGCCTGTAGATCTTGCGAAGAACCGGTAACCAACATTCGCCTCGAACGCACAATCCTGTTACGCTTTGATGAAGCGGAAGCCCTCACCCGCACTCTCCTCCACCGTGCTGTTCACCAGCGAACCGTCGGCCGCCAGCACCACGTACCTGCCGTTGCTCGCCGCCTTGTTGGTGTACACGCCCGCCGCCGCGCCGGCCTTTTGTTGACGACGCCGCCCCAGCTGGTCTCGTACGCGGGCAGCGCCCCGGACGACGAGGGCTGAAACCAGTGCTCAAAGGAAGTGCGGAGGTAGCCGACTACCTTGTCGACGAGGTCGCGGCGGCCCATCTCATCGCTGTGTTCCATTGAGCTAGGGACTTGGGCGGGAGGGGAGCAGGACGTACGCGATGAGGGCGAGGCGCGCCTGAGCGGCCATGCTGCCGCCCCAGTAGTAAAAATCACGGGCGCGGCGGCGAGGTTGGGTTGGCTGATCTCGTACTCGAGGCCGGCGGGGACGGCGTCGGCGCACGAGCGGTCGAGCGGCCGCGGCGCGTTCCAGGTAATGTTGGACAGGGCATACTTCATGCGCCACTGGTTGCCCACGGCCGGGTACATCCAGCCCTGTTTTCGAGCCAAGCAAAAAGAATATCAGAATCCTATGCAATACATGGCTGATAGGATCAACGCACCTTGGTTGTCAGGTAGCCCAGCGCGCTGGTGGGCGGAAAGTCGGGATCCTGCATCGTCAGGCGATGGTGCGGCCAGGTGAGCATCAGCAGCTGCCGCGCGTCTCTGCCACTTGGTGTCCCAGTTGAAGAGTACGGCGCCGTCGGTGTCTCCGAAGGCGTAGTCGACGCCGACGGCAGTCGGATACGTCGCGTGATGCTGGTCGAGCAGCGCCTTGTGCCCCGGGTCGGCGAGCATCACCATCCGCAGCACGCCATTGAACGTGCTGCCAGCCCGGACCGTGCCCGCGTCTGCCGAGTCCGACCTTGCCGTGAGCGTGATTGGCGACAGCGCGTAGATGAGGTACACGGTACCCTTGGTGTCTGTGACGGTAAACGCCGTGCCGTTCGCGGTCGATATGTGGCCGCCGCGTACTCAAACGTCACGTACGGCGAGCCGGGCACCAGGTGCGCGTCCATGGCCGCGGCGCCCTCAAAGTAGCGCACCGTCACCGCCTGCGTATCGAACGCGGTCGCCTTGTGGTTGGCAAAGGCGCCGCCGTGCTCGGCCAGGGAGGCGTGCCAGTCAAACTGCACGGGCTGCTTGGCCGAGGTGCCGTCGAACTGGCGGCCGGTGCTGATACCTAAGCGCAGGCCCCGCGCGTCGAGCGCCGACTCGTATGGGAACGGGCCGGCGGCGGTGGCGTTTCCGGGCGGAGCGGCGTACGGCGCCTACCACGAGTTGGTCGGGAACTATTTTTTGAGATTGCGTGTTAGCCGGTCGGTAGGGTGAGATGCTGATGATGAGGACTTACAGGCAGCTTGAGACCGGCGAAGAATGAGTCGATGGGTTCAGCAGCGCATGCGACTTGTCCGCCGGCGATGGTGGCTGCTGAGCTGGTTGATATGGGACCCAGTCCGGCCCTCGGCTTCAAAATGTCACCCGCGGCGATAAAGGCCGAGGCCAACGAGAGGCAAGATAGCAGAGACAGCATGATTAGAACTACAATGCACTACTCGAATAACCTGATGTTGCCTTCCCAAGATGGAGGGACTGCATCCTCTCTATAACAACACTTCTCTACTAGCCGTCTAAGCCATAACTGACAAGCTTGTCGTGACCTGTCTCTCCGACTTGCAACCTCACTTGTCAACTGCTAAACCTGCCGGTCCATTGACACTTCCTTTCTCAGAAAGGCATTCTGTCATCTCACCTGTTGTCCCCCGCGTTCCGCTAGCCTCTTGCTCACAGGGTGCGCCGCCCACTTCGACAGAGACAGGAGCTAGCAACAGCCCGACTTCTCCAGTCCGAATGCGCCGTCACCTTGCGACAGAATAAGCCATTACGACAAAGACCCCTCTTCTAGCATGCGCCTCGCTATTACACACATCGGAAGAAGAAAACGTGAAGGCGGTTGCGGGGGAGGACGTCTTGTTCCGGAACTCGCGGAGTACCGCCCATAATATGCCCGGTGTGGGGAACGGCGGTTGCGGAGGACTCGGCCGGTTGTTGCGGAGAAGGCTTGAGCAACGACCCAGGGGCTTATCTGCAATCTAACTATAAAGTAATAGATCTAAACCTTGTGGCTCAGATCTTCTTGATCCATGAAAAGCTTAAGCCCGCGACGTACTCCAGCTCTGTCCAATTGACTTTCCACGCGCTCTGGTAAACCGGAATCAGACCTTAGGCCGCCTCCGGTCCAACTTGTACAGACCGGGGTTTTTTATCTTGTCATAGAACCCCGACCTCAAAAGCTGCGGCTTCCCTAAAATTTACACCTTGTAATTGATTGGCTATCATGGAGCCGTCTTCGGTAATCAAAACGAAACCTCGGCCCCGATGAAGACTATATCACCGCCTCCCACCCTGGACCCTCTCCTCTGTACTTAGAGAGGTACAGAAAGACGCTGGCTACGGGTTCAAACTTGTTGAATACGTCTTATACCCTAGGTTATCGCCCTAAACCAGCTCCAAGCGTCTTCAACATGTCCACCACCGCCGTGCACACCGGCACCGCCTCGCTGCGAAGCGGCAAACCCTCCCCGGAGGCCGCGCCGCCCGCGGAGATCTTCCAGACGCCGGCCTCGAAGCGCTTCATCCCGCGAGACCTCTCCGGCCACCCCATCCCGCACGCCCAGCGCTTCGCCTACTCCACCGCCGCCGTCTCCCCCGGCGACTGGGGCTCCATCCTCGGCACCGCGCTCGTCATGGCGCTCTTCTCGCTCTGGCAGCAGACCCCCGCCGCGCACCGGCTCTACGCCCACCTGGACGCGACGTACGGGGCGTTGACGGTCAACACCTGGGGCACCTTTCTGCTGACGAGCGTGTTCTTCTGGCTGGGCGGCGGCGTGTTTGCGCTGGCGGACTTGACGGGTCGGCCGCGGTGGCTGTTTCGCTTCAAGACGCAGCCGTTCGTCCGCGTTTCGGGGAGGGAGTACGCATGGATATGCGTCGTTTCGCTGCGGAACCAGCTCTTTGTCGCGCTGCCGCTCATCTTGGCCGGGTCGATCGTGACCGGCCCGCGGGACGTCCACCCGGCCTCCCTCCCCGGGGCCGTACAGACCTTCTTTACTATTGTGTTCGACATCCTCTGTATGGAGGTCGGCTTCTACTACATCCACCGCTTCTTCCACTCGAAGCTCATGTACCCGCTCTTCCACAAGCAGCACCACGAGTTCACCGCCCCCGTCGCCCTCGCCTCAACCTACTGCAGCATGCTCGAGCACGCCGTGTCCAACCTGTTCCCGCCCGCCATCGGCACCATCCTTGTGCGCCACCACTGGTCCCAGCAGTGCTTCACCTTCGCCTTCCTCGAGTTCCTGACGCTGGTCGCGCACTCGGGGTACAACATCCCTTTCCTGCCGCCGAACCTGGGCCACGACTTCCACCACTTTGCGTTCAACGAAAACTTTGGGCCGACGGGGTTGCTGGATCGCCTGCACGGGACGGACAAGAAGTACGTGGCGACGATGAGGGAGGCGCTGGCGAGGACGGATGGGGATGAGGAGAGGGCGAGGAAGATGGTGCTCAGGAGGCTTGCGGAGATCGAGGTCGCCGCGGACGAGGCGGCGAAGACGAAGTAACTTATACGTGCTGTATGATGGGATCGCATGTGGCCGTGGGACTTTCACGTATTGAGAAGTATCAGGAGTCTCCACGTACAGCACAGCCAAATGTCTACTCGGGACACCGACTTTTGACATTCACAGATAGACACAAAACGCGCCATGTTTATTAAAGAGAGGAAGAGCAACCTTTACCCAAATGCATATGCAATATATTTTCCCAATCAATTCGCCAAATATCCACAAAACCCTTACCCCACACAACTGTCTTCTCAAATGTTCTTAAACGCCAGCAGCTCCAGCAACTCGCTCGTGTCGCCGCCGGAGCGCAAGAAGTCGTGGCCCAGCAGCACCTCGATCGTCGCGCGCCGCTCAGCGTCCACCACCAGACACGTGGCCAAGAACTGCTTCAGCAGGGAGCTGTGGCGCTGGGGCTCGCGCAGCGGCGGCGCGGTGCCCGTGGCGATGAGGTACAGCGCGCGCATCGGCTCCATGTCCATGTACGGCGGCTCCGACTCGGCCATCTCGATGGCCATGATGCCCAGCGACCACACATCCACCTTGTAACCATAACGCTTTTGCCGTACCACCTCGGGCGCCATCCAGTACGTCGTGCCGACCATGGTGGCGCGCTTGGAGCGGCGCGCCGTCAACTTGGCGCAGTAGCCAAAGTCGGCTGCGATGGCCGATGGTTAGTTGGTCAGAATGGTAAACTTGGGGTGCTGCTGAACATACTGATCTTGACGTTGCCCCGAGAGTCAATGAGGACGTTGTCGCTTTTAATATCCCGGTGTACGATTTGCTTCGAGTGAAGATGTTGCAAGCCGAGACAGGTCTGTTCAACGAGTCAGAAACTGGTTATCCGTGAGGGGACATGCCCTTACCTCACGACACAGAGTGGCAATGTGTCGTTCGCTGATGCTCGGATTATTGTCAATCAGGTCGATCAAGGCACCGCCATCCATGTAATCCATCACCACCCAGAGCATCCTGTTCTCATTGACGAGAAACGCGTCTAGAAAATTGATAACATTTTTATGCTTGCCCTCCTTCATTATGGAAATCTCATCCAACAGCGCCTCCTTCCTCTGCTGCCGCGCCAGGTTCATCTCTTTGATGGCCACGCGCGTTTTGGGCCCTCTCGTGCGCACCAGCTCCTGCGCGACACCAACCGCCGTGCTGCGGATCGTCGCCACATACACGGAGCCCGACGCGCCCTGACCGACCTTCTTGTGCTTCTGGTACGACAGGCTGGGGTCGCTGCTGGAGATGAGCGGCTGCAGCTTGGCGATCAGCTCCGCCTCGGACGTCGTCACGTGCCGGATAGCCTGTCTGCGGTTTGCCGAAGGGATGTTGAGCGGCGTGACGGTGTCCGGCATGGACTTTACGGCTGCTGGCGGTGGTGGCGGCGGCGCTTTTTGCACTGCAAGTGGCGGCGGAAGCGGTGGTGGCGACTCCCGGGGAGGTGGTGAGGGCGACTGCCGCGCAACCTGGGCCTCGACGCGGCGAGGAGGCGAGGGAGACTGCTCTTGGTCGTCGTACTTCCAGACCGGGACAACGGGCAGCTTCGGCGCCAACCTCGGCGCCGCCGGTGGCGGCCGGGTGGGGACGAGGTCCGGCACCCTTGGCGTTGTCTTTGTGTATGGGGTCCTCTCGGCCGCCGGAGCGGGAGGGGGGGCTCTCTCCACTCGTTCCACCGGGGACTCAGAAGCAGCCGCCGCCAGGTTTTGGAGAGACGTGGTGGAGTCGCTCGCGGGCAGGCGGTCCTCGATGCGGGAGATCTTGGTCGGCGAGAGGGCGTAGAAGCCCTCCGGGTCGCCGGCCTGCTTCTGCAAGTCCGAGTAGAAGTCGACGGCCTCGATGACGGCCTGCGGGTTGCGCGCGTAGTCCTCCTTGGTGATGGCCGAGGCGCTCAGCAGCTGCACCCACTGCTGGGGCAGGCCGACGAACTGCTCCGTGGCGGCGTCGAAGCCGACGTGCACCTCGTGCAGGACGTTGGTCGGGTTGCCGACGCCACCGAGGCTCGGGCAGGCGGCGTGGACGTGGTCGGTCCAGGCGTAGAGCTCGCGCTCCGACCGGGTGCGGATGTGCAGCACCTTGAACGGCCCGTCGCGCTCGCCGGGGCTGGTCGAGGAGGACCCGGCGGCGTCGAGGCGGCGGCGAATCTCCATGGTGGGCATGCCGGTGGTCTCGGCGCGCCCGATGCCGACAATCTCCTTGAGGAACAGCGTGTAGAGGGGCTTGCCGCCCTCGGCCTTGGCGAAGTCGAGCCAATCGTGGCGCAGGATCATGAAGCGCTGCTTCCATGCCTGCATGAAGCCCCCCTCGCGGACCGTGACCCAGCCCTCGTGCCGCGTCCGCGCGTCGCGGGTTGAGGCGACGACATTGTTCTGCTGGCGACGGGCAACGGACAGAGGAACCGTGGTGCCGCTGTAGGTGGTGATGGTCGTGCTCTGGATGGGCGCGCTGACTGCGTTGGCCGCAGCCGTTGGGTATCCAATGACGGGGTAGTTCTGCTTGGAGGAGTGGCTGGTGGTAGCTTGCGGCATGGCGAAGCAGGGCGTGCCTGATATTTTCGCAAAAGAAAAAAATCAAGCGATGGTATCCTCGCTGGACACGCTAACTACCGTATGCGCATTTCTTGTCTGCAACTACTGATGATTTGATGAAGATGTGATGAAGATGAAGTGATGTGAGGCCACCTTCGAGCCGCCCTGTGTTGCCCGCCACGCTCAGCGCACGTGATGCTTCATCTATGCAACACCCTTGGTGATACTTTTCCCAAACGCCTGATTTACACAAAGAAGTCAGGGATGGGATGAAAAAGCCTCATTTCGTCTTTTTTTTTTCCGCGTGACATTTTTCTTGTATTATCTTTGGTGGTTTCTGAGCCTTGATAGGCATGATTAATGTCCACCAACCAGCATTATCAATACATCCGCCCAGTCATGGATTTTATTCCATTGTTTCACTGACCCTCACCATCGCCTAGACAGGGTTCTGCGCCTTGTCGCGACCGATCGCGACATTTTCCAGAGTCACCGTCTCATCGCTTGAGTCTCCAGACTCTTCCCCCTTCACCAGAGGAACATTTTCTCTCAGTGCAATGTACGTTGGCACTGATGCGATACCTAAGAAACGCATTAGCATGTTCCTACAGAACGGGAGGAAACGTGGCAATTAACTACCTAGCAGAATGGTGTTGACAGCCAGGGGTACCCTGCCACCGTGCCATTTTCGCGTGTTGAGGCCGAAACTGACAGCCTGCGCAAACGACTCCTGCCCTCGCAAGATGCCAGACAGACGGCTGAGCTCCGAGACGCTGTCGCTCTTTGTGGCGATGAAGTAGTACATCCAGGTCTGCAGCGACTGGCGCGACCACTCCCATAACACGAGAACGAAGAAGCCCTCTGCAAAGCCAGCGTCCGCCCAGTCCAGCGCAGGCGGGTTCGCGGTGTACTTTTCCTGAACCACCCAGGCGTACACCCAAGCGACCACGTGGCAGACGACGATGTACCAGAATGAGATTTCCAGGCGGCGCTTGACCGGGAACCGCGTCCAGTCGAGAAACATGCTCATCACCTGCGACGAGAAGAGCGTGCTGAAGTTGCTGACGAAGCCGATCAGGGCCCGCGCCCGCACGCCAAAGTAGTAGGTCTGGAAGTTGCCCGAGTACTGGTTGAAGTACGCGGCCCAGAACACGGGGAGCAGGAGCAGGATGTCCCTGCGCTTGGAGAGCCTCCACAAGCACCCGAACTCGTACTTGAAGCTCCTCTCCGCATCGACGATCACCTTGCTGCCGTCTCCGCGCTGCACCTTTTCCGGCCTGGTCAGCAGCAGCGCGATCGGCGCCGCGACGCACTGCAGCGCGATGAAGATGAGGTACGTGCTCGGGTTCACGCTCCCCTTGCGCTTCGCCCCCGCGCTGTGGTTCAGTATCAGCACGATCAGCCCGCCCACCAGCGGCCCGCCCGTGCGGAACCACAGCCAGATGTTGAGGTAGCGCCCGCGCCGCGCCGGCTCCGGGTACCCGAGCGCCACCGCGCCCTCCGCCGCCCAGAAGAGCCCGGCCGAGACGCCGCAGAGCGCGGCGCCGACGAGCACCAGCCAGACGTTGCCGAAGCGGTTGTTGGCGTACAGGCCGGCCGAGTAGACGGGGTAGCCGACGGCGCCGAGGAAGAGCGTGCGCGCGAAGCCGATGCGGTTCGCGACGGGGCCGCCAAAGACGGCGAGGAAGCCCATGAGGGCGAAGACGAGCGCGTTGGCGGCGTTGACGAGGAACGGCTCCTGCCCGCCGCCGGCGCCGAGCGCGTTCATGGCGTTCCATAGGCCCGGCGCCAGGAAGCCGACGGCGCCGATGACGAAGGCGTTGAAGAGTGTGGTGCGGTACCAGATCCTCTTGGCGGCGTGTGGCGGCGCCGCATCGCTAGTCTCGGATAACGGCAGCGCCGCTGCCGTCTTGTTGTCAGTTGGTGTTGCCATGTCTGTAAACTACCGGAATGCCGAGCGGCCATGGAACTGACCTTCATCTTGGTTGGAACCAGGGCTTTTTAAGGTTATTCTTTATCGGCGAATTCTTTTGACCCCCACCGAGCACCGGGACTATTAATTTACATGGCGACTTCATCATTGTCTAGAGAATGGCGACATTGCGGGCTGATCCGCCTTTAACACCAGCCAACCCACTCTGTCAGGCAAGTTGACAACTCTCTTGACAACTTAGCCGCTGCGAGCCGCCCGAACTGCTGAGAAAATTTCCATTTCAAGTACAAATTTGAGAATATTATAAAGTTTCCATCTATATCTCAGCTATTGCGACATGTCAGCTTAAGCCTCAGCTATCCAACGGTGGTTCCACGGACGGGTCGAAACAACCACTCTAAATGCAAGAGGGGCGATGTAACCTAGCAGCCATCATAAGGTATCTGGTCCAACATTGATCTGTAGCTGCTGAGAAGATCCCGACAGCTAAAATCACCATGATATCCATCACTGAGCCGCATTCCGTACCTGCACGACTTGTGCTCGCCGGCCCGTCCTGACGGGAAGCCCCTCTTCTTCACTGTCACCGCCGATAGCTGGTAGTTGTTGTTCCACATGAAGGCGGCGTAGTAGCCGTTGGTGTAGCTGCACTGCTTGGACCATGCCTTGCCGCACACACGTTTGTGTTCTGGCCAAGATCGTACGGCATGGCGAGGCTGCAGATGCCGACGACCTCGACGGTGCCTTGACAGCTGGTCTCGTCGTCCCAGACGTAGATGCAGTTGGCCACATCGCAGGCCTGGAGGCCGCAGCCGGCGCTGACGGACTTATTCCACCATGATGCTCGGATGTTCCGGGTGGGCACCCCGAGGGGTGTGCGCTTCGCGAGAGACGTCGAGTCGATGCCCGATGCTCTAAGAGCCCGCAAGGCGGCGACGACAGGCAAAAGGTGTTGGAGCTTCATCCTCGAAGGAGACTTGCAGACTTTGTTGATGAGCTCCCTGAACTTTCGTATGGCTATGTTATTAGTTATCTTGGACCGTTGGACGAGGTCAGCAGGGCTTCATACCCGACCTCGGATCACGCGACCTGACATGCTTACGTAGACCTTGGAACAAGATAAAAGACGTGTTGGCCCATGAAACAAACGCCCAAGAACCATCATCTTGCTTTCCAACCCAATTCTATATCTCTCTCTCGCATACATCACCTTCACATACACAACCCACGAACCAACAAACCATGAGCGCAGAGGCTAAGCAAGAAGTCACCAAAAAGGGCCTCTGGGAGCGTTGCCAAGACAAGCTTCGCAGCAAGCCCAGCAAGCACAGCAAGCCCATCAGCGACGAGGACCTCCTCAAGTACACCGGCAAGCCCCGCGCCGAGTTTGACGACTTCAAAGAGAACACACCCGGCGTCGGCCGCAACTAGCTGGCCGGCACCCTCGCCATGGGCAGCGCGCCGGGAGGCGAGGATCGCGGCATGAAGTTTCCGCCGGGACACGAGGTTAAGGCAGCAGCCGCCGCCGCCGAGGCGAAGAAGAAGCCGATCGAGGAGCAAAGCTACTGAAACTGCGGTGGACTGTGGAGGGGAGGTGCTCCCCCTTGCCAAAAGCTATCGGGAAACCCGCGCTGGACCTGAAAGTTAGGGTATAGAGGGATTTGGCCGTTGTATTCACTCCGCAACCAATGTATGGCATGGGAGGTGCGGCCGTGGGTATTTTATCTATTGTATAGAACAGACACCAACAGACAACTACGCGTGCCTAGGTGCGACTTTCCACTGCAATGCTGGGGCTTGCCCTCTCCTAAATTACGCCAGAATCCGAAGCCAAATATTTTTTTATGCTGAAGAGAGTTTTATTGGAGGCCTTATTCTATAACCCTCGGTAGCGCTCAAACTTTCCAACAACACCAACGTCAACAAGAACACCCAAAATGCCGCGAGGTAGAGCCGGCGCCGGGCGCCGCAGCCGTATACCGCCCGAAGTTAAGGAACATTCATATATCAAGCCTATCAAGAAGCCCGGGTTGCATGTTGAAGAGGTGGTACACATGTTGCAGGAAAAAGGTCTCTTCACTATTTAGACCGGTTGCACAATTCGCCCTCGTATAGTTACTGGATTTGGTCTAACCAAAACATGGTGGAGCGAGTATTTGACACAATGACTGACAACAGCTTTCAGCGCGCCGCGATGTTTCATTCATAGTGTATCTGTCTGTCACTGAGAACTGGTTATCAGAAATGACAGCAGGGGCAGGGGTCCGTGGATAGCGCAAACCAAGGTCAGCCCAACACGCTTGACAGGTTGTCAAAATACAGGCGACAGATCGGGTTACCGTACGAGTGTAACGGTTCCTTTTGTTCCTCTATGAGAAAATTTCCGCCCAGAAACAGCTCAAGGGCTGACAATAATGTAGCTGCCGTTGCCAACCAACACGGCACTAAGATCCACGACAGGCTCTGATACTTCACACATCGCGCGGCCAAAGAAAGAAAGAAAGGAGATTCTTCATCTTGCAAGCCCAGAGGGAACTTTCCACGTTTCTTCAGAGCCCAGTTCAAAACAGCGATTGTCACCTGTTTCAACTCGGCATATCTCTGATTGGCGACCTGTGCTGGGCAACTTGCTTTGTCTCTGCAATGAAAGGACTGAAACCAACCCAACAACAGACATCCCACCCAATAAAAGGTCATGTGGTTGTATATGCTCACAAGTATCGCAAAAATCCAAGGTCTGCTTTACAGTACACCGCACCTTGAAGCCCATGGCAGACTCCACAAGCCTTAGTTCCGAACCACTCCGACCAAGACACAGCCGTTGTCACTGGGGCAGTTTGCGACAAAAGCAGATCTCTCGGCATATTCTTTTAGTCATAACTATCTTGGTAAGGCTGCGCAGCCTCCCAATGTGCCAAGTTGATAAGCGACGGCTCCGAGCCCGGGCCGGCCCGGTTGTGGAGCGGTGGCCACATGGTCAGACATCTTGCACTCGTTAATGGTCCAAAGTCAAGCTGAGCTTTCTGACTACAACCTTTATATCCCTGGTTGTCTTACTGTATATACTTCATAGTCCAGCGAGCCAAGATGCCTGCACACGACACCGCTCCGGCTTCATTGCAGACAAGCCTTGTACATCAGAGCAGAAACATCTTGACAGCATTTGGGTTTCTGTACTGAGACAGTACAGCTCCAATAACTCAGACTCATCAATCCACGTGCTTGTTCTGGTCACATCTTGCGAAAATGAGGATGATCGCTCGGCAGTTGGAGTCGAATCAATGCTGTAGGCAGGGCAGTGCTGCGAAGCATATATAGACCATCAAAGGAGACCAAATGACGGCTTTCGACAATCACATCCAACTTACTCTTTTACACTCCTCAAAGTCACACCTGCAATGCTTTCCTACGCAGTACTTTTCCTCGCAGCAGTGCCTGCGTATGCCTTCGATGCCGCGGACTTGCGCGCGAAGGCCAACGTCGCCGCGGTCCTTAACAAGATCGAAAACGGCTTCACGCTCTCCACCACGCAGCCGCCGTACTCCCTCTCCGAGAAGAAGGAGGGTGCGTGCGACGACGACAAGCTCCGCTTCAACTGCATCAGCGTCGACCTCAAGATCAAGGACTTTGCGAACGCGGGCGGCAAGTTCACCTCGGACTTCAAGTACAACACCGACGTGGACATCACCAACGACAGCGAGGAGCCGTCCAAGATCATCTCCAAGCAGAGCAAGGCGATCAAGGTGGGCACGACCAAGGGCTGGAAGATTGGCGCCAAGTTCCACGCCAAGGGCGGCAAGAAGGACGTCTTCGAGGGCGGCGGCGAGGTGACCGGCGAGTACTCCAAGACGGAGACGACAGAGACGACGACGACGACGGAGATCACGCGCGAGGGCATCTGCCGCCCGCAGGCCGAGTGCGCCATCGTCACCATGTCCTTCTTCGTCGAGTACGCGGGCAAGTGCACGCGCAAGCCGTACCGGTACTGCGACGCGGCGAGCGGCGACCGCGACTGGTGCAAGACGTACTCATGGTCGCCGTGCCCGTTCGAGCGCAACTTCCACAGCGACAACTGCAACGGCAAAGAGTACAAGACGATCGACCCGTGCGGCTTCACGGCGCCGGTGCTCAACGACGCCGGTGGGCAGTTCACCAAGACGCTGCTCGTGTCCAGGCCGCTGCTGGCGAAGAAGAGGGGCGACTTTGACGATTTGATTGTCGAGTTCCTCGACTAAGGGGACCGTGGGGGTCTGTCATGGTCATGAAAATGGCTCCATGGGGATAGGACGGACGGGCTGGGATCAAGGCTTGCGTCGTTCGAGTTTGGCGCAGGCGTGTCTTGACAGCCTCACGATTGGTATTCTGGCGAGGAGGAGATGGTTGGTCAATGGGGTATCTATAACTAGCCAAACGAGTCTATAAGTTAACCAAGTTGTTTCTACGGATCTCGCGTGCCATACCTTTAGGTCCACACATTGCTGTAATGTGTGGGAGATGATGGTGTATTGTGTAGGTTGTGGGGACTTCTTCAGGGCCTTAACTGGGCCTGGAGCTTATGTGAGCCCGCTTATTTATTAGCAGGTCTACCGGCCCCTTAAAAACGACATCTACAGCAACAAGTATGATGATGTTTGTCATCGTTATCACCATCAGTGGTAGCCTCTTCTCGCACTTGTCCTGCTGCCATAGGATTGGCAGAACCCTGGTTGCCGTGGCAGAGGGATGATTAGTCAGACGCGTAGGCGAGGCGCTGAGGCTTCCCCTGACAGGAGAACGCGTTTGATACACATCTTCAGCGCCCTGTACAGTAAAGACATCCAACGATGACTAAATCTTGCGACTGCCAAGATGCACGAAGGTGCTACCATGATGGGCTCGACTACCCATATCCCAAAGACATGACCGACAGACTGGTAAGTGCCAACCAGCCTCTCTCCGCAGGACGCCCGGCCACCCGCCTGACCAGCCTCGATAGGACCGTTGTCTGTCGTTCGGAAACACTGGGATTATTGAGCTTCTTCCGCCCGGGAACTTAGTTAAAAAGTCGCCACATCCATTTATGTGTTCCTCCGAGAAGCATCGCCAAGTTGACCAACTTATGCGCGAAGTCCTCATCTACCGACGACTACAGGCTCACAGACGATTACTTAAGATGCTAAGCTATTCATGCTCCACTGACGAGCTGGATGGCTACGTAATAGTTACTTGAGTATATGCGACTCGGCAGCCTCGAAGCCTACCTGGCCTCCGACGCCGTGATAACTCAGACCCAGCAGCTAGATTGGTGTATCCAAGCCGCCGAGGGTATTGCATTCCTTCACAGCTCTGGCGTGATTCACAGCGATATCAAACCACAAAACATGGTGCTCGACGACAACTTGTGCGTACGCATTATCGATTTTTCTGGATCTTCCATAGACGGGCTTCCGCCGCTTGGCATGGAGAGCACGAGGTATTTCTTGCCGCGCCCCGAGCCGACCTGCAACGTGCAAACCGAACTTTTTGCTTTAGGGTCCTCCATCTACCATGTTATGCAGCGCGAGCCCCCATACAAGGATCTCGACATCGATGAGGTAGAGGCTTGCTACGAGCGGCAAGAATTCCCAGAACTCACAGAGGTGTTCTGTGGAAGCATCATCGCAGCGTGTTGGAGGCAACAGATTGAATCTGCCAGCGCCACTCTCACCCTTCTCCAAGCACAGCAGCAGAGCTCAATGTCAGCCTAGTTTTCGGGCCACTTACAGGGCGTCCTGCGATTTCTTTACCAAGGATAGAGTAGACTTTTGCGACGATTTCGCCCTGGACTTCTATGGAGCCTACCTAGGACGACTGGTTCGACTTTTGTGCCCAGAACCATACCTCCACTACATGTCGAGCAGGAAGCATCGAATGATATTGCGTCCCTAGCCCCCATCATATTCTGGAATAGCCCTCGTCTCTATGGATAGGACATCCCAATTCTGCCTCGACGAACCCACATGGTTGAGCGTGGGATCCATACAATCTGAACACTTCGTGATGGCCTCTGGGCAGCGGGCCACGCCGAATGTCTACTTCGTCCTGCATTCACATGTCAATATCTTGATAAAAACGTTCTGCTTGCACATGGCCTCTACTAATCCTCGCTCAGCGAAGTACATCATGCCAGTGCTGGTAAAGTGTTGCCCCTACGGTTGACACGCGGAGACTTACGTCAGGCAAGTCCGCCAAGAGGTTCCATGCTCAATTTCTTGATATCTATTTGAAAATCCCTTCCTTCCAAAATAGCATAGTCCAAACTAAATCTCATTCACGTACATTGGCCTTCGCGTCACGGGCCGGAGAAAAGCCATTCCCGAGAGGCGCCCGACAAAAGAGGCCCCTCCTGCCACTCTTCCCCCAGCACGCTACTCAATTGTCAGACTTCTCGTCATCCGCCGCCGAGTCGCTCGCGCCTACGGCGCCTGCCGTCGCTCCAGGCCCGCGAGCTTCTTCTTTCCTTCTTGCCATGGTGCGCCTCCACACTCACTGCACTGTTCTCGGACTCGTCAACGTTTCAGCGGGGGGGCATTGCGCTTCTTCTTCTTCTTTTTTCCATCGCGCTTCTTGGATGGCAGCTTCGCTCCTCCATCGACATTGGACTCATTAATTTTTGAGGCATCCACGATTCTCTGCTGCTGCTTTCGGCCGCTATACCCCTTCGCGGGTCCTTCCTGTCCAACCCCTGGATGATCAGGCTGGTTCGAGGGTGCCGCTGATTCGGTGGCTGTAAGTTTTGTTAGTCGAGACTCGGCAACAAGAGCATCTGCGGGTAGGCCAAGTCGGCCCGGACTTGGACTGTGCTGCTGACTTACGGCGGCTCGAGGTATTGCACTACATTAGCGGCAGTGCGCAGCTATTTGGTCGCGGCGCCTACGCTCTGCGTTGGGACATCCTTAACTTCACTACATTTTAACTATTCACTGGCAGGTTAGAAATTAGGTCTGGGGACGGCCAGCGAACACCAGCTGCTGTATGTTTTTTCTCCGGTATAAAACCTGCTTTCTAATTTCATTAGCTCTTCTTGCTGTTTTCTTCACCTTTATTGCGTTCGTCCTATATCGTCGTGCTGTTAAAGATCTACGTGGATCAAGTGTGGGGTAGAACGCCTGCCGAGGTTCATTGAACGAGCTTTCGATGCGCCGGCTCCCAACACTCTTCCTTCATATACATATTCAAATTATATTTTCTTCATCGGCTATAGCAGTTACCGATTCGAGGTTGCAGCATGGCCGAAAACACGGTTCTGTACGAGCCAACTGACGAGGGCATCACGACCATCACCATTGACCGGCCCTCCGTCCGTAACGCCGTTAACCACGCCACATCCCTCCAGCTCGCCGAAGCCTTTCAGAGCTTCGAAAACGACAGCACCCAGAAAGTGTGCATCCTCACCGGCGCGGGCACCAACTTTTGCGCCGGCTATGACCTCCACGAGGTCGCCGGCAGCAGCAGCGCCGGCAGCAGCAGCGCCGGCAGCAGCGCCCTCGCCGTCGGCCCCGTCGACAAGCTGAACGGCGCTCTCGGCCCAATGGGCCCGTCCCGGATGCGCCTCAGCAAGCCCGTCATCGCCGCCGTCTCCGGGCACGCCGTCGCCGGCGGCCTCGAGCTCGCACTCCTCGCGGACCTGCGCGTCGTCGACGCCACCGCCGTCTTCGGCGTCTTCTGCCGCCGCTTCGGCGTGCCGCTCATCGACGGCGGGACCGTGCGGCTGCCGCGTGTCGTCGGGCTCGGCCGCGCGCTCGACATGATCCTGACCGGCCGGCCGGTAGACGCGCAGGAGGCCCTGGCCATCGGCCTGGCCAACCGCTTGGTGGAGGACGCGGTGGATGGCGCGCGGGAGCTGGCGAGGGGGTTGTTGAGGTTTCCGCAGCGGTGCATGCGGGCGGACCTGGCGGCAGCGCAGTATGGTGCGTATGATGCGGCGAGCTTGGAGGAGGCGCTGCGGTTCGAGTTTGAGAACGGTGCGAAGGTGGTGGCGGAGGAGAGCGTCGCGGGGGCAAGGAGGTTCGACAAGGGCGCGGGACGGGGAGGAGCGTTTGAGAAGGGAAAGCTGTGAATGGTGAAATTGGCTTTACTCGGAGATTCTTATTACATGAAGAACTATGGACTTGACAGCCACCACTTCTCTGCCCTATAATACTTGGCAAGCCACGACATACACGGCTCCTAGCAATCGACCAACAAGTTTCAGCTTAAGTCAGAAACGACACAGAAACCACAGGAACCACCTGTAAAACTACAATAATAATCTGCCTCAAATACCCACGCTAGCTCATTCTTCACACGATAAAAAGAGAGCCACCACTGAGTGCAGCAGGGTTGGACCTCGGCTGCCGGCGGGTATCACATCGCGGAACAAAGGTTTCCATTCCGCGCTCTCTATCGCATCTCTTGGTCCAGATTTCGGACCGTCCTGGGCCGCCCGCCCTGGCAGGCATCGCCCTATGACTAAACGCCACAGATTCCATCTCAGAGATGCCTGATTAGGCAAGTCGCAGGAAGCGCTAGACGCAGACGGCAGGTCAGAGCAAGTCACGGCAGTGTCAGCCTCATGGCGTCCCCCGCAATGGAGACCGGCCAGTAGCTCTGACAAGCGCAGATGTAGTCTATGAATAGCACATGTAAGCGGTTGACACATTTTGTGCTGTAACAGTGACTTGCGCCGAGGGCTCGCGCTAGAAGTAAGTGGTTAGTGATCAAGCGGCCAAGAGGTTGCAGTGGTTGCTCACCTGCAGAGTGACACTCCGTGATCCTGGGGCCTACATCAGAGATAGCAGGCCTGCTGGAGCTGAAATCCAAAGTCCTAGATATCACCAACATTAAATCACTATCTTGTGTCCTCGGAGCGAAATCGGACTGAGCTGACCGCGAATGCCTTGGCGTGACCCTAGGCTTCACGCTGTACACCCACCAAGGAAACCGCAGGGTAGCTCGTTCCTCAACACAGAACTAGCCCTAGCACATGTATTCATTACGTTGATATACATCCGTTGTGGCCAATTAACGTGTCTGTATGAGCCGTCGTCTTTCTGGGGTACAAGATCCATCCGGCACTGCTTCCGAGCCAGGAGGGTAGGTCTATAGAGGTCACATAACTAACTAATCAGTTACCAAGACCATTGCATTCTGAAGGTGTTTCGGAGAAAGCAGAATCATCACATGTTTTCATTCAGACTAACAGAACTGGGAAGGTAGTTGTAAGATATTACAACATCTTAACACATTGAATAGTCAATGAATTAGCAAATGGTTTACTCTGGGCTCTCCCTCATACTGTACATAAGTCTGAGGATTTCCTGTCAATGAAGTCGAACAAACACAGCATCAATCATTTGGCATCAATCATTTGGCATCCATCATCTACTCTTCTTTGTGAACATGGTTTCTCAACTCTTTCGCTGCACAATCGCAGCCTGCCTCATCGCCCTCTGCTACGGCGGTCCCGCGACTCCCCAGCAGGCAGCCAAGCTCGGCAACCCAGCGCTCCTTGAAAAGGTCAAGGTCCCTGCCGAGTGGGCAGAGGCCGGCGCTCCCAAATCTGAGGCCATGGTGACCCTCCAGATTGGCCTGAAGCAGGCCGATATGGGCGGGCTGCAGAAGCGTCTCATGGACGCCGCGCATCCCAGCAGCCCCAACTACGGCAAGTGGCTGTCCAAGGAGGAGATGGAAAAGTACACGAGCCCGGCGCCGCAGTCCGTCGACATGGTCAAGGTCTGGCTGGGTGCCCACAGCATCTTTGATCAGTCCATCTCGCGCCCGACGCCGGACTGGATGGAGGTCCGCGTGCCCATCAGGCAGGCCGAGACGCTGCTCAACTCCCGCTACAGCCTCTTCAAGGACTCCGTCACCGGCAAGACGATGCCGCGCACCACCGAGTACTCCATCCCCAGCCTCCTGCACGACCACATCGACACCATCCAGCCCACAACCTCGTTTCATCGAAGCCTCGGCGCGCAGCCCTCGGCGAACGCGACCGAGTCCGCCGACGTGCACCGGCGAGCCACCTGTGACCCCAACAACATCACCCCGGCGTGCATCCGCAGCTACTACAACGTCGACTACACCAGCAAGGGCAAGGCCAGCCTCGCCGTCACCGGCTTCATCGGCTACTCGGCCAGCCACAGCGACGCGTCCAGCTTCCTCAGCCAGTACGACTCCGGCAACTCCGGGTCCAACTTCAAGGACGGCTCCGTCGGCGGCGCCCAGAACAACCCCTCCAACCCGACCCTCGAGGGCAACCTGGACACGCAGGTCGCCCTCTCCCTCGGCCACCCCAACCCGGTCACCTACCTCGCCGTCGGCCCCAACAACGACCCTGACAACCAGTTCGGCGACGAGCTCGTCAACCTCGGCACCTACCTCAACGCGCAGTCCGCGCCGCCCACCGCCGTGTCCACCTCGTACGGCGGCGAGGAGAACGGCTTCTCCTCGCAGTACCTGGACCGCATCTGCAACGAGTTCATGAAGGCCGGCTCGCGCGGCGTCTCCGTCTTCTTCTCCAGCGGCGACTTTGGCGTCGGCGGCAACAACCAGGCCAGCTGCTCCCAGGGCTTCTACGCGCTGTTCCCCGCGTCGTGCCCCTACGTCACCGCCGTCGGCGCCACGCAGTTCTACAACGGCGCCGAGTACGCCGCGCACTTTGAGAAGAACGGGTCCACCGGCGGCGGCTTCTCCTGGTACTTCAACGCGCCCGCCTACCAGTCCAAGGACACCCAGGGGTACATCGGCAACAACCTGGACAGCTCTTACAACGGGTACTACAACGCCAACGGCCGCGGGTACCCGGACATCTCTCTGATTGGCGAGTACTACGACATTGTGCTGAACGGCGGCACGGAGCGCGTGTACGGTACGTCGGCGTCGTCGCCGGCGTGGGCGGCGCTGGTCTCGTTGATCAACGACTACCGCATCAGCATCGGAAAGTCGACGCTCGGGTTCCTGAACCCTCTGCTCTATGGCAACTCGGCCGTGCGCTCGGCTCTGATTGATATTACCAACGGCAACAACCGTGGCTGTGGCACGGACGGCTTCCCGGCCGCTGCTGGCTGGGACCCTACCACTGGTCTGGGAACCATGAACTTTGCCAAGCTGAGAAAGGCGCTTTCTTCTTGAGTTTTCTTTCTCGTTTTGATGTATACACAGGCTGTTAATAACATTTTTCTACATTCTCCCTTATCTACTTAACCTAAAAAAAATGTTCTCCCGTGTCAATCGCTCCTGTCCTGATGTGGTTCAGGGCCAATCGCGAGTTTGCTTCGGACTCCATCTAGCGGCCAGGTTAGAAACCGAAGGGAAAAATATAAGAAGAATTACATAGCAAATTAAACAAAATTTTCCATTTTTGGCAAGTCTTAGTCGATTAAATAGTATACCGAAGATAATTTCGAGTTCAAATACCAATTACACCATGTTAAGCAACAGCGTAGTAAGTAAATGGTATTACAAGGCCAAAAAGAATAATTGATTCTCTGACTTGGAAAAAACTAATAGATCGTTCAGTATGACAATTCAACAATCATTGAACTTCAGAAACGATAATGCTGTCGCAGCAAGCAGCTGACATCCCAAGCGACGAGTCTAGGGTAGCGGCAGAGGCTGAATTGGCGGAGGAGCCGTTTCTTGGCAAGTACCTGGCAAGCTCGTGGCGGCATCAAGCTCTAAAACAGCTCTTGAACCGCATGCTAAGATAACAAGCATATTTGGATTTTTCAGAGATTTTCAAGGTCATTCTACGGGTTTATCTGATTGCATCAGACACGCGTTGGTCGGTGGCCACTTGCTGCCGTCACGTGCGGCGATCGGCCGGAACTGACATCGCGACCCGCAACAACTCGCTGAGCTTCGTCTGCTAGCCAAGGTCAATCTCATCCTCAACTGTGCACCATACAGGATACCTAGCTGCTTACTCTCTCCCGCATATTGCAATTGTTATCGAAGACGAATAGTTGCAATCAGAACCGCCCGAATCACCCTTCAGTTTCAGCCTCGGGCTGATGGCGCTGTCCGTTTGGACACTTGACGGGTAGCATCTCGGCTTCACATCTACAACCCAGCACGCTCGGCGCGACCTCACAATGACTTCGGTGTACTCAGGGCTTCGGGTATGACTGGAATCTAACATGCATTGGCTCGTCATGGAGCTTATACTAATGCGCTACAGACTGCTTCGATACGCAGCTTCCGTCCCTGCCGGCCCATCTCAAATATCGCCCCCATAGCAGCACGGAGCAAATCGCGTTGCCAGCATGGCATCCAGTGCTGCCGCGGCTTCTCGAGTTCGTCAACTTTTCACAATACAGACCCTCGAAGCCCCTCCACCGATAAACCTGATGATGCGAGCGTTGCGAGCGGCGAGACGGATGCACCCCTGCTTAAGAAGCGCGAAAAAGAGTCGGCCAAGGGCAAATACAACCTGTACGGAGATGACTGGGAGGACTCGGTCGACTTCGCCATCAAGTCATTCGAGGACCTCCCGCATCGCCTGTTTGGTGTCAATCAGCACATGATCATCAACTATGAACTGAAAGAAGCTCTGCGTGTCATGCTGCGTCAGTTCAACGCGCCCATTGTCTACTGCTTCGCGTACGGCTCAGGCGTGTTTCCGCAAGGAGAGCTTGGCCGCAGCATCAGCGATGCCGAGTTCCGCGCCGTGCACCCCAAGCCGCCTGCTGCCCTGGTAATGGCGCAAAAGGGGTCGCCTAAGATGATCGACTTCATCTTTGGCGTCTCGCACACGCAGCATTGGCATTCACTAAACATAAAGCAACATCGGAAGCACTACTCGGGAATCGCCTCGCTCGGCTCGGGCGCGGTCTCTCATGTGCAAAACTGGGGCGCCGGTGTCTACTTCAACCCCTTCATCGAGATGAATGGCATGCTGATTAAATACGGCGTCACCAGCATCGATAATCTGGTGCGCGACCTCTCCACGTGGGATAATCTATACTTGGCTGGCCGCCTGCAAAAGCCAGTCAAGATTCTACGTGATCACCCGCAAGTGCGCCTGGCGAATCAGCACAACTTGATTGCGGCGTTGCGCACAGCGATGCTCCTTTTACCTCCGGATTTCACCGAGTCGGAACTTTACAGCACCATTGCTGGCCTTAGCTACCTTGGAGACCCACGCATGGCTCTCCCTACAGAGAACAAGAGCAAGGTCGACAACATTGTGAGCAACAATGTGGTGCACTTCCGTCGACTCTACGCCCCGCTGGTCAAGACGCTGCCCAACGTGGCATTCACCGGGCCCTGTCGACTCGACGATGAAGAGTGGGTGCTCGACGAGAGTGGCGACAATAAGCTACAGCAGGACATGGACCCGATCAAGCGCGGCAACATGGTGCGACGTCTCCCGTCAAGTTTCCGGTCGCGGCTGTACTTTCAGTACCAGAAGAAGTTTGCGATTCCTCGGGAAGAATTCTCAATCATGATGCAGGCTACGCGAGACGACGACCCCTCGTCGAACAAGCGACGTCAAGGCGGCGAGTTTGACCGAAGGATAGCCGCAGACAGGCCGGAAGAGCTGCAGGCACTGGTTCGGCAGGTGATCAAGCAGACTGTCAACTGGCCGAGCACCAGCCAGAGTATAAAGGGTTTCCTGATGGGTGGCTGGGGCAGGACGTATCGTTATTTGAGGGAAAAGTATGACAAGTGGAAGCAAGGGAAGAAGGATGAGGCCAAGAAGAGTGGCGAGCCAAAAGACGGAGAGAAATAGGGTTGGTCGATATGAGGCATCGAGTGAAAGTGAAAAAACCTAGGAGGAGATGTAGTGACTGGTTGGGGGTTATCTGATAGAACACGCTGGGCAACTGTACAAAAAATAAAATATAGATTACTATTCGAGCTGAAACATGGCAAGGCCAATCAATCCCTTACAGTACTGAGCGATACGCATACGAGCCTGGAATCACTGTTTCGGCCAGGTGATGACTGGCAGACAAGGCAGTCGGGGGATCCCTGCGAGCCCTTGACCCTGGAAAACCTTATTCTTCCGCTTATTATCCTGCAGAAAATAACGCTGAAAGAAACCCGAGATTTAGTTGGTAGTATTCCCCTGAGGAGGTCTTGCTTTTGTTTCTGTTGGGTAAGCTCGAGACAAAGCTGCTTGCTGCTGGGAGACGGGAGAAAGCCGAAAGTCGGAAATTGATTTCAAATACTTGTGATCATGCCATGCGTCTTCCTTTCGAAAAGAATTAAAGACTGCAGCTGCGGGCGGGCATGGATGAGCGTGAGTCAAGCCAGGGGACCAGGGGAGGCTACAGGCAAGTGAGCGATCTTGAGGGCCATGGCGACAGGATGTGGTGATCGCCGACTGGGTTTTTGCTCTTCGTGCCCCGAACCCGGTGAGTTGGGACGAAAGAAGGTTACGCAAGAGAATATCTTTTTTTCTTCCTAACTTTTGTTAAAGTTTTACAGAATTTGTGCTGCCGAACAATCATTATTGTTGCATCTTTTTTCTTGCTCTCTTTGAAAACGGGGAGGTTCCGGAGTCTGCCTGGGGGGGGGGGGCAACATCAACGTTGGAAACATGGATGATGATAAATTGAAAACGCTGTGTTTTATTCGTTGCTGAACGGGCGGAATAACTTCCACAAGGCGGCGCTGGATGAAAAGAAGCAGCACACCAACACACTTCCAAACGCCACGAAATAGGAACGGCGACGGTCTCAATATCCCCGGACCCAGAGCTTTGGGATGAGTTTGAGACAAGTCCGCCCACCTGATGATGACGAACCCGGGCAACAGGTAACCTTGTGCTCACTTCAGCCAAATTCCCGGCATTTTGGAGCGTCTTCTTCTCTTTTTTTTGTGGCTTTTTTTTTTCCCTCTCAGATTCCAATCCAATGGATGGGCGTGGGTCGATCTCGACCGTGATTTGCATTTCGCGGCATCCGGCAATCCCACTTCTTTTCTTAATCTATCTGAGGTGGGCGCGGAATCGTACTCCGTACTGTGCGGTGCTCTGGCTGGCAAGGGGAGGGGGTCGGATGAAGGAGAAGCAAAGAAAAGAACAACGCCCCTCTGGGGGAGATGGGTACGATCGGGTGATGCAAAGAAGCTTTTTTGTGTTTCCCGGTTTGGTAGAACAGCAGCAGCTGGACATGGACCCGAGCTGTAACTCTTTTTTCTTGGAAAAGGCTTGTATTGGTAGGCTTACGTACCGCCCCATTCAGCCGGTGTCAATGCAGGCAATGCAGGCAGCTTTAGCAGGAAAGTTAATCAACGACGGAACCAGACCCGCGGGAGCTTTTCTCCTTGCGCGGCCGCCTTCTTGCCGCGATTTGCCTCCCGTGCTTCCCGTGTTGACGGAACAATGAGCGGTAACTAACTACCAACTACCAACTACCAACTACCAACTACCAACCAGTAGATAAATGAGTCTAGCCTCGCCCCGAGCCCTACTTTGTGCTATCCCAAACATGGCTTCGGCACTTGTGAATGCTGCATTACATACACATATGAGCGCATATTGAGTCGTGCACAAGTGTCTGTGCAAAATAGTGCCAAAAACTCGGCAACAGCAAAGTTTCAACTTTGACATCCATACCCCTCCCCACTCAGTCGAGTGACAAGCCACTTCCACTTCCACCTCAAGAGCTTGCAGGGACCATGCCCGTAATTGTGTGGGTTTTGGGTGGGTGATCGGCAAGCATGCCATCGCATCTTGGAGCAAGGTGGGCGCTGGATGCTGTGGCAGAGACAGTGGGCAATTCCCTCAGAGTCACGAGTGGAAAGTTGGGGAAATGATGTTTACTTGCCGGCTATGGAAATGTGCTCAGGTGGTGTTTCTGTATTGCCCGACACCAGGTATCATCGGGGCCAGACGGTGTTGACCGACAGAGCTACTGTAGGCGGAAGCATGGGAGGAGGACATGGTGCTGCAGCAGTCATTGTGTGGTGAAACAAGCCAAAAGGGAGAAACACAGGCAGACCACTGAGCGGTAGGTGCACCTGCAAGCCACAGAATAGGCAATTCCGGACAAGATGGAAACATGATGAACTTGATGGGTAGAAAGTTCGTCGTATGTACACCAACAAGTGCTGTATCGGACATGGGCGGAGCAAAGCTGCGGCGAGGACCTATCCCCAGCCAGCTCCAGCTCCAGCTCCAGCTCCAGCTCCAGCTCCAAGCTCGGGCAGGCAGATGGGACAGATGCCAAGCTAGCACTTGACTGGTCCAGGAACACACAGACGCGGCCTTGCACAAAGGCTTTGTGCAACCGAGTTCAGCTATTGGCCGCCCAGGTCCAGGCACACACAAGGCAGGGCAAGGCAAGGCAAGCCGCGGCCTCGGAGCGAGCGGTCTAGTGGCGGCCCCTGGTGGGCAGTCCGCAAGCCACAACATACATAGAGAAATAGAGGAGAGGTATTATTATCTGGGGGGTCAATATTACGGAAATGTTGCAGAAGTAGAAGTGGAAGAGAAAACTGGATGTAGATTTTATTTCATTAAAGAGAAACGGCAAAGAAAGAATTTGATTCCGGCCGGGCGGGACGATCCCGAAGAGGCGGTCCGGTCATACCATCATGTTAAAATTGCGCCATGTATGTTCGGCACACTGTATGTACACAGCATGCGCATGCTTGCATGCATACAATTCAATGCCCCAGTTTGTTTTTCTCATGTCTCTGATTCATGAATTTGCGACTCGGAATCGTCAGCACATGCGCAAGAGCTGTCGTCTACTTCCACCTACCCAATAGAAGGTCCTGCACAGCCCATCTCGTTCAACTTCAGGCTCTGGCTCTCTGTCCAAGCGGCTCTTGGACAATCCAACGCGGTCCGTGAGCCTTGTAGCGTCGACGCTAGGCACTTTGACGTAACGAAGAATAGTTATTCAGCGCTGCCAAAAACGTGTCAGATGGCGCTATTCGCAACGCCCAAACCTGTCATGATGCAGACCGTCCATGCTAGCCTCCCCCCCTCCCCCTCTCCCCTTGACCGACTCGGACCTCCGTTGTCCGTCAACGTGTCTCGCCTGTGTGCTTTGGCGCATTCGCCTCTCTTTCAGTTCGAGACATTCTGTTCCCAATAGCCATAGAAAGAAAAAAAAAAACCATGACCGCCGCCTCCTCCGGATGCTGTGCGTCCGTGTGTAACAGACCCGCCTTCCTACGCAACCCTTTTTCTTGGACTTCTTGGGGTTTGCCTTGGCTATCTACCAGTTACCGCCTAACTAGTTACCTCTCCGCGAGTGACGATGGGCTTCGCTTCGTCTCCGAGCTAGCTGGCTGAGAAGAAGTAGCCCCCCCCCCAGGAACAGGGGGTTTGAAAGAACTGGGACTTGTCCTCATCCCGGCTAGCCGCATCTGCAGCAGCAACGCAACCCATCTGCCCTCATCATCCCTTCCCCAATGGGCAATTGGCGAAAGCTAGCTGTGGTGAAGGAGTCGTCGGGTTGGTCAAGGCTTTGCCGTGGTACAGCATAAATAAGCCTTGATTGGCGGCCATGTGCATATACGCAGCGCCAGGGAGGAAGGATTTTGGCTGGGCTGAGATTCTAATGCAGGGGTTTGCAACCTGCAACGCAGCTTCTCCGAGTCTTGTGCCTCACTAAAAACCTGTTAACCAGTAGTTGATGAAGGCTGATTGAGGGGGGGGGGGGGGGGGGGGAGCTTCTCAACAGCAACACTCCCCCCAGCGCCATCAAAAAAGCCTATCCGTGCGAAAGTCAGTTCCACACCCACCACTCATAGACTCTCGTACCGATGAAAAGGCTTCCCACCTGGGAAAAAGCCTCCCAGGTACGTGGTGGGACGAAAACCCCCGACGAGACAGGTCCTTGCTTGGATTGTACCGAGTATGTAGATCGTGTACTGGATGTATATCCTGCATCGAGTAGCCGTAGCCCAGTCCCTGCCCCCCCCCCCCCCCGGGTTGCGTTGCCTCTGTTCCACTCTCTGCAGGCTGCTCATTTATTATGTATATTAAATAAGTGATGCCCATATTCTGCTTTTGCTTCTTCTCTTTCTCTTCTCCTGGCCGGGCCCCATTCTCGATCCGGTTTCCCCGTCGTCATCACCCACCCGCCTAAAAAGCAATATAATACGCCTGCAGATCCCAACGCATGCAGTACAACGCTCTTTCTTGAAATCGGAAGGATCGTGCTGCTTCTGCTGCACTGACATCATCATGGGGTTTCTCGCCTTCCTGCAAAGGCGGCAAAGCGACAAGACGTCGTCGCTTTCAAGCCCCCCTTCTACAATAACCCTCCAGCGCAGTACGACACAGACAATGCCGAGCCCATTCCAGCCATCAGACTAACACCGTCACCCGTAGGCAATGCTTCATCCGCGACGGCCAAGATTCGCAGTCGAAGCGACGCAGACCTTGTCAGCCAATACCAGCAAGAATACACATATCCTCCGCAACACACCGGCCAAATACAACAACGCCGAATCACGACCCCGACGACTCCCACTGGCCCTACAAGTACCGAGTTCCACCACCAACAGCCACGGCGGCGGAGCGATGGAGGGCTTTTATTATTACACGCCGCCGCCACCCGGCCAAACGTACCATCAAATTCACACTCGGATGCTTTCCTATCACGCTCCGGCAGCGTCAGGAGCGCCGTTTCCCGACACGTGGACCTGCTCGACGCCCAGGGGCAGCTCGGCCCCTCCGACTTCAAGGCGCGCTTACAAGCGACCGGCTCCCGCGAGTACGGCGAGGATGTCGCCGAGCGCAACATTGGGCAAAACGGCCTGCTGCTGGGCAGCCCTGCCGTGCAAAAGTTTTACGCCACCTCTGGGCGATCCTGCTCCTCTCCCGTCCCCTCATTGCAGGGCGGCTCGCCGCGGCGCCAGCGCCGCAAGCACGCACACAAGGAGATTATCCTCGAGCAGCCGGAGATTGAGGGCAGCGATAGTGGTGCCTACAGACCAGGCTCCCGCGCCTCAAGCATCTACACGGCCCGGTCGATGCCCATCACGCGCGCACGGGTGACGTCTATTTCTGAGCCGCCAGTGTGCACCGAGACGCGCCGCGCGAGCGTCGCCTCGCATGTCACCGTATCGTCCATCGGGCTCCCCAAGCTGGAAGAGGGCGGCGTCCGGGAAGCAGTGGACGCTGACGAGAGCGACGACGCATTCCCGCCGTCCATCCCGCGCTTCCGTCGCAGCGAGCCTCAAGTCCCCGCCATCGAGCCGCTACCGCAGCGTCCCGCGTCAGCGCTCGGCTCCGTCCGCCGCGCGCGACAGTCCGTGGACGTCCGGAGCGCGTACAACATGGGCTTGCCCATCCCGCGCGCGTCTCCTATCGACAGCATGTTCCACGGCGACGACCGTCACCGTAAGACTGTTTCCACGCGCAAGGTTTACCGAAAACTAACAGACAAAATGCAGGAAACCTAAGAAGTCTCCAGCGACAGACCCTGTCCGTTGAAAACATGATCCGCTGGCGGCGGACGCTCGGTGACGAGCTCGATGCTGACTCGGACGCGCGCTCCGTCGCGACCGAGCGCGCCACCGAGAGCCGCGCCTCCCAGCGGCAGTGGTCCGTCACCTCGACTGAGCCGACCGAGCGCTCCTCGGACGCATCGAGCCTGTGTTGCCCACGGCCCGCGAGCCGCGCCACCGTCACCACCTCAGTCGACATGCGCTCCCTGATGGACCTCGAGGGCAGCTGCGAGGCCACGGACGTTGATGCCTGCTCCACCACCACGGACGGGTCCAACGTGGATGCGTTTGTCGAGAAGCGGCGTCGGCGGAAGGCGGCAGCGGCTGAGGATAAAACGCTCGTGTTCGATGAGGCCGAGTTCTTCAACGGCCGCGGCGCGCTGCCGGGTTTGTTTGACGGCATCGACGACGCAACGCCGCTCGCCGAGCTGGACCCGAGCAAAGGCAAGGGCAAGGGCAAGAGGGATCGCAGCCAGACGCTGCGAGTCAAGCAAGATGACGACGAGCAGGTCAGCCCGCGTTCACAACCCGTCTCTGCTCCTCCTACCGCCCCGCGCACGCTGCCGCTCGAGGATGCCGCACCGCAGCCGCTCGAGGACGACCAGTGTTGCTCCTCCGCGCCCGGCGCCCTCGTGCCCCGCATGTACCTGACGCGGCGGCAGCGGCTGCTCGCCCTCGGCTTCGACTACGACACCGACGACGACGACGACGAAGACGCCTTTGACCAAGACTCGAACAAGCAGAGCCTGGCACCACCACCGCAGATGGTCCGCCCGCAGCAGCGTCTCAGCATCATCGTCGAGACGCCAGACGACACCGCGGCGGCGGTGAGCCGGCGCAGGGAGGCCAAGAGGATGTCGCGCGGAGGCGGCCTGCGCGTGCGGCGCGTCGAGCCGATGCCAGAAGAGGAGGGCAACCTGGCGGATATGGAGTAGGAGAGGCATGCCACTGCACAGCCCAGACAAACTGGGTAGCCCAGACAGGTAGGATAATCCAGGCAAACTGGGCAACCTGAACAACCCGGATACCCCGGATAACGCACGCCTGCCACAAAACTCGGCGCAGTTTTTGTGATGATGACGAAGATACAGAGACATAAACTGTCGACCTATTCCTTTTTTGCCTACTTTTTCTTTCTTATTTTTCTTATTTTTCTTTATCTGTTGGCAAGCATTTTGGGGTCATCTTTTGGGAACGGAACCCGTTATTACGGGCATTTTGGCTGGTACACTCCCGCTCTACATACCCTCACACACTCCTTTTCACGACGGTGGTGGCATTTTCTTTTTTCACATTACAGTTTCTCTTCGTTGGTACGGTTTTTAATCTCACATGGACATCTTTTCTTTATACAGGATATGAGCTGCGCTCTGGGATGACGCAGGTTGGCGAGGAGGGGGATTTGGGGGAGGCGGGAAGGGGACGGACATCCCACGCTGGAACACAACAGCTCAATACCAATTTCTTTTTCAGTTGATAAAAAGCACATATGACTTTGAAATCTCATAAAATTCTCTTGTATTGCCGTGAATGCTACCGCAAACTACATAATGCCCTTTCCACTCCCACCGACTGCTCCTGAACCTCACTCTCGACGAACGACGCAGTCACAGTTCATCTCCGTCCGGTAAGTGTCCTCGTTGATGCCATGAAGAACGGCCAGCGCCATGCTCGCAACCTTGCTCTTGGCCTCGATGGTGTTGCCCGCCTTGGCGTGCCAGCGCACCTCCCCGTGCACCAGCAGCGCGCACACCGCGTCGCTCCCCGTCAGCGCCGCCAGTCCCGCGCGCGACTCGCACGGCACCTCGGATACGCAGAAGCGCCACCGCGCGCAGCCGAAGCGTCCCTGCAGCGCGTGCACCGCCTGCGTGACCACGTGGCCCGCGCCCAGCGCGTCGTACCCCTCCATGTCGTCCAGGTGCGGCCGCACGAATCGCTCGAAGAAGCTGCGCACCACGTTGTAGTCGTACCGCGCGTCGACGAACATGGCGCCGATGAGCGCCTCGACGATGTCGGCGAGGACCTTGGGCGGGCGCGTCGCGGGCGTCCACCAGCCCTTGCTGACCGGCCGCCCGAGCGCGACGGCCTCGGCCTCGGCGCGTGAGTGGTGGAAGGCGAGGCGCTCCTCGTACGCGCGCACCTGGCCCGGGACGGCGGCGTCGGCGGTCAGAAGCTCCCTATGGAGACCGAGCTCGACGCAAAGATAACCGAGGAATTGGTTGCCGCAGACGCCCATCTTGCGCTCCGTCAGGAACTGCGGCCCGGCGTCGGGATGCGTGCGGAACAGGTGGTCGACGACGGCCATGTCCAGTAGCGCGTCCCCGAGAAACTCGAGCGTCTGGTAGTTTGGGATGTCCTCGGACGTATACGACGCGTGCGTGAAGGCGCTGCGCAGCAGGAGCGGCGAGCGGAACGCGTAGCCGATAAGCCCGGCCACCCGGTCCACCGTCACGAGCACGCTCGCGCTGACGGAGGCCGATGCCGCCTGCCACGCGGGGACCGTAAAGCCCGCGTAGTAGTCGGCGAAGCAGCGCATCTCGTGGTTCTCGCTGGATACCACCTTGGTCACCGCCCGGACCGCCTCGTCCATGCTGCCGCCGTCGGCCAGCCCCCCCATGTAGGCCGCGCCGATGATGGCCTCGCACACATCGGCGACGGTCTTGTCCCCCAGCGGCCGCACCACGCTATCCTTAGCCGGCTTGCCGCGCACCAGGCGCAGGTTGGGATACCATGTGCGCCGGTCAAAGGTGTCAGAGCGGATGTAGCTCGGCAAGCCGAGGTCGATGGCGGTCTTGAAGAGATTCTTGTTGCAGACCATGACCATGCGGTCGACGTGGTGCTCAAACTCGTTCGATCCGGGGTAGCGCGTGAACAGCGCTATGGTGGTGCCCATTTTGAGAAAAGTGTCGCCGAGGAACTCGAGTCGCTCGTAGTTGCGCTGGCCGCCGTGCTCTTCGTGCTCGGCGTTGAGTTCCCCATCGTCCGGATCTACTGCGTTCTTCGTGAAAGCCTCCAGCATCAACCCGAGAGGTATGTTGAGGCCCAGCATCTCGCGTACTTCCGCCACGACCAGAGCACAGTCTAGACGGTAGAGGATGGACGGAAGGAACAAGGCCGCACGGGCAACGTCGGCGGGAATGGGAGACAACTTTAGGCATTGTAGAGTGATGAAGCATATTTGGTCCGTTTTGGTGGTTTCCGTACGATCATCGTCCAGAAAATTACGGCGCAGGGATAGAAGTAGCGCCCTGTAAACGGGCTGCTCGGTGTCAAAGACGATCTTTTGTCGGTGCGGTGATCTGGTGCTGCAGCTGTACTGCATGATGGACTTGTCCGATGCTAAGTACGCGTTGTTCTTGTGTCCGGGGACACCCGCTGGCGTTGGATCAGTTGCTCGTAGCGTACGGTCTGTTTCGTATATGAAGAACTTTCTTGAGCCATCGTGAGGGTCAGTAACAAATTGCTGCCGGTTAACGTCTCCTGGGTCGACGGCCACGCCTTGATCCATGAACATGACGGCCTGCTCTATTCTCTGCCAGTCCAAAGTCTCTTGCTCATATTCATACAGTTTTAAGGAGGCCGGAGCGAAGAAATAAGGAATCTCCTCATCCTTAGCATCAAACATCTTGCTGAATACCTGGTCAAATAGGCAACGGGTAAACGCTGCTAGCTTCTGCACTTGCTCTGGCGATATTTCCACGGGTCCACTGCGTATCAGGTTGGCCGTCATAGTAAGGTCAATGGAAGCAAAAAGTTTGATCGGATCTATATCTGGTAGTTGTTGTCGCGTCAGTAGTGCAATCGATGTGATTCCCGCAGAATCAGGATGTATCTGGACAATGGTCCGGAACAGCCGCGTTGGTGTCTCGGTTGGCAGCGACGTCCACATTTTCGGTTTGATCAGCAAGGTGTAGTCCTTCTGGTTCTTTCCATTAAGTGCCAGCCGTGCATTTCGCATTCTTGGGAGCTTCTTCTTAAAAGTCGGTTGCAGATTCTGGTTGATGCTTCCTATTTGAATCAGCCGTGTGCAAGCCTCGTACGCGGCCGCGCACCTGGCTCGGATCTTGCTCCGCTCCATGCTTCCCGAGGTGGACTTGAACGGAGACGAGTCTGGTAGGATGACCCAGCAGATGAAGCTTTCACCCGCACCGGAGACGACATATTCCGGTACTGGATTCTTGTCTGTGCTTTGCACCAGCGTAGACACGAACCTAGCAAGAACAGACATGCTGTTTTGGTGGGACAAAGTCGCGGTATCTGCAACAATGAGCTCCCTTTCCGGCGGACGCTCATATTGGCCGATCCTCCTGTCCGCCGGTAGATTCTGACAGAAGCGGCGAAGAGATTGCGCGTCGAGTGTGACGTTTTGAAGACGGTTCATGTGCTGATAGTTGTCTTTTTCCAGCATGGTGACGAAAACAGACGAGGACTTTCTCGCACGTCCTCGTGACTGGATGTATTGAATGGCGGAGACGCACATGTCGAATCGAATAACCAGATCACAGGCAGGGATGTCGAGTCCTTCTTCAGCCACAGACGTCGCAAAGAGGCAATTAGTTTCCCCGTACTTGAAGTTGTCTAACTTCATCATGCGCTGGCGTTGGGAGATATGGGCCAAAGAAGTAGATCTTGCTATTCCAATCTGCACATGTTAGCCACCCGACTGGGCCATGCAGGACAATATCACAAACCATAAAGTCTGCAACCATGCCTCTAGGCGCGGTGTTGGGCTGCGTAAAGTAATCTGCCAGCATCATTGCCACGTACTGCTTGTCTACAAAGACAAGGCACTGTGTTGCACGATTCTCCTCGAATGCGGCGCACAACGTCTCACGGAGCACGGCAAGCTTGGACGAAATCGCGCCGTCATCTGTCGGCAGCGCCATGAATTCATGATTGCCGATCATGGGTCGTAGCGTGTCAAGCGCGGCTGATGCAGCCTCAAATCTATCGTAGTTAAACTCGACCCTATTGCTCTTCGCCGAATGCAGTGCCATGTTCTTCATCGCATCGTCGGTCAGAAGGACCTGCCAGAAGCGGTCCGCGCACCACGGGCCTAGGATCGAGCCCATGTCAACCGCCCACGCCACCGCGTCGTTGAGCTGGGGAAGGTGCTGCGAGTGGTCATTGATGGTGAGCGTCAGCCGCGTGTATGAGTCCACCGGTGCCCGCAGCGGCTTGTAGAAGCGGACTCTTTCCTTTTGCTCGCGCTTGACCCAGCCGGCCTCGAGCACGTCGTCGGACACGGTCGCAATCTCGCTGCACATAAGGCTCTCAAGCTGCTGCACGGCCGCCTCCATGTCGAGGGTCCCCGTGTCGATCGGGGATGCGGTCAGGCCCAAAATGCGCGGCTTGACGGCGTCGCCACGCGGGTAGTACCGCTTCATGATGGCCGCGTAAGGGTGTTCCTTCTTCGCGTGGTGGACCTCGTCGAAGATGAGAAGGTTGATCTGCCGCATGCTGATGAAGCCGTGGCTCAGGCAGTCGAGGAGGATCTGGGCGGTACACACGATAATCATGTGTTCGTCAAACTGGGCGTCCCAATGGCGCTGGACTTGCGCGATGGGTTGAACGTCACCGTAAAATTTAGTTGCTGGAAAGGGTAAGTTTGCGCGAATAACCTGGAATTGTTGCAGGCACAATGCAACTTTGTCAACGATGAAAAAGGCCGTCTTTCGCAGGCTCCCTCGCGACCTGTCCTCCAATTCTTGCTCGAGTACATGTCGAAGCAGCATAATGGCGATGAGGGTCTTTCCCGAGCCTGGCTCGCATTAGCAATTATTTCTTTTCGAGCATTTCCGCGCATACCCGTGTCTAATACCACAATGGTATTCTTCTCCTTTGCCCTCTCGAAGAGTTCGTTCTGGTATTCGCGAGGCGTGATCATGAGCGCGGAAATCTCGGCGGCAGCGTCGCTGATGGCCTCCGCGGGCGCTGCCGGAGCTTCAACGGATCCATCGTCGTCGACTCTGGCTTGATGTTCAAGCCAGGTTTTGAAAACGCTGTTGTCGTTAATCTTCCGCTTGGAGAGCTGGCGGTGCGCACTGGCATCTTGCGGAATCATTGCGAGACTGCGTGCTCGCTTGTGTGGAAGGGGTAGAAGTCAGGCTTGAGAAAAGAAGGAAATTGTTTCCCGGAAGGGCTGAAAAAGCAAACGGACTGCATGTCGTATTTTCTGCTGGTGTCAGGTCACGCATTGTGCGCTGCATGAGGCTGCGTTTGACAACAGCCCGCAAGAAGGCGCGTTTGGCAACGACCGGCAGCTTGCAGATGTGTGTACCTGACACCAACTTCAGCCAAGCTAAATAGAGTCAACTAAGATACCAGAAACTGCACCTTCCGTGCACAAATTCACTGTGCTTTAGCAGGCTGCCTCTATCGTGCGTTTGCATGCAAGTCAAAGGCAACAGATGCGTCGTTTTTCCATCGAAAAACCGCAACTCCAACGGGAGGTAGGTTGCTGACGAACACTCGTGATCTAAAACTGTATTTGTTGGCTGCACTCGATCGATCGAGTCCAATCGCTGTGCTGACCCGGCAGGCAGAGGTTTCAACGGACGCCCGTCAGCACTCCGTCCATTCGCCTTGTATACAATCAACGAAGATCAACCCAGGGTTAATTTACCTACCATTACCTAGACCACGAGAACTGCTAGATTCACAGTGAAATTTTCATGCTACTTGCGAATTACCTCTCCACGTTGCAATCCCCGTCAGTAAATAATGGCCTACTAATTCCCGAAGCAAGTCCGACGCCCCTACCTCTCGTAGCATATATCATCCGATTAAGAAAAAAGAAGTAAAAGACCGTGCCACGTCTATTTTATCCAACTTTGATCAGCACCTCCGCTGCTATCGCAACCCTCGCAAATACTGCGTCGCCCGCAGAGTCTGCAAAACGAGCCTGTTGTGCGGTCCGCACCGGGTCCTTGCCCGCGTTTGTCCGCTCCTTCACGCTCTCAAACTCTTCCTCCAGTCTTGGAAGCGCGAGGGCCAACCTCTCCGCCTCCTCCTCCGCGGCACCACCTGCGGCGCCCAGCTCCTGGCGGAGGACGGTCGCCTGGAGGGCGAAACGAGCCCGCGTTGCCGAGGCGGCAAACTCAGCCCTGTTTGCAAAGCTCGCGTACTCGGTTATGGCTTGCTGCTGCGTCTCTGTCTCTCTTGGGCGCGGCGCAGCGTTTTGCGACTTGATCCGCGGCTTGGTGGACGATCTGGGCCGCGCATTCCAAGCCGTCTTCAGCCCTGCTTTAGCCTTCATGGACCGTATCGCCGCCGTCGTTTTGGCATTTTGCCCCCGAGGAGTAGGAGCTATTCGCGGCTGCTTCTTCTTGCAGGCGCCAGGTGTGTATTCTGAGTCGCTGTCACACGGGTCGATAAATTCGGAGCTTTTCGGCGTCTTTCGTTTACGCGAATACTGTCTCGGGCGGGGCGCGATTTCGGCTGCACTTTTGCAAAGATAATCGTCCTTCTCCGCAGTCTGGGTTCCAAGGTCCTCTTGCATGTGGTATGGAAGTTGCTCCTGAGTGTGACTCGTAGGCTCGTCAACAATGCCATGTTGGATAATCTCTTTGCGGGTAAGACCACGGTCTTCCGCAATTGTAGGAGACCATCCATCAGTGGTCACCGACTCTGGTTTGCCTCCGTCAAAACTCGAAGCCGACTCGCTGCACTCGCTATGCTCCTCGGCCGACACCGACTCAGCCTCAATACTAGCGGCTCTCTCAACAAGTCCAACATCAGGTAGATCGTCTACCTCTGGTGGAAACTCCGCCTGATCTGGTGTCTCCGATGAGAAATCCCTCGGCCATTCGTCTTCCCAAGGCGATTCCACGGCCGCTTCGTCCCGGGGTGCAACTTTGTTGGTGCCCTCGCCAGGGTCTGGAAATAGCTCGTCATCGAAAATAGACCAGCGCTGTCCGAGCTCAACCTCAGTCGCGGTAAACGACCCCGGAACCGTTTCTGGGTAGTGCCCGTCTGGAAAGCCCACCCCAAAGTGACCGAGGGGCGGCACTTCGAAGCCCATGAACGGGTCGCCAAGAAGAGACTGCTGCCGGCAACAGTCTGGCGACGTTGCTGCGTGCTTCTGGCATGAAGGCAGCTGCTCACACGGGTTTTGACCGTTTTCGTCGAAGTCGGCCGGCGGCGGCGCATCGACGAGTTCTGCCCCTGCTGGCGGCGGCTCGGGAAGAAACCACGCGTCGTTATCCAGGAATGCGGTGCAGTCAGTGATGCCCTGTTCCATCGTTGTTGGCAGCCAATCAAGCAACTGGTACATGCAAGAGTTGAAAGGTAATGAAGGAGGACGAAAGGAATGTGCGATTTGGCAACTGCTCAATACTGTAGTCGCGGCTTTTGTTGCCCGAGATTGCATTGCACCGCAACGAGCCGCCAGCTGGCAGCAAACGAAGCCGCCGATGCACATCTTTTTGCACAGCAGCCACCTGCCACACTCGTTTGGAATACTTGATGTCAAGGGCTTGATAGGAAGAGACTGAAGAATGTACTCTGCGTAGTATTATACTACTAGCATCGCTACTCTTATGCTCTGCACGAAAGAATTTGAAGCTTGTTGACCGCCGGCGGTTGCCAACAGTACCAGAAAGACCAGACAAGGCAGCCATATCTAAACGCCAGACCATGCCCAAAAAAATCAATACCCGCAACAAATGTTGCCTCACTCTGTCTATATGAAGGGGGCTAAAGCCTCTCTTCCATGGAATTGGTCCAAGTCGGAGTCCGGAGCACGCTTGAATTTCTGTCGATTCTGTTGGTCCTCAATGCTTGTGCCGGATGCCGTAACGTCGCCCGCGGCCTTTAGTAGTTGCTCCCACGCTTCCAGTTTACTGCTAATATCAAGGTCATTGCAGGACAAACGATACTGCAAGATAAACTTGCCCGCATCGACACTGGACATGTCAAACACGGCCATGATGTAAGCGGCAACGACGATAGGGCTCCAGTGGTTGCCCGAGGCGCAGGTGATCAGGAATCTCTCGGTGGGCTCGTTGTCACCTTCGGCATTGATTTGTTGTTTGACCCTCTCCTCTTCGGCGCTGATTCTGTGGTTGACGAGGATGCTAATAATCTTTTGCAGCCCGTTCCTGGCATTCCAGCTCTCGGAGTTCCAGTTCGCAGACTTCTTATTCCTACGCTCGTTGTACTCCAGCAGTTCAAACTGAGCAAACCGAGAGTTATGTTCAACCACGGCCTTCAAGACATCTACGCCGGGCAAGTTGGCACAGGCCGCGTCGGTGGTGGTCCAAGGGAAGTGGGCCATGCTCTTGTCGCGCAAGATGACGACAAGGGAGAACTTGTTTTTAGTCATGAAATTGAGGTCTTTGAGGATATTCGTGGGGGCGATGACCATGTAAGGGAGCACGGGCTGGGCCCCGTCGCGCATGTCGTATTTCCACTTGTTCCAGCCATCTGTTTTCGTCGCGCTGAGCGCCTTCGCAGCGGTTTCGAACGAATTGCGGGAGATATTGAGGTAGTCGAAGTTCTTCTCGATCGCCTTCATGTCTCGGTCGATCAAGGCGCTGTTGGCGTCGCCGCACGGTGGGCCAGGGCGCCAGCGAGGAGGTTGACCTGGATAAGGTTGGCTTGGCAGGCCCCGCGAGTAGGACAGCCTCGGCTTCGCGTCTATGTATTGTGTTGAGGGGAAGGGGTGGTCGTCGATCTCCATTGCGTCGTCGGCGTGTGCGAGGCCTCGGGGCGGCGCAAGGGCATCCATGGTCGCTGGGTTGGTGTTTGATGGGAGTCGTCGATAAAGGATATTGTCGAATGATGTGCGGGATATGGGATTCGGTCGGGAACATGAAAAGTTGGAGAAGAAAAAGGACAGGTGGGAGCGGCGCGCATGGTCTATGTATGTATGTTACGAGAAGTGTAGTGTGCTGAGAGTGGAAGGACGGAGCGACGGGCAACAAGGCTGCGAGATGAAGTGGGTAAACGGAAACACGTACCAGTAGCTGCCCACCATGGCGTTCACTGGGCAGCTTACTGGCACGGAGCGATACGCCGGGTCATTGCGGAAGACGGGATGACTGTCAAAGGATCATGGGAGCTGCTCGTGTAACTTAATTCTGTTGAAATGTGCCCGGGATGCTGCGCTGCAAACACGGTTTCACAGTGGCCGTTCCCCAGGTACTAAGTAGGCACGGGTATGACGGGCGCTACGGAAGACTTCTTGACTTATAATAAACAGCGGAGAACGAGAAAGCAAAGACCAGACAGGTAGTAGTGATATCTGTATCAGAGTCTTGGTTTCTTAAATTCATTGCTTTCGATTACTTTTTCCACTATGAAAGTGCTATTTTCCGCTGCTGAAAAGTTCTGGTTGCAACTATCTCACGCCTTGTTATTCATCTGCTCGCACGGAGCAAGAGAGAGACGCTGCTTAATATGTAGGGAATGTAAAAATACAAAACATGTACACTATATGAAAGGTGTGCAAGATGTAAAAGATGAAAAAGACAAGAAGACAAGAAGACAAGAAGACAAGAAGACAAGAAGACAAGAAGACAAGAAGACAAGAAGACAAGAAGACAAGAAGACAAGAAGACAAGAAGACAAGAAGACAAGAAGACAAGAAGACAAGAAGACAAGAAGACAAGAAGACAAGAAGACAAGAAGACAAGAAGACAAGAAGACAAGAAGACAAGAAGACAAGAAGACAAGAAGACAAGAAGACAAGAAGACAAGAAGACAAGAAGACAAGAAGACAAGAAGACAAGAAGACAAGAAGACAAGAAGACAAGAAGACAAGAAGACAAGAAGACAAGAAGACAAGAAGACAAGAAGACAAGAAGACAAGAAGACAAGAAGACAAGAAGACAAGAAGACAAGAAGACAAGAAGACAAGAAGACAAGAAGACAAGAAGACAAGAAGACAAGAAGACAAGAAGACAAGAAGACAAGAAGACAAGAAGACAAGAAGACAAGAAGACAAGAAGACAAGAAGACAAGAAGACAAGAAGACAAGAAGACAAGAAGACAAGAAGACAAGAAGACAAGATACCACACGAGGTTGACAAGGACTTCGGAAAAGAGTGAAATAGTTTTACACATTAAGACTACATAAGCCCTTCGTTATGCTTAATAAAATTGACCGCCAAGTATTTTAGATCAGTTCTTCGCTGAGCAGTTCTTCCTCCGGCAGCTCTTCGTCCGGCAGCTCTTCGTCTGGCAACGACCCGTCTGGCAAGCCATTGTTATACGCCCACCAACCCATCCAATTATCCGCCGAGTATTGCCGTTCACGCCAGAGAAACCAGGCAATATCGATGCAGGTCACGATCCTGTCAAAGTTTTCCCAAGTATCCTCAACATGATACATCGTCGGCAGTCCAAACCCGAGCACGCGCGTATAGTCCCCAATGTACGTTCTCTCGCCGATGTTGCTGAGAGTCTCGTTGCTCCGGTAATACTCGAGCATGAAGTCTTCGACGCGCTCGTACACGTCCCCGGTCTCGAGGTCGCCGCGGCACTGCGAGACAATGTACTGGGCCCCCGTCTCGTACTTGAAGCGCACGCCGTCGAGGAACGGAAGGTGGGTATCGATGTGTTCGTAGGAGAGCAGGTTCCTCTTCAGGAGCCAGGTGAAGAACATGCCGATGTGCGTGTTGGCGGCCGCGGGGTCGAGACCCTGCGGGACCCTCGGTCGGTGCCACTCGGCGCGGTCAATGTACATTGTGGGGGGTAGTTTCTTTTTGACGGAGCAGAGGATTGATATTTGGAGAAAGTTGTATTATGTAGTTGTTGGGTGAAGATGGTGGGAGTTGTTGTGAGCGTGGCCGGCAAGGGAGAGGTCAATGCAGGTGCCAACCGAAAGTATTGGGTAGGAAGGACCTCATGGTAGAAGCAATTTCCACTTGCGGGAATGCCTACCGGCTCCGACAAGTTATCTTCCCTGCTGCAAGGGCAAGACGAGTACTAGGTAGTAAGCGCGGTGTTTCCGGGTGGTGGCGCGTTTCCATAGGTTTCCTACCTCTAGTAAGCCAACTTCTCTACAGATAGATGTCCCTTTTAGCATTTACAGGTGGTACTAGAATTTTCCTTTCAAACTTTGTTCCCCAAGTTTTCGTCTCTTGTAGATATCGTTGTGCCGAGTTCTGACTTTCGAAATCATCATAGACCTCTGTATCGTCTGTTAGGCGCCTCTGTGCGAACGCATTGGCTGCTCAAGGTAGTCGGCACAAATATCACAACCTTGCTCGCGCAATTGCTGATTGTTGGGCATATAAACCCACCTGCGTCTGGTTGATGTGTATTATTTTACTCGTGTCTATATGCTTTTGTTACAGTTTTTGTTGTACATACTGCCCATTGACAGCCCCGCCGCACATGCTCTAGCTATACAAAATGTGTGCGTGCCCTGATCTTGTAATACCGCGCGTCGTCGAGGAGGCGTTCCGGGCCGCGCGCGATCACGCTACTCCGTACATATCGTACAATTACGCAGTCACCTCGTTGCGTTGCCTCATTGACTCGGCCGACGCAATACCCAAGACCGCACTATCGTTACCAACATCCGTGTCCGCGTCCCCATCTGCCTCGGCCGCGACGCGCTCCCGCAGCCGTGCCGCCTTGGCCTGGCGCCGCTTCCGCTGCCGCAGTGACAGCAGCTGCTCGTCGGTAAAGTTGAGTCTCTCCAGCGCGTCGATAAGCTTGCCCTCGACCAGCGAGCGCGCGTGGAACGCGAGGTCGATGCTGCGGAACAGGCCCGCGAAGCGGTACGACAGCCAGATGTACCCGTTGAGCGCCATGTGCAGCGACTCGAGCTTGTACAGGTAGTCGGTCGCGCCCTTACCCGAGACCTCAGTCAGCGGGAGGTCGAGCACCTCGAGCGGTATCTCCTGGATGTCGAGAAGGTCGCCCGACTCGTTGTGCGCGACCACTCGCGCCATGGCGCGAAGCGCGGCGACGGCGCCCTCGCTGGACAGCGAGATCGGCATGTGGCAGATGCTCAACCGGTCGCACACGGAGAGCGGCAGGTCCTGGATGATGTCGGCGATCTCGAGCGCGGAGGAGCTCACGTTGAGGCGGAAGTGGGTGCTGACGGTCGCGGCGGCCTTGATGCGCATCAGGAGGAAGGACAGCGGGGTGTCGGGCGGAAAGTACGACGCGAAGCGCTCGACCACGCTCGGTGGCGGCTGGATGTACGCGTGCTTGATGTCCTCGACGTCCTGCTGGAAGGCGCGAGTGAGCGACCGCACGTCCTGCCGGTCCATGGCGGTTACGTAGCCGACTTTTTGTTCCGTGGTGCCGGTTGTTGTGTCCGCCTCGCCGTCTTTTGTGGCTTGCTGCGCGGAGCGGTAACGCCCAGCACGGCCGCCAATCTGCTTAAACTCGGGGACGCTCAGCATGCGGTGCTGGAAGCCGTCAAATTTGTGCACCGACTCGAAGATGACACGCTTGATCTCGAGGTTGAGGCCCATACCAATGGCATCGCTAGCGACGACAAAGTCGTAGTCGTTGTCTGGGTCGTTGAATAGCGCGGCCTGCTGCACGCGTACTTCGGGCGGCAGCGTGCCGTAGATGATAGCGCACCGGCGGCCCGTCTCTTGCTCTACCTGGCGCTTTAGCGCGTGCAAAGAGACGCGGCTGAAGGCGACGATAGCATCACCTTTTTGCAAGCGGTGATACTTGCCCTCCAGCGCCGTCGACATGGTCTTGAGCGGGCTGAGGCGCTCGTAGCGGTGCACGACACACTTGTCGCCGACAGTCGCGCAGAGGCCTTCGATCAGAGACACAGAGCGCTCCTCGCCGCAGACATGCACCTCCTTGGCTTGGACTCCGAGCAGCGCCGTCGTCCACGCGCTGCCGCGGTCCGGGTTGCCAATCATCTGGATCTCGTCGATGACGGCGACATCGAACCGTCGGTTGAGCGGGACCATCTCGACGGTACAGCTCGAAAAGAAGCGGTCCGTGTCGTCGGGAATGCGCACCTCCTCGCCAGTGATGAGTGCGCACGGCAGGCCCTTAGCACGCAGCCGATGGTAGACCTCTGCGGCGAGCAGGCGCAAGGGCCCCGCGTAGACGCCGCACCGGGACGCCTCGAGGGCGAGCAGCGCGTTGTACGTCTTCCCCGAGTTGGTCGGGCCGACGTGGATATGGACGGTGCGCTGGAGGGCGCGAGTGGCCGGGAACCACTCGTGCGGGTGGCGCAGGTCGAGCAGGCGCGCCTGGCTGGCCTCGATGCCGCGCGAGAATCGGCGCTGCGTGACGAAGGACTGAAAGCAGTACTGAATCTCTTTGGCAAGGCCCCGCACGTCGCGCTGGATGAAGGCGTCGCGCAGGTTCCAAAAGAGCGGGTTCTTATCGCGCCGCGTGATGTTGCGCTCGGCGAGCGAGAAGGCCTCGTCGATGGCGTTCATGAACTCGGTGCCCTGCCGCCGCAGCTCCTCTTCACTGACGCCGCCCTGCGCAAATTGCGCGGACTCGAGCTGCTGCTGCAGCACGGATTGCAGGCGGTGGAGAACCGTGGACCGGAATACACCGTGCTTGCCTTTGTACTTTTTGGTGCTGTCCAGCACCAGCCTTGAGCGCGGATCATGGCCCTGGCCAATCTGTGAAGTGTCAGTCGAGAGCTACGATATGGGCGGAGCGTGTCCAGGCGTACCGAGTCGGCTCTTGGCTCAAGCTTGGGCTTTTTCGGTATTTTTCGGTCGATTCTTTTATCCGGTAGCGGTTCCACGGCGACACGATGAGGCCGTCCATGTTTTTGTGGTTGCGCGCTGGCAGACAGCAATCTGGTGCAGAGTGAGGCTGGTGTCTGGACGCTGCGGGCCCGTTTGCAGACAACGCGTATCATGGCCGGGGCGTCGTTAAGATATTTGATTCATTTCCTTGACATTCAGTCAGTCGTCTTGCTGATTGATGAGAGACTTTTGCTGTGACAGTTGCTTTTGTGAGTGTGATATCAAAAAATTTGGGCTTGAGAATGTATGAGAAAGTCGCATCCCCTGTTCGAATATGACTGGCTCAACGCCACCCAGACCCGCTTTTCCTGTGGCTAGTTTCAGGGACCAAATTACTTCGAAATATTGTTTGCAGCTTGCAAAGTCGCTATTTACAGCGGGCCACCCGCTATAACCACGTCGGATAGGCATCGATCCGCTGTGGCGCTAGCTGGATACAAGCACGTGTTTCCCCGTCACAGAATTTACAGTGCCTGCGTCATTGGCGTCGCAAGGCTTCCCAACTTCTGTCCCCTCATACATACCACTATTCAACATTCTTTCTCCCCGCCGCAGGCTTTCCGATCGTCGCACGAGCTCCTCATCGATAGCTACGCTCTAGTCGCCGTTCCAAAGTAATCTCTATACAACGCACTACCCATACAACTACCAACCATGGCTTCTTCGTCGACACCAGCGACGCCGCTGCTCTAGTACGCATGCCCGCCCTTCGACTTCCATGCTCTCCCCGTCCTCGACAGCACAACATGCTAACACAGCCTGACACTACTCCCGCAGCTCCTGCATCGCGCACAAGACGACCATCCTGTCCGAATGCACAACCTCGGCCTCGTCGCAGACGTCCTCGCTCGCGTCGCTGATCCTGCCCAAGATCGAGCACGCCAAGCCGCAGAAGCTGACCTACACGCACGGCGACCACCAGATCCACTACATCGCCGAAGCGCCCTCGGAGCACCCCGACCACCCGGCGACCGGGGGCCTCACCTTCCTAGTCATCGCCGACGCCTCCCTCGGCCGCCGCGTGCCCTTTGGCTACCTCGTCGAGGTGCGCCGCCGCTTCTTCGCCGCCTTCCCCGAGACGGGCACCGACTTCGCCGACATGCCCAACTACGGCGCCGGCTCGTTCAACGCGGTGCTGCGCACGCTCATGGTCGACTACGGCGCGACGAGCGGCGGCCAGAGCGACGCCATCGGCAACGCGCGCCGCGAGATTGACGACGTCCGCGGCATCATGACCAAGAACATCGAGAGCCTCCTGGAGCGCGGTGAGCGCCTGGACCTGCTGGTGGACAAGACGGACAGGCTGGGCGGGAGCGCGCGCGACTTTCGCGTGCGCAGTCGCGGGCTCAAACGCCAGATGTGGTGGAAGAACATCAAGCTCATGGCCCTGCTCGGCCTGGTGCTTTTCATCATTATACTGGTCATTATCATTTCCGTCAAGAATTGATGCGGATTTCTGTCGACGTGGGCTATTCAGAATCATCGAGAGGTGGTCTATTATTGTATATTTATGACACCACGCCAGTGATACAGTTTCATGGCAGACAGCACTCGGGATCGGCGTTTTCTTCCATCACAACTAGCACTCATTTGTTCTCCTTGCTTCAAGTCTTTCTCATTCAGGTCGTTTCTTTCCTTGCCGAAAATATATCTACAGTTTCTGTCCATTCAATGCTACAGAGCGGTGACCGTCCGCCATGATAAATCGAGACCCGCCACGCTGTACATTTCAAGCCGCATGAATGCTAGCCTAGTTCATGGTCCCATTCGGGATAGGCATTCCTAACCAAGACCAAGCCGATGCCGTTCCCCAATGTCACCGTCCACCTCATAACTTGGGCAAGCTCCCCGCGGTTCCGGTCGGCCTGGTGGCGTCCTGGTAGATGTACCCGTGCGTGACCGGGCTGCTCATTTGCTGCTGAGGGCTGGGTGCCGAAGACCGTCGCAGTCTTTCCGTGAAGAATGCAGGATGTGTGGTAGACGCGCTGTAGGGAAAGTGTCGGTTCCAGGCTTGCTGCATCTGCGCTGCGGTGGTGGGGTTGGCAGGTGCCGGATCGATTGGTGCCATGGCAATGTGATTGAGTATGCGACGCAGTCTAAAGAAGTCTAATAAAAGTCTGAAAGGGCCGGTCGTCAGGGATCAGTCGTTTGAGTAAGTTGGAGGCTGAGATGTTGTGTGATGGTGAGTTGTAAGTGAGTGACGTGAGCTGTGACATCGACCGAGGTCCGGCTCGCCGCCCGCTTTTTAGCATCTGGCACTGCCGATACAGGCTGAACCAACGCCTTAGTCAGCGAGACTTGTTGCAATATAGTTGCTATTTTCTCTATTCTATTTATTCTATAAAATTATTTCTCAAAAGATTGCTTATACAAGATATCATTACCGAAGCCAGGGTTAAAACATCAGCCTTTATTATTCGTGGTTCTATACAGTGTGTCGCTGCTCTGCGCGAGGTCCCCTATGCGTGTAAGTTCTATTGAACAGCAACGCACAATAATGAAAGAAAATCATGTATACATCCTATCAAAATTGGGCCAATGTGTAATGACATCTACCACTTTGTATGTTTCATTTATCTTCATTGCAGGTATCCATGCTCTTTGCAAGCGTCACCGCTTACGCAATGTAGCGGCACTCGACGCCGTAGCTGTTGGTTCCGCAGCTGGTCATCTGCTGGTTCCCGTCGTAAATCTCAACAATGTTGCCGCCGTCCGCGCCGACCGTGCCGCGGTTGCCCTTTGCCTGAGTGTTGGTGATGTCGATCGTGCCAAAGTTGGCCAGGTACACGTGGTTGCCGCTGCTCGTGTCCGTGAACTGCTCGATGATCCACTCGGCGTCCGTCAGGCACAGCTCGGCGTTCATATTGTTGAATGTGCGGTAGTCGGACTGGCCCGTGGTCAGGTTCTCCAGCAGCACCTTGCCGCTGCGCGTGCCGTACGCCCACACGCTCATCCGGATCGTGTCGCCGGCCTTGGCGCTAACGGAGCGGTAGTTGTAGCTCGGGTTGGGCCACCACTCGTACCACGTCTCGACGGCGCCGTTGCCCCAGTTGGTGAAGCCCGTCTGGATGATGGCGTTGCCGCAGCGCTCACCGTCGATGCCGACCCACGTCGCGGCTCCAGAGTTGCCCTGGTTATACACGGAGGGCACGACCGAGGTGCCGGTGACGAAGCTCCAGCCGCTGCCCTCCTGGACGGAGCCCGCCCAGGGAGAGACGGATTGGCGGCTGCGGAGGCTACCGCGGGGCAGGGAGCTGGTGAAGTTGGCAATCTCATCATTGACCATGGCAGGTCGGTCAAGCACCGGGACAAGCGGCTCTGCACTAGCGAGAGCCAGGCTCGAGACAAGAGCAGCAAGTGAAAGTCTCATGATGCAAAACTCGAGAGGATGATTGTAGAAAGCTATGGTAGAATGGTTGTGATGTCTGAGAAACTATTCTAGAAACGGGCGATTCCTCTGATTTATATAACTTGATGCCCGTCCATGAAAACTCCCCAGTTGCTTCCTTGCCTATTGAATTCCAAGTGTCTTCGTTCAACTCAACCATACCATCACATGCACCTACTACTAGCGAGCCTTGCATTTACATAATAGTTCCAACTGCACGTCCCTTATCTACAGCCCTCTACCTAGCGTGGTACCGTCACCCCAGATTCCACACTTGTGATCGCAGCCCAGGTTGACAAGCCGGGGTCGAGATTTACCTAATAGCTTAAATCGAACTCAAATCATCAAGGTGCAGCTGGCCGAAACGGCAGCTCGACGGCTGCGTCGGCAAGCCACGCTCAGCCCACCGATTGGCAGGGCTAAGCCCAGGCGTTCTCTCGACTCGTGCAAGTCGCCGCATCTCCAGCCTCGTATGGGCTGGGGGCGCATTCTAGGTCGCTCCGGCACTTCAGCTGCTATCTAGCCGGGCCAGTAAACTCAAGCGTGCTAGATAGGCTACCTTCCCGTTGCAGATTGGCCTCGTCGGTCCGGTATTTCTAAGAATATGGCGTCTGACACGACGGCGCGGAACCATCCCCCACCGCCCGCGCCGAGCCGTGTTTTTGACATCCGGCTAGCGCTGCCACGGCGCGGAACCAAGAGGAATTGGTCCGCGACATCGGCCAAGGCCGGCAACCCGGGCGGGAAGGTCTTACTCAGATGACATCGGAACGGCACTTGGACTTTCCTGAAGGGGCCAAGCACTTACACGCCGCGTTTGCTAAGGACTCCGGTGTCGCCGTCCAACCCAGTGTAAGCGGCTGCTACGACTCTGTTGGCGGCTGAGGCTAGCATGTAACCGGGACGGCTTTGGCAAGCTTGCTACACCTTTGCAGCCGCCGCAGCCTTTGGGAAGGCTGTCTCGTGAGTTAAAAATATTACTACGTAAATAATATGCATAAGAGTTATGAAACCTTGTACTTGGTTACATTCAGCTGCGAAGAAGAATGCGGCGCTTCCATCTGATTAGTATTCATTTGACGGTACTGTCGGAGCTCACAATCAGGGAACATGTTCTGCCAGCACCGGTCCTTCCAACGGAAGACGATGTCTTCCAGTTTTGCCATAACCATCGAGGAGAATCAGTTCAAGTAGATTAAAAAAAAATAAAAAAGAAATGTATCAGAGTAGTGATATTGAAAAAAAAATAAAGCACCCAGTACGAGGGTCGAACTCGTAGCCTTTGGATATTATGGAGTACCCGTAAAAGTCCAACGCTCTAACCAATTGAGCTAACCGGGTCAATTGATGTCTCGAAGGACGTAATTGTGGGTTATACATGTACGCTGATTTAGCTCGAAAACCTGTGTAGCGCTGAACAGTATGCATCGCAAAGATTCTACTAAATTTAGCAAAAAGAGCGCGGCAATACTAGGGCACACTAAATTATCTCACTGTTCAGACTATCTGGGCCGGTGGTGGATTTCTTGCAACTGTCAACACGTTGTCTTTTGGTTGCGCGTGACCTACACCAGCCAGCTTCCATTGATAGATAACAGCCACCTTTCGTCGATAACGCAAACTTCCATTGATAACACGGCCATCTTACGTTGAAAACGCCCACCTAACGTTGAAAACGCCCACCTTCCATTAACACGGGCACACAGGCGGTGACTGGCATCAAGCGCACCGAGCTCAACACTGTACAGCGCTCGACGACTGCACGTTCGCCATCACGCTGGTATCGGGTGTTTTATGTACTTTGGATCAATGGCTGTTGCAAGTAACCTGATACCTTGTGTAATTGATTTTGCTGGATGCGTCTCAGTGAAGTAATGGTAGGTCGTGCACAGCCGTGCTATGTACATGTACATTACCAGCCATTATTGCCCACTACAGTAGTCGGGAATTTAACGTTAGGAAATGTAGCAGGACCTTTGCCAGCGTCCGAAGCCAACGTGCCACGAACTTCCTGTCAACAAGTACGCTGTTGAACCGGATTCTGCACCACAGGTTGAAAAAGAGCCGCGCAGACCAGGGCCCAGAAATTGACGACCAAATGCCACATAGGTAGGTAATCGTATGCGAACGATTGTGCAGTCGTTGAGTGCTGTACAGTCGTTGAGCTCAGTGAGCAGTAGACTGCACTCTTCAGCGCGTATGTACAACGAGTCTCCTGCTCGTGTACATCCACAATCCACGGATTTCGCAGCTACCCAACGTTAAATCAGTGTACCCCCAGAACCACACACAGGTACCTAGGCCAGCTTCCTGCCATTTATTGAGTGTACCGCCTACATCTACCTAATGTTAATTTATTAGAGAGACTTCGCAGCTACTGACGTTAAATCATTGTACCCTCGACACTCAACACTGCATTGGCCGGCTTCCCACCATTAATTGAGCGTAGCGTGTACATTAATCTAACGTTAATTTAGTGGCTAACTAGCATTAATCATTGTATTCTCTACATGTATCTACACTGGTGTCTGGTCGGCCTCAAAGGCCCCTACGCAGGTTTCCATTACTACTCCATCGATTCCTCCTATTGATACGACTACAATCTCATGAGAGTTGGTTAAAACGCAGCTTGCATTTAATGCTCATCTCGTTTTATTTCAAAGGACAATGTCACTTTTTCGCTAAAGTCATGTATGCGTTTGCCTCTGTCCGTCTCCGCTTCGATTTGGGATTCCAGCTCGGTCACCACCTTGCTCAGCACGTTGTAGTGACAGAGGCGCGGCGATACCCAAGCTGCAAAATATCCGGTTGTCAAAAGAGCAATTTGATTTATCAAGGAAGTCAGACATTTGAGATTTAGTCCATTGCGCTTTGTTCTGCGCTGTTCTATAACAGCGTACCCTGCGAGACTCCAGTCAGTACGGCTACCCTAGACAGGCGATCCGAAAGCATTCCTAATCGTACTGCGCATCTCCCGGGCAGCAAATGCTCCAATACTTCTTTTAAAGTGAGGGAATACAAGCAAATTATCTGATAAGATGCTGTGATCCCTCTTCGTATCGATGGCCTTGGCTGCAGCTTTGGTGCACGTGTAAGCCAGCGTCCGACATGTACGAGCTGCCAGTTCGGGAAGTTTGAGCATCCCGGCGGCATCCGCATCTGCTGTTATCCGCTCGCAATCAACGCCGAGATGGCCGGAAAGACGGCTGAAAGATGCATCGTAGTGGCGCCTCGGTTCCACCCTCCCGCAGCGACCTGATCTATATGAAGGAGCAAAGGCCCATCCTCTCCCCCATACCCCTCTCAAAGACTGACATCAATGAAGCACCCTCTATCATGACGAGCATCATGTCAGGAATCATCCCGCGCACCGCGCCGCCCGTCGCTCTGCCGGCGTCTAACAGCACCGTCATAGTGCGCGCCATCGACACCGAGACGAAGATGCTCGGCAACGCCGACGCCTTTGTCCAGCCGGCCATCCCCGGCCACGAGATGCTCAACTTCACAACCATGTGTTTTCTCCTCGAGCACCGGGACGAGTCGGGCGCCGCCGAGTACGTCTTGTTTGACTGTGGCCTCCGCAGCGACGTTTGGAATACCACGCCCGACATCCAGCACATGATCAAAACTTTCATCCCGGGCATGGACGTGAACCGCGGCGTCGACGAGATTCTCACAGACAATGGTTTCAACCTGTCCAATCTAAGTAGGCTGGTTCTTCCATTTTTAAGAAAAAAAAGTGACTTACACGAAGCAGGGGCCATGGTTTGGAGCCACTGGCACTGGGACCACATCGGTGACGGGGCCAAGTATCCGTCCTCGACGGACATTGTGGTCGGGCCTGGATTTATTGAAAATTTTGTGCCGGGATGGCCAATAAACCCCAATGGAAAAGTGCCGGCCAGCTCGCTTGAGTAAGAAAAGACCTGGGATACATTGTCGCAGGCTAACGAAACCTTCAGAGGTCACCACATTCACGAGCCTGACTTTCCGCTTCAAGTGGGAGGGTTACGCGCACATGACTACTTTGGCGATGGCTCCTTCTACATACTGGATGTTCCTGGTGTAAGTTCATTTACCCTTTGGAACTGTTTTGTCTTCTAAAATCTTAGCAGCACGCGGTTGGGCATATTTGCGGCCTGGCCCGAACCACCCCCGACACGTTCATCCTGATGGGTGGCGATTGCTCGCACTTTGCTGGGATGATACGGCCGACAGAATACGTTCCCATACCTGATACAATCCCCGCTGGACAGCTCGACCCTTACTATCCCCCTTCATGCCCTTGCTCCGCCTTCACCATCCTTCACCCGGCGGCGTCTGCCGACGACGCTGCCGACACTAGGCCAGCACCGCCTGAGACGCGCTGCAAGCCTTTTTACGACGTATCGCGCAGCCCACACGGAGCGTACGAGTTTGGCGATCTCGCGCAGGAGAGTGTGGACAAGGTCAAGATCCTGGACGCCCAGGAAAACGTCTTCGTCTGTCTGGCCCACGACGGCGCGCTCATGGCTGTGCTGCCGCTGTACAACGATGATGTCAACGCGACGATCAATGGTTGGAAGGAGCGCGGGTACAAGGAGAAGACAAGATGGGGCTTTCTGAATGAGCTTCCGAGAGATGGGAAACCAGGCAGACCGCCTCTGACGGTCGGGCTGTGGCGCAACGGGAACAGAGTGGTCTGGAAGGAGGGAGAGGGCCTAGTGGAATCAGGCTAGTAGAAGAAAATGCAAAAATAATAACTGAAATACAAACTGTAGAAGTCGTAAAATACTAGAGACTGGAAATGTGGTTGGGCGTGTTGGTATGAAGAGAGTAAAACTAACTATGCGATTAGATGCCCGCGTCTACTTTCCTAACAAACTATATCTTTGGGAATGAAGAACCATGCTGAAATTTAATGTAATTAAGGTTTTTTCTGAGGTGACCTTCGAGTTTATCCAAGACAAATGCTGCTTAGCCGCTGAATTTGTATCCAATATTATCAGTTGAGAGGTAGCAGGCAGTTCCGAACCGGGACGTACAGTGTGGCGTTGTAGCATAACGAAACAGAGGAGGATTTAGAGAAATTGTTATGTGTGAATTGATAAATCAAAAGCTGATTGACGAAGAGAAAACTTAAAAAGTTGACTTTAATTTGCTTCGCCTCTTCGTAGCACGTGTAGTTGGCGATGACTTCGTGACTAGAATGGACGACACGCTAAACACCACTTATACTATGGGAATGGGCGAGGGGAAAGTTTTGGAACTTTGAGAACGTGTCCTCAGAAAGAAATATTCTCCGGTTATTTATTGCGATTGAACCACATTCTTCCTTTGTCCGACAGCCTGCCCTCCAACTTGGCCCAGTGTTCATCTCTTGAAATCGCCCTTCACCTCCATTCCTACGTCTGCTATGGCTTCCGAAACGGGCAGCATAGAATTCGCAAGGAGCATGCTTTTTGAAACCGGCCTTGAAGGTGATATGGTCCCCATCGTGCAGAATTACATCCATGTTCACCGCCAATGTGGCCTTTGCCACCAGAATTTCGATTACCGGGAGCCCATGGTCGCTCTGATACACATCAATGGAAAGGTCGAAGCCATCCGCGTCGAACCTCACCCTCTTAAGCCCAGAAACACAACGAAATAGAACATTTCCGTATTCGACCATCGATTACCTGAGGACGGCGACGTATTTACCGACCGCATTGAAAGCAGAACTGACCCTGACGAAGGAGAAACTGCGACGCTACATGCGGACTGTTTTAAGCTATTCCCAAAGACCTGCAAAGAAAAGCTTCAGGATCAGTCACCAGGTCGGCCACAAGGCCAGTTGTAGAAACAGTTGCAAGGTCAGCTGCTTTGGCTGTGGGTGGCATCCGTGGCCATGTTTCCGTGGAGGGAGGTTCCTCCATCATTCCTTCCTGATAAGCGACCTGACCTTGAGATCGAACAGCCAATCATTCAATCCTGGAATATCCCTCGAGTTCAGAGCTTACCATATGAACTACAACAGATAATTGTCGACAGGACGGGCACTTACATAACAAGGCGGTATGCCGCCGTCCTGCAGCAAGTGCGCCGTCTATTCACAAGAACCTGGAATTGCCTACAACCGCTCATCGGTTGAGCGACATACGCAGCTGGAACCGCGACAGCGCACCTGCTGTTGAGCCGATCGCTGAGACAAATGACACGAAATTCATCCGCATCACCATTGATTCTAATGGTATCAGGAAGATTGCCCGCGAGTGTCTCACGGAAGATGAAACTGAGCATCACCAAATTTCCGACCGCGAGTTGTATGTAGTCGGGAAGGCCTCATCTGTTGCAACTGTCACGGCCAATTTTAAAGTACATCTCCTTCTTCCCCTTTCTCAAGTGTAGCCCTCCGTTCTCTTCTTTGAAAGCATCGCAGAAAAGGAAAAAAAATTGACTGACAACGAAACTGTAGCTGGGGCGCTGTCGGCTTGGTGTTCCCACACACGTAAAACTGTCGTGCTGGAACACGCCAAAACCAACAAAACTTGACGCTTCTCTCTCTTCAATTCTGCAGTACTGGATCCCGCTGTTCGCTGCACTGGACACTGCGTCCTGCTTTGGCATCACCTTCTTCTCCGTCAATAGGTGCATTGCTGCAGTTCATGCACACACCGCCCGCGCACCGACAGCAACCGACACATTTGACACGCTTCATCCCATTCACAAGAACGGGGCTGTCTGGGTCTATATTCCGTTGCCTGCTGGCGAAGAGGTGCTTGGGATCGGCCTACAGCGGTATCGACAGTCATCCTTCCTTTTCGGGGGGCCGCCAGGTGTTATTGTAAGTCCTTGCATGCACACCAGACTCTCTGTACCGAATCTAACAACCTACGCAACAAGATGGAACTGAAACAGCAAGGCCGGATATCCGTGGGCAGAACGAGATCTAATGTGGTGGAGGAACTAGTCGTTCCCACGAGCGGCCGGCCGCTACTGCTCTACAGTGTGCAGGACACCTCAGACATGCTCTGCATCCCTGGTGACGGCATCGAGGTGGCTGCACCTTATCCGCACGCCGCGAAAATGAAAAGTCCGGCGCGAGGCGTAGACAGTTTCCTCCACGGCTGATTAACGGGTATCATTCCTGTGCACCCCTCGAGAATGTCATTGCAGTGGACGTGTTTTGTGAGGCGAAATCGCGCATATACCGAGGGATTCTGCTATACTACGAGGATAGGAGTCAGAGGGCAGTCGGAGAGTGCCGATTTGGCATGGAAGAAGTTGTGCATACTCAAACTCCGGTTTGGATGTGCATCTCGAGAGAGACCCAACAATGTGCGAAAGGTAGCGGCCATGTCGTTGACTTTATTGATGAGGCGACGCTGATTAGGGAGGGGGGGAGACTGGACAACGAGCAGCTTTCATGGCACAAAATGCAAGGCCGAGCTGAATGTTGGACTAATGAAAAGACAGCCCAGCTTAGAATAGTTGATGCAGCTCAAACTAATGGCGAGGGCTCGACCTAGTTTGTGCATAGAACTCTTTTACACTCGCGCCTTGCCTTCATAGTTGGGAAAATTATCGACGCTGATGCAAACCGATGAGAACAAGGTGGAATATTGACTTGAATTCGTTAGGCAGGAATGACAGAACAGACACCTATTTCTTGGTGAGAGCTGTACTTTTGACTCTTTTATTTTATGCCTGTAGCGCTGAAGACAATTAGATTACTAATTTGTAGGGCTAGAAATAGCTGATTAGTATTGAAGCTGCATAACTATTTTTAGCTGATCCAAGCTGACAGAAATGTTTGCGCAGCCAGTGGTGTAATGGAGTCAGCATCGGAGAAGATGCTGATAGCCGCAATAGCCTCCCGTCGTTTGCATACAGTGTGACTCTTCATTCCTTATTTTTGGAAATTTCTTTTAATAGTTAACCTTACTTTTCTATGTTTAATCCACCTCCTTTTTTCTGCTTGTTTGTGCTATTTTTCTTCTGTGGCAAGCTCGACGACCCTCATGCTCTATGCCTTGGCTTCATTTGTTTGTGATGTTACTCAACAGCTTTGTGCTTTATCTAGGTATTGTTTCATATCTATTTTATTATTTTATACTGGTCAGCTGTACTTGTCTTGTACTTGCCACACTTTTTGCCTTGTCTGAACTCATGTGTGCCCTAAGATCTCTCAAGTATATAAGCCGCGCTCCCTCTTCATCTACAAGTCCACGCCTCTCCTTCCCCTCATCATAGCCACAAAATTTCAACATCTCTGTTATCAAAATCGAAAGCACACCACCTACTTACTCAAGATGACCGAATTCCTCTCCAAATCTTCAAAGAAAGTTATCAATATCGCAGACTTCGGCATCGATGAGAAGCCTACGGAAGACGTTAATCACATCTATATTGATACCAGAGAAGAAGGATTTCGGGATTTCTTCGGCGGCTACGTCCCCCAATCCAGGCCCGAGGATGCCCCGACATTTCACTTGATCGAGCGTTTCAACCACCAAAGCACGAAAACGGTTTGGGAGCACCTCTTCCAGCAGCACCTTCCAGCAGCACCTGGATGAACAGCAGCCCGTGAGCCTGGATAATCTGGAGAAAGCTTTACAAACTCTCAGCCTAACTAATCGCGAATCCAAACTGCGTCTGTTCTGGGCGGCGGCGAAGGACGGCGAGAATTGCCAGGATCTCGACAAGCGCGCGCGCAACCGCTAAAACGCTTCTTTCTAGGGCTGGCGATGACTACAAGGCGGCATGGATGTTGACTGTCAAAGGGCAGTACGCACGACTCTGGGGGTTCGCTTTCAAGGGGGTCTGCGCTGATAGGAGGAACGTGTGGATATCGCTACTCCCACGCTCTTCCCACAACAACACGCCCGGCGATTACAGCAGCCTATATAAGGATTTGAAGAATGACCACCAGGAGATTTTTGGGATGCTCAAGTGGGCGCACGCTTACAAGGGGTTGTCAACGAAGCAGGTCATCAGCGCCGCCAACGGCGAGGAAGACAACATGTGGGTCGAGAAGGGCGGCACTCTTCAGCCAGTTTCCATCTTGCGGAGGGATGGTGACAGTTTCATCGTCAGGAAATTGCCCAATAAGGGCGAGCGAGAGGTACCGACATCGGGCTGGCATCCTGCATTTTTCCTCAACGCAAACGGCGTCGAAAAGCAGTGCTGGCAGGGCCACCAGCTCTGGTCGCTCGACAACCTCGAGCATTACCTACATTCGATGAGACCCGGATCGCCTCACCGAATTTGGGGCTTTCTTGGCTAGGAAAGGACCGGGGCAGACGCTTGTTGAGATGCACGGTCATCTTTGTCATTTGCGCTTAGAGCTTGCCTTTCACGGATGAGACAATCAGCGGGCCAGATACAAACTGGATTGTCATGGCGAGGTGAATATTGGCTTGGATTTCATTGGTTGGAAATGAACAGAGGCGGACACTTAACATGAGCTACCTTTCTTTCTCTTTTTATGCTTGTACCTCGCCTTTCAGGGCTGAAGACAAGATTAGATTAGCAATTTTTATCCCGATTTTATCAATTCATTTAGCATGGACCTGTGAAGAAACAAGCGCCGAATCGGCCGAAGCACCGTATGTAAGCATCCCAGCGGCGCACCCCGGAAGAAGGTCGGCGCGACCAACAGCCTCGCGGTTTCCTTTTTTGGCTTCCATACAGATCATCGTCCATCTAAATTCATCGGGCGGCCCCCACTGTAGCACCCCGGGAGCCTTTCCCGGTGTTTTTATGGTAAGGCAAAAAACTCGTCCCCTTCTGTCCTCGCCCGGCCCCCAAATCCGTCGACCCTCCGGGGCAGCCGGGGCAGCCGGGCGGCTCTCAGCCTTGGTCCGGGTGGCTTGGTCTGCCCCACTTTCAGCGGTCGCCCGATTAGGCAACTTTCCTGGCACAATCTCCACCTTCCACATTGGTGGCCTGAGTCACATTCTCCTCTGTTCCGGGCTGGCTGTAGTTTCTCTGGCCGTTTAGTCTCCCTAAGACGTGACTGTCATACATGCCAAAGACCCTCGCCCTTAGTTGAGTACCGCTCGGGGTGTCATGCAGACAACCGCAGGGTATTTGTCTATCTAGATGATGCGAGAAGAGACATTACAGTGGGTGATCGGAAAAAGTGGTATTTCGCTCGAATCTATGTAAAAGACGGAGTATCCGGTACTCCCTCCACGTCTGGCACAGCCAAACCACGCTGCAAGCCAGTGCAGCGAAGTGTTGCAACAAAAAAGGAAAAAAAGACAGAAAAATCCCTGTAAGTCGTCAAAATCAATGCTCCCTAACCGTGTATCCGTAAGTCGTGTCCCATGATATCCTGATTCCGAGAGGGGTGCGTCTTGGTGAAATGAAATGTGTGCTCGGGCTCGAGCTGGTAAAGTGAGATGAGATGCGTTGCAAAGCGTCGCGTGCTTCTCCGAAAACGATGTTATAAATACGCTTTCAAGAAAACAGAGGAAATTTGAAGATAATTCCACAAGCGCAACAAAGAGTTGCTTGGCGTCAACGGGTATCCAGGCAATTCGAGTCTGTCGACGCCAAGTCGTCGACCTGACCTCGTCGTCATAAAACATGAGTGGTAAATGCGCCCAGCCAGCCCAAAAAGGGGGGGGGGGGCTTCAACTGAGAGGAGAGTTCATTGTAGATTCGTCGCGTGTCTTGCGGCGGCGAGCTGTGCCGAGAGCCGGGAGGGATTCGCCGAGACGTAGAGGAAGACGATCCAGTCGCGGAGCCGAAACGGGTTCAGGCGCGCGCGCCCCGGTCCGCGAGCGCAGCCGACGACCGCCCAAGACGGCGCGTTTCACTTGTAGCCTCGCGCCGTCGAGCGGTAGCTGCTGTAACCCGAGTCCGAGTAGGTGTGGTGGTGAGCGGCGGCGGCCTGGCGAGGGGCGTGGGCGACGCAGGCGTAGCCGACGAGGATGGTGCGCTGTTGGACTCCGTGCCCGCGGCGGCCGTACGAGGGGCAGCGGTCGACGGCGTGCTGGTAGTAGAGGCAGCGGCAGGCCGAGTACAGTTCGATGAGTTGGTAGCACATGGTGGGAAGTTGTGGATGTGAACGGAGCTGGCGTTGTCTGGCCTAGGGACTGGGATGGCCGGACGGTCTCGCGGACCTGGTTGCCACTCGGGGGCGATGATATAGACCGTGGAGTCTAGCAGTGATTTGTGTGTTGTATGCAGTATATTTGGTTACAACTTCAACAAATCGAGGAATGGTCGTAAGTTTTTTTTAAGCTTTTTTTCTGCGTGTGTCTCGTGATGTTCAGAAAGGGTATCTTGTGTAGGCGTGGGCACGACAAAGTTGAGAGGTCACAGAAGTATGGAGAGGTAGGAGGCAGACTGCGCGTTGTGGAAATGTAGAATCAAGAAGAAGAAGGAAAGAGAAGAGAGAGACAAGAAGAAAGAACCCAAGGAAACTTTTTGTCTCTTTTCAAAAGAGAAACGAGAGAGTGACTGAGTGTCTGCAGTATGCGGGACGGATAGGCAGAAGAGGAACCATCCCGGAAGAGGCAGGGACTTGTAGCCTTATAATCTCGGGACCTGGCAGCCTAGAGCGGCATGGGGATGGGACTGCGAATACCCACCTTTCCACGACCACCTTGAAGAAGAGAGAAGAAAAGTAAAAATAGTCTACGATGCATGGGGCTTGGGACGGGCGGGAAGATGGAGTCGGGAGATGCGGAATGTGGACATGGGATGGGCGAGGATGTGTTGAGCAGACGAGGGGGGGCGGAAGGGTGGCAATAGCATGGGTGGTAATAGCTATGACTTCTTGATAATCGGTAGTACGAATTAAAAATGTATAGAGAGAGAAAGACTGGGAGAGAACAAGAGGGTGTTGGTGTTATTGACGAGGGGGTGTGCGTGACCAGTGACTAACAAGACTCTGACTGACGAGCGAAGCGCAGCAGCCAAGCAACAAGGCGCCAGATTGGGGCATTGATTTGTGTCTGTCCTGCCCATATTTCCCGACAGCTTTTCCTTGGAATTGAGCAGAGAAAGAAGGAAGCGGCCACGTAGAGTAGTGGGCGCAGCCAATGAGCCGCTCGCTGCCTGGGAACGCAGCGTTGATGGAAGCAAGCAAGAAGGCGGAGCTTTCTAGGTTAGTTAGTAGGCGAAGAAAGAAAGAGTCATCCACTGGGGCGTCAACTGACGAACCCGGTTTTGGGTCCAAAGGGCCAGATATGCGGCAGGGCTGAATTGGTGTGGGACAGGCGGACAGGCGCGACAGGGGGGGGGTTAAGAGCTGCTGATAACTATCTATTGGGACAATGCAGAAAATACAGGATTATTGCTATTACTCGGAAATTTGGTATGACAGTGCTAGTAATTCACCTGGATATCATCTTCAAGTTCGGCAAAGAGTTGCACGTTGATACCCGTCTAGTTAGGCCTTTGAAACATGTAAGTTGTTCGACGCTTCCAGGTTCACTGCCCTGTACCTGCTTTTTTTTCGGCAAAGCAACACAATACCAAAGTTGCACACACAGCAAGGCTGCCATGAACTGGATGACTTCATTGGCCGCTGCCCGCTGGGTTTGGGAATTGACGTCGATCAAGTTGCCGTCTTCGGTACAGTGCATCCATCCTAGCGGGTTACAGGCAACCACGGCGAGCTGCAGATTCATTACCTACAGCGCTTCATGGCCCTGTATTTCAGCGTCGCCCTGCAGCCAAGACAGCCCCTGCACCCCAAATGGCAGACAACCTGCCGCAATCATCAGGCAGCCCTTTCGCCATTGATCCTTCTCTTTTCTCTTCTTCTCATTCGACATTATTTTCGACCTCGCTTGCTCGGCAGTGATGAGTGGGTTCACGTGCTGCCCCCTCGCCCGCAGCAAACAGTCATCGCAGTCCAGGCATCCCACCGCCCACCACCCACACCGGCCAGGCACCCAGGCAGCCTCGCCCGTTTGTTCGTCACCTTGCATCGTCATGTCCCCGTGGCCCGTTTCATCACCTCTTGTACTTCAAACTCGCATCTACTGCAATCAGTTTGTTTTCTCGAATTGACTCATCACCGCCGGTTGGTTTTCTTCATCATCGGCATATCCACGAGACCAGCTTTCGTCATGCTCTGCAGATGCCCAGGATATCCTCACAGCCCTCTACATCTCCACAACAGCCTCGCACCAGATGTGCGCCGCTCCGCCTACTTTTATTAACCATCGTGGTCCGTGTGCCCCGATGGCCGCCAGCCTCCAAGCTAAAACTGTTAGTCTGACCCATCGGCCGAGCAGCTCTTGCAGATTTCGGATGAATTCGACAGCCGCAGCGACCGGTCGAGATGCAGGGTCAAAACACCGAACAAACGTAGCATACCTATCTACATGACAACAGCCACATCGTATCCCGCGGCGCATACGAGCATCGGCCAACCAAGCGTGGCTGCCATCAGCGGCATAATATCTTGCCGACAGAATGACACGACAAACCGGCCGGTTATGGCCCTCTCGAGGCATCAACATACTAGCAAGCCAGCCGCTACAGTCATGACCAAATGGGGTTGAAGATGGCATGACAATGCGCAATTTCTTAAGCGAAGGCGGCTTACACTGGCTGCATGCAGCCCCCATACTTTGAGAAGCAAGAACTCGATGACGGTTCCAGGCCACGGAGCACCCCTTAACCGCCGCTAATTCGCATACCACCGTAGCTGTACAGAGCTGGAGACATGCAAACAACTCCAAACACGAAATAACAGCCGAGTTCTTCTCACCGGTGGATTTTCTGCAGCTACATGTCGGAGATGCGGACGGGCCGTTGCCGCCTGCCAACGGCTCGCTAATAATAGCCCGGGCCATGCATCATCATCGCAAGCAAGAAAGCCACAGAGAGTCACCGGGCCTGGCAGCTGGAGTCGGTGGGCAATTCTGGTTCCAAGACGCGGGCATCTAGGCCCTCGCGTGTAAGTCGGTTCGCCCCGGTTCAGGTTTGCGACGCAGCACGCTGCGGGTACGCCCATCGCGACGCCTCGATGCTGTTTTTTTCCTTGTTTTGTACAAATGTTGTATTTGCCGCCGCAACGTGCACCTCGCCTTGCTGCTACCGCAGTCCGACAAGGTACTGGAGCGACTCAGCCTCTACTTGCTTTGCGGCATGCGTTGAGGCAGAATGACAGCGGCATGAAACACGCCGATGCCTGAATCAAGACGCCGACGATAAACCATCGGGAAAAGTGACCGCCCCATGAGAATAGCTGGGCAACTTAAGGCCGGTGACGAGCGTGCAGTGTTACACTCGCCAGCCTCAAAGCGCGCCGCGCTACACAAGCTGTTGTTTGTCAATTGCGCCGAGGCACTGAAAACAATCTACAGCAGGCTGCTCTCCTTATGCGTTGGTACTGAGCCTCCAAGCTCGCCGCCCTAAGAATTGGCTCAGGGATTCTCCAACAGCCTCTTGGGTGTAGACTAGAGCCGAAATACCTACCGTGGAAGGTGGTAAAACAAGCTTCTCGGCATGTTCTGTTTTTGGCGCTGTTGAGCGGGCTCAACGGGCCGCAAATCCCCAACCTTGGAGCCCGGCCTCGCCGGTGTTCGGTTCTCCACCCGACGCCCGCCCAGGCGGGACCCGCGCTGGTCAGTCACCGACAAGGTGAGATAGATGGATGGCTTCTGCTGCCAGAGTTCGGCCTGCTGCCATCTCGAGCAACTCGTTTGAAAATCAGACGGTACGATGTATTATGGTCTTGACGAGCTGGTTTGGATCTTCGACGGACGCAGGCAGTCACTGTGTATGGCCGCAGTTTGACGTGAATTACCCAGTTTGACAGCATGGAGACTATGTTCGCTGCGCCTCACGACATCAGTCACCGCCCATCACAGCCACACCCACGATAACGGACTGCAGAATGACGCATGGAGGGACGTCTTCAACCGAAACAAAAAAAAGCAGAAATATGGCAATCAGCAACAAATGTGAGTCAACGAAGAAAAAGAAAAGAGTAGAAATAAAATCATCTCCCAATACAGCAGTTTATCTTGACGCAGCCTACTTAGCAGATGACCACGAACTGCTCGTCTTTAAATTGCCAATGCCATGCGAATTGCAACGTCACCTTCACTGCCCGGCGCCCCAGAATGCAGGAACAGGAATACCAGCAAGACGCAGGGTTCCCCCAGCCAGCCCGCCCCTCGTGCCCTACCGAATCCGTTCCCAATTTGCAAAGAATTCGGCCCGGTGTGCTTTTACCTTTCCTCCTCCAACCGAATATGGCAAAGAAGATTTAGTGAGGGTTCGGTGTGGGTGTGTGTGGTCAGCCTCGTCCTCAGCCTCGCCTCGCTGTCCCCGAGAAACTGGATGTACCACGTTTGGGTGTACCACGTTTGTCGTAGTGAACTCCTATCATTTCTTTTGTCTATCTGACTTGCACATGTTGGAGTTGCACCTGAAACAACCGAGCAAAGAAACGATGCAAAAAGGCACCGCAGTAGGAAAGGTTCATCGACGACTACGAGACACGCTGACGCCTCGCCACGTGGTTGATCAGTCACGGATCAAACGACATGCCTCTGGAGGCCTCAAATAATGAATCGACAAGAGGCAAATATTATTTCCGTCTCGTACTGGCCAAGACTCGTCTTTATCAGCACCACCGCTGTCCATGTCTTTGTACTCTTACACCGTCATGTTCCAGAACACACAGAGTTGAACGTTAGGCAACATCAAAATATAATTAACAAAAGTCGAAAAATTGAAAGCTATACCGCCTCCATGAATGCTTAATGATTTGGGTATCCGCATGGGGCTGGGCTCCTCCCCTTCAAAAGCAGTCCTGGCAAAAACGACCCTCATTTCCATTGGACCCTTCTCAACCATCATGATATGACCCGGTTTCCATCATAAAATATTAGAAAAAGACACGACAAGCCCTAATCCCAAACGTCATTGCTATAAATGGGCAAATCTCTTTTGCAAATCATGCTTGCCGCCAAATCAATAAAAAAATACACAATGACTTCATCATCATCAAAGAAATATGGTCGCCCTGTCTATCCTCTTTCATGCAAAAACATTAAATACACGGTTCAAGCCTCAGACCGACGGTTGGCCTTCTAGGCTCGCCGATTCATCGCCGCTGAGGCACCTGCGGCCGCCAAGTCGGGCTTCCCACTAGTTGAGCGAGCCGTAATCCTGGGCAGTCCACTAGAAGAAGATGTCACGCTGCCTGGTCCTGCGCTGGTCCGTCGACTAAGGCTTGCGGCCGTGGCACCAGTCGCTCCAGAGGCTCGTCTCGATGCCGCGTTCAAAGCAACCGCGCCTTTGATCGGACTCGGCACAGTGCGCATCATGCCAAGCGTCTTTGGGGGATCTGGTAGGGGCCTCGACATGGTGATGGTGTTGTTACGTTTGACTGGGGACGACTCTCTTGTTGGCATGCGAGGAGCAGGCGGCATCTTTTGACCTGTAATGAACTCATGATGAACTGCATCCTCGGGTTTTAAGCGGCGGTCGGGGTCCCATCGTAGGCAGCGAGCCAAAAAGTCGACAAAGGCTTCATCGTCGCACTTGATCGCCTGCTGCAACGTCTTGGAAGACGGTCGTCGTCTTCGACCCTTGGAAGAAACCGTCAAACGAGGCTTGCCCATCGAGTCAAAGAAGAGCTTCTTGCGAGTACTCTTCTCAATCAGATGCTTCTCAGGTGGACCAAAAACCTCCATGATGCAAGCAAGCTGCTCCTGCTCGTTCTCGCCGGGGAAAATAGGCACACCAGTAAAGAGCTCTGCGAGAATGCAGCCAACACTCCACATGTCGATCGGCAGACCATACGTCATTCCTAGAATAACCTCCGGGGATCGGTAGAAGCGAGACTGGATGTAGGTATAAACTTTTTCGTTCTCGAAGCAGCTGGAGCCAAAGTCGATGACCTTGAGCTCCGAATGCAAAGGGTGCTTCAGCAGAATGTTCTCTGGCTTCAAGTCGCAGTGAATAATCTTGCGCTGTTTGAGCAGAATCAGTGAGCTGAGAATCTGCTTCGTGAATCGTCGAATAATCTTGAGCGAAAACCCGCGGAAGGAGTGCGCCTTGATAAATTCGTAAAGATTCATATCAAGCAGCTCGGTCGAGATGCAAAGGTGTCCACGAAAGTAAAAGCTCTGTGTAAAGCTGACCATACTATGTTTATCATGAGGGTCCTGTTATACTAGTCAGTCAAAAGCCAGGGTAGAGAGAACCGGGAATCATACCCATTCGCGAAGCTTCTGAAGAATATTAACTTCCACCAAGGCTTGCTGGTGGAAGCGCTTCTTGTTGCGAATAATCTTGATAGCAACCAGCTTTCCGAGCTTGTGGTCAATGCATCGAAGTACCTGTCCAAAACTACCCTTTCCAAGGACGTCCACAATCTCGTAGCGATACGCTAGGTGATCGCCAGCAACAATGGTGTAGTCGCCACGTTCATCGTCATAGCCAAAATTGGGGGAACCTGACTGCAAATCGCCCACCACTTTGCGAGCACTTTGCGTACCACAAAAGTAAACATCGCTATAGTCAATAATCTCGCCTCGTTCGTAAATGTTGAGCATAGCAATGCGAATAGCTTCCTGGGGGCCGACACGCTCCTTCGGGGTTGCCCTTCTCTTGAGTGCATCTAGAGTTCGGGCGGCAATATCTGTCTCCTTGCGTCGAGAGCCCATCTTGCGCATCTCCTCGTTGGCTGCCAGATCGTCTTTGTCAAGTTCGTTTGCGCTGTACGCACCCGTCTGTCGCAAAGTCGTCGATGAGCTCTTTGGTTTCAGGGACTTGTGGGTAGAGTGCACAATTCGGCTGATGGGCTTCATGTGGGAGTAGTCGTCAGAATCTTTGCGATTGCCCCACGATTCACTTTTGGAGTGAGGCAGCATTGTCAGGCTTTGCGCAGAGCTCTTCCGGGTTCGTTGCTCATTAGTCGTACTCGTAGCAGCCGATATCGTGGGGCTTCGCGTTTTGGCATTATACAAGTTGTTTACTGTGGTTGACTTGGGCAAGCGGGGGACTACCTCGGTTGAGGACTTGTCGCCGGTATCATGTACATCCCCATGATTCTTGGAGGCGCTGCGTTTCCACGACAGACTCAGTTTGCGTCGAAGTGAGCTTATGGACGAAGGCGTAGGGGGCTCATCAGGAGTCGGCGCTGGTCCAGGGGACTTTGGCGTATATTTGGTCGTATCAATCGATCTGGCGCCCGGCTTCTTGGAGTTCTGGCCCTCGGTAAGATTGCCGGTGACTGTGGAATAATCACCACTGGCCTTAGATCGCTTGTGGCCGCTGAAGCTGAAGCCACCTCGGGGAAGCGATGAGGAGAGGTAAGGCGAAATGCTGTATTTGCTATTGGGCTCCTGAATAATGATGGATGACGAATCAGACGAGCCTGCATCGGGAGGAGATCTATTCTTTCGGTGGCTGTGATGCACAGTGCTACTACTCCTCAGCGCGGGCAATTCCATTGAATCATCGTATCGGTTCTGGAAAAAAGAGCTCTTGGAGGCAGTCATGGGAGTAGTCGGCGTCTTGGGGACGTGTCGAGTTGGCGGCGGACTAGACCGAGGCTCTTTGGCAGGCTGATCTTGCAGGGCGGCTACTTTTGCGGCGGTCGGGATACTCAACGGAGCGAGATTCAGAGGTGGCAGAGTTAATGGCTGTAGATGCCTCCTCGATTGACCAGTCTGCTTCTCTTCTTTGCCAGATGTGGCCATTGTGCTCTTTCTAGCACTTGGACGACGCTTGGGCTTTGCAGGCTCGGGCGGAGCAGGTAGCGAAATGCTGCCGGTTGAGTTGCTGTGAATACTCAAAGTTTCCACAGAACTGAGAGCAGAGCGCTTCTTATCGAGGAAGTATGGGCCAGCAGGCGCGTTATCTTTGGGTGATTCGTATACCTTAGGAATAGCTGGTACGGGAGGGACATCCTCATCTTCCTCATTCTGGCTGGAGCTGGTATGGGAGCTGTGACCGGTTTTGGGTGCCGGTAGCCGTGAGCCCGAAGCCTGCGGTTGCCCGCGTGCCTGCGTTGCATTTGCTGATGTTTGATGACCAAAGGTGAAGCTGCCAGTAGAGCCAACGGAGAGGCCAGAGGTATGGGATTTTCGACTATGATCGGGGGTTGTACGAGCGGACGAAGGCGTGAGTGACGGTTTTCTCGGATTGAGGGAAGGAGACCTAGAGGCTGATCTATTGTCCATCGATACCGGAGGTGGGGGCTGTATGTTGCCGGCGTGGTTCAATGGCTGGGGCGGCGGAGGCATCATGGACATTCGCTTCATACGACGCGTGTCAGTTGGACTGATAGTCCTCGCCCCAAGGCCACTTGCGTGCGCTGAATGACCTGTACCGGGCATCATGGAGGCTCTTTTGTTGGCAGCCGAGGACGTGTTGAGACCAGCGCGATTGTTGGCGTTGAGACGTGGTGAGCGAGCAGCCAGCGAAAGACGATTCGACTCTACACCGTAGGCACTGAGGCCCGGCTGGGCGACACGCGGGGGAGGCTGCACAGATTTGGCCTTGGCAGCTCGAGACGCGTTGAAAGGCCTCGTTGCGTCTGAGCCATCGATCGAAGCCCTGGTTGAATCGGAGCCACCACGATCAGAGATGATGCTGGGCCGGCGACGCTGAGCACTCGAATACGTGTCTGAATCAACCAAGATTCCAGGGCCCATCGACTTTCGCGGGGGCTTGGCCGCTGCCGTGACGTTGGATACGGGCGGGTACTGGCTCTGGCGACGGGGGCGGACTGGGGCAGGCGCTGTGAGGCCATCTCCAGAGGCGGACCATGAGGAAGCAATAGACGACGTGCTAGGCTGTCGAGTGGAGGTACTTGGTTTGCCTATTATAGAGCTCGAGCGTGCAGGGCGCGTTGTTATCGTCGTGGCCGATGCCGATGAGGGAATGTAGGCTCGATTGCTTGCGTTGGCAGCGTGCACCGAGCTCATCTTGTCTGACGGCTTGGCGACGACCTTGCCTTTGGAATCTAGGATGCTCCCAGTTCCGGTGGGCGAGGGAAACTGTGCGAGTTTGAAATCGGAGGACGAGGATTGAATGCTGGAGTGGAGGTCGTCGAAGCTGACGGAGGGAAGAAAGTCGTAGGAGTTTGAAGACTGGTGTGCAGCATCGCCATTTCGGTTGAACGAAAAGTGCGAGTGGCTGGCCGAAGTGCTGAGCATTGGTGCGTTTGACACGGCGTTGTTGTCAGTGCCTATGGCGGAGTTGGACAAGGAAAGATTGGAAGCGGACTGGGGACTAGAGGCAGTTCCGTTAGCTAGAGGGACACAGGGGAAGAGCGATTGGTTGTGTGATGGCGTACAGTCTGGTTGGAGAGGATTCCGCCCCTCGCGACCCAGCTGTCCGACTTCCTCTCAAGGTCATAGAGTCGACAGTAACGTCTAGGGGAAGTTAGGGGGGAAGAGACGTTTGATGGCGAATTGGTGCTCGGGGCCAGCCAACGTCGGCCAACGTCGAGGGGTTCCTCAGTCCGATCGAGGAGCTGAGTGCATTCGAAAGGCTACCTCATCCCGAAGCTGATGGGGTCTTGTGGGCGTGCAAAAAAGGCAAGGAGACAGGATAGGAGGTGTGAGTCCGTACGCGAAGTGCGAGGCGGTGGAACAAGGGAGGGGTCCCGAAAAAAAGGAATGTCGGCAGCAGCGGACAGGGAGCGGTCGGGAGCCCGTCTCTGGGCGGGAATCGAGGAGGAAGCGAGGTTGGAGGCTGGTGTTGGGGAGGAAAAAGATAGGAGAGAGCGAGAAGCGTTGCAAGGCAAGCAAGCTCTTGGTTGTTTTTTCGAGATGAGGGATGCGGAGGTTGAGACCCACTGGAGGGGGGGCGCTGGGACGGTGACCGGAGCACTTTTAGCAGCAACGGACCACTAACAGGGGAGGAGTGTACAGTTGAAAAAAGAAATGGCTGGGTGCGTGAATTGAAAATAAATTCAAGGTCATGCTGATAATTTTTCCATCTCTATTTTCCTAATTAACACTTTTGCATGGCAACGCGACATGGTCAACTGCCCCTTGCCCGTGGTGCTTGGCTGTTAACTGGTCACTTGCATGAGTGCTGCAGCATGCGCTAGCGGGCTGACCCAGCACCCGCCAGGCGGTCAGGGACTCGGCGGGGGTTGTCCTTGGCCAGCCTTGTCCCTATCATTGTTTATGAATGAAGGTTTGTCTTTCTACAACTGCAAGCCTTGAGTACGAGTATTTTACAATTAGCCACTATTTGAACAACTAGGCAAGTACGCGACAAGTCACTGATGATAGCAAGTACCACTACTTGGCGGGGCACTTTTCCGACACCCACGGCCCGGCGCGAGGCGGCATAGACCCTGGGTACTAGTACCTGTGCCTACCCTCCTTAGGTAAGCCGCTGGCCAACCACATTGTTCCCGATTTCAGTACGATGGTTCAAGAGGGAGAGGACGCGTTTTACAAAATGCATTAAAGAAGGGTCGTCATAACTGTTGTCATACACAATATTTCCAAATTGTCAGGGTCTGAGCCCAATACCGGCAGAGGCGCTCCCCTGGTCCCTGACCATCTCCAGATACCTCTGTACCTAGATTGCGCCGCTAGCTACTCAGTAGTTAGTTAACTATGTATGTAGGTAGGAAGCCAACACTAATAAAGCCGACAGCGCAAGATATCTGGGTACTCCATCTGTCTCCAATTTTGCTGCGAACACCAGGTACCATTGCCTGTTGGACGTCTCATCGACCTATTCAGAGTGGTACCAATTCAACGGAAAAGTCCAAGGCAGATTGGGCCAATTATCAGACCCAGAAGTATATTATGATAACAATCATAATAATAACAAAACAAAGTGCCTGCGCGCCGCTGTCATCTTGCTTCCCAAATGTGGCGCGCCAACCAATCAAACAAGCCCGGGAAACGAGCCCAAGTCAGGGGCACCCGCCCTACGTACATTGCCGTACAGAGTAGATCATTCAAAGGCCGAATGATTGGGCTTTTGTCGATGATCATGGATCATGAAGGCACCGGCTTGGCAGGGGGGAGGAGACCCTTTTATTCCCCAGCAGGATATACAACTACGTGGCATCAAGGAGAAGCAACTTCCAAGAATTGATGCTATAGTTTTTATCAAGCCAATATGTATGACTACCCTATGCGTAAAATTGACGACATTTTTATTGACCCCTTTCAACTTCAAACTCCGAGGCAACAAGAAGAAAACCTTCGTTGAACTAGTCAGTGGCCCTGGCCCCGATCCATGATGCAGTCATTGTTAACTGCCCCCCCAGGTGTAGCGGCAAGATCCACATTGTCTTGCACAAGAAAGACAGTGAGCTACGTGGACTAACTGAAGTCGACTTTTTTTAAGTAATCCTGCGCTATTGCTGCGTCTTTCCGTTCACTTGGCAACAAGTGCGATTCCTCCCCAGGGACGTACTGGCGGAAACTTATTATGGCCTACCTCAGAACGCAAAACTTGCGTTGTATTATCACGAAAGCTACAAAAGATCACCACTTACCACATATCTATTTCAAGGTACCCGTACCTATCTCTTGAAATGGTTAACTCCGAAAACAAGCACTTTAACATGATTTTTACCGCATTTTACCTGCGATTGGTGGCCCTCATGCCGCGTCATTTAGCAATAGGTAGCTTACCCGGGAGGCACGAACAACGAAACCCCAGCACATTCTCTTCGCGCAATCATCTCTGCACTTGGAGATCCCAAAGAGCGAGGATAGTATCCAGCAAGGTTTTAGATTCATGGCTACCGAGATACCTGCAAGCCGTGAGATGCGCACACTTTCAAGCGCCTGTATTTCCACGATACAAATAAACCTTCCCTAGATGAAAAGACCGCAATGATGGGGATACGCCTTCCCCGAGAAATCATGCTTGCGCTGCTCAACCGTCTCACTCGGCGTCTTGATGGTCAGCTCAACCGCCGATGGGCCCGCCCAGTTGCCCATGACGCTGCGCAGCGGGTACCACTCGCCGCGCACCATGTTCACCTCCGCGCACCTGGGCCTGTTGCCGTCGCCCTCCCACGTCGCCACTACCAGTGGACGCGCCCCCGGGTCCGTCGCGCCGTCGACGCAGCTGAAAGCGCTGCCGTGGCCGAAGAAGACGTCGTTCTCGTTGTCCGACGTCGTGCAGAGCGAGTAGCGGCCCGTCTCGGGAGCGTGGTAGAAGCCCGTGTAGACGAGGGTGAAGTTGTTGGCGTCGACGACGATGCCGCCGTTGGTCTGCTTGGTCCAGCCGATGGCGTAGGCCGCGTTGGGGACCGCGGGGCTCGGGTACACTAGGGGGAAGGTGGCGGGCGGGCCGGCGTCCTGCGGGAAGAAGACAATGTTGGTGAGGGCGGAGGCGAGGGGACGCAGGCGCTGCGTGATGTAGTAGGACCAGGGGAGGCTGCCCTGGCGGCTATAGCCGGCGAAGGGGTTGGAGTAGTAGTCGATGTTGAGGCCGGAGGCGGGGCAGCCGGGCTTGATGAGCGGGCATGGACCGCCGGGTGTTGGTGCTGGGACATGAGTGGTGGTAGTGGTGGTGGTAGGCTGAGTTGATGTGGTGCACTCCGAAGTAGAAGTGGTAGCAGGAAGAGATGTAGTAGTTGGATTAGATGTGGTGGTAGGCTGAGTTGATGTGGTGCTCTCCGAAGTAGAAGTGGTAGCAGGAAGAGATGTAGTAGTTGGCTTAGATGTGGTGGTAGGCTGAGTTGATGTGGTGCTCTCCGAAGTAGAAGTGATAGGAGGACGAGAGGTAGTAGTAGGCTTAGATGTGGTGGTGATGGTCCGAGTTGATGTAGTACTCTCTGAAGTCGAGGTGGTAGGAGGAACAGAAGTGGTGGTATGGATGGTGGTGGTAGGGTGAGAGGTAGACTTAGAGGTGCTGGAGGTTGTGGTTGGGGGCTTGGTTGACGTCGTCCAGCTGCAAGTGGCAGTTATCAACGGAGTCTCAACAACAACCGTTGTGATTCCACAATGGGTGATGACAGTCGTAGTCTTGTGGCCTCCAAGGTAGGGTATAGTGATGGTGGTGATAGCAGGGGGCTTATGCTCTCCATGACCTCCGCCACTGAGATCGAGATCAAGACCTAGATGTACATCTAGTGCAGCAACGTGCTGGAACAGCACTGCAAATGTGAGAGTTTTGACAAGACTGATGAGTGCCATTTTGTCAGAGATGAAAGCTGGGCAGTAACTAACAAGGCTGTGTGACTGGGAGGGCTCATGATGGCTTTATACTCGGTTGCCAAAAAAATTTTTTTTTTACGGCTGAGTGTATATGTAGGGTGCAAATCCATTGCTTTTTAAGTTGTAATTTTCTCAATGTGATTGTTCCGAAACTTGCATGCAAAATATAGACTTTTTGTGCAATCCCGACATCTAGGCCTCAGCCTTTATGCATTGTCGTGATGCTGCTGCAGAGGTAAGACACAGCTGAAGGGGCTGCCGTAGAAGGCCATCACCTTGCAATTGGCTGAGCTTAAAATTGATTGATAATATTATCAGGTAATGTATTAATGTTCGTTCCTCATTGAGTAGAGACGCGAGTCGTTGGGCGTCGATGGACGTTGGTACACCTTTATAGTTGGTGTAGCTGTAAAACCAAACACTGCAATGCGACACCCACCACAGACGAGGCTGACCGTTAAAAGGTAAAGACATATCAAAACAATGTCTTAGACAACGGATAGAGAAAAAGAAACAAAATTATTCGCTTTTTGACCCCCGTATAAATACTTGCTTTTTCAAATTATGGTGATGATCTCGTCTAATCGCCGGACGGCGCCGGCACAATGCTCGCCCTACCCCACCGTCTCTGGGGTGACCTTCAGCGGACCAAACGCCAATCTTCCCGCCTCGGCATGTCGGCATAACGTCACATGTCCCCTTCCACCCAAACCTTGATCAACCTCCATCCTCCAACAGCCACAGCCACAGCCATGCGCAACCATACCTCGACTTGAGATGCGCAAATCATGGCCGATACTCCAAAAGACGATTCGGTGTCCGCCGCCACCGATAATGCGACGCCCACACAACGATACGGCCTGTTTGGCGGGCTAGCCGCCCTGCGCGAACGAGCCAACATCCAAGACCGCCTCGTCGAAAGGTCCGTCTCCCCGCCTCCCAAGAGCCATCGCCATCACCACCCGCTAACTTTCCACCTCCTAGACTCCTCGCGCAGGTCATGCCCGCCGAGGACGGCGAGGTCAGCTTCACGCTCGACGAGGACGTCGCCAACGCCCACCGCGCGCCCGAGTTCAGCCTCGGCCTCATGTCCTACAACTTCCGGCGCTTCAACGCGCGCGCCGGCGTGCTCTTCCAGCTGCAGGACCTGACCGAGTCGCTGCTCGAGTGGCAGCGCCCCTCGCAGACCCTCGCCCTCCTCGCCGTCTACACCCTGCTCTGCCTCGACCCGCACCTCGTCGTCGCCCTGCCGCCCGCGCTGCTCGTCCTCGCCGTGCTCGTGCCGTCCTTCCTCGCCCGCCACCCCGCCCCCCCGCGCGGTACCCTCTCCAGCGACCAGGGCGTCGGCTACTCGGCCGCGGGGCCGCCGCTCGCGCCCCCGGTCACCGTCGCGCCGGTCCGCGAGCTCAGCCGCGACTTCGTCAAGAACATGCGCCGCCTGCAGAACCAGATGGGCGGCTTCGTCACCGCGCACGACCTGGTGGTCGAAAAGGTCCTGCCGCTGACCAACTTTAGCGACGAGGCGCTGTCGTCGGCCGTCTTCCTCTCCGCCGTCGGAGCCATCCTCGTGGCCACCACCACCGCACACCTCGTCCCCTGGCGCTTCGTCTTCCTCGCCGGCGGCTGGGCCCACGTCTGCGCCGCCAACCCCTACGTCGTGCAGTTCCTCGCCGACCTGAAAGCCGGCAAGTTTGGCGACCTCGCCGCCGCCGGCATGGACAAGGTCGCCGCCGAGGCGCTCGAGGGCGGCGACAAGGCCCGCACCTTCGCCGACGGCTGGGTCGCCGCGGACATCATCCTCGACTCGGCGCCGGAGACGCGCGAGGTCGAGATCTTCGAGCTCCAGCGCAAGACCGGCTCCGGCGAGTGGGAGCCGTGGGTGTTCTGCCCGTCGCCGTACGACCCGCTGTCCGCGCCGCGCATCGCGGGCGACCGCCCCGGCGGCACGCGCTTCTTCGAGGACGTTGCGGCGCCGGACGGCTGGGAGTGGAGCGAGAAGAAGTGGGCGCTCGACCTCTGGAGCCGCGAGTGGGTGGAGGAGCGCATCATCACGGGCGTCGAGGTCGAGACCGAGGGCGAGCGCTGGGTCTACGACATGTACGACGAGGCGGCCGACGACGCGCTGCGTCGCTCCCGCGTCGTGGAGAACCCGGACACCGAGGCCGCCAAGAACGTCTCCCGCACCACCAGCTGGGAGGAGGGCGAAGACGGCGCGGGGCTCAAGGGCGAGTGGCGCCGGCGGCGCTGGGTGCGGCTGGTGAAGCGCAAGACCAGCCTGGTGGAGTATTCTTGAGGCTTGCAGCGTGTATCAATACAGTAACAGCAATGATTCATGATGATAGATAATTTTTAGAGTACAAGTTTTGATCATTCTGTAAAGGTTAAAAATGTCTCGGTATAGATGTTCTGTAAATGCCTGCTATATGTCATCGATCTGCTTATGCTCGCTGCCCGCTACGCATGGACAAGGCACAGCTACGAAGTCTTCGCTGTTGAGTCCCCCAGAGTCATCTTGTCCAGAATGGCCAGGATGCCGCCCTGCTTGCCGCGGCCGGCGTCGAGCTCCATCGTCAGCTTCCTCGCGCGCTCAATCAGCGTCGCGAGCACCCCCTTTGTGTACTCGAAGCTGCCGGTGCCCTCCATGTACGCCACGGCGTAGCGCTTGACCTGTACGTCGGCCGTCTTCTGGCGGAGGATGTTGACGAGCTGGAGGTCGTCCGGGCGGGCACGGATGCTGTGTATCACGGGGAAGGAGAACTTGCCCTCGGTGAGGTCCTCGCACATGCCCTTGTGCTGCGAGTACTCGTCCGACTTGAGGTTGATGTAGTCGTCGCGGATCTGGAAGATGAGCCCGATCAGGTTGGCCAGCGGCACGCAGTTGAGCGGCGGGTCGAGCGGCGACTCGGCCTGCATGAGCTTGATGCCGAGGCGGAAGAGGCCGCCCGTCTTGTTGCCGACCATCTCGAGGTAGTCGTCCTCGGACGGGCACGTCAGCGAGTCGCGCCAAAACAGGTCCATGCCCTGGCCGCGGTGCAGGTTGACCAGCTCCTCCGCGAACGTGGCGAGCAGGGCCTTGCCGTTTCCAAGCGCGAGCAGCTCCTGCAGCGCGGCAAAGTAGACGTAGTTGGCGGCGTTGATGGTCTGCGCGACGCCAAAGATGTGGTGCGCAACGGGGAAGCCGCGGCGCAGCTCGGAGCTGTCCTGGACGTCGTCGACGAGCAGCGACGCCTCGTGCAGCATGCCGACGACGCGCGTGATGACGGCCAGGCTGGCGGGCGGCACGCACAGCCACTCGTCAAAGGCGGCGATGAGCTGCGAGCGAATGTCCTTGCCCGGGTGGCTGAGCGCGTAGTCGAACGGCCCGCGCACGATGCGCTCCTTGTCGGAGGTCCACGAGCGCTGCGGCGTGAAGTGCAGGTCCTCGGTGGCATAGCGCGACGGGTCGTCGGGCGTGATGGGCGACAGCTGGTGCTGCATGATGGCGGAGGGGGAGGAGGTGGTGCTGGCGGTGCTGGCGGTGCTGTGCTGGGCGGGAGACTTGAGGGATGGCGAGGAGGCGCTGCCGCTGAGCGGCGAGGGCCGGCGATGGTGGCTTGCGGGGAGGTTGCCGCCACCTGCCCGGGATGAGAAGATGGCCGGTGTCACGGGGACGAAGCCGACTATTTCAGCTGGCGGCTGCGTTGGCGCTGGCGGCGACTTCCGCTGCTGCTGCTGCTGCTGCTGCTGCTGTCCGTTCATAAGCGATGCCCTTGAGCCGGCGTTACTAGAGGTGCGAGGTGGAATCGCCGAGGGCAGTGAGAGGGGGTTGGAAGATGTGCGATGGCGTAGCGATGCTGTCGTCGTCGTCGTCGTCGTTGTATGTGTGGAGTGAGTGGCGTTGGAGCATTCCACAGCTGCAGCCTTGGATGGACCCATTTTATGCCTCGGGAGTTTTAAGAGGGGGCTTTGAAGCAGATGCGACTGTTGTTTGACGCAAGATAGATGAAACAAGAAAAAAATGTTTGTTTCCGGAGTAGAGGAAAAGCCAAGGGAACGAGCAATGGCGCTGTCGATGCTCTTTGGCGCACGGGTTCCACAGGTCTTGGTGAAGATGCAAACAGGCAGCCAGTTTTCGGACCACTAACGCCCGCCGTGGAAACGGCTGACCTAGGCGATGACGTGTTTCTGGACGGCAAGGCGGAGAGCTAGTGGTTCGATCGGCTTCCTTGGCGAGAAAAGTGCCTGTTGAGCAATCTGTTGAGCTGACCGATGGGGATTGGAGAGAGGCAGGCAAGGGTCGCAAGAGGGGCAGATCCCCTTTTGGTCGTTAAGAATGGAGGGGAACGAGATGAGACAGGTAAGAGGGTGAGAGGCTCGGTACCATGCAGGCGATACTGAGCGGCTGAGCAGCGGTTGAGAAGGTCTCGGGTGTGATGACAGAGTTTGCCTGGAGAATAAAAGGAGGTTTGTAGAAATCCCACATGAGCTTCATCCGAGACAAATCAATCATGTGAAGGACCTCGCTAGTGGCGGTTAGACGGCGCTAAGATGCAGTAGGTCAAGGCGCCATGAGGTTAAATCTTAGGTAGGGCGCCTTTCAGCACGCTGTAACAGCTTTTAGGGGATTTTAGGGGTTCTTAGGGGTCCTAGTGTATCGCTGTAGCAGTCTTCTGGGCACCGAGCGCCGGAATTGCCGCACCTCAAGCCAGATCTTGCCAGGCCAGTTGCCTGGTGTTCACCTGCAAGACTTTTTTACGTCTACTGGGACTTTAAGTATACATACATATAGGTCATTTCACTATGTTTCTGAAGTTATCCCGGACTAGAGCTTCAGGGTCGCGACCTCGTTCAGCGGCCGGTTTTTGCAACCTCATGAACAATAGCGGCAACCACTCATCCACTGCCGCTGCCACAAGCCTGTTATCCTTTACTTACTGCAGAACTTGCCGCAAAACGCGGCAGACGATGGCTTGCACCTCTGACGGCATGAGACTTTCTCCACATCGGTGCCGGGTCCATGGTCGCATCTCCGTCTGCATTTCGCCAAGAGAGACTTGTAGCAGGCTTGGAAGTCTCCGCCTTCACACAAGGGGTTTCTCATGACGTCTACCTCTTCCACCTCAGAGCTTTCTCTCTCCAGGATGCTCCCATCTTGGATCAAGGGTGACGCAAGTGCTCCGGTAACCGCGAGCCCGAGAATAATCTGCATGTTTTGTATTAGGCGCCGTGTAAAGGAGAGGTCCCAGTCGTCGGTTTTAACTTGCATAGCCAGCCGCTCGCTTCATCTTGTACAGCTTTGGATGCCGACATTTCTGAGAATGGGCTGTGACTGAGGTTTTATATATCCTGTATGTTCTAGACCAATCTTGAGAATACGGCGAGCTCTTTATACCTCGAGAAACCTTCCTGAGCTGCAATAATTCTTCAGCTGGCTGACAAACCACCCCCGGTGGCTGCTTATGAGCCAAGAAGCCTCTGCCTAGAAACTCGTTTTCCTTCGCTGCTACGATCATGGTTTGATGCAATGCCAGCCACCACCCATTGCCTTTTCCGTATCAGACCCGAGGATTGGAGTATCGTGGGGTGTCACAAACACCAGCCGCTTGATACATGTGACAGAAAATTTCGGACAGTGAATTGGCAATCCTACCTGACAGATCGTGTCTACAATTTCAGCCAAATGAGTGTAAGCTTGATGCGTGGCGTGCGTGGGAGAGCTGGAGAGCTACTTACCTAGCCGCCTTACAAGCTATGTAGCTCTCCAAAAGTAGGCTGTCTCGCCACTGCTGCAAATTTGCACCTTAATAACTACGAGTACTAAGAAATTACAATAGGCGAAGATGGATCTTTAATTGTTAAACAATAATCCACTCCATCGATCTTGGTGGTTGGATTGATCAAGTATCCATCGAGGTACATCATGTTGTATCGACCATGGTTATCGTCCTCCAGCGGCACAGGCTCAGTCTCGTTAGCAAGGCGGCTTGTGAAGCCGCGCGACAAAAAAAGGCCAAGCATTCGGGCTCTTTTAATATTCACCAATGTCTCAGACGATATACAACCAACCTCTCCGCTGAAGGACGACCAAAACGTGTCTTCCAAAGCGTCGTAGTCAGGGAATCTGGACCAGCCATTACGGAGGTGCATTGAACCCGTGAATGCCTGAAGAGAGTGCAATTTCAGGCCAAAAGGGCTAATAACCGCCTCGGCCCAGTCTATAACACCTTTCAAGCAGCATGATTCAGGTCCACGAGCAGATTGCAGGCACCAAAATCTTTGTGGAGGAGAGCCATAGGCAAAGACATTATGCCACTGACTGAGGCTGGGCAAGTGTGTACGTATGGGCGAAATCTCTCTGGAAGGCCGTCCAAAAGAAGGCTCAAGTCTCGTCGATAGCTCTTTTCTAGCCCGTTGCGATATTCTGCAGAAGCTTGCTGCGGAGCGAGCCATGACTGTGAAGAAACTGGGTGAAGTTAGTATCTAGGCTTTACGAGACTCATGGCCACCTACCTTGCAACGCTTGAGAAGAAATTTCGACGAAACGGGTAGAATTCCTGCGCAGTTTGAGGAATACCGCGAGCGAGCACAAAGTCCAGCTGTGTGATGCCTTGCATGCGCGTCATTAGGTGCACCAGCAGGGGTTCGCGCCCATCCTGCTCAGTTCCTAACTCGCCGTGAAATGACACTGTCTGTACCAACGAGCCGTGTACTTTGGCGGCCAGATCCGATGTTTCTGTTTTGAGTGCCAGCGACTTTAGACGGCACTGGATAACGTATTCCAGTTATCGCCGCCGTACACAGTGTAGCTGCACACCCCCTGCACGGGCACGGGAGCAAACTTGTGGCTGTGCGTTATGGCTCAGCATTTCGCCTCGCATTCTTCTCTCGTTGCGGTGGTCTTGGCAAAGAATGCCGCAATCTCGTCGTCGACTGCATATTCAGCCATATCGAGACGGTGCTTGAGAGCCAGCGGGGTCTTGATGTGCTTTCTTGTGGTTTGGCAATTCAGAGATATGTGCGTTGGACTCTTTGACGGTTGCCTGGTAGTGGGTCGGTCCTCTCACGTAATGCAAATAGTAAAAGAGGTCCGAAAGAGTATTTATTTATCCGTAACATGCCATACATGCGCCCGCCCGCAGTGTTCAACAGGGTGCGGGCATGTGTAGGACGGGATCATCAACCTACCACTAATAAGTGGTAGTTAAAGAACGATAAGAAAGAATATCAGCGCGATTTTAATGGACTATCCTACAACGATAAATGGTTTACTTCTGGAAGGTAACTATTTGTGCCTGCCACCTAGTCGCGCGCAAACGGATCTCGGACTACCCTTTTCCGCGGCCTTCGCCTTCAATCTCGATACTTTTGTTCTATGTTTCCGTCCCTGAGGAGAAAAAGAGTCAGTATTGCTTTGTTCTTTGTAAAAAACGGCAACAACTCACTTAACCCGGGCTACAGCCGCACCGGTTACAACTCTCGTAGACATACGGCGGGTTGCAGTAGTAGGTTCTATCGCCGCCGCACCAGCAACCGTTTGTCTTCTGGCTGTTGATGCAGAGCTGGTCCCATACATTGCGGTCGTGAGTGTTGCAGAGGAGGTACGGCGCGCGGGCAGCCAGCCTGCTCGGCACCGGCGCGACTGGGCCGGGGACCGGGTCACCCGCGGCGAAGGTGCTGAGGACACTAGCTACTAGGAGCGCAAGATGAACCGACGTCATTTGTAATTGATGAAGGGCCTCGAGAGGGCAGTTTTGCCTATCCAGAGCGCTTTAAATGGAGTGTCCGGCGCGTCGATCATTGAAAAAGACAAGACGGAGAAATCCCTGCTCTCACATACTGTTGTTGCGTGTCATACAGCAACTGTGATACAGCAGACTCGGCTTCTGCATGATGCATATCAGACGGTGGTTGCACAAAGTAACATCCTGCCTGGGGACAGGAAAGAATCGCAGCGTCATGACCCCCTCCGTCACAATTTCAAAGATGTATTCCGTCCTGTTTAGTAGCGCAGGCTTCTTGCAATGAGCCCAAGTAGCATCGCGGAGAATTTGTACGATATCACGGTGTTGACCGACTGGGGTACGGACAGGGGTAGATGGCATTAATTAATTAATGCACTGACAAAAAAGAGAACAATTCCATCACGAGAATTCTGCAGATCTGGTTTGCCAAATGTTAGCCCAAGCCGATGGTGCTGAGGCTTGTGCTTAGCCAACGTCGGAGCAAGTATTGCGTTGCATGGCATTCAAGAGGTGAATTTCAAAACACGAAAGCTTGAGGAATCGTGCGGAGAGGCCCTTGCTTTTCTTATTGTTGAGCAGTAATATTCAGATCATTGCAGGGGACAACTCCCTGTCACAGCGCAGCCATGGGGTTGGTTGCTGGGGCAACATGGAGCAGGGAATGCACTTCATGCACCCCAGGCGAATCTCCATAATTCCAATGGTCAACCTGCTCGGCCAACGTCCACGGCCTCCCTTCTCATCCATTGTTTGTCCTCATCTTCATGTTTCATTCGATATCGATGCCTACCTGAATTCCTACGACTCAATATACGCCTCCCTCGCGCCACGGCGCCAGTGGTCCCAACGCTAAAGTGCAGAGCTGCCCCGAGTAAACGACAGACTTTCACCACGACGAGATCGTCATCTTCCCTACGATAATCAAAACATCCAAAAAAAAAAGCACAACCACAAACTCTATCACAATGGAAAATCTACTATCTCTCGCCTTTGACAACCTGTCCTCCTACGACGGCCCCAAAGTCCGCAAGGGCCTGCGCCAGGTCGAGGGTCTGCTGGCGCAAATCTGCCTGTCCTCGTCCGGCGGTCGCGACGAGGCCGAGAGTGACGGCTACCACAACGGCGATGAGGGGGAGGATGAGGCGCCCGCTTCGCCGCCGCGTAAGGACCTCGGCCAGCTCGCGCAGGACCCGGCCTTTCGCGAGTTCTTCAAGCTGCAGGAGGGCTTCGAGTGGAACGTCGGCCTGCGTCTCATCAGCACGCTCGACCGGCTCATGGCCAAGGGCGGCGACGGCCAGAACGACCTGCTCATCCTCAGCGCGCTGGACCTCCTGCAGGGCGCGATGCTGCTGCACCCGCCCACCAAGGGCCTCTTTCAGCCCCCCCCCTCCTGTTCCCCCTTGGGCAAAAGTCTAACCTTGTCAACGTTTCAGCTCCTGCTGGACCTCTTGGAGCCGTTCAACTGCCCGGCCATCCAGTCCGCCACGCTGCTCACGCTCGTCGTCGCGCTCATCGACGTCCCCGCCAACACGCGCGTCTTCGAGGCGCTCGACGGCCTGCTGACGGTCACCTCGCTGTTCAAGGCGCGCGCCACGTCGCGCGAGGTCAAGCTGAAGCTGGTCGAGTTCCTGTACTTCTACCTGATGCCGGAGACGCCGTCGATCCCGCGGGCGGAGCGCCGCGACTCGCTACCGGATATGCTCCAGCGCAGCCCGAGCAAGCTCGCGGGGGCGTTTGGCGGCGGCGCTGCGCGCGGGGGGGACAGGCGCGCGCTGGTGGCGGGCACGCTGGCGACGGCGGAGAAGCAGCAGCTGCTGAGCAGGTATCTGAGCAACGTGGAGGACCTGGTGAGGGACCTCCGCACGTGCGCGCCTTTTGGCGGCGTGGTGGCGTGAACGAGGCCCGTCCGAACGCAATGCTTGTGAGGCTTGACGAGACGGTCCACGAGTGTCTACAGCACTGGATGCTGTGACATTTACATTTGATCTTGAAAAGTATCAAGGGATTTGATGACTACTTTGAGTTGGTATGGTTTACTTTTTAGCCTTGACTTGGTCTCTTTTTGCTATCTCTCCTTTCTTTTGTCTGCAAATATCATGTACGAATATGCTTGGAGTTATTTGGTAAATAGACTGCTTGGAATATGAAATGAAAATAGGCATCACGTCGTCATAATAATCATTGACCACCCCTGATATCGGCGCTACTTCGCCGTGATGCCTCCCCCCTCATGATAGTATCAAGTCCCTCCTCTTCCGCAATAGCATTAATTCCTTCTACATCGTTAGCCTCCAGCTCGAAGATCTCCGTCATCGGCCTCTGCCCGTGCGCAGCACCGCCACTGTCGTCGCCGTCCTCGTCGTCACACTGAACGGGGGAGTAGAGCTCGACAGCCGCGACGTCGTTGCCCGGCGCCTCGCTGACCTCCCCCCTCGACTCCCCCGCCCACATGGACTCCGCCGCGCGCGCGCGATACCTCCGCCTGAGCACCCACAGCCACGCACCCAACCCGGCCACCACGCCCACGCCGGCCACCACCGTCACCGCGATGCCCGTCTTGGTCGACGTCGACAACCCCCCGCCGCCACCGGGGTTCACCACCGTGCCGTTGCCGCCGCAGACGTCGCTGGGACAGGTCACCGTCGGGCGGCCCGTCGACGACGTGGTGGTGGTGGTGGTCGTCGTCGTGGTCGTCGTGGTCAGCGCGCCGACGCACTTACCGTCGGAGCGACACTGCGAGCCGAACGGGCAGCAGTTGCCGCCGAGGTCGGGCGGGCACAAGTAGTAGCGCGGCTCCGGGCAGCTCCGCCCGCAGCAGCCCGTTTGCGTGGTGTTGGTGTCGGTGAGGACGGAGGAGGGGGCCGGAAGGAGTACGGTGGCGGTGACTGTGTGCGTGCAAAAGTACGATCGGCTGTTGCAGGGCGACGTGCCGACGCAGTTGGAGCCGAGCGGACAGCAGTTGGAGACGCCGGCGGAGTCGACGAAGCAGTACGAGCCGTTGTCGCAGCACTGGTCCCCGTGTCCCGTGTCCAGGCCTTGGGAAATGTCAGTCAAGTCCAAGCAATATGTAGTACACGGATAGGGGGCAGGGGGGAACGGGAACGGCGCGGCGCGCCTTTGCGCGTCCGGGGGGGAAACGCACAGCTGTGTTGGTTGGCTTCGCATTGTCCATCGCGCTTCCACACGGCACGGTACGCTATCGGCCGACTCTTCATTGTGAGAAGTGCGTTCTTGCAAGCAATCGGAAACGCAAAAGGGGAGCACCCTCGAGTTATAAGACTAGGATGGATTTGTTGCCATGCACCTGATTTTGTTTGCTCCGCGAGGCTGGATGCACGCCCGCACGACCCCGCCAACCTCAGGCGGCAACAACCCCTGCCTTTTATTCCGCCTACCAGGCAAAACTGTCTTGGAAATAGTCTATCGTGCATGCGGCCGCCTGCAGTGCGCGCACCACACCGAGCCTTGCGTCGTCGAGGAGGCCTTCCGGGCCGCACGCGACCACGGCCAGACGGCCCTGTCCGGCGGATGCTGCGACGGCGGCGATGATGGCGGCTGCGTTGGGCCGGCCCATGAGCTGCGAGATGCCGCGCTCGGAGGATGATACGGGCTGTATGTTGACGAATCGCGAAGCATGGAGCGTCACTGAGATGTTGTCCGATTTGACAGCATCGCCGAGGTACTGATCTAGGACCATGCTCGCGAACGCGGGCTCGCGAACTGCCCAGTGTAGGTGCACGTCTGGATTGCGCTTCGGGTCGAGGATCAGGCAAGGGAGATAGGAAATTGGCGTGACGATGCCTGTCCCTCCTACGATGAAAACGACGTGACTATACGTTTGGAGCGGATGGCTCGTGCCGTACGGGCCTTCCACGAGCACCTTGAAGGACTTTGCTTCCTGCGCCAGCTCGCGCAGCTGGGCAGTGAACCCGTCATACGGCCGGATTAAAAAGTCAACAGATGTTGAGCAAGCATCAGTTTTTATCTCAGCAGTTTCGTCACTGTCATGCACGGGTGCAAGCAAGGCTGTGCGCTCCCCCACGCCGCTGGCGGGGGCCGTCGTCACCACGGACGCAACCGTGAACGGGTGACTCTGCAGTCTTGACTGGACGTCTGATAGCACCGTCAGGTAAAAGAACGTGCCCGGGTCTGGCTTGCGCAGCGAATACCACTCCAGGCGCACGCTCAGCTGCACAATGTCTGCAGCCGGGCAGTATAAAGCGTGCGCTTGGCTGCCCCACGACAAAGGACGAAAGGCAGCTGCACGCAGCGCTCTCATCACGCGGTCAAATATCCATATGTAGGTGGGCACTCGGACGAATCCGTTCCAGCGGCCTTCGAAGATGGAAACGTGGCTGTGAATGTGTAAGTCGAGGAAGCCTGCTGGCCTAAGTTGACGCGCGAGGCACTTACCCGAGCATGAAAAATAACAACAAAACTGAAAAGCCAATATGGATGGCAAGAAATAATTCGTAGGAGTATCTCCGTAATGAAGGTTTTGAAAGCGGTATTATTAGAGACATGAAAATTGTAGCCTGCTGTTGTAAGTGGACAGACATTCTTTATCGCTTGAGAGGACTCACCAAGACACCAGCCAGCCAGTACGGCTCAAGGTATTCTGTATACAAGGCATTCCAGCTGCCTTCTACACTTCGTTAGCGACTTTTCAAAGGGGTTCAACAAAACAAGAAACTTACGGCGCAGCAAAAGTACAGTGTAGCCAACAGAGTGCACTATAGCTTGAACTGTAGCAACGCGTGCTGTCCAGCGGTGAAAGCTGTTGTAGGTGCCAAAGTCCCATCCCGTGAGCCAGAGCGCAAAGTTATTGCGCATGCCGAATAGCCATATCAGGGGGAAGTTTACAAAGGCCATAATGCCAGTCCGGTCAGAAACGTAGCGAAGCCCTTGTTCGACGACATCGTCAAAACTAGGTGGCCCACGGTGTAAGTGCGTGCCTACCACAACCACCTCGCAGCAAGTTGACGTACTAATAATTCTCGCGTGTGATGCGGTATCCAATAAACGAGCATGTTATGTTAATGGAGACGAAAGTGAGGATCGTCAGCGATTGCAGTCGAGGCGGCACGCTGCAGCCCCAAACTCTCTGGGCGCATCGGTATCCGAACGTCGAGGGCAGGACGAGCCGACGCTTCAGCCACGAGGCTCGAATAGGAGGCAGCGGCACTAGTTGCAATGATGGATAGGAGTAGTATACGCGGCAGGATGCTAGGTAGAGCCGGTGGAGGAAACCGAAAGCCACCACCAGGACCCAAAACGCCATGACGGCCGCCCTGCGCCGGGATGTGTTAGCGACGGAGCTCGGAGATACGATGAGGACGGCTTCTACCCGTATAAGAAGTGATGAAGGTTTGAATAGCGCCAGGCATCCTGAGTTCTACGTCAACTTGAAAATCATGACTAGAAAGTTTTCCGAGGCCGTACCAGCGTCTGGAACCAACCGACACAGTACTCCGGCGCGGGCAGGACCGGCTCACCACGCGGGAACTGCGGACCAAGGGCATCGCCGCGCCGGATCCGCGCTATGCGCGAAATTTCCTCGCGGGTATAATTCGCAAACCGTGAAAATTCCGGTAGGGATATGTTGAACCGAGCCGCGCACGTGCTGTTCTCGCGCGTCCACGCGAGGCGCCGCGTCGCGGCGCCGCAGTAGAGGTCGACGCAGAGGTAGGTCGACGCCAGGCTCAGGTTGCTCCTGCATCTCTGCTCCTCCAGGGCTCTGTGGGGGACGAAGTCGGTAAACAGGATCGGGTAGAGGGCGCTCTGGCAGCTCTCCGCGCATGTCCGGTTGAACGAGGGCTCCTCGGCGCAGCGTCCGCGGCGGGCGGTCAGAAGCAGAAGACCGAGCGAGGCGAGCTGGGCCTTCATTATTATCACGGTAAGTTTTCAAAAATATTTTTCATGGCTTTTTTAGGCAAGTAGATGTAGGTCCGGGAGGTATTTCTGCGACAAAGTGTTGCTGAGGCACGTCTACGCGCCCGAGGATGCCGGTGATACATGGACGAAGGCATTCCTTATCAGATGCGATTGATAGGCAACGGCTGTAAACGGTCTCCACAGTCAAAGACAGCAAGCACATGAGCGGATCATGTGTGCATTTTCGAGTCACCTTGTCAGGCCATGGAAAAAAAGAGTTAGAAAAGCCCCTTCCCCACATGAAACCCATACTGAAGAGGATTTGTAGCGCAGGTGAGTTTTTCTCGTCCGACATAGGCTTCGTTCGAAGGAGAGGATTCGGGAAATGTCATACGCGGCCCCGGCTGATTATGGCACCATGCGAAGCCACTTGTGCGGCTCGGTATTGGTCTTTTCTAGGAGTCACAATAAAAGGAAAGACTGAAATTGTGCAACGGATGTAAAGAAGATATTCAACATTAATGTTTCGGATTCCGAGCACGTCTCAGACATCGCGACTTAAGCCTCGTGCATCCTCCCCAGCTTACATGCTGCAGAAACCGCGCCCCTGCATCACCAATACCAAGACGGCAATTGATGGCCGGCAATGATACTTTATCAATCAGACCATCAAGTTGCCCCCCTACGCGTGCGCTCGTCTCGGGGATTTCCCAAACCGTCTGCTCCACTGAGCAGCGGAGGCGCAAGTATTCATCCATATAGGCAAAAGCAGGATCCAATAGTAGAGTTGCTAGACTCCGCATTCTCTTGGCACTCTTGAATGAACAATGAAAATTCTCTCCGACAACGCTCCATAGCCGAGCTGAGTTTTTCTTCAGCCTTGGTATTAGTGGAGATGTTGAAGTTGTCCCTGGCTGGAGGTTCATTCATTCAGTCGGTTCTGGTGGTGAAAGGCGATCGCCAAGAGAGGAACTGCAACATCTTTTCTTGGAAAGAAAAACAAATCCCGTCTTATTCCCTGCTTGGCATCCGACGGCGGTGCCCGACGAACCACAGCAACCACATCCTCAGCTGCTGATTGATAAGATCCATCTCAGCTCACTAGTCAGTTAGTCCATCCTCGGGCACCAGGAAACCCCAAGCCTAGGCCGGTACAAACGGCACGTTCTTGAGACGGCGCTTTCTTGGGTGGACTCTCGTGGGTTCGGAAGAGACTAGGAGAAAATTAACGCGGGTCCAGCCTGGTTGTTAAAAGAAGACGTCTTGCCCTGTTGCCATCCTGTCACTTGTCGTCGAGCTTGGATCACCAATTATTGCCTCACCCACAACTCGCCAGGATGACTGAAGCGACCATCAACAGGCAGCCGTCCCGGGACAGCAAAAATCCTGTCGAGGAGCCCGAAGTGACCAAGTTCCAAGAACTCGTCTCAGACGACGACCAGGATGGCGTTCGCATCGCCGAGGCCATCGCCCTGTCTTGGAGCAAGTCCTCCCTCGTTGTGGTGTATTGCTGGTATGTGCACTGTGGTGACGACGATGATGAGTGCTTGAAAGTCTAACGGTAAAGCTTGAAGCATGTGGCTGCTCTACTTTTGCAGGGCCATGATCGGCTCCCTCTCCGAGACTCTCACGCCCTTTGTGACGAGCGACTTCCAGAGCCACTCCCTGATGCCCGTCATCAACGTCATGACCAGCATCCTGTCTGCCGCCACGTACATGCCCATCGCCAAGATCCTCAACATCTGGGACCGTACCTGGGGCTTCTCCGCCATGATGGTCCTCTCGACGCTAGGCCTCGTCCTCATGGCCGCCAGCAAGAGCTTTGCCGTCTACACGGCCGCCAATGTAAGAGAATATGGTTTCCTCATCGACGCTGGCCATCACAGGTTCATCAGCGCCAAAAATGAAAAAATAAAGTAAATAAGAGGGAAAGAATGCTCATTGCTGTCCCATTTAGGTCTTCTACAACATCGGCTTCACGGGCATGATCTTCGCCGTCGACATCATGACGGCCGACTTCTCCTCCCTCAAGATGCGTGCCTTTGCCTACGCGCTGACCTCCTCGTCGTACATCATTACCGCGTTCGGCGGACCAAAGGCCGCCGAGACCATCTACGAGAGCAACTGGCGCTGGGGCTTCGGCGCCTGGACCATTGTCCTGCCCGCCGTGTCGGCGCCGATGATCTACATGCTGCAGCGCGGTAAGCGCCTCGCCAAAGAGAACGGCCTTCTGGATCGGCAGCGGAGCAGCCGCTCCTGGGCGGAGAGCCTCAAGCATCACTTTGTCGAATTTGACGGTGCGTTTCCCCTTGCCCCCCTGCCTTTCTCGTGATGCCGGTCCGATATGCTGACGTGCTTTCAGTCATTGGCGTGTTCCTCCTCAGCGCCGGGTTCGTCCTCTTCCTGCTGCCCTTCACCATCGCCGCCGACTCCAGGGACCAGTGGCGCTCCGCCTACATCATCGCCATGCTCGTCCTCGGGCTCGTCCTCATCGTCGCCTTTGCCCTGTGGGAGCGCCTCGGCGCCAGCGTGCCCGTCGTCCCCTGGAAGCTGCTCAAGTCGCCGTGCGTCATGGGCGCCTGCCTCATCGCCGCCACCTACCAGATCTCCTACGCCTGCTGGAACAGTTACTTCACCTCGTACCTACAGGTCGTCTACGACATCTCCCAGGCGCGCGCCGGGTACATCAACAACATCTTCAACGTCGTCAGCGGAATCGAGCTGTTCCTGGTCGGCATCCTGATCCGCTGGTCCGGCCGCTACAAGTGGGTGTTCATGTGGGGGATCCCGCTGTACATCCTGGGCGTCGGCCTGTTGATCTACTTTCGCCAGCCGAATCACAGCCTGGGGTACATCATCATGTGCCAGATCTTCATGTCGCTGGGCGGCGGCGTCATCATCGGCGGCCAGCAGGTCTCGGTGGTGGCGACGGTGTTACATGACGAGGTCGCCTCCGCCATGGCTGTGCTCTCGCTGATTGCAACTATTGGCGGCGCGATCGGCAACAGCATCTCGGGTGGCATCTGGACCAACACGCTGCCTGGAAAGTTGCAGGAGCTTCTCCCAGACTCCGTCAAGGACCAGTGGCGGGAAATCTACGACGACCTGGATATGCAGCTGAGCTATCCTGTCGGCAGCCCGGAACGGACAGCGATCATGGATGCCTACGCCAGTAGTCAAAAGTTTATGCTTATTGCAGGCACGTGCATCATGGGTCTGTCTCTAATCTGGATGATGATGCTCAAGAATGTCAACCTGAAGAAGATTGACCAGGTCAAGGGTATGGTCCTGTAATTGTCCACATCACAGGTTCACACTCAGCAAGATTGGCTGTAGAAGAAGTAGCAATTTTATTTAATACCGAACTTTTACACTCAAAAAAACTAAGGAAATATTCGTGATTACATGGGCGCGTGCGGGTATATCTAAATCTAGCTGCGCTTCACGCCACGCTCGGCGCAGTACTTGTCAACCTCCTTCTGGAGAGTATCGCGCTGGCGCAGGGCCGCCTCCATGACGTCCTCAGCAACGGCACCCAGGCCCTTTCCGTCCTCGTGGCCCGTCTTGTGGATGACCGCCATCTCGTCCAGCACCGCGAACAGCTGGTTCGGCAACCAGGTGACGATCGGCGAGCCGCCCGTGGCCGTCGGGTGCGATGTGCGCTTGAGGATGTACTCACGCGCGAAGCACCAGTGACGCCAGCGGAAGTCGCGCACCTGGTTCAGGATCTGCAGCCAGAGGCTCCGCGACACGCGCAGCAGGTCCTTCTCCTCCTCCGACGCCGGCGCCGTCGCGCCCTTGAGGCCGAGCGCGTAGGTGCGCAGGTTCAGCTCCTCGGAGCGCTCCTTGGCGAAGAGCAAAAAGGCCTTGTGGTTGCTGGGGCGGTACTTGCGGAAGTCCTTGAGGATCTCCGTCAGCGGGGTCTCCGGCATGGGCACCTGCAGGAAGTTGTCCATCAGGGGCACCATGGAGTCGTTGGCGCCGCTCTCGCCGCGGAAGGACAGCGGCTTGCCGTCGTTGAGCCCCTCGTAGACGACGCCGTTGGGGAACATGGACTGCGAGGTGATGCCGAAGATGAAGGTGCGGAAGCTGGTGTACTCGGTCGGGCGCGACTTCCCCCACATGGTCTCCATGACGGCGTTGATCTTTTGCATGGCGCCGAGGATGTCCTCGAGGCCGGTGTTGAGGCCGCGGCGGAGCGCGACGGGGTCGCCGCCGGCGGCGGTCTGGGCGGCGGCGTCGAAGGACTTCATGACGCCGGCGACGAGCGGGCCCGAGTTGCGCACCATGTCGATGTGCACGAGCACGAAGCCGGCCTCGGAGGAGTCGTGGTGCAGGCCGTGCTCGAAGGCGCGGATCAGCCGCAGGTTGTCGTACTCGAGGCCCTTGCTGGGGTCCTCGAGGCGGTAGTTGAAGAGCGCGTACGAGCCGGCGTACTCCATGAAGGGCTGGAAGCCGCAGCTACAACAAGACATCAGTGAAAGGGAAAACTGATGAGGCTGTGGTTGAACTTACATCTCGGCGCAGCGGGCGATGGGGTGGGAGATTTGCTTGGGCAGGACCTGGCGGCCGAGGCCGTACTCCTCACCGCGGACGAAGCGCTCGTGGCAGGGCTCAAGGAGGTAGGCCGAGGCGAGGAAGGAGTAGTCGCGGTAGAGTGCGTTCATGACGGGCAGGTTGTCCTTGTACAGGTCCATGGCGTCGGTCAGGTCCGGGAAGCTGGAGTCGACCTCGGGGCCGAGCTTGGACTCGGCCAGCAGGCCGGGCTCGCCGGAGAGCGTCTTGACGGGCATGCGCTGCAGGATGGACTCGAGCGCCTCAAACTCCTTAGGCAGGGTGACGACGGGGTCGGCGCGGGGCAGAAAGCCGCGGGTCGTGGAGACCATGAAGGCGGGCATGGAGGTATCCTCGGGACGGGTGTCGTCGAGGACGTTGAAAGTGGCGCCGCCAATGGAGCCCATGATGATGTGTGTTGGTGGGTTGAGGGAGTAAGTGTGTTGAGAGAGGTTGTGGTAAAGGTTGAGTGAGAATGAGGTTATGTGTATGAGTGTGCGTGAGTATAAAAATGAAAAATGGGTGTGAGATAGTATGTGAGTGTGTGAGGGTGGGTGAGTTTGGGTGAACGTGAGTGTGAGTATGAGTCTGAGGGTGAGATGGTGTGTAAGTGACTTGGTCTAAGTCGTGTAAGTGAAGATATGGTAGAAGAGTCAAGGTATCAAGTGCTAAAATCAGTATGAGACAACTCTCAAAGCAGAGGCTGAATTTACTGGATTTTTTGAGGAATATTGAAGAGTGAAGAGTAGAGTTCAAAAAACTCAACACCATGGACAGGTTCGTCGCGCCGCATAAGTACTCAGTGGCCGGAACAGATTCCGGCCTCACGGAGCGGGGGACAAGTGGTCACGCTGCATGGTTTCCCCAGGGTTCCAAGCCCTTGCTGAACTGGGCATTCTAGACCCAACAAAAAATGAAATGAAGCCGGAGACAATTGGTGTCGGTGGCCCGACGGTCGGCAGATGGTCGTTGTCGCGGTGAGTGAGGTCGTCACGGCCGACAACGCGAGGAAGTGCAGGAGCGCTCAGTGATCAGCAACTCCGGAGTACACTACCAGTTACTCCGAGAGGTAATAGGAATTACTTGGCACGAAGAGCAGTGAGAAATGGTTGCTGTGGGCTAGCAGCGATGCATCCTGTCTGTCCTCTCTCTCACACAAGTCCAGTGCCAACACAGAAGGCACAACCAACCCTTCTTCTCTTCCAACCACCCTCGCCACCGCCATAACAAAGCAAATGCAATCATGGCGGCGTTGGGTCATGCTCTGCAATTCTCGCCCTCGCACTGGCCCCCTTCAGGGCTTCCTCCCCCCTCTACCCCTCCCTCCCCAGGCTCCAGGCTCCCAGGCTTCTGGGGGGGGTCATCAATGCACTCCGTAATCGCTAGCCCGCCGCCAAGCCCAACCCAAACTGGGGAAGACCAAGGCGCCGCTAGACGATGCTCGAGCGAAACAAAGGGGCTGAAGGAGAGTCCCAAGAGTCCGTCGCTGGGTCATGCGGCCCACCAGCTACCGAGACTGCCCGGCCTGAAAAGAGGGGCCATTGGCCGGAATCGTTCCGGCCAACACACCATTACGGCCATCACGGCGCCGGGCGCTGGCCGTGTCCTCAAGTCCGATAACTCGGAGGGAGGGGGGGGACAAGGAGGGGAGGAGGGGGGGGCGATTCCTGGCTGCGCCCGCCTTTTGCTTATCAAAACTCGAAACGTAATACGCCGTCAGTGATCCGCCGCGCTCCGCACGTCGGAGGGGGGGGACACTGCATGTTATTATCGTGCTGTATTGCATCTCCACATGAATAGATAGATTGTCGTTCGCACTTTTTTTACAAGAGGATGCATGCAGCCGCTCGAGGATTATAATATGGTTATTGTTAATACTGCGGAGAAGCCTTCACATGCCGGGGTCGCAGATGGAATCAACGAGAAGTGGCACAGTACATACACACCCAAGAGAGGAGCAATTGAGAGAGAACCACACTTGTGGTGACGATTTATTGTTGTGCAAAGAAAACGCAAACTTGTCGAAATTGCCAGCTCCCAGTTGCAGAATGAGACATTGGTTGGCCTGACCAAAGCGGTTATCGGGGCGCACCGCCGCCAATTATTAGTGTGACCATGGCGCGGTTCCCGAATGCCGAGACTTGTTCCTCCCACCATAACCACCATAACATTTCCAATAAAAACGAAACAAAAAAAGAGCAGAATATATTCCGAAAGACACACGACACACGCACAGTCCTTGCTTGCTTCGAATGCATGCGAGAGTGAGTCTCCAGAACCGAGTTTGCGAGCCAGAACAACACAAGCAACCCAAAGAGGGAGAAAACTGTACCAGCCCATTTGCATGACAAATGGAAACAATCTAGAGAAAACTCTGATGGCTCCATCCAAATCAAGATGAATAAGCACAGCTTGGCAGCTCTGGAAATGAGACAAACCCCAGCCAAAAGACAGCATACACAGGAAATATCGCGGAGCAGATGTACACCAAAAAAAAAAGGCGAAGGGGGACATCTAGTGAGTGATGGGTAATGAATGAAAGGTGTCCATTTGCGTCGCCGGCCGTTGCTAGCGAAAACGCAGTCGGTCCCCATAGCATAAAGAATACTCAACGCCAAAGGGAAACGTAAGCCATCCCCCCTCGTCTAGTCATGTTCAACCGCAGCGGCGGTCCTGCGTCGGAGGCTGCGCACCGTCCTGAACCCGCTCTGGCGCTTCTCCAGCGTGCCGTTCACCGGCGCCGCCACCACGTCCGACGAGGACGCGGTGGTGGCCTCCGGGTCCGCCGCGTCGGTCGATCGGCCGCCGGCGGGGACGGTGATGGACAAGGTCGATGTGATGGTCGACGTGGTCTTCTTGGCCGGCGAGTTGCCGGACACGGCCGCGTTTTCAGGCGCGATTGCGCTGCTGTTCGTGCCCGTGAGGCTAGCAGCACCGTCGTCCGGAAGGGAGGGGGCGCTGCTCAGCCCGCTGATGGGCGGCGTGCCGGCGGGAACCGTGGTGGTAGTGGTGTTCTGAGGGAGAGACGGACCGCTCGGCTCCGGGCTGGGGATGCTGCTGCTGGGCACCGCTGGAGTGGGGGTGTCCACGACGGCGGTCGCGGAGGCGAGCGTGAGGTTCTTCTGATGGTTCGGCGCCAGGAGGGCCTCGCTGTCCACCGCATCGCTGGTGTCGTCGCCGCCTTCCGCGCCCATACTCGAGGGGGTCGTCGCAGCCTCGTCAGTCGCGCTGGAGTTGGAGGCGCTTCCAGTGCTCAGCCGGCTGGGAGAGTCGGAGGACAGCGCGCTCGGCCCGCTGCCGACCGGCGAGGACGACGAAGCAGACGGCGCCTCGACAGCGGCAGTGGTGTCGTTCGTCTGGGCAAAGATTCTGTTCTTCCCAGGAAGAGCGGAGGCCGGAGACGGCGTGGTCGTCTCGCTCTCGGTGGCGAGGGCGGTGGTGGCATTGCTGAAACGATGACCGGCGGGGTCCGGGATGCTGGGGCTGTTGGAATACTTGCCGGGAGAGCCAGCAGCCGTGATGGAGACGAACGGGCGGAGACGAACGGTCACGGTCATGTAACTCGTCGAAGTCATCGTCGTGGTAACAGTGGTGTCGGCGGCGTGGTCGTCGCTCTCTGGGCTGCCCTTCGCTTTCGATCCCGGACCGGCGGTGGCGGCAGCAGGCAGCGCGAACGTATCGGCGGCGGGACTCCCAGTGCTGTCGGTGGCGCTGTCGTCAGCAGCGCCTGAGGAGGAGGTCTCCTTGAACACGGCCGCGCCGCTGGGCAGGGCCGAGCTCTCCTTCTTGCCATCGCCGCCGCCGCTGCCGCCGCTGCCGCCGCCAGAGACCGAGTCCAGGGTGCAGTTAGTAGTTCGGCGGAACAGGGGATGGTGCACACTTACAGAAGTCATGGAACGGTGCTCGAGGGAGGCGCCGCCGAGGCGGTAGAGAAGATGCTCGGGGGCGCAGTCGTCCTTGCCGTCGCTGCTTCCACCGGACGATCCAGCAGCGCCTGAGACGGTGGCGGACGGAGGGCTGGAGCTGCTGCCGGAGCTGGCACTGCCAGAGTTGCCGCTATCAGACTTGCTACCATGGTTGCTAACAGACTTGCCACCGCCGGAGTCGGAGCTACCGGCGTTGCTGCCCGAGCCGCCACCCGAGCCGCCACCGGAGGAAACAGCGCTAGACGAGGAAGATGCGGAGCCGCCCGAGGCAGAACTGGACGGCGGGGACTTGACAGCCTTGCTGTTCTCGCTCACCCTCTTACCGTCAATCATGTCCTGGACCTCCTTCTCGAGGGCCTTGATGCGGTTCAGGATGGAGACCAGTCCGCTGGTCGGGACCTCGATAGTCTCGGAGCGCCTATGATCTTCCACGATGCCGCGGGCCACCTTGAGGGTGCCGCTGAAGCGGACGAGGTCGGTCGTCGAAGATCCAGCGAGATCACCGAGGTCACGGAGCCTCAGGGCCTTGTGCGAGACGCCGTCGGTGGGAGACATCAGGCTGCTGAAGCCGAGGCCGAGGCCGACGAGCTTTTCAGGCAGGACCATTGTGAAATGGTGCAGATGAGGGGCAAGCAGCAGCTCACTTTAGTCTAGAATGAACTCTTAAAACAGCTGTAGGGTTAGTATATGGCAGAGTGTAGGTGAGGCCACGGGAGGTAAGTAAGGCGAGGGAAAAAGACAAGAAAGACGAAGAAGTTGTCGACAGAAGTGGTTCAATTCGAACTTGTAAAAATCCCGAACGAGAAACTTAGATGAATGGCCCAAGAATACCGAAATGGTCCAAAAATCGCTCGACGTATTTAAGAGACGTTGCGGTTGTCCCTCTTGGCCTCCTGGTTGCTAGGCCTCGATAACGACCGCATTCCAGTCAAGTAGGGTGCACGCAAGTCGGTGCGCGTGGCAACCCAGCGACTCTCGGCCCGTGGAGTACACTAGCAGAGGAAATTTGGATAAATGGAGAAAAAATCTACCAAGTCTACTGAAGGAGGAATTCACAGTTATTTAATCAAGTTGATGCACTGGCGACGTTGGCTTGGCCGTGGGTCTGACTGGCTCAGGGCTGGTAATGCACAACGGCCACCAAGCGGGTGAGCACGATAGGAGGACCTTTATGAAAAGGACAAATGAACATGTCATTTCCGTTGTGGGCGTTTATTGTACTTTGTAATGCCGTAATATTGATTGAGCATGTCAGTCGGTACGCTGATGCTTTAAATTTCACGAACTCGGCTTAGGCACTATGAACTGATTTGACTGGAAATTGTTGCACTTCGATAACGAGTTACTTGACTGCATCTTGAGTTAGCCAGGTGGTAAATTTTCTGATTTGCTTGTTTGGGCACAACTATCCGACCAGTCTGCTGACACGACGATCAATTACATGTTTAATAATAAACCTTAATTAGGTGTCTCAATTTTAATCGCATTTGCCTCTACAGGTAAAATGCCCTACAGCGCTACAAGTGTAGGGTAGGTCGGCTCCGTCGAGGACCGTCTTAGTCATCAACATGGCGCGCCATCTTTTTGAGGACCCTCTTTCCTTTTACGATAACCAGATTCATGGTACAAGTGGGCAAAACTTTTTTTTTCCAGTCTTCGACCATTTCAACGCCAGCATCTGCTTCTATACTGGCAAATTCCTGTCTTTACGATACCCAGCTCTACTCTCAATATGAAGGTCGTTCTTGTAAATGGCGGAGTCATCTCCGGTGTCGGCAAGGGTGAGTACAAGAGACTTTTTTTCACAGGTCATTCACACGGGACGTGCATGGCGGGGAACATTGGCACGATCAGCTTCACGCGACTTCGGCGTGTTTGGTTCTTTTTTGTGACAAGGCTAACCTCGTTTATTGTCTTTTAGGGATTATCGGTACGAACGATGCATTGACTCTCACAATTCGAATGCTAACAATGGTCGACCAACAGCCAGCAGTGCAGGCCTGTTGCTGAAGACTATGGGTCTTCGCGTGACTGTACGGCATCTTGTGTTACGCGCGTTATCGCCGGTTCTAACAGGACTTTGTAGGCCCTCAAGATCGACCCCTACCTCAACACAGACGCTGGACTCCTGAACCCGCTAGAGTATGTCCAGCTAGACGATGCGACGCGATTGATCGACACTGACAGTCTGTTAGGCATGGAGAGTGCTTCGTGTTGGCCGACGGAGGCGAAACCGATCTGGATCTCGGCAACTACGAACGCTATCTTGGCATTCGTTTGAGCCGCGAGAGCAACATGACGACCGGAAAGATCTACGCCCACGTCATTGAAAAGGAACGTCGTGGCGACTATCTGGGCAAGACTGTTCAGGTTGTTCCTCACATTACGGACGCTATTCAGGAAGGGATCGAGCGTGTCGCCAACACCCCTGTTGATGACTCGGGTGAGGCTCCCGACGTGTGCATTGTTGAACTCGGTGGTACCGTCGGTGATCTCGAGTCCGGCCCGTTCACCGAAGCCCTTGTTCAGCTGAGACACAAGCTCGGACGCCAAAATTTCTTCAACATTTCTGTGTCCTATGTTCCCATCATCAACAGCGAGGAGAAGACAAAGCCTACGCAGCACGCCATTAGACAAATGCGTAGCGCTGGCCTGATCCCTGATGTGGTAGGTACTCTCGTCACTCTGGCATTAGCGTTGCTAACTCGCGATAGATCGCCTGCCGCTGTGAACGTTCTCTCACCGATGCTACTATCAAGAAGATTGCCAACAGCTGCCAAACCGAGTATGAGCAAGTCATCGGTGTTCACGATATGGAGACGATTTACCAGGTTCCTCTGCTGCTCGAGGAGCAAGGTCTTCTCCAGCTCCTGCAACACGGCCTCGGGCTTGATAAGCTGACTGTGCCCCCGGCTATGTTCCAGAAGGGACAGGCCCTCTGGGACCTGTGGAAGAAGACCGTCACACCCGAGCGCCACCCGTCGCGCGTCAACATCGTGCTGGTCGGAAAATACGTCTCTTTCGATGACGCCTACTTGAGTGTCCACAAGGCCCTGGAGCATTCTTCCATGCGCTGCGGTCGCAAGCTCAACCTGGTCTCAGTTGACTCTGAGCATCTCGAGAAGGACATGCAGCAGAAGGATCCCACCAAGTTCCACAATGCCTGGAAGGCTATTTGCGAGGCCCAAGGTATCATTGTGCCTGGCGGCTTCGGCTCTCGTGGCGTTGATGGCATGATTGAGGCTACCAAATATGCCCGTGAGCGAAAAATCCCCTTCCTTGGCATTTGCCTTGGTTTGCAGGTCGCTGTCATGGAGTATGCCCGTCACGTCATGGGCATCAAGGATGCTATTTCGGAAGAAATGTCTCCTGAGGCGGAGAACAAGGTCGTTATTTTCATGCCGGAAGGCTCCAAGGAGTGAGTTGATCTACTTGAACAGGTACATTGGCGTATGCTTACATATCCGCAGGAAAATGGGTGGCACGATGAGACTGGGCACTCGCACTTCTCACTTCAGGCCTGGAACGGAATGGAGCAAGCTGCGTGCCATGTATGGCGGAGCTGAGGTTGTTGAGGAGCGTCACCGTCATCGCTATGAGGTCAACCCCGAGTATATTGAGAAGCTTGATGCTGCTGGTTTGAGCCTGACGTCTCTGGACGACAAGGGCGAGCGTGTCGAGACCATCGAGATCAAGGATCATCCCTTCTTCGTTGGGTATGAGCTCAGAAGCGCCCATTAGACGATTCGTAACTTGCTAACTTGTTGATAGTCTGCAAGCTCACCCTGAGCTCACAAGCAAGGTCCTCAGCCCTTCACCTGCTCTCCTGGGCTTCGTCGCTGCTAGCTCTGGCTGCTTCGAGACCGTGGTCAAGACGATGACCCATAAGCTGGACGGTGCCAACGGAACCGGTGATGCCAGCCTCTTTTAGAGGGCGTCCTTCTGGGCTTGTTCTAGACTGACAGTACAAATACGCGTCTTTCATAGATATAGACGATTCTAGATTTACGAAATTATTTTGGGTTACATGGACGGCGTTGGGTGTTTGCAACATAGAATGTCCTCGAGACGTTTGGGTATCTCCTCTCGAGGACCGGATGGCATAAATGACATAAACATAGAATACCAAGTAAAAAAAAACCAGGAAAATTCATCTCAAATCAAAATTGACCCAACTACGCTCACTTGAAATCGTGTCAGCTGCACTGCATCTTGACCAACGCCAACAGCGGCAGCCAAGCGCTTCTGACGCCTCAAACTCTCAAGGTTGCAGCGCTCGATGTCGTATTTGGGCCATGTAGACGCTCATGAATGATTTACCGCCGCTGTTTACCTCGAATCTTTTTCTCTTTTTGGAACTTGGTAGAAGTCGCAATCAAGACCAGCAACTACATACGCAGGCCAGATAACGTGCTGATGGTTAGCGGTCGTTTGCGCAAGTGGCGTGCAAAACATCTCGTATTGTAGTATGGCACCTGAGATGTAAAACAACTTGATGAGCTCTGACTGGATCGCTGATAAACGAGTAAAATTTAGGGTTGCAGGCGGTCGAGGGCCGAGAAGCAAGTGGTTACGTTGCGTGACAGGGACGAGTTTGCATTAGATATGATGCTTGGACTGATATGAAGCCACGATGAAGTCGAGTCATAGTCGAAGGAGTCCTAGTCGAAGGCGCAACCATCTCCGAAGAGACATGGTCCAGTAACCCGCCAGGCAACCAACCCGCCCCCAGGCGTACTAGGCGAGCGGCATAGTGACAGTTTCGGACGAAACAATTACCGGTTGCAGCAACTTGACGACCTGCAAGCCCTATTCTCCCTCTTGACCGACCACTGCCGACGCCAGATTCATTGGGACTTGCCTCCTACCTGCCTCGAGGGGGACGCCGAGCCACTTCGTTCCAGAAATGGGCAGGTGTACTTGTTTAGGCATCACGCTGCTAGAGATGCCCATTCCCCTCGTGCAGTGGCACATATCTGCTCGCCAAATGCCGAACCGAATCTGAACAAGAGCTGCCGGGCCAACCCCGGCTGCGTGCGCGTTGATCTGAGTTGGCTCTCTTCTCAACCATGTCACTGCCGCAGAATCCGGGGCCGACCTTCGTCTCGCCGTTCCGGCCTTCTATCAATGCGGATTAGGAGGCAGTGTACTGTTGTGGGAGACGAACAGCAGACGCTTGTTCTCGCGTCAAAAAGACCTCGTGGATCTCTTCCCTGCTACTGCAGTACACAAGGGCTATTGCAGCAGCAAAATTTCAAGGCAATTTTAGACCAGCCTGGGAGCTACAGTATCAGACCAAAACTCAGTGCCCCGGGTTGCCAGTTTGAATGCCGGTGCAGCCAAAGACTTGAAGGTTACTTTTATTGCTGGAGGGAAGTCCGAGTTATAATGCCTTGAAACAAAACAAATAAAAGAGGTCAAATATAGTTACCTTTTACATCTCAGCTGCATTGCTGCCTGACAGGCAGATGATTCACCTCTCACAACAACAAAAAGCGACAAAACGCTGACTCTCCATGCTGCAACGTCATCGCCATCGCCATCGCCATCACCTTCATGAGTTTCTACCCCGTCTTCCTCGTCCAAGAGCACGGCGAACCACGCAAACACCACTCCCTGTGGGTGCAGACCGCCAACGCCCGCGGCGTCCTCTTCAACGTCATCGGACCAGTCGACAACGGCGCGATGCAGTACGAGAGGAAGCCGACCTTTGCGCACCCTTCCAATGCGGTGGCGTTTGCCGGTATGACTGAGATTGGGCACGTTGCGGAAAGTCACCCTGCCGCGCGTGGACGAGGTCTGCCGCGGAAATCAGCCGCCGCTCATGCAGATGCGCGACGGCGTGCGACTCTACCCAGCTGTGCCGCGCGCCGCTGCCAGGAATGGATGGCGGAGACAATTGGGCTTTTGAAGACGGCGGGCAATTCTGGTGGTGAAATAACGGTGTACGATGGATTGATGGGGATCTCTGAACAGGCATAGTGAGCCGGCCAACGATTTCCTTTCTAAAGCATCCGATGCTGCCAGTAACGAAGCGGATTTCATGTCTGTTGCATACAAAGCATCTCAATTCATCTGGAGGAAGTAATTCTGATCCTTGTCTAGGAAAATTAGGACCTTTAGTCTATTCTTCTATTCTTCTACTTACAGCGTCATCAAATGCAATATAAAAAGTCTCCGAACCCCATGCTGCCCTTGCGTCCTCCCAGACTACGCACCCAACTATACCCAACTATCTATATAGACGATGGATCTTCGATAAAATCCTACATCAACCCCTATCTACCAACATTCCTCTGTTTAATTATTTAATACAACGGCGACAACACCGTGGGAGCGACTGCCGCCCAAACCACGGTGTTATGCCGCCTTGGGCGCCAAGTCTCTAGTGATGATACGCTGCAAACTCCACTAGAGCCTTGTCCTGCTACGACGTGCATATTAAGTATTCAGTTAGTGCTCTTCTGGATGGGAAACAAACTCTGCTCTGTCAAAAAGTAAGTGTCGGTCACGGACTGTCGGGTACGTACCAGACATCCAGTCCGTCGTCTATTGCCAGCCCAACCTCACTTAGACAGCATGATCTCCTCGACGCCCCCAGACAGGAGCGACTACCCACGCAGTGGCACAGAAAAGGCAAAAGCATTTTCCAGCTCAAGAGCCGCGATGGACCCGGAGCTTTCCCCTTCCCAAGATACGGGCGCCCATCACATGTCCTCGCCTGGCGACGTGGACGACATGCGGCGCATGGGCCGCAGCCAGGAACTCGTCCGCCGCTTCCGCCTCTGGTCGCTCATCTCCTTCGTCGCGCTCGCGACGGCCGCGTGGGAGCTCGCCATCTTCGGCGTCTCGCCGGCGCTCGTCGACGGCGGGCGCGCCGGGATGCTGTGGTCGAGCGTGTGGTGCTTCCTCGGCTTCGGGCCCGTGTACCTCAGCATGGCCGAGATGGCCAGCATGGCGCCGACGGCGGGCGCGCAGTACCACTGGGTCTCGGAGTTTGCGCCGGAGCGCGTGCAAAAGACTCTGTCCTACTTTACGGGGTGAGTACTCGCGTGTGAGCGCGTATGTTGGTGATGCATGCGTTGGTTTTTGCTAAAAGGTGGTATAGATGGAGCTCGACGCTGGCGTGGCAGGCGGGCAATGCTTGGGGTCTCATACTCATTGGTACGCTTCTTCAGGCCATCGTCAAGGTCAACAACGAAGCGTATGCGGAGTCGGCGCCGAACTGGCACGGAACCGTCATTGTCATCGGTGTGTCGGTGCTGGCGGTGGCGGCCAACGTCTTCGGCGCCAGGTGGTTGCCGTACTGGCAAAACGCAGTCTTTGTGCTGCACATTCTCGCCTATGCCGGGTTCATTGTCCCCATTTGGGTCAACGGCCCAAAGGTGTCGTCGCATTCGCAAGTCTGGGGCAGCTGGGAAGATCGTGGCGGCTGGCCGAGCACAGGCTTATCCATCATGGTTGGCCAGCTGCCCGCGCTCGCAAGCCAGACGGCCATTGACTCGGTAGGTAGCAGAGATCCTAAGATGGTAGACTTGCAGGCACTAACATGTAGCAGGCAGTACACATGGCCGAGGAAGTCTGCGACGCGTCCGTCTCTATTCCCCGCGTCATGCTGGCCACCTGGGCATTCAACTATGTCACCATTTTCATCGCGCTCATCACCATTTCGTACCATGTGCCGGATATTGACCTCGCCCTCGACGACGCCACCGGCTATCCCGTCATCTTCGTCCTCCGAGCGTCCATGTCGCTGCCGTGGCTCAACGTGGTGCTCATCGTCATCCTGTTGCTCTTAATCTTTGGGAACCTGTCGTACCTAGCCTCCGTCACGCGTGATTTGTTTGCCTTTGCCCGCGATCAGGGCCTGCCCTTCTCCAGCTGGATCAGCAGGGTCGATCCGGTGCGCAGCATCCCGACCAACGCCTGCATTGTGACCGGCACCACGACCGCGCTGCTCAGCCTCGTCTACATCGGCAGTCCCGTGGCATTCTATGCCGTGATTTCGCTGAGTACCGTCGCCATCCTTCAGTGCTACTGCCTGAGTATTGGCTGTCTCTTGTGGCGGCGCATTGCCCACCCGGAAACGCTTCCGCCCGCTAGATTCTCTTTGGGAATTTGGGGTGCTCCTATTAATACTGTCGCCGTGCTGTTCTCATTCTACAGTTTCTTTTGGTGTTTTTGGCCTCAAGATAGCACTGTCACGGTCGAGGGCTTCAATTGGGCGGCGCCGCTGTTTGGTCTTACTGGCGTAATTGCCTTTGTGTACTATCTCATGGGTGGCAGGAGAAAGTATCACGGCCCGGTAGCCTATGTTGAAGGACGCAAAGTGTGCGATTAGTATCGTCAATATTAGTGGGAGTCTCTCAGAAACGCTACAATACATTTCAGGCTGCCGTTTGACAGGCTGCCCGCTTAAAACCCGCCCGCAGGCAACTTTCACGGAGACTGTCTACGGTTTTAAGAATAGAAACCAACCTATTTATTAGAATGGATTAGTTGACTATTAATGAATATTTAATGCAATTCTTTGACTCATAAATATACTGTTGTCACAACCGTTGGTACCTGCTCAGGTATCCCTAATTGCCCCGCCAAGTGCTGTATTTATATCCGGAGCGGAAAGTCAATCTCGACTGTCTACTTGCAAACGCAGCATGTTCAATGCAGCAAACATCGAACACCCCGTCATTATTTCCGATCCTACATCTACTTCTCTAAATTCCTATCAGTATTTTCTACTTCGTCATTAAATCTTGTGCAGCTTCCCCTCATTCACACGCCGCTTCCCTCCAGCTCAACCTCTTGCCACAGCATCTGTCTGCAGCAACCAACGCCCCTTTGCGCGTCGATCTCTGCCGCATCCTCAACATGCGCTGCTCATCATCGTAACAAAGCTCTTTTAATCTTCACTGCATCATCGGTCGCAGGCAGTCATCGAGGAGACATGTTATTCTCTTTCTACTCGCACACAGAGGCCTGGCCCCCTACTGCTCACCAATCGGTCGACTCCGATTCTGACGTTGGGAGCTTTGACAGCACACCTGCTCCTAGCAATCGTACATCAACATCTATCACCAGACCCATAATCGAGACTGGATCATACATCTACCTGCCGACTAAGGCGAATTTCCGCGACCGTCGCGGCCAGCCGCTGATGCCGCTCCAAGACAGAATTGATCAAGATAGTATTTCAGTGCCAAAATCTCAGAATGTGTCTGGATTGAGTACCGTCAATTCTGTCGCTGAAAAAGAGAACCCGTATCGCCAAAACAGGGCCCGTCGATCCGAAGAACCCAACAAAAAGCGACTGAAGATTGGTAATTTCTTCGAGGATTCCTTCTTGCATACTTTTCTAATTCCCTCCTCGAATAGTACGAAACTTGTTTTCTCCAAAGACAACTCCAGCTGCCAGAGACGACTTTCGCCCGAGTTCGATCAAGGCACCCTAGCAGGATGGCTCCGTTTCTCGTCAGCTTCATACGCCAGTGTCGGACACCAACACATCGCACTTGCAGCAATTTCGGACCAACAACGCCTTTTCCTTTCCTTTGTACGAGTCTTCAGACCCCATGGACGCTATTCAGCGTTTGGATGAGAAATCTTGTAGTGTGGCGTCTTTCAGTACACTTGGGTCACACCCAGGTCATCATCACTTGGTTGTGCAGACGCCCTCACCCGGTCAGAACGACCTCGCTTGGCAGCATGCAGAAGGTGTGTTAAATGGGCCATTTATCTGCCACCTTCTGTCTAAATGCTATGCAGATACCCGTCACAGACTTTCGGCCTGTGGGACTTTCCCCCAAAACGAAGGCTCCGACAAGCTGGTTGCCCCAATTCCAACTCGCCATGTACGCCCAAAATTATCTTTAGTAAACATGTCCCACAGCTACTCGGATAATGTGAACGGGACCACGGCAGAAATTGCTCTGCTACCGAAAAGCGCTCTCAAGCGCAGCTTTTCGGTCGGTTCGCTTCTCGACTACACCAGAGCCTCGAAGTGGCTACGCGAAATGTTGTGGTATCCCGAGTCCTACACAACAAAACTCACCAGGCGTCCGGCGAGATCCGGCCCTCGATCCAACTCCAACACGTTGGAGAACCCGGCATTGGCCGATATCAAGTTAGCACGAAAGGTCACAGGACTCTCAAAGTACTCTACGCGATCGGACTCGCGCTTCGACGGCTTTTTATTTCGTCGTGCGGTGAGCGATCTGGAGAGACTAGTCAACGAAGCGGTATCCATGGCTTCCCAGGCTGTTGATCTACCTCACCACCACGCTTCAAATTCAACTAGCTGTCTAGATATTAGCGGCGAGCGGGCAAGCTCCGATTCAGGCCTATCTTGCTCCAGTCACCATGTTCTCTCGGATGATGAAGAAGACGGTTCATCACCGAGGCCCACGCGCAAACATGCCAACACCTTTTCAGCTGCCGACAATCGACCTCGTCTCCGGGATATAATGGAAAACTACTCCGACGACGGTGTTATGCCAACATCAGAGGAACACTCTCTAGCACAGCGGCACGTTACTTTCCAACTTCCGGGTACTACAATGGGAGAAGATGGTAACCGGTCTTTTTCTGTGCACCCCCGAATGCGTGTTTCAAGTCGCCCAGGAGGCCCAACCCGCCCAGCAGGCCCCCCAGGGGGCCAGCGAGCCTATACGAACCCGTACCAAACTGCGACGGAGACAGCACCGCAAAGCGCTTTTCAGGTGGGCGATGAACAGCTCCCAGAGCGGGACATCGCTGGACGGCAAATGCCTGTCGATCATCGCATCAGTTTGCGACGGCGCTCACATGTCAGTCTCCAAGCGGGACAGAGATTCAACTTGGCGCGATCGCATCGAAGGCAGCCCATCGCCAGAGATTGGTCGACTATTCGCAAGCGGTTTGTCGCTTCGGTCGCTTGTATAAGCACTGCCTTGATTGGCATTATCCTCGGGATTTATGCCGGACTGGTACCATCCATTCAATATTACGTCATTGACCCGTCCCACGTTGTTGTTCATGGAAATACGGGCTGCTTCTTTGGCATGGCTATTCCAACTTTTCTACTGTGGCCATTGCCGTTACTTCACGGTAGAAAGCCCTATATTTTGACTGGTCTCGTCCTTGCCATGCCACTCCTCTTTCCGCAAGCTCTTGCAGTGACCTCTCAGAGACTGGTGGATTCGGTCGAGTGGCGGTCGCTTCTTCTCGCTTCAAGGACCCTGATGGGTGTTTCACTGGGATTCGCCAGCATGAACTTTCATTCCATACTCACTGACCTGTTTGGTGCGTCTCTGATGAGCGTAAACCCTCATCAGGAAGTGGTTGATCACTACGATGCACGCCGGCACGGAGGCGGCATGGGTGTGTGGCTCGGTATTTGGACTTGGTGTTGGATTGGCTCTCTCGGAGTCGGCTTCCTCGTTGGTGCAGCCATCATTGATAAGTATACGCCTACTTGGGGGTTTTATGTCAGCATCATTCTCATCGCTGTGGTCTTGTTTCTAAACGTCGTCTGTCCTGAAGTCCGCCGTTCGGCGTACAGGCGTTCTGTTGCGGAAGTCAGAACAGGTCCTGATATTTCCCGTCGTGTCGCACGCGGTGAGATCATGATGCACAGGGCCAAGACTGGACCCAGGTGGTGGGGAGAAGAGGTGTACCACGGCATTGTCCTGTCCATGGAGATGCTTCGACAACCCGGTTTCTTAGTGATGGCGATATATTCATCCTGGATTTATTGCCAGGTAGTCCTGATTATTGTTCTCTTGGGTTCTTTGGCCTCGAGACATTACAGGTTCCGGTCTCCTGAAGTCGGTCTCTTAGTTGCCAGCATGGCGTTGGGTGCGCTGTTGGCAATCCCATTCCAAAAAGCAAATATTTTCTCTAGATCTCGCTTCGCGCAGCTCAACACCAGCAAAGCAACCTTAGACAAGCGCGTTGTTTGGTCATCGCACATGGTACGCCGAACGGTGTTTACAATACTGCTCCCGTTGGCTGGTATTTGCTACGCGGCGGTTTCTACCGGCCCGCCAATGCACATCAGCCTACCGACACTATTTTCTCTTTGTGTCGGTTTTCTCTCTTGTCTTGCCATTTCGGAATGCAATGGCCTAATCATGGAGACATTCGACTGTTCAGACCTGAGTCCAGGGATGACGGGCCGACAGCGTGGCTCTTCCGCGAGAAATCCAAAGAGAACGAATTACTCTTCTTTTCCTCGAGTAACTGCTGGATTTGCATTGATTCACACGTTTGCTTTTATTTTGGCTGCAGGGTCTACCGCACTGGGGGGACATGTCACAAGAACCCTCGGGCAGCAGGTGGCGACTGGCGTGGTTGCAGGCATTTTGTTCGTTCTGACAATACTCTTGCTTCTAGTTCTTGTCCGCTTTGTTGAGATTCAAATCATCCCACGATCCAAGTTTGACGAGATGGATCGAGTGGTGGAGGCAAGACGAAAGTCGACCATCCGGCGAACATCCATGCCAAATGACCCGCAGGCCATGATAGAAGAGGAGCAGGCGTGGCGCCCAATCATGATTGGCAATCCCATCGGTAAAATGCGCAGAATGAGTATTCTCGAGCTTGGAAGCATGACCCGCTGGCAGGAGATTCGGAAGAAAAATCGCCTCATTGATGCCGGCGCGCATCTGAACCGTGGTGCTTTGGGCCAGGGATTGGGGGCCCTGGACGATCAGATGAGTGACTTGAAGCGAAATTTACACATTGGTAGCGGGAGGAAGAAGGTCAGGCGTATGTATCGTTCGGATGAAAGCAGCGAGACTGGGAACGATTTGGACTTTGACGGGTACAGCATGAGCAATCTCAGCACCCCAGGCAGAAACAGGGACGATCCGATGGAGACGGCCATGATTGATGAGGAAATAGGCCGCGCGCAACAGAAATGAAGCGGCCATGGACACCTAAGAGCTGAACAGTATATCGTTTGTTCCTAAAATTCAAGTTTTCAATGCGTTTCTGAAACTAGAAGAATGTCTATGAAAGAATGATTTCATCCCTATAAGGAAGTTGCCCGGCGCCGAGTATCCTAAAATCGCTTCAAAAGTCACACTTATGCCAAATCCAAAATACAAGTCATTTAATCGTACATTCCCTTGATCTTTCAGCGTCTTTGTTTCCTTCTTCTAATTCTTTCCTGGTTAGAGCTCAGCCCACATTCAACACCAAGTCCGTCCCTCGACGCGTCGGTGTCAACCGCGGCAACCACGTCGGCGTGCTCGGCAACTCGGGCGTCGCCGGACGCTCCGGAACCTTGGTTTTCACCTCTCCGTTCCCGCCTTTCTGCTGCTGCTGCCGCCATCGCTCTGGATGCTGCTGCTGGGGCAGCGCCATGTCGGCCGCGCGCGTCGACCCCACGCGCTTCGCCAGCAGCGACGGCGAGAACGCCGGCGACGAGGCCGCGGTGGTGGTGGTGGCGAGCGCCTCCTGGCTGTTGTTGTCGTGCGCGGCGGCGTCGTACGACGGCGACGTGGAGGCGCGCGGTGGCCGCCAGGGGTCGGGCCGGTCCTGCGGCTTGTACGGGCGCGGCATCGGCATCCCGGGGTACCGGCTCAGGCTGTTTCGGTGGTCGCCGGGGAGGGTGGGCTGCTGTTGCAGGCGGGAACGGGAGATGGGATACATGGGGAACGGGTGCGGGAGGTGGCTCGGTGGGCGCCGGCGCGGTGGCGGCTGCGGAGTGGATGAGGAGGAGGAGGGGAGCAGGGCGCGGTCGTCGCGCGCGGGCTCGGGTGAGGGCGAGACGATGCGCAGGGTGGGCGGGCCGCCGGTGACTTGCTGCTGCGGAGGTTGAGGTGTCTGTGACGGTGGTGCCGGGCGGAGAACCCCCGGCGGACCACCACCGGCCATGTCGTGTGACGGCGGGCGCATCATCATGGGGCCACCACGTCCTCGCATCTTGCCGCCCCCGCCGCGGGAGTACCGGGGCGGATCCGACGGGCCTCGGGCGTGCAAGGGCGGCAGCGGTTGCTGTTTTTGTAGTTGCGGAAACGGAATCGTCCCATGGTGCTGCGTGGTCGTCGTCGTCGGGCCGGGGGAGCCGTGACGAGGCTGCGCGGCAGCACGCGACAGGGCCGGCGGCGCGACACCGGGAAACTTGGCGCGGCCGCGGAGCGCGGGCGTGCCGCGACCGGGTATGCGCGGGTACGACACGGGGCTGACGCCGCCGCCGCTGCTCGTCTCGGACGCAGCCACGGTGACCGGCGGGTCCGTGAAGACGCGGCTATCCCTGCCGGACGACGAGCCGGCGGTGGAGGAGGCGGCGGCGGCGGCCCCTGCGGTGGCGGTGCGGGGAGGCGACTCGGCAACGGGAGAGAGGTTATTCGTCGAGCGAGCTCCCTGCGTCGGCAGTGGCGGCGGCGGCGGCGGCGGCGGCGCTGGGTGCAGGCTGTTCCTATTGTAGAAGTCGGCCGAGACGGCGGAGGAGATACTGAACGTGGTGATGCCGCTATCAGTGGACGTCACGCGCTCCTGGCCACCGACCGGCCGCGCGGTCAGTAGGCGCCCATTGTTGTTGGAGGACGCGTCGTGGATGGTCTCGGCGGGGTTGGGCGGCGGTGGATACGAGGCGGAGGAGGAGTTGCGCGGGTTCGACTGCCGGGAGAAGAGCGGTGACGGCACCGTCTTGGCCACGAGTGAGCGGATCCGCGACGTCGGCGTTCTCGGCTCCTCCCGCGGCCGCGTGTCCTCTCGCTTCAGCGGCGTCGCGGCGAGTTCCTGCGGGGAAGTCGGACGCTGCTGCTGCGTCTCACTCGTCGGCGGGGGCTCGCGTGGGGACCGCCGCGGGGGCGGGATCTGCGTCTCCACGGCGGTGGCCACGATGCCCGTGCGCGCCGTCGCGATGCGCGGCAGCACCTCGCTAGAACCTGCGCTCAGCGGGCTCCGCACGTCACCCCCGAGGACCCAGTTTCCGCGGCCGTCGGAGACGTAGTACGGAGGGGAGAGGCCGGACGCGGGCAGCGGCGGCGCGACGGCCGTGGTGGCGGATGGCGGCGGGCACCAGATCTGGCCGGCCGCGGTGGAGCTGGAGCGGCGCAGGTCGTCCTCCTCAAACTCGGTGTGCGTGCTCTCGCGACCGCCGGGTGGTGGGCGTTGGAGGAGGACCTCCTTGTCCTCGGCGGCGGCGAACGGCGGCGGTGGCGTGCTGGGCGGGGGCTCGGCGTCGGGGATGAACAGCCGGAGGGACGGCGGGCGCTGGGCGGGGCGGCGCATGAACTGGGCGGCGATGGGGTGCAACAGGTCTTGCTGCTGCTTGGGGACTTGGGTCCCCCGGCTTTCTTGGCAGGATGAGCCCTTTGGCGGAGCCGGCGGCGGCGTGGGTGAGGTGGTGATCGTCCTGGAAATCGCCGCCGCTGCCGCGGGCTGCTGCTGCATGTCCGGCTTGGCGGGCAGCAGCTTCGACAGCGGTCTCGACGGGCGCGTCGGCGTGTTGCCGCGCGTCGGCGGGGTATTCGCTCTTGCTGTCCTGTCCGCCAGCAGCTTGGACGGGGAGATGGCCAGGCCGATGGCACTCGGCCGCCAGCTCTCCCGGTTATACGGCAGACGATGATTACTGTCATTATTATTGTTGTTGTAGCCGTTGTTAGGCCCTGCCGCCGGCGCCGGCCCCGCCGCCCCCGACATGGCCGGGTACCGCGACAGGCTGCCGCCTGTGACGGCCCAGGGGGAGCTGCGCCCGGACCCGTTGTTGGGCTTATCGAAGCCGTAGCCCCAGGTGTCGCGCCTCGTCGTGACCACCCCGTAGCCGCCAGGAGGGCTGTTGCCGCCGAAGCTGGAGCCGCTGTAGCGGCGGCGGCGGCGGCGGACGAACGCGCGGGTGAGGAGGAAGATGCCGAGGACGAGGCCGGCGGCGATGCACACAGCGCCGACGGAGATGCCGGCGATCTGGCCCTTTGAGAGCGGTTCCGCGGCGGGCGCGGCGGCTGCGGTTGTTGGGGTGGGCGTGGAGGTGGTGGAGGAGGACGAGGATGCGGTGGTGGTGGTGGTTTGTGAGCTTCTTGTCGGCGTATCTGTGATCAGCGTGGTCGGCGTGCTCGTTGTGGTGGCTGTCGTCGAGGACGGGCTCGTCTTCGTCGTGCCGGCGGTGCTTGTCGGCGTGGGTATCGGCAGTGGCGGCGAGGCGGACGTGGTGATGGGCGCAAAGGTCAGTATGCCACTCTGGGAGGCGTACTTGAGCGTCGCCGTGATGACGCCGCCCCTCGCCTTGGCGACGTCCGTCTGAGCGCTGCAAATGTCATTTGCCTTGGACGTGGCGGCGGCTATTGGTGATCAGCTTCATGACCGCGAACCAGATATGAACCAAAACGAAAACTCAGTGGAAATCACACACACCTCCTGACGCATCGTCACCGCAAAAGCCAACGCTTTGCTCGGCGGCAAGGCATTGCAGCGCACCCTCGCTGATGGTGAAGCCCGAGCGGCCGCGGTGAGCGCAGACAAAGTCGAGAGTGAGGTACCGGTCCGAGTCGTCGCCGCGGGCGTAGTTGACCTGCAGGAAGGAGGCGAGGCAGATCGCGGCGCAGGTCGGGACGGATTCGGTGACGCCGTCGCGGAGGTCCGAGGGCACGTCCGCGGCGACGTCGGTGACGGAGATTGCCCAGGTCGTCGTGCGGGAGGCGACGAGGAAGACGAGTGGTGTGATGAAGGCATGGCGCGTCCTGGCCATTTTCCCGGCGTAGGGGGGGATCTGAAGTTGAGAAGCGGTTCGTTGTTAGTACTCTCTTCTTTAACTTAAATTTAAATTTCGTGACACGGGTAGAGAGAGGCTCGCCGTACTCAGGTTGTAACAAGGTAGACAGACAGTTGTCAGTACATGGCCTGATGTCGTGTGGACATTTCAAGACTGCTGTTGGTCGTTTTTATCGGATGAACTCTTGTGACCCAACTCCGCTTCCTGTCTGAGTAACGTTCTTTTTCCTTCTGAGCAACGAGACGAAATCAGGTGAACTGGTTGTGTTGTCGTCTCGTTGTGTATTGTCGGACCGGACGGGCTGACGGTTGCGGCTTGTGCACACGGCGGACTGGACGGACGGGAGATGAGATGGAATAAACGTCGCACTAACGGGAACAAAGAACGGTGAGGTGGGAATTCGTATATACCAAACGCGATGATAATAATAATAAAAGAAGAGGAGGAGGAGGGGGGAGAACAAAGGAAAATTATCGTGAAAAAGAAGACGAGGAAGCCCGGTGGTGGAAGAAAAGATAAAGATACACAAGAGGAAGGGAGAACAGAGAGAACTTGGGTGCTGGGGATTCTTACGTCCGTCTTTCTTTTCACCCTCCCTCCCCCCGTTTGTTCTGCCCCCGTCTCAGCCTATCGACTGCCATGCTTGCCGCCGGGAAACCAGCGGAACAAGCTGGGAAAAGGGAGCGGCCGGAACAAAGACGATGCGGGTTGGGATGTGAATGTGAATGTGTGTGGGGTGGGGAGGGGTGTGCGTGTGGCGGCGAAGAAGAAAGGCGCTTCCAGTCATCCCATAACCGAGAGCTGTCATGACCGCAGGAGAAGCCCGCGTAGGGGAAGGGGGGGAGGGGGATGGTCAACCTTGTCGTGGTAATGGTGGTGGTGGTTTGGTTGGTTGGCCCATGTCAGGCTCTTGTGGTCCAGCTTAACCGCCAGTGTAAGCGCCGAGCGAGTCTCAGCCCCGCCGGTCCTTGCTGCCCAGGTATGACGCGATTCCAACATACAACAATAGAAATCAAAAATGGGGGAAAAAAATACAGCAAGAAAAAAAAACAAGCACATGATATTGAACCATTGTAGATGAACAAATAGCTACTCAGAATCTACACGCAGCTCAACTGGCCAGTGCAAACTGCCCGTTTGTCGTGGGGGCTGTCTGCCTGCCCGTCTAGTGTGTGCCCGTCCAGCTCCGGTTTGATTGGCTCCCGTCCGTCCAACCCGCCCCGGACCTGCAGCCTGTGAAACGTCCGCCACGATGCAGTGTGCTCTCCTCAAGTCGAGAACGCATGCTGGTGACATATCAGCTAACCGAGTTACATCATGGCCCGTCTAGGAATGACATTTTGTCTTTTGCAAGGCTCCCGGGGGATAGGAGAGGGGGGGTCCTGGATAGAACGAGGCCTTGACACTAAGAGCTGGGGTTCAAGAGTAATAATGTATAAATCGTCTACCAGAAAAAGAAAGAAACATAACCGTTTGATAAAACGGGGAGGGAGGGAAAAGAACGCGTTGTACGAGGAGGTTCGAGAAGGAAAAAAAGACGACCAAAATCAGGCTATGCTCAAACCATCCCAACGTGCTACATACATACGTACAGCACCACCCACCACTTTCCTCCACACACACACAGGTCCATACCATCCATCTCCCTTCCATCTGACTGTACTCAAGAAAGCAAAGACATCAACGCCAACGCCGAGATATGGGGGGATAAATCGCAAACAGAAGCCTTCCAGCCAGCTTGCTGGCCGTCCGTTACATGGCCATCTCCGCCTGCAGCTTGCGCAGCTCCTCTTCCTCGTCGTCCACCTTTTGGGCGGCCTGCGGTCTGTTCGAAACGGCTACAATCATCCGAGTTAGTCCATCGTCCTTTTTCTTTTCCTTCCTTGGCAGCATGACATGAACTGCCGCCCGCATGCAGGGTGACTCACGATCTTGGCTTGGCGGTGACGCCAGCACAGGCACCGTGCCCGTCTTGAGCATCGCCTCGTCCAGCTGCTCCTGCTGCAGCTGGTCCAGCTCGTCCTCCAGGTCCTGCTCGTCCACCGCGTTGTTGAGGCTCGATGACGTGAGAGCGTTGACGATCTCGTCGCTGAGTTCGTTTTGCTCCCGAATTTTGTCCCTATCCCCCGCCATGTTAGTATTCTTTTCTTCTTCCCCCTCTCCCGCAACTTGGTCGTTTTCAGCATCAACGTACATGGTCTCGTCCACCTTCTCAGGCGTCAGCTTGCCGTGGATGTTCTTCATCGCCGCGCTCGCGTTCTCCATCGCCTGCAGCGTGCTGCGGTTGATGTTGGCCGACTCGATCGCGTTGATCTGCTGCTCCAGCGTGCCGATCTGCGCCTCCGTCTGTTCCAGCGAGCGCTCGTGCGCCTTTTTCCGTCTCAGAGCCGCCTTGGCCGCTGCAGCGTCATGTCCCGTTAGCTTCTCGTCCTTTGTTTTATTTGCCTCTCGTAATCCTCCTTCCCCCCTGGTTCCGCCGACATACCGCTTGTGTTGTTGGCCGCCACGTGCTTGCGGGCCATCGCGTCTTGGTCCGCGATCTGATTCTCCAGGTGCGTCTGCCGCTTCTGTAGCATATCAAGCTGGGACCGCAGCCCCAGGATCGCATTCTTGGGCGAGTCTTTGCGGTTCTGCGCCGAACTGCCGCCGCCGAACCAGCCCCACATTGTCACGGGTTGATCGTTTGAGAGTTCTGAGTTGTGAATTGTAGAAGAATGCCGCGAGGTCTAGATGATATGGTCTTCGTCGCGTCGTTGGAGATGAATCTTTAGTCGTCGAGGTTTGCCGTCGTCTTCTCGGATCGCAAAAGGCTGGGTTGTTCGCCCACTCGCTGCACGGAGTACGATGGTGGGGTAAAGCGGCCGTCAGAGCAACAGTGCAGAGGCTGGACGACCACTGCTACAGATCGTGACTCCGTCCTTGTCAGCACGCACTGCTTTCGGGATGAGTAGACGTGGTTGCAAGAGACGGTGGTAACGTAGGTCGGTTGCGAGGAATAGAAACGTGGGAGGACGGCTGCCTGTCTCTGGCCGCGTGGGAGGTGGCTGCTGGGATTATGACGAAAGGCGCTGGCGTGCCAAAAGGCTCCATATCCGACATTTTGCCACGGATCATGTGACGCAATCCAGTGACAGTGGCAGCATGCCAACTTTGGCGTCAAATATAACAGGCAGAAAAAAATAATCCTCAGGCTATTGTAGCTTGCAGAGCCTTCGAGTTTTAATTCTTTGTAAAAGTTCGTAGCTTGCGCTTGTGATGATGGAATAAAGGGCAATCCTTCCCCTTCAGCACGCAGATCATACGCCCGTGAATTTCAGAGTTGAATGCCAGCTATAATATCCTAAAACTCCTAAGAAAGCAACCCAGATCCAACGCTTCTATCGCTTCATCTCCCGACAAAGAGTTGAACAAGAGGCCTGGCGGCCGCCAAAAAATGCCCAGACAGCGGCCAGACGCTATGGTACAAGAAAATAGACAGAGCCCGTTTCACAAACTTGTCTCTTTCCCATACACCAGCTCTTTCCGGATTAAATTCGAAATTCCCAGAAAAATCCAAATTGCCCCCGGGCCACATCAACATTAAGCGCAATCAAAAATCTGTCGTTCTGATGTGGTATGGTGCATACCCAAGGCTGGCGCTTCCTCTCCAAGAGCAGGCGCTATAGTCTAATGAAACAGTGCAAAGAAAGTAGCACAAAGAATAAAAAAGTCGCAATGGCGTATTTACTGAATGAATGCATCGTCCTTGTCCACATCGGACGCCGTCCGTCTTTCCCTCAAAGACGCGGCTGGTCGCTCTGTGGCATGGGCGAGTGCCGTGGAGGCATATTAATGCTGCGTTGCATGTCGTAATCGGGTTGGGGATGTGCCCTCTTATTTGTCCTTGGCAAACTTTTCGTCCGTGTCCTTATGCCAGACAACGTAGTTGGGAAGGCCAACGACGGAATAGCCAGCGCGCTTGGCCATCTTGGCGAAGCCTTCCGTCTCGGCTTGGTTCTCAAAGGCGTAAGCAGGGAAGTTAACGCCTGACCGGTGGACATCGGCCTTGACAAGAACGCTGACACCGCCGATGCCATCAAGCTCGATCTCTTCGTCCTTGTTTTGGTTGCGGTCACCCATCAGGCACATGTACTGTCGGCCAGTCTTGAACTGCTTGTATCCTGCATATTGTTAGACGACTGGAAAAATTCGATACGTGGTCAGATGCTTACCTTCGACGATGACGGTGTCCTTGTCCAACTTCTTGGCTAGGGCGAGAGCTTGGTTCGACTCGACCCAAGAGTTGTAGTCGACTAGAGAGGTTAGTCCTGACAAAGACCCGAGTATCAGATGACTTACATCGTCCTTCAATGTCGTGCCCATCCTTCTCGTACCGGTGGAACCAAATGTCTGCCAGTAGTCAGTATTATGCAGCTTCGCGTCGTGCGTGAAACATACTGGGAACGATGACGTCCTTGTCATGGGCGATCAAGTCTTCAATCAGGGTATCGGGGCTTTCTTCAATGTCAGAGTCACGCCAGTACACCCAAGAGTGCTCAGGCTTAAGGGCAGAGTAAAGCAAGTAGTTGCGAGCCCTAGCCATGGCCTTGCGGCGGGGGGCCTGAGCCGCAAACGCGTGGCGCTCCTCAATATCCTGGCTCAGCTTGTAGTTGAAGTCCTTTTCAACAACGGTGGCACTTCGGAAAGGGACCTTGTCGGGGCGGCTTTGGATACGGTCCAGTTCAGCTGCGAGAGCGGCGTGAGTGTCGTCTTCAGAGTCGGAGATGAGGAAGGCCAGATCAATCAGATGGTGTGGGTACGTCAGTCTGGCGAGCAGATCAAAATACTTGGGCAAGAATTTGGAGGCATCCTTGAGGGGAGTCAGGATGAGTACTCGCTCTTCGTTGGTGACGGCCTTGGTGGTGGAGGTGATCGGGTTCAGGTTGACGTGCTGAATAGTGGAGGAATTGACTTCGATCGGCGCGTGGGGGTTGTAGAGGACCGGTGTTTGCAGATGGGCGTTCCATCTGGCGTAGTCGTTCGCTGTCATGTCCATGGGTGACTTCGAAGGGCCCCAGCAGTAGAAGCTGTCAAATGTTAGTGACTATGCGGCAAGAGCTAGATGGCAAAGTGAATGACGGCGAACCTTTGCATCTCAGACGCCGAGTTTGATACCCCGCGCCATAGAAGGATGATGGCTGTGACGATGGCGGCGAGAACGATAACTCGTTTACGCGCAACAAGGTTCCAGATAGCGCGCGACGGGGGGAGTCTAGACTGCGCGGCCTTCCAGTTGAGGCCACCTTTGGGGAGAAGCATCTTGGGCGATTTTCTATTACCAGCTCGAAGAGAGGAACTGAGTAATGTCGGGTATGCGGGATGTAGCCGGCGCGTTGGTTATCGCCGGACTAACACTCGAAGGGGCGGTGATGATCGTCGTCTTCGATGTTGGCCTGGGAGAAGGGGTGGTAGTTTCGACTTGGGTAGAGCTGGTGGAAGCGAGCGGCGTGGGCGAGATAAGGAGGAAACGAGCGGACGCGATCACTAGAATCATGCGAGAATAAAGCTGGACCGGACGTCGGGATCAAAAAGGCCGGCTGTGACGACTCTGACAATTGGCGTTGATGAGGCAGAAAAAAAGCAGCGTTGGCCAACTATCAGGAGAGTCTGAGCATTGAGGTGGCAGAGGGTGGCTCGCCATCGACGGGAAAAAAAGGTTGAAGACAGCATGTACATGTCGTTACAAGATAAGTCACGCAATCCCGCACAGTTGAGCGCGTATGGTATGTATCCGTCAAGTACCCGACTAGCTCGTTCGCAAGCATCAGGTACGCTTGTCCAAATTTAGCTCAGTTCAGTTTCGCCCCTTTCAACATAACGTTAGCTGGCATACCAGCAATTAATTACCAGTACAAATCGATTCAGATAACACGGACGCCACACGTCCATAGTTTTCAGCAGTGCTATGTTGGCAAAAGTCTGAATTCGTCGTCGCGCCATCCCATCCTGTCCACAAGCACACCGAGACACGCCCGTGGTAGTATGCTTGCAGTCTGATATCACTGGCTGGTTACGGAGTAGTAACTCGCAACTGCACTATCTAATGGAGACGCGATTAACCTTTTAACCTTTTTGGTCGGGCTAGCTCGCTGACTAGGTAGTTGAGAACCCAAACATCAGACCGCGACAATTCCCGACGGCTTGTTTGAATGATCACTACCCAACGGATACCATGAACCGTCGCAGGAAGGACTTGACATGAACAACACAAAAAAAAAAACCACACACACAAGCGACGAACAAGAAACATAGACCTGCAAATCACCTTGCGTGCACATAATAAACCCACAACCACCAGAATTGCCGACGATAGGTCTGAATCCTAGTACAGGGTAGTCGTGCAGTGCGACGCTAGCCTCGCCGATGGACTGTGAGAGCTGCACTAGTCAGAGCTCCCCTGAGATGTATGTCGTGAATGCTTACAATTTGTCATCTGTCTCTTCACCCATTTCCAGTCATCAGAGGGCCTCAATAGTCACCAGCACCAGGTCTGACGACATCGACATCTCTATACACAAAAAGAAACAACATACGGACCTCCACAGTGGATGATTGCGGGACGCTCATTCACTCTCCGTACCCCGGCTTTCACGCTACGATATACGTCACCAGCTCGAGCCAGCATCGCAGCACAGACTGCCTACGGCTCCAGGCTACGGCTACGGACATCACAGTCGCGCACAAACAATATCGCTACAATGGCTGGGACAAGGCGATCATCACGGCTCAGCGCCGCTGCTGCGGCCATGCCTCCCCCGCCCTCGCCCGCACCCACCACCAACGGCCGCAAGCGCAAGGCCAATGACGAGGCAACCCCTAACGGCCAGGTAGCCCCGTCGACGCCCAAGAAGAAGAGGAGTCGCGCCCCCCCCCCGCCGCTGACACCGACCCCCAGCGCCGTCGGCATCATCGCCGAGCCGGCGATCCGCCGCCCGGGCCCGCAGACGCCCAAACCTGCCGCCGTCACCCGCCTCGCCGACCCGCGCGGCACCAACGCGATGCTGCTGTCGCCCGAGACGTCGCGGCTTATCGCGCCGCGCGACGGCGAAGACCCGCCGTCGCCGTCCAAGGGCCGCGACGGCAAGCCTGCGACGACGACGCAAACACTGCTGCAGGAGGCGTGCGAGCACCTCATCCGCGTGGACGAGCGCATGCGGCCGCTCATCGAGAAGCACACGTGTCGCGCGTTCTCGGCCGAGGGCCTGGCCGAGCAGGTCGACCCGTTCGAGAGCCTGGCGAGCGGCATCATCTCGCAGCAGGTGTCCGGGGCGGCCGCCAAGTCGATCAAGAACAAGTTTGTCGCCCTCTTCTCCGCCGACGACAGTAACGTCGGCACCGCGCCGGCGTCGTCGCGCTTCCCGCACCCCTCCCAGGTGGTCGCCGCCCCGCTCGAGCGGCTGCGCACGGCGGGCCTGTCGCAGCGCAAGGCCGAGTACATCAGCGGGCTGGCAGGCGAGTTCGCGTCGGGGAAGCTGAGCGCGCGCGCGCTGCGGGACGCGCCGTACGAGGAGGTGCTGGAGCGGCTGACGGCGGTGCGCGGGCTCGGGCGGTGGTCGGTCGAGATGTTTGCGTGCTTCGGGCTCAAGCGCATGGACGTCTTCTCGCTGGGCGACCTGGGCGTGCAGCGCGGCATGGCGGCGTTTGTCGGGCGCGACGTGGCGAAGCTGCGGGCCAAGGGCGGCGGCAAGTGGAAGTACATGTCGGAGCAGGACATGATTGCCTTGTCGGAGCCGTTTGCGCCGTATCGCAGCCTGTTCATGTGGTACATGTGGCGGGTCGAGGAGACGGACATTAGCACCATGGAGACGTAGGGGGAGTGTCGACACGGAGCGGTCTAGACGCTGTCAAGGCTTTTGCTGGCGTGGAAGATGGGATTCCCGGGGACATCGATCATGTTTGGCCGGGGTGTTCAACTGGAGCGTGATGGGTTATGCTTGGTCACGATGGGCTTGTGCTGGATGACAGTATGCTGTGTTATTGGAGTCGGGCGAGATTCAAGGGATGATTTATGTGGCTCTGTAAATTTTAGGTGCAATATCAAACGCCATTTAAAAGACGGGCTCGCCGAAATATTGCCGTCTAGATTATCTCGGTTAGATGTGAGGCTGCTGATGCTATCCTGGGTACGGCCAAGTAAATCCAGGCTCTGACCCCGACCGCGATTTCTACGCACGACTGGTAGCCCTGTGGTAACCTGCATAGATGATTCATCTCGTATCCTTTTTTCATTCAGGTATAATAGAACAATAATTAATAATAATTAAAGGCGACTGGATAAGTCGACCCGCAAGAATCGGACGGCTCTGGATGACGCTAACGCCCAGCGGTAGGGCAGCTTCGTCGAGTCCACATAACTTTACATGAATATTAGGCAATTTTACATGATCTCCACAGGTCAGCATGTTCGGCCCAATAGAGGGGAATGAGATTCATATCAGTCGGGCAGGGTTGTTGAGGCCGGTGGCTGCAGAGTACGGATAGCTTCCTCCGTAGTGCGCTCCTGTGTGCGGGTCGGTCGCGTCTGGATCTGTGGGGGAAACTCGCGGTTGTCGATTGACGGGCGGCATATTGCAAATAGTCGTTGCGTTTGATAGCATCCGCACTTGACAGTTCAGTCTGTCCGTCTCGTTTAGATGATCCTGCTAGCATGCGTCGCGCTGCCTGGCGCGGTCTTGTTGCCGGACACGACGGGTAGAGGTGTTTCTTTTTGCTCTTCTTTTTTGTCACAACCTGTCCAAGTTCACGCCGCCACCCACTGCAGGGAGGGCTCTAGCGATGATTATATAGTCCATTCGCTTTTTTTGCCCGGAATTTTTGTATTTGCCATCTGACTGTCTAACAGGGCCCTAAAAGCACCGTGGAATCTTCCCTCCGCCCACCACCAGCATCTTCCCGATCCTCATCACCGACACCTTACTGAGCCGCACCACCAGCATCCTGCTTCAGGTTCTTCAACATATCTTGAAACGTTTGTACAGCATCAATAAGCGTATCCAGCTGCTTCAGATCCTCTGGGGCCGGCGCTGCTTCAGCGCCTGCTTTGTCGGCTGCTTCATCGGCTCGAGCAGAAACGCTCACGCCATCAGAGAAAACGGGGGACGATGCAGAAGCAATGGCAACAACTACAGGTGCGCCTTATTAGCGTTCTTGACATCCATCGTTGCTTAAAGGGACGTTGGGGATGGGAAACTTACAGGCCAAGAGAGCAGCAACAGTAATACGGACCATCTTGATTGATGACAGGATATGGTGGTATGTTCGGCGGTTAAAAAAAGACAAAAGCTTGATGGTGGGAATGCAATAAGAAGTGTAGTGAAATTGATGGTAAAGTGCAAAAGGTAAGGGAGATGTACTCAACTTTATATGTTGACCAAGTCATCACCAGTTAAAATGACACGCCCTATAAGGACAAATCGCGAATAGGCTCCCCGCCTCTCAACGGTCACGACATTAAAACACGACTTACAGTAGAAACGCCTAATTATGACTTTTCGTACCATTGGTCCCGGTCATCGCGCCATTTACCATAAGCCTCTTAGCATTGATGATAATATCTTGCCTTAATCATGAACCTCTGTTGGGTGCGTAGATGGCTTCTTCATCAACTGACATGTCGCCTGCAAGTCTGCATGCGAGAGTCAGGAACAAGCTCAATTCAGGAAAGCGCACTCAAGCATGGCATGATATACACGAGCATGCAAACTTTCCCCTTGCCGCGGCGCATTTCTCGGAAAGGCACGGCTCAGGGCATGTACATAGCATACAGGTGCAAGTTGCATTGTGGTGACTCTAACTGGCAATTGTTACTGCCACAGCCCACGTGGCGATGTGCGCCGTTGACGCAATGGCAGCAAACATCGATGGTTGCATGAAGTCTGGAAAGTTTAAAGAGGAAAGACATGGAAATCCAGGGGCACGCCTGAATAGATGAATAGGCACACAGCCCTGGAGGCTTGAGTCGGGCGCGTGGCGATGAAGTGGGATGACCCTCCAATTAGGCGAAGACGGCTCTCGGAAGGTTCGGTTCATGAGTGCTATAACTAACTAGAGGTTTCAAAACCAGGTTAACCATTTTTAAGCTCATGTCGGGCCGTATTCGGGAGCATTGCTTGGTCATGGCATACGTGTTTCATCCTATCCCATGCTTCGCCAATCATCGGCTGGAAGCGCCGATGACAGGGGATGGGATGCCATATTAGCTTAACAAGGACAGAGCACCAGCATGCTTTTCTCCTTGAAATATTTGATATAGGCGGTAGCAATATGATCGGTTTATCAATTTCATCAATAAAAATTCCTCAGTAGTAATAAGTCCTACTGAATATGCAGAGAATACTCCGTAGTTCATGCATCATCACTACCCACTTGACCGTTGTTGGTCCATTCATTGTATGTCATTATGCACCGGCATACTGCACAAGCCAGCGAGAGAACCACGCGAGTAAACGACAATTATGCATGCAAGAGAGAAGAACTAGGGCTCAAAGCAGACGACTTTGAGGCTGTGGCGCGTTACACCCAATTTTCAGCTCCGCAGCATTGCCTTCTCAGTTGGACGGTTGATTCGGAATTCTGGTTGGCAAAGAGATGCACGTCTGCGTGTGCCGACTACTACTCCTAGGTTCGGAAAGCCTTCTTCATGTCAAAGAGGCCCGGGCACTGTACATTAGTTATAAATAAGAACTGCCCGGACGTTGATCAAGTGCCCGTTCAAGTGGCTAGCATCAGCTTCACACGGCTGACCTACCTTCATTTGCAATCATTCTATCATTATTGAGCACTTCATCAGCTGTCATTCTTTCCTAGCCACAAGCCCTAACAAAGATGCACTTGCCATCTTTGACTGCATGCGTCCTGCTTCTTAGCTCTGGTGCAACTGCACTCAGACATGGCGAGCAGGACAACGGGGTGGTCCAGGCACTGTGGGAGGCACCTCACGTCGCCGCCCATCATCAACGTCGGGACGGCTTCATCATCGCTGATGGTAAGCGCATCAGCCGCAGAACGCACGCAAAGCTTCACGCCCGTCAACCGCCGCCGCCACCTCCTCCGGCTCCGGGCCCGCCGCCGCCGCCTCCGCCTGGTGGGGGTGCTGGTAGCTCCTGGAAGGACAAGCCTAGTGCACCGAGCCACGTCGAGATCAAGGTGGGCGATCTCTGGCGCGGAGAGACCTTCCGGAAACCCGAAGACGTCCGGAAAGCGGGCGGCTTCGAGTCCCACGCCAAGCGAATCTTTGAGGGAACTCACCCGGACTACAAGACGGGGATGACGCAAGAGGCGTTCAAGATGGGCAGCAGCGTGTACCACCACTCCAAGAAGACGTGCTCCTGCTCTTCCTACGTCTCCATGAGCGCCAGCAAGGATGAGGCGACCAACTTTGCGAGCAAGCAGACCGCGGAGAAGACGTACGTCTACAAGATCCGCCCAGAGACCAACAAGGTCGTCGATGTCGCGGGCTCTCTCGGCGGCGACAGACATCTCACGTGGACCAAGGAAAAGGAGATTGCCGGTGTCTACGAGGTGCCGTGGAAGCAGGTCCTCGGTTGGCACGAAGGCACGCCGACCAAGGCCGAAGGAGGAGGCAGCGAAATCGTCTTCAGTGAATTCATCAACAAGGGCGACGTTTACCCCGACGACCCCCTCCCCGAAGAGGTTCCCTTGACTGGGGAGTTTGAGATTCGGTCTGAGCTCGCCGGCTTCCCCGAGGGCCATCTCGGAAGAAAAGAGTCGCCGTGGAAGAAGTTCAACGACGTGCCGGTCGAGGGGTGGCTGAACGAGTACATGCTGGAAAGAACCTTCAACAAGGACAAGGCCAAGTTCAAGGAGGCGCGCAAGGGGGAGGAATGGGCAAACTTGCCCTGCAGCAGCCCCAAGCGCAAGAGAGCAGGCGCCCCCGCGGGATGCGATCGTGTCAACAAGCAAGGCGTCGAGGGCGAGGAGATTGCGAAGCCAGGCAATGGCGAGGGCGAGGAGACTGCAAAGCCAGACAATGTCGAGGACGGATTGGGCCTCGACGGAGAAAAGGCGCCCGGCTCCGGTTCCGGTTCCGATGTGGCAGAACTTCCCGAGATCACCGAGAAGTGGGCAACCACGGCTGAAGAAATCTCCAAGCGCGAGTTCACTGACCTCGCCACCTCCCGCGGCCTGGCAAAGGTGGCCAAGGAGAAGTTCTCCCAGACGCTTACCGAGTTGCGCGGCAAGTGGTTGGGCTACACGGCACTCACGAAAACCTCCCCCAAGTTCAAGACTATTTACGGCATCGCGGGAAAGCTGGCGAAGCCCCTCGAGAAGATTGGCACTCCCCTCTGGGTTTTTGGAGTCGTCGACGCCTTTGCTCGCGACGCGTCCGCCTTGGAAAAAGCTGCTGCCATCACGGCTCTCATCCCCTTTGTCGGCTGCACGGTGGACGCGGCCGCCAAGGGGTCCAAGGGCAAGATCAGCCCCCTCGACACGACCCTGTGCTATCTCGCGGACGGACTCATGTTCACCCCGCTGTGGCCGGCCGCCCTCGTCATCCAGGCGGTCCGGGCCATCATCAACGCCTTCATCCCCCCGGACGTGCCCTCGCCCGAGAAGCTGCATGAGAAGCGCGACAAGGAGTGGCGCAACTTCCTCGACAACACCATCTACACGTACATCTACTCGGACGAGTTCGCGACCCCGGAGAAGACGTTCCGCGAAAAGATGAACAGCACCTTCGTGGCCGAGGCCGCTCTCGTCATCTCCGACATGGCGGACAGCATCGGCGTGACCAACGCAACCGGGCAGAGCGCCATGGAGGCCGAGAAGGACGCCGGCAGGAAGGCCACCATCCTCAACGGCACCCAGACCGCGATCGCGGAGCTGCGCGCGGGCGTCGATACCGAGATCCGGCGCCGGCAGCGCAAGGCCGTGCTGGAGCTGCCGGAAAAGCTCACCACCAGCTCCGGCGTCTCCCTCAAGCCGCTGGCCAAGACCTTCCAGGACGAGTACATTGCCAACCTCCAGTCCGCCGAGTTCAAGAAGAAGTACACGGACATTCTGAAGATCAACGCGGCCGACGTGGAGGACAAGGTCAACAAGGCCGTCACGTACATTCAGCCCAAGGCGGTCGCGCTGCCGACCCTGTTCGACGTCGCGTACGTCGTCGGGCAGTCCAAGGCGCTGGAGGACATTGACCCGAACGCCCTGTCCGCGCGGGAGTTCATCATGGACAACACCAAGAACCTCACGGAGAACAAGGTCAACATTTACGCGCTGCACCACACGCTGCAGATCGCGAAGCTGCTCCGGGGCGCGCTCGACGGCGGCGAGGGGGCGCTGGACACGCGCTGGCCAACGTCCGACACGGCGCCGACGCGGCCGCTGCAGCTGCTCATCGCCATGCGGTACGGGCGCATCTACGAGGAGAACAAGATGGCGTGGATCAGGAAGGAAAGGAAGGGCGTCCTGGGTCTTTTCGCGGGGGCCAACGACCCCGGCGAGATTCACTGGGCCAGCCACCCCAACATCCCGCCCGTCAAGGCCCCCAAGGCGGAGAACGAGAAGCTCTCGTACCTGGGCATCATCCTCGGGCTGAGCGAGGAGATCGTCCGGAACACGCCACGCGGAGTGCAGCCGTTCGGGTTCAAGGACCTGGCGCAGAACGCGGATCTGCTGCTGGCCCTGCTGAAGCTGGACGTGCACGCGACCGCCAACAAGCAATCGGGGGCTGCTGGCAAGGCTGAGGACGAGAAGCCCAAGATGATGCGGCTGTGAACTGAATAGTTATTGCGTGGGTTGTTTGAAGGAGAGGATGCGATTCTTGATTTTTTTTTTTTTCATTCGCGCGAAGTAGACTGCGATACGAATAGAATAAGCTCATTTAACTCACCGACCCTGCTGCCCCTGCCAGACCTTTACGAGATCAAACTTATTAGTTTCAATATTGGCTGCATGTGCGACACACCCACGGCACTCAGGAGTACCTGGGAGTTGAAAGATGTGATAAAGCGTCGTCAGGACTGACATAAAAAAGAAAAGAAAAAAAAAAACTTTGGCATCTTTCGACTGCGCAGGCGAATACACACTGGCCTGTTAGTAAGGCACCGCCCCAACCACTCGGCCAAAGTGTCAGGTTGTTGAGAGCAAATACGTGCGCCAAATGAAACCCATCTCTTGCATCTGACATCTGATGGAGGAAGCATTTTTTCCTGTTATTTTTCTGATGTCATGACCACTGACCCTGGACTGGTACGCAGTCCACCTCAAACTCATAACCCACAACTACCAATAAGTGAGGGGCAGAGCAGGGAAGGAACCTGGAATGCCATGTCTTTATTTCTTATTACAAAATACGGATTGCTGGGATCATCTTTGATGACCAAACGCAGATTTGCCCAACTGCTACAGGCAAAAAGGGGCCACTGGTATCCGTAATAAAGCGGCCGATAACAAGCGCCCGACTAGCATGTGGTATGCATGCTCGTTTTAATGTTGACCTCTCAGCGCTCGTTATGCAGCTACTGACTGTATCATGTCGGTGAACAGTGCCGTATAGGGTACGTAGAGGAGGAAATCAGGTTGTGTCAGACTGGTGTGGTGGTGTGTGCCGAGCATTCTCAGTGGTACCGCAGCGTGGCGGCTCTCTGCCTGTAAGATCTGGCCATGCTGCGAAGCCCAAGCCCTATCATGTGCCGGCATGATCTTTTACGAGGTGATCTATTTACCTGGGGGTAAGACGGAGAAAAAGGGCTGACCAGCCAAGACTGCAAACGGAAACAGCTCGTAAAAAGGCTTGGCCGAGAGGAACGGACGGAATGGCGCGGATCTAGGATGCCGGTGGCGTGGCGGTTAGTTGGCACTATTCTCTGGTTCGGAGATGGAGGCAGAAGGAGGCTCGGCTAAGTCCACATTCTGGGTCAATCATTGGTGTTGCGAGACCAGTTGATGAGAGAAGAAAAAGAAAACCAGCTGTAACATCACGGGCGCGACATTGGAAGTTTCTTTGCATAGGTTGGTGGTGTACGACGGGATGCCCATTGTTAGACACCTGCAGGCCTTTTGTTGTTAGTCGTTTCACCACTAGTCGCGTATCAGTTCATCACCCAATGTTCATCTGCCAGCAAGCCAGCTCTTGAATTCCCATCTCTAGCGAGAGAGGCGATCGGCGGAGTTGGGCAGGAGGCCCCATCGCTGATCATGGTAAGACGGCCATGTGTGTTGTGATACTGTTGTGGCAGGTTAATTGTGCGCTGCCACCTCGGTTTCCCGTTCTTGTTGTCGGCTCCTAAGACCAGGTTTCTCTTTGTACAGACAAGTGTTCCGCCAGTGTACTCAGTATGTGTGTTTGTGCTATCGCCAGTGGCAAAAGGCCAAGAGCTTTGGCGTCGTTTTGGTGGCTGTGTCCTAACCTACAGATAAATGGCGAGGAAAAGAAGTCGGCGCCACCGGCTTGGTGTTTGCCGACTTGGTGTTTGAAACACAGCTTCGATATCCCGAAAGTGCCGTGCGCTGGATCGAGGTACTTGGTGGTGGCCGAATGGCTTGGAGACGAGAACTGGTCAATTTCCATGCACTTGGTAGCTTGGTAGTGTTTGTTGCTAGCGAGAGAGGAGGTGGGACGCGCAAGCATCGCGGGTGATGGGGTGGAGCATAGAGTTTTTGTTGTTGATGCTGCTGTATTGAGGGTGCTGCATTGAGGAAGAGGATGGTAACAAAAACGAAGGGAAAAAAATTGAAAAAGGAAAAATCGTGGCTCGTGAACAGTGAGAGACAAGCGACAGCCAGGACAGTAATGCGCTGGTTGAGATGAGGTCTGCTGCGCAAAGGGAGGAACAAAAGGTCCGGGCAGGCTCGTCAGCTAGAGGTGGCCTTGGTTAAAACATCATTAACATCATTAAAACATCATCAACATCATTCCTCCATTGATGATGGTTTTGAGGACGGGAAAAGTGATGATGGGTGGTGTGACGAGGGAGTCAGGCAGTGGAACAGCAGAAAAAACAGGGCTGATGAAGATTAACAGGGCAATGGAGGCAATTGGACCTTTTCTAGGTATGCGAGAAGGTGAGGCCCATGAATTCGTGGTGCGATTCAATCTTATGGTGGCTTGTGGAGATGTGGCGGTGCTGCAACCGAAATGGGATGGACCGGGATGACCGGGGAATCATGGCCCCCTGGAGGACTCGGGCCGGCAGGGGTTCGTTACAAGGGCCATGCAATGATGCAGTGGCTTAAATAAAGGCCATCAAAGAGTGTACTTAAACAACAAAATGCTCGATGTGAATGAGGGTAGTTCAGACTGCATGCATCATTACCTTTGGCACATGATTGAAATTGGTTTTGCACTGGCGATAATTCCTCAGCTATTGCACTCGTACCTGGACCTGCCTTGAAAAGCCTGCTGGCCTGAAGCTGGACCCGCAGCTTTCAGCAGCATTGGCACTCGAGCGCGGCAGCTGTGGGGCGATGATGGAGCTACTCAGGACGTGCCTGTTGCCCTGGCCCGGCGTGGTGGCGATTCTGCAACAGGTCACGTACTGTACGGCACAGGTCCAGGTCCAGGTACAGGTACAGGTACAGGTACAGGTACAGGCAGGCAGGCACGGGCACATGTGCCAGAGCTGGCAATCTGTCGCACAACAACAGTCAATCGGCAACACAATGGGAGAAACTTCATCTCGGCTCTGTAATCCTTTTTCTCCTCAATCATCTCCAGCCTTGATCTTTAAACCAAAGTTACCAAGGCAGCGGCATCTTCTGCTCGAACAGCCCGCAGCGTGTTCCTCTTTACCTTGGGTACATATGTCCATCGACCAGGCCCATGCATCAGTGCCCACTGCCCTCGACCGCTAGCGCCCAGCAAGTTCCCAATCTCCTTTCCCCTCGCCCACTAGATGCCAGTGACCATCCACCAGGAGCACCACAAGGCCAGCCACCGCCCACCCTTCCAAACTCCCTCCACCTTCTCGCCCTCTCCCCTTCCTTGCCTAAAAACCTCCTCCTCCTTTCCCTCTGAATATTCTTCCCGTTTGACCCAATTCATTTCCAGCCGCTCGTTTTCTGGCCCCCGAAAAGGATCGATTTCTCTCCTCGTCCTTTTTTCGCCCTTTTTATTCTTTCTTCTCTTCGTCCTCTCGTTATCAAACGCCACACGGTTAGCAACGCCTCCAACGCCAACGCCCCTATTCCGCGACCTCCCTCAGCTAACGACTCTGTCAGGAACCGATCGCTTCGACGACCGCCCGACCGACCATTGCTCCCTTTTTCCCATCGACAACTTGGCCAATTTTTTGCTCTTGTGGTGCGTTCCTCCCCGGCAACCGTTGCCGTGTTGACTTGAAGTGGCACACCTTGTTTCCGTACAGCGCCTGCATTCCAGTAGCTTGCCCTGCCTGCCTGCCTCCTTCCTACCTTCTCACACCCATTCGCTCACCTGTGCGCGACACCCGGCACCTTGTTCCCAACGCCTCTGTTTACGGTGCTCCGCTCGTGTCTCTCCTCGATCATCAGGCTTGATCAAAACATCATCTGTTTGGCCATTCGCACGAGCTTCATCGTCAGGCGGCTTCTTGTTAGCTGCAGCTCCAGCTTGCCTTATCAAACTACCTCCCGGGAAGGAGCTTCGTTTGCTCAACTCCGGCACGCGTCTTCGCCTTAATACCGTCCATTTTTAAACCAAAGCATTTCAACAACGAGCGACCCAACATTGTTTTTTTCTGGCATTCAATTCTACTTGCCGCAGCCATCTCGACACTCATTGTACACTTCACTCCACAACACATCACCTGTGCCCACTTCAAGCAACGCAGCCGTGGCCAATGCAGTTTCTCTGCCGAGACTGACTCTCCCTATCTAGATCAAAATGCCTTCTCTTCAGAAGTTTATGGTCCTCGCGACCGCCAGCGTCGGCGCTTGTAAGCATTATCCCCCATCATCCTTCACTCGTCCCGTTGCTGACAGTCGCTCAGTCGCCGCCAGCAGCAGTGACTGCACCACGGACATCACCATCGACTCTGTTAACCCCACGTTCGACTGTGACACCATCGATGCCAAGGTCACTGTCTCCCCATCTCTGCAGGGCACCCTCCAGATCGACGGTCCCAAGGTCTTCAAGCAGGATTTTATTGTCAGCAATGCCACCGGGCTCCTCGGCATCTCCTCCTCCTCTCTCACGTCCATTGGCGGACAGTTTCTCGTTGAGGATTGCACCCTGCTCAACTCCATTACCCTGTCGAAGCTCAACAAGCTTAATCAGCTCACCTTCCGTCGTCTTGGTCAGCTCAACTCCGTTGATTTCGCCTCATCTGGTGTCTCCCAGGCCAGCTCCGTCGACATTGCCGATACCTTCCTGAGCGACATAAGTGGTCTTAACCTCGCCACTGTCGAGAGTCTCACCATCAACAACAACAGGAGACTGACCAAGTTCGACTCCAACCTTGTCAACATCACGAAGACGCTTATCATCACCAACAACGGTAACGACATGCAGGTCAACCTCACCCAACTCCAGACTGCGTACGAGATTCAGGTTTCCAACATCAAGGGTCTCGGCACCCCCGCTCTTAAAGAGATCCAGAACGGCATCAAGTTTGACACCAACCCCAACCTTGTCTCCTATGAGGCTGGCAACCTTACTAGCGTCGGCACCTCCAAGAGCGGTGGTTCCGTCTCCTTCATCAACAACGCCAAGCTCATGAACATTTCCTTCCCCGTCCTCAAGACCGTCTCTGGTGACCTTACCATTGTCAACAACACCAAGCTGGACGAGATTACTGGTTTCCCCATGCTCCAGAGCGTCGAGAACATGCTCCTCGGCGGAAACTTCGAGAAGTATGTTTCCCCGCAATGTGTTTAAACGTTGTTCACTCACTAACACTACACAGTGCTGAGCTCCCCAAGCTCGACGATGTCAAGGGCACCATCAACGTCAAGTCTACCTCCAACCTGACTGATGTGTGCAAGTTCTTCAACGGTCTCAAGGGCAAGGTCGTCCAGGGCAAGGTCAACTGTGCCGGTGGCCTCGACAACAAGACGGCTAACGACCAGAACGGCCTCAACAAGACCGGCAGCAACGGCAACAGCGGCGCTGGCTCCCCTAGCTTCAGCACCGCCGCCATCTTCCTTGGCCTCATTGCTGGCGCTGCTCAGCTTTTGTAAATGAGTTGCTGTGTTTTTTGGACGATAGGAATCTATGGTGGGAAATGGCGTCATTCTCTGCACCCCAAAATATGTCACCTGCTTTTTTCTTTTGAGCCTGCACTTGTGGTTGATTTCCGCTGGCTGGCCACTGCCCACTGTCTGCTGGAGCCCTGCGCTTTGTGTATTACTCTGAGTCTTTGCCGCAGACACGCTAGAACTTATTAATTACCCTGTATTTGAATGTTGGCACACGAGCTGAATTGATTTTTTACGTTTGCATCCTCTTGGGCCTGGTCGTTTTCAGGTTGAATCTGAAGTCTTAACGTGGGCAAGCTGTCTGCTGCTGCGGCTATTTGCCTAGTTGCTACAGGTGTTTTGCCCTCCGGACAACTTCTCTTGGCCTTGATAATAACTAATAGGATTGGCTTGACGATGTTGGGTTGCGTCTTGATGATATAGGGATTTGGTCCGGAAAGGTGACACATTTGTTTTTTAGCCTGTAGAGAACACGTTATATTTACATATCTATTTGTTGTAGACGCCTCTGTCAAAAGCATCGCTATCATAATACTTGGGCGTGATTGTGTTCCCGTTAAAAACCCGTCCCTGCAGTTCGCTGACGGCCTATCCATCACGTTAGTTTCGTCGACATCTACACCGACAGGGAATCGGCAACTTGCCTTGAGAGCGGATATCTGGTCTGTAAACTTGATGAATACTCGCTGCGTCGCCGTGTCGATGAACACTCTCTCGACGCGGCCATACTATTGATTTCACTGTTAGCACTGGAACATCCCATCATATGCAGCTATCCCATGTGCACAGCTTGACGGAAGGAGAAGAGGAGTCAAACGTACCTTTTCGCCGCACTCCTCGCCAATCTCCTGCCCCAACCCGTCCTCGACCTCGGCGGCCAGGTCCGGCATGTTGTCGAGCATGTTGAGCAGCACGACCACGTCACTGAGCCCCTGCTCCGAGCTGCCGCCGCCGTCGTTGCGCCGCGTACCGCCGATGATCTTGGCCTTGTTGGCGGGCTCGGCCCAGCCGCCGCCGTCGGCGTCGGCTTTGCGCCGGCGCTTCTCGACTTGCACGCGGAGGGGGTTGACGATGCCGGAGGCGTCGGCGCCGAGGCCGCTGCCGGAGGTCCAGCCGTACTTGGACATGAGGCGATGGGCGAAGCCGGCCTGGCCGGGGCGGCTGGATCGCTGCTCTGAGGAGGAGGATGGTGGTGGTGGAGGAGGTGCCGTGGTGGTGTTGTATAGGACGGGGGCGGCGGGTATGGTGCTGGCGGAGGAAGGAGGGGGAGGAGGGGCTGCTTGGGAGGACATGCCGAGACGTCGGGCGTATGCGTCGTCGCCGGAGGCATCGTCGGGAGGAGGCGGTGGTGGTGGCGCGGCGGCCGATGTTGGAGGAGGTGAGGATGGAGGTGGAGGGACGGTCGTGTAGGATGGCGGAGGGGCGAATTGACCTGGACAGCCACATTTTAGCACGGAGTAGACACTGCGAAGCGCTCTTACTTGTTTCGGGGGGTATGACTCACTATTAGGACGCATGGCTGCTCTCTCGTCCTCCTCGTCCGACGACGGCTCGCTGTCCAGCGCCTTGCCCTTGCGACGGTGCCGGTGCAGCAGCGCCTTCCATTCGCGCACCTCGTCGACCTTTTCGTCGCTGCGCAGGTACTCGTCCACGTTGGTCGGCCGCGCCGGGTCGTACACGTCGTCCCAGTCGGTCCGCGACGGTTCCTGCTCCCGCTGCTGCTGGCGCTTCTTGCGGGCCTTGCGACCGCCGCGCTGGCGCTTCTCGCCGGTGCCGTAGAGCCACTCGTCCTCCTCGGTGGCGGCCCAGTCCGCGAGCGTGCTCTTCGCGACCGGCACCGCGGCGGCGGAGTTGTCTGCTGCGACGGGGCCTTCGGCGGACGGAGGAGGAGGAGGGGGTTGTTGTTGTTGTTGTTGTTGTTGTTGTGTTGGTGCGGCGGGAGACGGCTTGGGGATGGCGGAGGATGAGGAGGTCTTGGGCTTGGGCTTGGCGGGTTGGGGACGGCGCGTGGGTTGGAAGCGCAGCGCAGGGTCAATGGGCTTCTTGACGGGGGCGGAAGCGGTGCTTGCTTGGTTATAGAGGACGGGGGCGGAGGAGACGGTCGATGAAGGGGCCGGGTTGTTGGGGTCGTGGAGGTTCTCGTAGAGGGAGAGGCCGCGAGGCGGTGGAGGCGGCGCAGCCATCTCGTAGGTGTTGTGCGGTCGAGTCTATGGGAAAAGAAGATGTGGCAAAAACAAAGGCTCGATCATCAATGCTGGGCTGCCGCGCCGGGATGAAGCTGCGGAAAGGTATCGTATCGGAAAAACAACGGCCAGGCACGCGGTGTCGGCGGCTGTAGTTTGCACCAAGAAAGAAGCTCTGCTATTCTCTGCTGAGAGCTCTGGCGTGCGGCGTGCCCCTCCAGTGCAAGCACCCCGCCAACTTTTTAGATCCAGCCCACTTTCTCTCACCTTCTCCCATCACTCAGGCGGCAACAACCCAAGCTCTCCATCTGTGGTCTGTTTGTATCCTTTTGTTCTTCTTGTTTATCGGAGAGTATTCCAATACAAGGGATCCGATCATACTTATACATCATTCACTTATCCCCGACGAGACCCAACCGCAGCCTTTTACTCCTTCGGCCGACGTTTGACAAACGCACAACACCAGGATGGCTGATCTCGCGAGCCGCATCACCAAGCCCGACAACAAGCCGGCCGACGCTGCGCCCGCGTCCGGTGCTGACGCCACGGCTCCTACATCGACGGCCGATGCTCAAGTCGATGGCGCGCCCGAAGCTCTGGGCGGCTCCGGCCTGCAGGAGCCCGAGTGGGATGTCGAGGTCTCTCTGAGCGATCTCCAGAACAACGAGGCGACGCCTTTCCACTCAGCTACCACCTGGGAGGACCTTGGCCTGTAAGTTTTGAGCGGAGAAGAAAAAATCTGTGGTGGCCTGCGCGCCGATTACCTACAAACGCATATCTTGGGCTGGGCTACTGACAAAGCCTCGGCAGCTCCCCAGACATCCTCAAGGGTCTGCTGGCCCTCAACTTTCTGAAGCCGTCCAAGGTGCAGGGCAAGTCGCTGCCACTCATGCTGTCTGACCCGCCTCGGAACATGCTCGCGCAGTCGCAGTCGGGCACGGGCAAGACGGGCGCGTTTGTCACCGCGATATTGTCGCGCGTCGACTTTAAGCAGCCTCAAGTCCCGCAGGCGCTCGCGCTCGCGCCGAGTCGCGAGCTCGCTCGTCAGATTGAGGGCGTCATCACGGCCATCGGTCGCTTCATCCCGGATCTCAAGGTAGCGGCCGCTATCCCCGGCGCGCTGCCCCGCGGTGAGCCCGTCCGCGCAGCCGTTATTGTCGGCACGCCTGGCACCGTCATGGACATTATCCGCCGCAAGCAGCTGGATGCCTCGACGCTCAAGGTGCTTGTGCTTGACGAGGCCGACAACATGCTGGACCAGCAGGGTCTCGGCGACCAGTGCATGCGCGTCAAAGGGTATGTTGAAACTGGCCGGCTGTTTCATTACTGTGACTAATGAAATGGGAATAGCATGCTCCCCAAAACAATTCAGACACTTTTATTCTCCGCGACGTTTCCAGACAAGGTTAACAACTACGCGGGAAAGTTTGCGCCGAACGCGCACACGCTCAAGCTCCAGCGCAGTGAGCTCACGGTCAAGGGCATCTCCCAAATGTTTATCGACTGCCCCGACGATAATACCAAGTACGACGTGCTATGCAAGCTGTACGGCTTGATGACGATTGGACAGTCTGTCATTTTTGTCAAGGTAGGGAAAACATTCATGGATACGGCAAGTGTGAAATGCTGACAACAGGTAGACAAGAGAAAGTGCCAACGAGATTCAGCGCCGCATGGTTGCGGACGGCCACAAGGTGTCTGCACTGCACGCCGCGTTTGATGGCGGCGAGCGAGATGACCTGCTGACCAAGTTCCGCACGGGCGAGAACAAGGTCCTGATCACGACCAACGTGCTGGCACGCGGCATCGACGTCTCGTCGGTGTCGATGGTGATCAACTACGACATCCCGATGAAGGGGCGCAACGACGAGGAGCCCGACTACGAGACATATCTCCACCGTATTGGCCGTACCGGACGATTCGGGCGTGTCGGTGTCAGTATCAGCTTCGTCTACGACAAGAAGAGCTTCGACGCGCTCAGCAAGATTGCGGACCAGTTCGGAATCGACCTGGTGCACCTAGACACGGATGACTGGGACGAGGCCGAGACGCGCGTCAAAGAGGTGATCAAGAAGAATCGCGCGCAGGCCAATTACGCGCCGAGTGCGACGGACAAGCCAGGCCAGCCGGCACCTTCGGCACCGGCGGCAGCCTAGAAGATGCCGCCGACCGCGGACTGGTTCATGTCGTCTAAAACGACACCGAAGTGGTAGTTGAAGTGATGGAGCCCCGCCCTTCTCCCGCTTCCGATGAGTTTGTACAGGTTTGAGGTTGTGAGCGGAGTTTGAAGAGAGCTAGGAGGCAGTGAATTGGGGGTTACGAAGTATGGTTACAAGGACAAAAAAAGAGAGACATCAGCTAGAGTGCGTACATAATTGCGCCTATAGGATGGCGTGTGACGAGATACCAAATGAACTAGCTTGAAGGGTAGTGTGCTTTTGTGTTCATACATGAAGTGTGTGGATGGGGACGGTGCGAGTGAATGAGGGGAGTGACGTTGTGAGATGGATGGTCCATGAAAATATGGGGTAGTGCTAAGGTGACATGCAGTGTGGGCGATGTATCAGTTTCCAGTATGAGCAGAAGGCTTGATTAGGAAACAGAGCAGCGAATGCAGATGACTGATTCTGTAGAGGGAAAGTACACGCTGGATATGGACTTGCGTGGTTGGAGGGCGATGGTGGCATGGCCATGAGTTGTGTGATTCGGTAGCAAATCTGATGGGAGCACTATCGCTGGGAGTCGGAAGCTTTGCGTGGGGTCAGGGCGAAGACGGCCCGGGATCCTTGTTCGGGAGGGTAATAAACTGGTGTCCTCGGCTGTTTTCTTGGTGGCCTCAGGTAGCATTGCAGGTACGTACATACATACCTCGTTTGCCAGCTGGCAAATGGATGGCGCCAATTTTACTGAAAAAAAAAATATTAAAAGAGCATGAGAGAAACAGACGACAAACGCCCAATGTTGAGCCCAACAAGGAAGACAAAAACATTGCTCCGTTGGCAATGCACATCCTCATACCGTATTTTTAATGCTATTACTTCCCGTATCCGTTCGGCATCAACATCAGCTTTTTCCCCTGGCTTTTCGTCCCTTTTCCCCTCGGTCTCTGGTACCAGTAAAGTGGTCGCATGATGTTAAAAGCCCACCATCCTTACTAGGCCTATTGCCGCACCGACCAGAGGAAAAAGGGCACCCATGTCATCGAGTGTATCCAGGTATCCTCACTAGAAACACCGCCATTTGCTGACTGGGTAGGAAATGAGCTGGACCCTTGCTCAGCAATAGTTAGTTGTCTCGATATCGCAAGGTTTGTTTCTACAGCGACGAGCGGAACACCCTTGGCTGATGTCAAACCGGAGATGAAATATTGCACGGTGAGGACGGGGAGGTCTTGGATACTTGGGCTGATGAGCAGAGCAGGCAGGCATTCGGCTCGCTAATAAAACGACAAAGATCCGGTCGAAAGAACCATTGTGGCACAAAGGCCATCCGTCCGTCCGTCCGTCCGTGTCTGCTTGCTGCAAGGGAGCAGGTAACTAGTGATGGTGTGCTCGAGGACAAAAGTATTCGTACCACGACTCTGAGTTGAATGGGACAAGACAGACGACATGACACGGGAATCTGCCGCTCCTCACCTCCAATGGCCACGTCGCCTGCAGCATCCTGTATGACGAATGAATGTGTGTGACGAGACAATTCATGCTCGGGTCTCTGTGCGCGCGCAATACTCCGTACGATATGTACTCCGTCCGTACTTTGGGCAAAAGCAACGCGGGAGGCGGAAAAGTATTGGATACAAGGTACGGAGCACGGAGCACACACGGGTACTCCATACGACTACATGCGATACAGACCCTGCATTATTATTCGTAGCCCAACCGGCTAGTCACCCCGCGCCTTTTTTTTCTCATCTGTTTTTTTCTCTCGGTTTTTTTCCTCGATGGCGGATGGCGACTAATGCACGTCGGCCTCACCTCCGCAGTCGGGCAGCCATGTGTTTCTGCGTCTTGACGAACCATCCCCAACAAGCCCAAGCAGTGCGACCCCTCTTGTGCGTACCAAGTCTTTTCTGGCTGGCGGTGCAACCATCTCAAGACTGACGCATCGGTACCGCGGGAACCCAATTGAGTCCATATGGGATCAAAGACTGAGGACCGAACAAATCTTGTCACTTGGTCAACAAGACTCAAGACCATGCATAGTCTCCGCCGCCCAAGACCAGGTCCGGGGCGGGGGACCCTGGTCAGAGTAGGACTTGGGTAAATTGACTTGGCGACATCAAGAACCCGTTTGTCACGATGGTGGCCCAGCCAGCCAGCCCGCAGTAACACACACAAAGACAGGGAAAAAAAGTACAACCCTTGTAATCCGTACACAGGGCCGAAGATAACACATCAGACCCTGGCACAAGAAAAAAAAATCCGTACGTACACTATCTTGTGTTGATGCGGAGCCAAAACAATGCTTTCCGTCCGACCTGTGGTCACGCCTCCCAGCACTGCAGCACCAAGACTTGATAGACCTCTCCCCTCCCCGCCTCGCTGCAGCTTTGTCGTTTTTCCCTCTCGAAACATACAATTGTTCCTCGATTCACCGCCCGTATCAACCTAACCTCTCCCATCATCATCACATCATCCGCCTCACGCGCGGACCACGCCCGCCGTGAGCCCTATTGCTGCCTGACATCATCCCAACTCGCAGCATTCAACCCCCCAACGTGCACCCCATCCACGCAACACAAGTCTGACGGACAATTCTGGAAAGATATCCTCAAACTTTGTGTTAGTTTTTTTTACATTCCCTTTGTTACATAGCTACCAATCATCTGCTCTGTGAAGCAAGGTCCTGTAACAAGTCTCACTCTCTCCAACAACGATATCAGCGTCGAGTTTTGTTTCCCACATAGCTCTCACCTCACATTTTCCAGTTCATCTCTCTTGCTTCTCACCCCCGCTCTTCTCTCACAAAACCAATACCCAGAAACCAAACATATCACCATGGCCTCAGAAGAGCAAATTCCGGGTGTAAAATACTGCGAATATCGCAGCAATGTCTGGGACAACGTCCAAGTATCCGACTTTTCCAATGTCAACATCTATGAGCCTGAAATAACCGATGTGGAAGAAGACGAACAAGAATTAGGTGTGTACTTGAAGCCGCAGAAGTTAGGAGAGATATCTCAAAAATGGGATTTACTGACATCAACAGACATGGAGGACGCCGAGTACACAACAGACGCGCACCTGGAAGAGAACGACACTGAAGGCGTGCCACCCCCAAGTGCAGCTCCTGCAGCCGCCCCGGAAGAGAAAACCCCCAAAGCAAGCAAGAAGAAGAAGAAGGGGAAGTCCAAGTCGCCATCACCTGCTAAGGAAGAGAAAGCTCCCGAGGAGCCACCCTCACCCAAGGAGCCAGGCTCTCCTAGCTCCCCTACGTTTAAGAGCAAGAAGAAGGCCAAGAAGGACAAGAAGAAGAACAAGAACAAGGCCGCCGCCGCCGCTGCCGCTGAGGCCAAGGCACCCACCGAGGAGCCTGCCGAAGCCGCCGCGTCGGAGGAGGATGTCGCTGTGGAGACCGCGCCTGCAGCCGACGCTGCTGAGGAGACTGTTACGACCGAGAATGCCACTGAGCAAGATACCCCTAATGAAGCTGTTACGAGTACGACCCAGAACGACACCACTAATGCCGAAACCAATGACAAAAACAATGACGATCAACAACAACCCGAAACAAACCCCGCCGCCGCCGTCGAGGAAGCCGCCGCTGACACACCGGCGGCTGAAGAGGGCGCGGCCGAGGCCGCTGTCACCTCCGAGACCAAGGAGGAGGAGGCCAAGCCTTCAGAAGCCGAACCTCCCGTGGATGAGGTTACGAAGAACGATGATGTGAAGAATGATGATGATGAAGCGAAGACGCCAGCTGCCGAGGCTGAACCTGCGGCTGCCGCTGAGGGGGAACCAGCAGCGCCCGCGCCGGAGGAGAAAGCCCCGCCTGCCGAGGGGGACACCGCCAGGGCCACCACTGAGGAACCTGCTGCTGAAGTACCAGCTGAGAAGAAGGTGGACGGGCCGAATGCAGCTCCCGCCCCTGTCGAAGGAGGGCCCGCTCCTGAGTCTAAGGAAGCTGAGGCAGAGAAGCAGGAAGAGCAGAAGACAGAGGAGGCGCCCGTCGTCGAGGAAGCACCTGCCGCTGCTGCTGCTGCTGCGCCGGTGGAAGAGCAAAAGGCCGTGGAGGTCGAGGCACCATCTGCTGAGAAAGCACCCAAAGCAGATGAGGCCCCGGTTGAAGCACCCGCCGACGCCCCTGCGCCTGCTGAGTCCGTTCCCGAGCCCGCTGCCGATGCCGCCCCCGCCAAGGAAGAGGCAGAAGCGACCGCGGACCAGCCAGCCTCGGAGGAAACCGTGGCCGCTTCTGAGCCTGCGGCCGAGGAGGCGACACCTGCCGAACCCGCTGCGGCTGCCGCAGTGGTTGGGGAGGCTGACCCAGAGCCTGCGAAGAAGGACAGCGCGGCGGCGGAGGCTGTTGAAGAAGCTGCGGATAAAGCCCCCGAGGAGCCGGTTGCCGTAGCCGCGGCTGCTGAGGAGAAGGAGGCGCCTGCCCCCGAGGAACAGCCCGCTAGTGAAGGTGTTCCGGAGGCCGGGACTGCTGCCCCCGAAGCCGCCGCCGCAGCCGCTGAAGAGCCAGCTGTCGAAGAGACCAGGGTTGAAGAGACCGCCGCAGCCGCTGCAGCAACCGTCGAGGCTGCCGCCCCTCCGGAGCCCGAAAAGCCAGCGGAGACTACAAATGCTACGGAAGAGTCGAAGACCGAGGCTGCTGCCCCTGAGGAGGCTAAAGAAGAAGCAGTGGCCGAGCCTGTCGCTCCTGCGGAAGAAGCTGCTGCGGAGCCTACCCCGGCCGCTGAAGAGGCCAAGACGGACAAACCAGCCGTTGCCGAACCAGCGCCTGCTGCCGACGTTGCCGAACCTGCCCCTGCTGGTGAATCCACCGCTGAGCCCGAGGTTGCTGCTGATGCCGCAAGCGAGGAGCCACCTGTGGTGAGTGCTGCTCCGGCCGAACCCGCGGCCGACAAGACGGAGGAAGAGGCGGGTGCTCATGCCGAGCACGAACCCAAGGTTGAGGAGGCCCCCGTTGAGGCTCCCAGGGAGGTTGAAGCTGAGGTTGCGGCGCCTGCTGCTGCTGACGTTCCCGCTGTGCCGGTCGAAGAGAAGGCTGCGGGAGAGGCTGAGGCGCCTAAGGAAGAAGTCGCTGCCCCGCAAGAGGCACCTGCGGAGGCTGAGGTTGCGAAGGAGGAGGCTCCCGCTGCTGCAGCTGCTCCCGCCACTGCTGAGCCGGAATCTTCCAAGGAAGAAGCCGAAACTCCCACCCCAGAGCCTGTCCCTGCCGCAGATACTCCCAAGGAGGTTGCTGCGGAACCTACTCCTGAGCAGGCTGCTGTTGCGGCCCCTGAAGCCGCTGAAGAGCCTGTCGAGGCTTCCGCCGAGGCCACTCAAGAGGTTAAGGAGCCTGCTGCCGCCATCGAGCCTGAAACCGTCGCTGCCGACGAACCGGCCAAGGTCGAACCTGAACCTACCGCAGAACCAGAGGCTGCTACGGAAGCACCTGCTGTTGAAGAGCCCGCCCCGGTTGTTGAGGCTGTCCCGGCGCCCGTCGAAGAGAAGCCCGCGGACCCTGTCGTTGAGACCCCTGCCGAACCTGCTAAGGAACCCGAAGCCCCGGCTGAAGCGACCGAGACTGAAGAGCCCGCTTCTGCGGACCCTACTCCCGAAGCCGCCCAGGATCCCGCTGCTGATGTGACGGAGCCCGCCGTTGAGACTGCACCAGCTCCAGCGCTAGCAGCCGCCACGGAGCCTGTCGCTGAGGTCGCAGAAGCAGTCAAGGACGATTCCGCCGTCGTTGAAACAGAAGCCGCTCCGGAGCCAGTCAAGGAGGAGGCCACCGTCGCTGAACCTGAGCCGGTTACCGAGCCCACTGCCGAGCAGACCAAAGACGAAGCAACTGCTACCCCTGCTCCTGAGGAAATCTCTGCAGAGGTTACAACGGATGAACCCGCTCCTTCAGCTACCGAGCCTGAGGCTCCTGCTGCCGAGATCAAACACGAGGAGCCCGTTGCTGAGGCCGAGCCTACGACTGAGAGTACTCCCGATGCTGCTGCGGACGCCGCCAAGGAGGACACCCCTGTCCAGCCCAAAGCCGTCCTGGAAGAGACCAAAGCTGAGGAAGTCGTGAGTGCGGATGAGCCTGCTGCCGCTGTGGAAGCGGCCCCTGAACCGGTTGCTGAGGAGCCTGCGAAGGAGCCCGAGTCTGAGCAGGAGAAGGTCGCAGAGACTGCCGTCGAAGAGACGCCTGCAACTGCTGTCGAGGAGCCCGCCAAGCCGACGGAAGCGGTTCCACCCGCAGAGGAGTCCGCGCCCGTTGAAGAGACACCAAAGGCCGACGAGGTTTCTGCTGAAGCACCGAACGCCGATGCTGCTCCCGTTGTGATCCCGGAGGAGTCTGCCAAGGATGCCGAGCCGGCAGCCGCCGAATCCGAGCCCGTTGTGGAGAAGGCCGCAGATGCTGTCGCCGCTGACGAACCTGAGGCCGCGGCCCCGGAATCCACTGAGGCCGCCACTGAAGAGCAGCACAACCCTGCTAAGGAGGCAGCTGATGCTACCGAGCCTGAGCCTGCCCCTGTCGAGGCCCCTGACACACAAGCAAAGGTCGAGGCCGTGGAACCTGCTCAGCAGGCTGCCACCGAGGAGCCAGCCACGACTGAGGACGCCGTTGAAAAGGACAGTGGTGCAGAGCGAGAACCTGCTGGTGAACCCGCCAGCCAGGAAGCTGTGCCTGCTCTTGCGGCTGAATCTGCTACCGAAGCGGCTGCTGCTCCCGAGCCCGAGCAAGCAGTTGAGCCTGCCGGCGAGGCTGAGCGAGAACCTGCCGGAGAAGAACCCTCCGGCGAGGAAGCTGTGCCCGCGGAGGCCGTGGAAGCCCCCGCGGAGGCCACGGAGGAGCCCAAGACGGAGACTGTTCCTGCTGAGGCTGAGGAAGTCAAGGCCGAGGAGCTTCCTGCTGCTCCGGAAGCGGAAGCCCCCGTCGTTGAGGAGGTAGCTCCCGCTGAGCCTGAACCCCCTGTGGCCGCCGCAGAAGACACTCCCGCCGCAGAAACCGAGGCAGAACCCACTGCGACCGCAGCCTCTGAGGCTGAGCCTGCTAAAACGACCGAGGAGCCGAACGCTGCTGAGGTAGATGGTGCTGACCTTGCTGCTCTTGCCGCCGCTGCAGGCGCTGCGACCACGGCTGCCGTTGTCACATCCTCCGACGAAAAGGAAGAGGTTGCCCCAGAGCCCGCGGCACAGGAACCTGCTGCTAAGGAGGCCGAAGCTTCTCCCCTGGCTGAGGTCGAGGTTGCTCCGACCGCTGAAGAGCCTGCTCCTTCGGAGGCTGTTCCTGAAGAACCTTCTGCTGAAGCTCCGGCCGCCGAGCCCGTTGCCGCCGCCGAACCTGAGGTGGAAGAGGAGCCTGTCGCCGAGGAAGTGGAAGCTGCCCCCGAAGCTGAGACCGAAGCTCCTAGCGAAGTTCCTGTTGAAGCAGAAGCTGCTGCCCCTCCCGCTCAGCAGGAGGCCGGGGCCCAGGTTGAGGGAGAACCTACTGCTGATGTGGAGCCTAAGGTCGTTGAGGAAGTCAAGGAGGTTGAAGCAGTCGGCGAGCCGGTCGCCGAAGAGCCACCAGCTGTTGAGCAGGCTGAACCTGCTTCAGAGCCTAAGGCTGAACCCGCAGCTGAGCAGCCCGCGGCTGAAGAGGACCCTGTTGTTAAGGAAGTCGAGGCTGCCGAGCCTGTCGCTGAACCGGCGGCCGAGGAGCCTGTACTCGAAGCTGTTGCGGAAGAGCCTTCCGCGGCCGAACCCGCTGCTGAAGAATCTCCTGCTGCTGAAGAATCTCCTGCTGCTGAAGCTGTTGCTCAAGAGCCTCAGGCCGCTGAAGCTGAAGCTCCCACTACTGAAGCTGAGGTGCCTGCTGACGAGGAAAAGGAAGCTGAAGCCGAGGAGACATCCGACTCCGCCAAAGAGGCCGCCATCGCTGCCGCCGCTCTCGCCGCTGTTGCTGGCGGCGCTGCTACGGTGGCTGCTGTCAAGCATTCCCATGACAAGGTTGAGGACAAGGCCGAGGACAAGAATGGAAAGGACCTGGACGGTGAAAGGACCAAAGGTGAGAACGAGTTAGCTGATACCCAACTTGATGTTTCGCGTGTGAACGATACCCCATCCAATTTGGATGTTGTTGCTACGGAGGATGTGGAGGATAATGATGTTTCGGAACCTGCAAAGAAGGATGTACAAGATGTTGAAGAGTCAAAGGAGTCAGAGGCGTCGGAGACGAGCACCGTCGTCGCCGATGAGCCCAAGGTTGAGAAGTCTGTCGAGAAGGATCACGATGTTGGCAAGATTGCTGCCCTGGCTGCTGGCGCTGCTGGTACCGCGCTTATCGTCGGTGCCGCCACTGTCACTGCTGTTTCTCTGAACAAAGAGGTGGAGAACGGCCACGCACAAAAGCCCCAGACCCAGGCTGAGCCCTCCAGCAAAGCAATCGAGCAGCCCATCATGGCAAAGGAAGCTCCAGCTGATGGGACGCCGTCGGCCGCTGCGCAAGACGCAGTCAAACATGACGACAAACCTGCTGCTGAGTCTACGCCTAAAGAGACCGCCGAAGCTACCGCTGCTGAACCTACACCCGGCGCATCTGCTCCAGCTGCTGCTCCTGAGCCTGCTGCCGAATCAGTTGCTGAGCCAGCAACTCAGACGGTCGCACCAGCTCAGCCGGAGAACACAGCCGCGGCCAAATCCAATGCTGTTACAAGCGTATGGTTCCTCCTACTCTGGGCTCAAATGATGTTACCGGCTAACGCATCACAGTCCAAGCCGACTTTCTTCGTCTCTCTGGCCAGACTGATCCTCTCGCCCTTCTCGTGGCTGCGCTCGAAGCTCTTCAAGACCAAGGCCGCGAAGCAGCCAACCCCCCCTACCGAGGGCAGCTCCTAAGGCACCCCTCTGACTCATGACTATGAGATACTATACCATTGTGATTGTGGCAATTTGAGCTCTTATGATTTATGTACCCTTTCAATGTCCAAAAAGGATGTCATGTGATGCCTTGTGGGTTTAAACCGACGGTCAAATGGAGGCAGTTGGGAAGACAGCATAACGAAGCATGGTGATGGGGATGCGATGACCCTCACTCACCATTTGCGCACAGGACTGAGCCGAGCAATCATCTGCACGTCCGTCCGAAGAACCTCACATTCTTGCTACATGGCACTAATGCGCTGGGTTTTGCGTCTCAACGCGGGAAAGTGGCCGTCGGGAACTGTCTTGTAATTTTGGTGTATCTGTTCTTTGTACCCCTTTCCTTGGTGCAGTTGTCGTTTTGCTGCCTCTCACTTCTCACTTCTGAACGCTTCTTGAACAGTACATGCTAACCAACGAGTAGAGAGAACCAGGGACCGTCGTGAGGACCGTACTGAGGATGGCGAGCACCGCCATCGCAGACACAGGCACTCCACCTCTCACCGTGAGGAGGGTGACAGGGATGCTAGACGTCGATCCTCGCACCACGGTGAAAGCGAAGACAAGGACTCGAGACGCCGATCCTCGCATGCCAGTTCTCACCATAGCCACCGGCACCGGTCGGATGGCACCCGAGGTGTAGATGACAAGTCGTCGCCGAAGCGGCGCGATAGCGGCTACGCAGCACAAACTAGCAGTCCTTCGGGTAGCAAGCACAGGACGTCGCCAGACTCGGAACACAAACGAGCGACATCGGCGGAACGGCGACGGAAGCAAAGATCGTCTGAAGTGCCGCTGAAGGAAAGGACCGCTGAAGAGCAAGCCGAGCATGAAAGACGCAAGACTGAGCTTTTCCGCCGCCAGCGCGAGCGTGAACATGAGCGGGAACTAGCACTCCAGAGCGAGGAGCGCGAAAGAGCCCTGCAGCGGGAGCGCGAGAAAAAGGAGCGCGAGGAAAAGGAGCGCGAGGAGAAGGCACGCGCTGAGAGAAGACGCGCTGAGAAGGCGCGCGCAGAAAAGGAGCGTGCAGAAAAGGATCGTGTGGAAAAGGAACGTGAATCTGAACGGCGCCATTCTGATGCACGTCGCGCAGAGCGCCACAAGTCACATCGCCGTGACTCTACGCACAAGGAATCGGCAGCGCCACCAACCGATAAAAGTGTTCCAGATAGCGAGCATGAGCGCCATCGCCATCGACACAAGTCTCACCGACACAGCCATTCCCCCAAAGAGAGGTCGGATGGATCGTCCAGGCATCGCCCGAGCTCTTCTCAAAAGGCCGAGTCGACGCCGCCAGCATCGACCCGAGGCTCCGGCACCGAGGACGCCACGCGCACGCCAAAAGACTCGGACGCGGAATCCAAGTCTCATACGGGAGACGACGAGGCGCGTCGACGCCGCCGCCGTCACCGCGACGCCGAAGGGTCGTTGAAGAGCGAAGGCTCATCCTCACGACATGGCCATCGCGACGCTGATGGCTCACTAAAGAGCGAAGGCTCGTCTTCCCGACGACATCGCCACGCCGATGGCTCACTGAAGAGCGAAGGCTCGTCTTCCCGACGGGAGCACTCCAAGAGAGAGAGCACCAAGGACGAGCCCAGGGTACGCTCCAAGAAGGAGTCTTCGCGCAAAAACCCAGATTCGCAAACCGACGAAGATGCGAGGAGGAGGAGCAGGCGCCATGATCGCCAGAAGGAAGTGGAGGACCCCAAGAAATCGAGCGGCCTGAAGGGCGTGCTCAAGAAGCTATTCACAAAGAGCGAGAAAGAAACTGTACGAGGCACGACGCGATGAACATTTTGCTTTCTTTTTGCATGTATTACGACCTTTACGATTCTTATGATGTATTCTTTCAGGGTTCACTGGATTACGAAGACATGGCTTGGATGATGCATTGCGCTCGGTTGCTTTGGGACATGTAAAAAACGGAACTGCTGCGTTGAGATCAGCGGGTTATTTGATAGCTTTCTCACTTGTCTTTTTATTTCCTTTGCTTTGATACATAAGACTCGGATCTTAGCATCGTTTCCTTAACTGAAATTCAATTTCTTTGCCGGTTTTGCTGTTTAAATGGACATGTTTCTAAGAGCACGTATTTGACATGGACTTCTCGCCTGTACTGAGAACCACAGCATTGCCTATTTAGGAAAGACTGGCGTTCTTGCATTTCGCCGGCCGGCTGATAGTTAATCCGCAAGAGCCCTAACTTTTTTTCTGGTGGGCCAATTCACCATGGCAAAATTTATTGTGGGCTGCCCACCAAGCGGGAAGTTCACCACCAAGCGAGCCAAGGCGAAAACGAAAAGAAAAGTTCCCACTCTCACACATTCGAATCAAGCTATCCAAGGCGCAGGATTTGACCTCTTTGCGATCTTCAACGAACAAACTTTCAATACCCGATATCTACCAAATCCCCCCTTTTCAACATCCGTCGAAATGGCTCCCATTGCTGTATGTACATGACGTCGCAAAACCGCTTTGCTGCAGGTGAGAGATGGTCGTGAAACACCGTCTCCGCCGAGCGATGAAAAACAGAAATGCAGTAGGCTAAGATGTCATTGTCAATTTAGAAGAAGTCTGGCAAGGCCCAGAAGCAGACCAAGAAGGTGAGTTTTACAACATCCATTCCTCAAGCGATTCCAGCCCTGGCCAAGTTTGTGCATGTGGCTAACCTGCCCCGCGCGCAGTTCATCATCAACGCTTCGCAGCCCGCCTCGGACAAGATCTTCGACACCGCCGCCTTCGAGAAGTTCCTCCAGGAGCGCATCAAGGTCGAGGGCCGCACCAACAACCTCGGCGACGACGTCGTCGTCCAGCAGGCCGGCGAGGGCAAGATCGAGGTCATCGCCCACAACGACTTCTCGGGCCGCTACCTCAAGTACCTTACCAAGAAGTTCCTCAAGAAGCAGCAGCTCCGCGACTGGCTCCGCGTCGTCTCCACCTCGCGCGGCGTCTACGAGCTCAAGTTCTTCAACGTCGTCAACGACGAGGCTGACGAGGATGACGAGTAAAGGCGCAATTCTTGATTGAATTTGTGCTGGACGGGAAAAGTTCTTAAAAAACAATTGGGTTTTGAGAGTGGAAACACAACAACACTCGGAATGGGGCATGTTTTGCGGGAATGATACCCGGGATGGAGGCGCTTTCATACTGGTAAACCGGCTCGTAGATGGGCTGGCTTTTTTCCGGGAGAGATTTAGTCTCTATCATTTCGGAGGACATTTCTCAAATATACCGACCGAAATCTCTTGATTCAACAACTATGCGACTCCCATGCCAGCAACCGTGACTACAGTGATTATAAACCCATGAAATCGCCCATGTATTATATACACAAAGTAAATGCAATGCTTTTATGCCCAACCCATGCTCTACGGCAACGTTCTCATCAGACCCTCAAACGCGACCAACGCCATCGCGTTCGCCGGGAACGCCCTCAGGAAGCACGGCAGGAACCCGCGCCAGTACCCGCGCCACCCACCGTCGCGATACACCCCGACCGCCGCGTCGCGCCACCTCGGATACCTACGCACGCCATCGCCCAGCCCGCCACCCAGCGGATCCGTCATGACGCGCTGCTTGACCACGTCGACCGGGTAGCACGTCAGCCAGAAGACCTGCGCGGACAGGCCGCCGGCCCAGAAGTTGACCGCCGGCGCGGAGAGCGGCGTGTGGACGCGCATCCAGCGCGAGAAGAGGTCGTACGTGGACCACCAGAAGAAGAAGAAGCCGCGGAAGAGGAGGGTGGCGCCGAGGCCGTGGTAGACGCCGCGGACGCCGTGGTGGCGGTGGATCTTGGCGAGGCAGTCGAGCGGGCCCGAGTACAGCCGGCCGGCCTTGGTGGCCGCGTACTGGACTTGCAGCCGCGCCTTGACGTGCTCGACCGGCGCGGCGATGAAGGAGACGGTGGCGCCGGCGAGAATGCCCGCGATGCCGTGCCCGACGGACGGCAGCGCCGTCTGCGAGGCGGGGGAGGTGCGGGAGGCGGGGAGTAAGGTGCCGGGCGTCCAGAGGTCGACGTGGTAGAGGTGCTGCGCGACGAGGCGCCGGTAGACGCTTAGAGAGCCGAGCATGACGGAGTCCATGAACATCCAGCCAACGAGGGGCGGCGTGGCGCCCTTGTAGAGCCCGCGGACGCCCTCGAGGCGCACCGTCTGCAGGACACACTCGAGGGGGCCCTTGAAGCGGTCCGAGGTCTGTAGACGCACCTTGACGGTGTCAAACGGGTGGCCGACTGCACGATGATTGTGGTTAGCTTGGAAATTGTAGGAGGATAAGGGGAGACCTCGTACCTGTGAGCTTGGCGATGCCGCTGCCCACGCCGGCGACGAAGCCCTTGTAGTCGTGGCTCGGCTTGGACGGCTGTTGGGCAGCAGTGCCGACCTGCGGCTGCTGCTGCTGCGGTCGGGCGTCGGCCGCCGCGGACATGGCGGTGGCGGGTTTCTTCGAAAGGGAAGAAAGCGTCGGGGAAATAGATGAGAAGGTGTGTGGTGTTATAAGAACATGGGCAAGGCTCTGAGGTTGTTGATGGTTGATGGTTGATGAGGTGGGATTGGGCGAGGCGGCTGCGTTTTTTTGGTCCGATGCCGCTCCGACGCTGGCAAGGCTGTCTGACAGGGTTGGTATGTAACTAGCTGCTCGGGAACTGTGACCGATTCAGAAACTGTAAAAATACATATGCAGTAGATGCAGAAAAATGAGAAGGAGTTACTCAAGGCAAGGTAAAGTTTTTAGTTCGTTCTGGGGGCTGGAGCGGCATTGCTGTCTGTCGCTGTCCAATGCTGGAGGACATCGTCTTCACATGCTGACAAGATGGCTTGCCGCAAGAGCTACAATACCAACGTAAAAACTGTATATTGATCCGTCTATTTTGTTTTAACCCAATTCCAGCGCTGAATGTATGCAGTGTCAAAATAAAAAAATCTGTGAAAAAAATAAACAAGTAAAAAACCCAGTCATCATCTAATATCGAGGCAGTCCAGTCTTCTGTAGCAACCGCCGCAGGCGTAATGTCTCGTCTCGCGATCTACCCTCAGAACCCAGCGTGCGCCGAGTCCCACGAATCACCAAAGGACTGGCCGTCCTCCTCCGCCGTCCGCGGGTCCAGCCTTGTCAGGGCCTTGGCGATAGCCGCCGTGATGCCCGGGATGCGCGAGTGGTCAAACATGTTGAAGTGGTGGCCGTCCACGTCGAGTACATCCACGAACATGCGCTCGTCGTAGCGCTCCCATCCCAGCGCGCTGCGCGGCCCCGCGCCGCGGTCCGCGTCGATGGCCGCTGTCCAGTCCCACCGCGGCAGCTCCCACCGCGCGATCATCCGGCGCGCCTCGCGCATCGCCCGCATCGAGAGCACCTGGTTCTTCGTCTTGCCCTCCTCCTCGCGCGCCTGCGCCTCCGGGTCCTCCTCGTTATCCAGGGAGATGACCTGCTGGCGGCGCTCGGCGAGGAGCGCGGGGAAGGCGCTGTCGATCATGAGGATGCCGCGCACGCGCAGGTCCGGGTCGCCGTGCAGCTGGCGCGCGACCTCGAGGCTGGTCATGCCGCCGAGGCTCCAACCGCCGACGAGTATGTCCACCGGGCCAACGCCGCCGTTGTCGCGCCGCTTGGGGGTGAAGGAGTCGGCGGCGACGGCGGCGCGGATGCGGGTGATGTACTCGGCGGCCATCTCGGGCACACCGCCCTCGAAGCGCCGCCCGCTGAAGAAGTGCGGGTTGCGCACGCCGTAGGTGAAGCGCTGCAGCGGGTCCAGGCAGTGGTAGGCAAAGGTGGTGCCGCCGCCGTCGTGGAAGAGGAAGACGGGCGTCTTGCCGCTCCACGACTTCATCCGCGCCCAGCTCTCGGGCTGCACGAGCTCGGGGTTCTCCTCAATCATGCCGGGCATTGCTGGGCGGAGAGGGGGCGCCGAGGATCGGAAGAAGGTTGTCGATGGGCGTTGCTTCGCTCACCGCGTGAGTGTTAGCGCTTGGCGTTTCTTTCTTTTTCAAATATTTTCTTATCGGAGCGATGTTTGCCAAGTTGTCGTCAAACTGGCTCGGACACAGCGCAAGGTGGCGGGGCAATTTCCGTCTTACCGCACTGTGCGAAAGTTAGCGACAATTGCTGCCCAAGCACCGAACCTCGCAATACCAGGTGCAAATGATTAAAGAAGAATCAAGAACTGCCGGTAGATACTTTTCAAAACTAAGTATTGTGAGTTTATAAAATTTATCTTTTATCCCAACCTGCACAGCTTCGGCTGCAAAGCGAAGCGACGCTTACCTCATCGAGGTGTTTTAATGGTGTTTGCTATCTCCCGTCTGAGATGGTTATCTCCTTATTTGAGAATAGAATATTTAAAAGAACCCAAAGCTCTCGATTTTCGCGGCCGCTGGTCTACAGCCGTCTCAATCATGTACTGATACCTGCACGTTGTACCATAGAGCAAGCACCGCCTCTACTCTCAATCAGCACTCCCTAACTACTACTCCTTGGGCTCAGACGAGCCGGCCTGTCAGCGTCGGCTGCTGATACTCAAAGGAGGCTTATTTGCCGGCCCCGACGGAGGTACTGATGCCGTCTCGCTCATTTTGCTATCAATGGCAAGATTAGACTAGCATTCCACTCTTTCTGATTCGTAGCTTCACCTTTTATCGACTGGGTCTGTGCCATTTCTGTCATCCTTGCGTTGCAGTAGAATCTGCCGTGAACCGTTACTCTCGTCTAGAGATTATTGCTTAATATGCTACATATATACAGAAGAGAAAATTTCTCCTATTTCGTTGGACCATCCAAATAGCCCTGGAGCTTCCACAAAAGCAAGTGCAACTGCACCATGGTCTTGGTCGGCCAGCTCTTCAGCACCAGCAGCCCCTTATCCCTGAACACGTCCGACTCGCCGCGCAGCCTCGCGACCTCTTCCTCGCCCAGCAGCCAGTTTAAGTTATGAACCGGCATCTTGGAATCGTAGTTGGCGTCGACGACATCAAACGTCGCGTGCTGCCGCGCCGTCGCCCTGTCCTCCGCCCGCGGCAGCCACAGGATGCAACCGCGCCGCTCCACGTCCTTGACGTCCGCCCACCGCGCGCAGGGCTGCACAAACTTGTGATTCGCCACGGCTGCTCGGCGGATGAGCTCACCGGCCGCCTCGCGGCGCATCTCCCGCAGCACCACCTCGCTCATGTCGTGCCGCCACACTGGCGCGCTGGCGTCCGGGCTCACAGACATGCCCGCCCGGCGCGCGAGCAGGGAGCCCCGTAACCGCTTGTTCGGCCCCGACAGTGCATCGAAGACGGACTTTTGCGACGCGACGTACCCCGTCACCCGGGGTGCATGCTCGTCTGCGCTGCCAGGGCTTGCTTTGCTAGCTGACGCCGCGATGGGCGTCCCGTCTGCTCGTATTTCATGGTTTTTTTGTATGTGGCCGTAATCGTCGTTTGAGGGAGCTAGCCAGCCTTTCTTCGTTTCTGGATGTCGAATTACGTCGAATCGCTGTAAAAAGTATCGCGGTTGATGCGTCTTGGTGACGGGACAGTATCGCAGCGGTGTTGCCAGGGCCTGCGCTGTGCATTTGTTAGCTGTCAAAGGTTCAAGGGTCCCAATTAAAACTGCTTTGCATAGAAACCGTACCGAATGGGTTCTTCCGAAGATGCTTTTGGAACTGGCCAGTTGCTGGCCGCGGCGGTTCTTTTGCTTTTCGCCTCCGTGATTTGATCCACGCGGGGTCAAACAAGGGGGACATGGGCAGCTCGCCAGAATCGGTCGATATCGTCTTTTTCTTAGAATCGAGTGTGATTTTCTCTCCGTACTTGTCGTCGTTGAGCCGCGCGCCAACCTTTTCAAGCAGCGCCTCGTCCGTCAAAGAGGCACTGGCATGCGACGTCCATCGCCGACCCGCAAACGCCAGGTCAGAAGCACGCAGTCTGCGCGAAACGTCTGTCGTGCATCGCTTCATGCTGGCTCGCGCGAGTTGGCCTTTTGCACGCACGCGACAGCTCGGTGGTATCGCAATTAAAAGAGGATATCGTCGGAGCAAGAATTGGGGGCGCTGGAAATCATGTCGGGGTCTACCTGTGGATCCCACTTAAAACGGTCCCGCTAGCTGCCCTGCATGGAAGCTCCAAGCTTCCATGTGAGCTTTGCTCTTCCAACATCAAACTCCACAACCATGTATCGAACTGCGAGGATATTGCCGGCGCTGCGCCGATTGCCCACGAGGCAGACGAGATGCTTCGGATTCTCTGAATCGTCTAGGGCGGCACCAACTATGGATTATCTGCCGATGCCGTACATTGAAGAGACGTCTGTGAGTGGTGACGCAACAGCGGCTTGCCGCGGGAAATGCTAATTGATATGTAGGCCGCGGGTCGAAAGACATGTATGGTTGCAGAATGCCACGGACTACGATTAATAGGAGACTGACGCATTGTAGGGGACATTTTCTCCAAGCTACTTCAGGTAGGACCTTGCTGCCGGTGCGATAGACTTGCGACGCACTAACAAAGCCCAGGAGCGCATTGTCTGCCTCAATGGCGAAGTCAACGACTACATGTCCGCCTCGATTGTGGCCCAACTTCTCTGGCTGGAATCCGACACCCCCGAAAAGCCCATCACAATGTACATCAACTCGCCTGGAGGTTCCGTGACGTCAGGTGGGTTCAGCGCTGGCCCGGCACACGTTGCGACTCTCTAACAAGCGGCGAATTTAGGAATGGCCATTTACGATACGATGACATATATAAAGTCGCCCGTCTCGACAGTGTGCGTGGGCGGCGCGGCGTCCATGGCGGCCATCCTGCTCGCGGGCGGCGAGGCTGGCAAGCGGTTCGCGCTGCCGCACAGCTCCATCATGATTCACCAGCCGCTCGGCGGGACGCGCGGGCAGGCGTCGGACATTATGATCTACGCCAACCAGATCCAGAAGATTCGCGAGCAGTCCAACAAGATTATGCGGCACCACCTGAACAAGGCCAAGGGCCACGAGAGATATACCCTCGAGGAGGTCAACGAGATGATGGAGCGAGACAAGTACTTGAGTGCTGATGAGGCGCTTGAGCTGGGCGTCATTGACGAGATTCTGACGAAGCGAACAGATGCGGACGTCAAGGATGAGGACAAGGCTCAATCGTCAGGCACTCAGTCGTGAGACAGGCGTGGATAACGGGTTATACTGATGGGTTATGGACACGTGTGTAATAATTAGGAGACACAACATACCAAATTCCCTTGCCATAAGTTGCATCTGCTGGTGTTATAAAAGTGCTGTTCGGCTGAATGTTCCTTTTGACCGTAACCGTTTTTCCGATGCCGGACCAAGTCTAGCTCGAGGTGCAGGGGTAGGTGTGTTGTGGATATTCGACACGACTCCGGGATTTTTATATTGCATGTTCTGCACGCGCAGTATCTTGATAACAATATTAGAGCCGGCTTAATAAAATGCATGCAGTACTTGTGTCTGCTACTGTCTTTTGAGCTTTAGCTGTGGCTGGTTGTGTTCAGGGCAAATCGATCGTCGCTATTGCCCCAGCCAATAACGATGCGGCAATTACAATAATCAGCTCCAAGCGGGCCTCTAACTTTTGGCGGGGAGCCGAAGAGCTCCAAGTCACAGGGACAGAGATCACAGGGAAGATCACAGGGACAGACACCAAATGGGGCAGCACCGAAAATAAAAGCCAATTAAAAAATCACCATAAAGAGAAACTTGATCTTGACTCACCTTTATTTTTCTGCGTTTTTCTGGCTCAGCGCGGCATCATCGGCAGCGGCGGCGTCTGTCAAACGACCACCAACACAATAACCGAGACCGTTGTCGGCCGTTGTCTGTCCGTCACCCTTTAAGTTTTTCCCTTTCAACCATCCATTGCATCACACCTCCGCACACAATGCTGTCCCATTGCCTGCGCCAACGGCCTGTTTCCGGTCTGGCCAGCCTATCCAAAGCTTCTACTAGCATCATCAATGCCACACATAATAGGTACGGGATTCAATTGACCCTCAGGGCTTTGACTAACGCGACCAGCCGCTACCTCTCGACAACATCGCCTCGTCGCGCCAATGACGAGCCCACGCCGCTCAACAAGGTGTCGGGCACCATCACGCAGCCCAAGTCCCAGGGTGCTTCGCAGGCCATGCTCTACGCCACCGGTCTCTCCGAGGCTGACATGAACAAGGCGCAGGTCGGCATCTCCTCGGTCTGGTTCGAGGGCAACCCGTGCAACATGCATCTCCTAGACCTCTCCAAGGCGGTGCGCGACTCGGTCAAGAAGGCTGGCTTCATCCCCTACCGCTTCAACACTATCGGCGTCAGCGACGGCATCTCCATGGGCACCACCGGCATGCGCTACTCCCTGCAGAGCCGCGAGATCATCGCCGACTCCATCGAGACTGTCATGAGCGGACAGTGGTACGACGCCAACGTCAGCCTGCCCGGCTGCGACAAGAACATGCCCGGCGTCGCCATCGCCATGGGCCGCGTCAACCGCCCCAGCATCATGGTCTACGGTGGAAGCATCAAACCTGGCTGCACCAAGGCCGGCGCCCCCATCGACATCGTCTCAGCCTTCCAGGCCTACGGCCAGTACATTAGCGGCGAGATCACCGAGGAGGAGCGTTTCGACATTGTCCGCCACGCGTGCCCCGGCCAGGGCGCCTGCGGCGGCATGTACACGGCCAACACCATGGCCACCGCCATCGAGACTATCGGCCTCACCCTGCCCGGCAGCAGCAGCAACCTCGCCGACAGCCCGGAGAAGATGGCCGAGTGCGCGAGCGTCGGCGAGGCCATCAAGAACCTGCTCAAGGAGGACATTCGCCCCCGTGACATCATCACCCGCCAGGCGCTCGAGAACGCCATGGTCGTCATCACCGTCCTCGGCGGCAGCACCAACGCCGTGCTGCACCTGCTCGCCATCGCCGACGCTGCCGGTGTCAAGCTTACCATTGACGACTTCCAGAGCGTCTCAGACCGCATCCCCTTCCTCGCCGACCTCAAGCCCTCGGGCAAGTATGTCATGGCCGACCTGCACGCCATGGGCGGCACGCCCGCGCTGCTCAAGTACCTCATCGGGGAAGGGCTCATCGACGGCTCCGGTGTCACCGTCACCGGAAAGACCATGAAGCAAAACGTCCAGGACGCTGTCGACTTCCCCAGCGACCAGGACATCATCCGCCCGCTCAGCAACCCTATCAAGCCCACCGGCCACATCCAGATCCTGCGCGGCTCCCTCGCGCCCGGCGGCTCCGTCGGCAAGATCACCGGCAAGGAAGGCCTGCGCTTCGAGGGCGCCGCGCGCGTCTTCGACAGCGAGCCCGACATGATCGCCGCCCTCGAGCGCGGCGAGTTCAAGAAGGGCGAGAAGAAGGTGGTCATCATCCGCTACGACGGGCCCAAGGGCGGGCCCGGCATGCCGGAGATGCTCAAGCCGTCGTCGGCCATCATGGGCGCCGGCCTCGGCAAGGACGTCGCGCTGCTCACCGACGGCCGCTACTCGGGCGGCTCCCACGGCTTTATTATTGGCCACATCGTGCCCGAGGCCGCCGACGGCGGGCCCATCGCGCTCGTCCAGGACGGCGACCACATCGTCATCGACGCGGAGAAGCGCGTCATCGACCTCGAGGTGCCCGAGGAGGAGATGGCGGCGCGCAGGAAGGCGTGGAGGGCGCCGGCGCCGCGCTACACACGAGGCACGCTGACAAAGTACGCCCGCCTCGTCACGGACGCGTCCAGCGGCTGCGTGACGGACAAGGCGCAATGATGGAAGAAGTTACTGTGTGAATGCGCTTTTCGCTTATCTTTTTTTTGTCATTATGTTTTTTGTCTTTTGAAAAGAGAGGCCCGTCGAGTTCTGTCAACGAGAAAAGTTTCAAATTGGGAGTTTTCTTTTTCCTTTTCTTTTCAGGAAATACCATGTAGTGGTACGTGTTGTTTGTCATTGCATTTAGCTGTAGCTACATGTTCATAATTGAAAACCCAGTTACGTTTCTAACTTTGAAAATCGAAATGGGAGGCTATTCTGCGATGGCTGACAACTTGCCTTATGCGAGTGACCATGTGCGGCATGTTGTCGACTCAGGACTCCCCTCCCCCGAGCTGGGCCCTGATCTGCATCGTGTTGGGCTAATCCTTACGTCGAGGGATGGAGGACTCGGTGTGTTACTCAGAGGAGCTGCAGGAGGCGGGCTTCGAGTACGCAGGCGAAAGCATTGCAGAGGCGGAACATTTATGCCGCAAGGAGCATCGGCAGGGGGCTAGAGCGACGGGGAGGCGACCCGGCGATGCCTATCGAGTCCAGTTCATGCATCAGAATACTGGAGCTGCTCCGCAAGTTCGCAGCTATGAAGTCATCTATGTTGCATGCCAAGGTGTCTCGCGCATGTTACTTAAGTAGACCGCCAGGAGCAAAGTGAGGTGACGCAAAGGGAGCTAGCTCTCCATTAAAACCACCACCACCATCATCATCATTCAAATTTCCGTTGGTATCTTTGTATCGCAAATTTCCAAAAATGCAAGGGCCGCCGTCCTGAAGAACGGCATGAAGTCGAGGAGCTGCTCGTCGTTGTACAGCTGGCTGTAGTGCTGGATCAGCTGCTTGATGATGCTCACCGCCTGCCTGCACGCTACAATGGGCAGAGTCCCGTCCGAAGTGATGGCGGCTGATTCGAGAACGTATGGTGTCAGAAGACACATGACGCCAAACTGATAATACGCGCTGAGATGAGATGAGAGGTGAGAAAAGTACGAACCAAGACTCCGTGGCCGGGTGGGTTGTGAGGACTAACTGGGAAAATAGTATCAACGGCGTCTCGTAGGACGGGCTGCTGGTGTAGGCGAAGAAGGATTCATACCAGCGAAGGCCGTTCTGGTACACCTTGATTGCCTCGTCGAAGGTTTTCTCGGAAAGAAACCTGGCCTTGTACAACCATTCGGTAAACTCGAAGAGCTTGGCGGCGATGACCTTGGGGCTGTTGGGCAGCAGACTCGGGTCTCGCGCGAAGAAGGCATTATCTGAAGAGTCTCAGCGACGTGTTCTGGAAAAAGTCGTGTTTGAGGCAATTCCCACCTATGATTGAACCGGAGAGGTTGGCTTTGGATATTGTGGTATCAGGGCTGCTGCTATTACACAGCGGGGACTTGTCCATCCCGACTTTGATGGCCAGTTCATCCAAGGATTTGTGGTAATCCTGGATTAAGAGCAGAAATCTGAGGCAAAGTATCAGTTGGATTCTTGGATCCATCATTACGAAACAGATCGCGTTACCTGTTGAGCGACAAGGCAGCAGAATATGTGCTGGTGAGCGTCTGTCGATCAACACAGTCGGGCTGTGCACGGTCGGCCTCCCACTTGTCGGCAATAGCCGCGCCAAAATCACCGGCAAAGCCTATACCGTCCTTGATCTTTTCGCAGTTGAGGCAGTACAGTGCGAGTATCCCCACGGCCTGGATGTCGGCGATCCGTTGGGGCAGCCCGGACCCGTTGTACAGGGCGGCTATGGTCTCGCGCGCAAATGCGTCGCCGAGGCGCCCTTGCCTGACGTCGTCGCCGCTGTGCACGCGCGGAATCACGATGGCCGCCATCTTTTCCCGAGCCACTACAGTCGCTAGGGCGAGGAGGGCGTCCAGGAGGGCCGGGGAGCAGTGCGGCCCGGCGCCGGACTCGAGGTCGCGCATGAGGTGGGCTTTGCTGATAGGGCAGAATGGGAGGCAGTCCCGGGCGAGTATGAAGTCAAGGAGCTGCGGGAGCTGCGACCTGTAGTAGGCTAGGTTGGCTTGGACGTGTGAGCGCGTGGGGGACGACGCGGCCCTGGGGGGCGTCGCGACGCTCGCGGGGAGGGGGCTCTTGGGGCAGCTGTCTTGGACGCTGGAGAGGAGGGTCTTGGGACTCGATACCGAGGTACGGATAGAAGCCGAGGAGCCGCCTAGCAGAGAATTGTTGCAGTTAGTTAGGATGCCGGAAAGAAGGAGCGGGGGGGGGGGGGGGGGGGGGGGAGTGTGAGCTATGGCAGGTAGATTCGTGTGCTTCGTAAGATGGTCCAAGTAGGAGTGTATGTAGTAGTCGTACCACGGCTGTCTCCGTCTCCGTCCCTGTCTCGGTCACGGCTGCCGGGGCTTTGTGCTATCATCTCGGCGACGTCGGCGCGCGAGTGGCCGTTGGAAAGGCGTTGCAGGATGTCGCTTAGCTGCGCGGGGCTCGTCTTGCGAGATGAGATGGCGTCGAGCAGAGCATTATTTTCCGAGTTGACTGTCTGCAGCCTGGCTACCTCATCCCGCAAGTCCGCCTTGGAGATGCGCGTGGGCGTGAGATAGACGCAGTCGACGCCGGCGTCATGGCAAGCCTTGCAAGCGCTCGCGCCGTCTCCATCGCACTACGTGGGTGACGATGACAAGAAAGTGTTAGGACGCGAGGTTTGTCTACAGTGAATGGGTGAGTGAAAATGCCTGTCTCGGCTCTCACCTTTCGCTTCCTCTGCCGACAGAGCTCGCAGGCGTGATATGCCAGCGATGGCCTACGCGGCATGGTGGGAAGGAGCCCGCGTCGACTTGGCGAGGGAGGGTCTCGACTGCCTTTCGAAAGCTATTGTACAGGAGAGAGTAGAAGTGAAGAAAAAAGAGAAGAGAGAAGGAGAAGGAGGGCTAAGGAGAGCTCAGGGAGGGAATAATCGATCAACCAGACTTGCTGCTGGGAGACGACTCCGACCGAGGGGAGAGGAAGATAGATCTTGGGGCACGGCAGGAGGCTGGACCGCAAATGGCGAACAAGGCAGCAAGACCCCAAGGCCCTGCAAACAAGATGCATATCACACCAAACCGACAGAAAGTGAAGACGGGCGCTCCTTCATTGGTCTGAACCCCCCTCCCCCACCTGCACGCTCACCTGCCTGCACACACTGGCGCTGCACACCCTTTGACGGGGTTACTTGTACAGATTGCAGACCAAGCATTCACCAGATACAACCGACTTTAGACCTCAGCCCCTTGGTCGAACAGGGCGGACCATGCATGCTGCGGCCACGCTTCCCGAGACTCTGGCCGGTCAGTTACGGATGCGGCATTGCGAATTGGGCGGCCATGCCCAACCGACATGTGTCGTCATACGAATACAGACAGCTGAGCGAGGCTAGATTCTAGCAATGTACGGATACCAGTAGCACATTTCGCCAGAGGAGAAGGGACGACCCTTGGTCCTCGCTTTCATCACGCCCAAGTGGGTGCTTCATGTCAGGCAGCCACCAGGGCAAAAAACGGCCAAGATAGGCGTCGGGCAAGAAACCCACCTCGCCTCCCATGCGGAGAATTGAAAGGTGGAAGGAAGGGGGCCTTTTCAACTTTTGTTTGTTTGCCGATAATCTCTTCCTAATGCAGATAAAGAGGGGAGGGACGCCACCGAGATGGCCACATCCTGTTGTTCCCAGGACGGGGAGCACGCGCCGAAATGCACGGCACACAAGACTGGAGGGCGATATGCGTCTGCTGAATCTTTGTTTCCCTGTCTTGCTGGAGCACACAGCTGCGGCTGCCTTTATCAGACGCAGAGACACTTATGCACGCATACTTGTCGTCTACTATATCTGCAGTATCTCAACCCCCAGGCTACGCGAGCGAAAACATCACCTCATAAGGGAGTAAAAACAAATCAGTATCAGGAATAGGGTTAGTTGGTCAGGTACAGTATGAACCCCTGTTCGCGCGTCAGCCCAGGGGAAGAAGGAAAGGCTTGCCATTGGATAAGTTATTATTAACTCGGCCTCGTGACACAGGGCTTAAGGAGAAAATGCTCCTGAAGGCTTAAACTTGAATTTGATTCAAGAGAGGCTACTGCCTTCAGCGAACAAGAACAAGAAGCAGACGACGGGAGTAACTAGTTAGTTAAGTCATTGTGAATGGGGTTGGGGGTGAGGTCTTCAACCCGCGTCCAATGCCAATACTATTTGTCCAAGCCGGAGCCAGATTCGACATCTTCCGCGTCCAACTTGGTTCCTGCTCTTGTGACGAGGTAAAAAGCGGACTCACAGATTCTGCGGGACCAATCTCATTGTCCCCTCGAGATCCTGTCTCCCTGTTTCTAGTAACGTTAGCGGGCGGCAGAAAGGCGGGAAGGCCCGCCTTGCCACCTTTCTGAAGTCATAATCTCGTCATAATGCCTCCTTTGAAAGCCGCTAGAACACCTTTCTCGTAGATACCGGCCTAGTAAAGTCGTTCGTTGCAAATTCGCTGCCCCGCTCCACCGCCTTCCCTTTCTGCTATTCAGCCCCTCTTTTCGCGCGATTCAGTGAAGCTGCCCCACTTTATGCACCTGGCCGCTTTACGGATTTCTATAAGACTCGACCGCCATCCTCTCCAAGGTCTTCCGCCCATCATTTTCACATTCCCACCCATTGTCCTCTCGTCTCCCTTTGCCTCGACAGCATCACATCCCCCCTTGCCTAGCTGCAGCGACACTCACCCGCACATGTCGCAATTTTGTCAGCTGAGGCCACAATGCTGACCCTACTCGTGCCGTCCCGGCCGTGACGACGCGACTGACGAGTTTACTAACGCTGGGTCCATCCTGAACGCCGTTTCGCTACCTTTCGAATTTCCGATGACCTTGTTTATGGAAGTTTTTTTTGTTGTCGATACGCCGCCGAAAGTGACGAAAAACAACGAGAGCCGACTGGTTCTTTGCCGCTCATCGCCACTGGAAGTTCCCACTGCAAAGAGCATGGCGAAGCGTGCACTGCCACGTCAGCTTTACTAAGGGCTGAAACACGGTGACGTGTTCAGCTCTACACCGCCAGACGTCGGACGCTTTCCGAATGACACGTGTCCAAGCCAACTTCAGCAGATCCTCATGGCCACCGGTGTACGCTCGCCAATGACCTACTCGGCGTGGCATAGCGGAAGCCATGGACTGGCTTACATGTGGGGGGAGTCTGACTGCAATGCATGCGGCTTGCATTAACTGTGTATCAAACTACAAAAGAGCCACCGATAAAGGCCCGCCGATCTGCGACCGCGTGGGGAGCCCCTGACCACGTCTCGGCGTCGTGATTTGCCATCACGGCGAAGCTGCATCAGCTGCGTGCGACTAATGCAGCCGGTACACTCAACTCGGTCCAATCATACGATATTTGCTTCTCGGATGTAAGGTTTCCGATACCTTGCTTCGGGCTTCGCAACGGAAGACAAGCTATGCTAGGACGTGATTCGCTGGCTTGGCCGTTCGGTGGTGGCTTGGGAGCCCCTCTCCTAGGTTGCGAGGCACCTATGCGCTTTCTGAAGTGGAAAAAAGGGTGTTGCGACGAAGTTGGCTGGCTGTGCAACAGAACGCTGCATGTTGCCTACGTCAGCTAGAACGCTACAACAAAGCGAGTGCCCAGAAGCATTGGCAGGTCCAGATGGATGGCTCGTTCTACGGCCGCTTGAGCCGCGAAACACGACGATATATAGCTGGCCAGTTTCCCTCGTCCTGTTTGTGAACTGGACCTGCACCCTCATACTTCTTCGTCTTCCTAACCCTTTCTTTGGTACGACTACGACAAACAAATCGAGGCTTACTGAAAATGATGGGCTCCTCCGATCCCTGCACCGAGGATAAGTTGTCTGAGAGACTCGGCTTCTTATCTGACTCTCCGATCTCGATCGCTTCCTCCCGAGCCAGTTCTGTTAGTTCCCGTGATATTTTCTCGGGTGGGGGAACAGAAAAGCTCGAAGTCAACCGCGACATGAATCCCGAGCCTAGCGATGCAGTCCTGAATCATTCATCATCGCATATTGTCGAAGACAGAACAGCATTCTCATCTGCCGACAATGAGGATCGCATTCAGGCACTCATGGCCAAATATGAGCAGGTAATGAGCGGCCAGGCTGCCCAGACTCATTGTATCGGGTCCGATATCTTGGCTACTCGAGGTACGGTAGATTCAGATGTTATGCAACCGGCTACGGGTTGGCTAATCGAGTTCTTTAGGTGACGATGAAGACGCGGCGGCGTTACCCGATGTACATGACCGCAACGACCGAAGGGTTGATGAGCCGAAGAAAGCTGATACACTGGATGGGGACTCCATGTCGCGCAGGACTCGCCGTGGCAAGAAACAGCGCTCTGGAGGCCCGAGTCGTGTTCAGAAGAAAAACGCTACAGTGAGGAGCGGCAAGTCCTATACCTTTTTACGTTTGGGAGGAGCACGACAGGCGGCGAGAGGCGCTATAGAGTGCGAAGTTCATTGGGCGCCTACCTGGCTGCCAGTCGCCTACCTCGAAGGGAATGACGCCTTGCAGGAAGCTAGAGATTTAGTGGTGGATTTGTTTGGTTCTGAGACGTGGCACAAGGAGGCACGAAAGCTAGGGTTGTTGCTGTGACGAACACAACAGGCCTTTATTTAGTACGTGATTATGCCTCGTAATATTGACTATCACTCTGCAGCGTGCCGTTTTAACACGAAAAAGCCGTTTTGGTCATTGCTCCGGTGCCATTGGTGCCCATGTTCTAGCGACGAAAAGTCTGACTGAGCCTGCTTAATTATGAGCGTTCGCTCATATGTAGCGGCTGATGCCGCTCGAGTGCGGTTCTGCTGCACCGACAAACCTTTTGGCCAGCTCTGAGATATATAGCCTGCGCCTATGTTATGGAATTTGCTTGCATGTTATTTGTGTCATCGGGAAACATACCTTAGGCTGTCGATGAAAACTTACATAAAAATACAACAGTCGACAGCAAGCATCTGTCCGCATCGACAGCTGGGAAATTTTAATGGGTCAGCATGTTAATCGTCCGTTGTCCTCCTTCTGTTCTTTACTGCCCACGGCTTCAGCCCACGTTCCCCACTTTGACCGCAGCCCATATGTCGCATTGCAAAACGCCGGCATACCACATGCAAACCCCGCATGGCTCCAATTGAAGGTCTACAAAGCGATGCTGTAAACCCACACTGATCTAGTCTCGCGGTGGAGAAGCCAGGCCACTGCAGACCGACCCACCGAGCCGAACTAAAACACGCAACGCTATTCGTCCAAGCGATGTCCTCCCGGGAAGACTACAGCATACCGAAACACGTTCTACTAGGACGAACAAAGCACGATGAGTCGCCGAATCGAAGTCTCCCTGAGTCAGTAAACCCTGATGCGGTGACGCAGCAACTTCAATGGCAGACACCCGCTGTCAGCATGACAACGTGTCACAGGATAAGCAGCGCCGTATTAACCCCACCCCGCCCCAAAGGGCTCGGTGAGTTTGGCAAAAGTCTCAAATGTTTCGTCCCATTTCTATCCTTGCAACCGTGCAGGACTAAGAAAGCCACTCATGCTGTAACAATTCTGCCGCAGACTTTCGCGCCATCGGGTCAATTGCCAGCATACTTTTAATGAAATCGATGAAGATACCAATTTCAGTCTCTAGCATATCAGCAGGCTTAATGAAGGGCTTCACGTCGCCGTTAACCAAGCGCTCAAGGCTCGTTGGTTTTAAGTTACGAACTCGAATAAGCTTCCCTGGAGATTCACATACATTAGCAAAGTAGCCAAGTGGCAGTACGATGGATGTGGAGATTATACCTTGCTCATCGAAAAATTCGGCGGAGCGACGCCCCTTCTCAAGCAGGGTAGACGGAAACGGGCCGAGAACTTCAGCAATCCTTGCCAAATGGTCATCCTCGGCGGTCCATGTTCCGTTTTCTGACGCTTTTCCAGAGAAGAGAACTATGCCTTGAACAAACTCCACAACCTGTTTGTATCAGGCCAAAAAAATTAGCATTTACCACAACAGGGCCGTTTAGTATTCTTACAAGGCACCCAAGGCTCCATATATCAACACCAGTATCCCAGGGAGCGCCGATAGTTACTTCGGGTGCCCTCAGCGCGAGTGACTGAATTAGATCTGAAAGATGATTCTCCCGCCAGGAAGCTAAGCGCAAGTCAGCAGGCTTTTCGACTAGAGACGTTGACAGCTACGTACCAACGCCAAAGTCAATGATCCTGACGTGCAGCGATGCCATATCGGTGACGAGCGGTGTCGTGATAACTTCCCGAAGTGGGACTATAGCACCATTTTGGCGACCGATCGACCGTGGAGGAACAGATTCGAGGTACTCCGAAATGGTATCGTTTGGAGTTTCCAACTCCAATAGTATATTCGTCGGCTTAAGGTCTATTTGTTAAATCAGCAACGAACTACAGCAGGTTCTCCGTGATGTATTGCACCATACCTGTATGAATGATGCCGCACTCTCTGTGAAGAAAGTCCAGCCCCGTTAGAAGCTGCCTCACAATTTCTTTCACAGCCTTCACAGGTAACCTTCCGTCTTCGTATTTGGCGGCTTGGAAGTCTAGATGATGCCCTAGCACGTCAAAAACGAGGCAAACGTGGTCTCCATTTGGCCCTCTATGGTTGAATTGTCCAAGGAGATGCAGTAGGTATTTGCAGCCTTCATGAGAACTGCTCCGAGACACCTCCAAAATCCTCGAGAGAATCTCACGCTCAAAGATATCGTGAGAGCCGCCATAGCAATCAGCTCTCAGCATTTTTAGTGCCACGTATCGCTGGCATCTGCGTCATCAGCAACTTGGTTTGACCAGACAACGGGCAACCTACTTCGAGTCTCTAGCAAGCCATACTGTGGAATATTGTCCGTAGCCTAATTTTCTCAGGATAGTGTATCGCTTAGAATTGAAAGTATCGCCGAGCGAGACAGGATGAAAACCTCCACGTTGGTAATAATCCGGCTCTTCTAGGCATTGTTGAGAGTTAACCGGCTTCGACAACGAAAGCTGCCATAGCGGCGCAGAAAGCCTTGAAAACCGGCTGCGCGCATTTGCTAGCGTTGCTTTTATTAAATTTATCATGTTTCTGAAATGCTGGAACGTCTAACGCGGGTCGCGTCACTCTGCATGTCGAAGATATACGCGTGGCATGGGATTGACGAGACACGTGAGCGGTTTAACGTTGTTCCGCCCGCTCAAAATTCATGTAGGTCCTCGCATTGCTAGTCGAGAAGGTTCTCCTCTCTCTATCCATAAATTTCCAACTGTGCAAGATACGTGCAAATGCTCCGAACAGCAATCCTCAATTTCCCTCTCAAAGCTATCAGATGGTTTAGAGATGATATCTACAGAAATAGCCCCGAAAAGCGGCTGGAGGCAGAGACAGCAATTAAAAAGTTTTATGACACGAACAAAGTCGACTTGGAACGACGCGGAGTCGCTGAAGCGGTCGTTAAGTGAATAAATGGATGTCTTGACGGGAAGTGAAAACAGTGGCTAACATGTATCAGAGGAGCAAAACATAATGACCCCATAAACCCCGATCCCAAGGGTGACCATTGGACTGTGGAGATGATCAAGGAGAACGGAGACTTCGTGACGAAGAAGCATGTGTACCCTGATGCGGGAAGCTAATTAGGCTATGTGTGAAGTTTCGATGGCAACTCCTTGATGAGAAAATAACAATGATCTGAGCGTCAAGTTCTTCACACTGCTGAAGACGGCTTAATGCCGGCGGAAGTAAAGGCGAAGTATGTTGCAATGCTGCTCGTTCGTTCCTCCGTCCCATTATGCTCAGTAGAAAGTTGGTGCCTGATACTTAACAGCAAGCCCCGCAGTTACATGGGCTGCGCCTAAGGTACTTTAGCCACCAAAAACAACGCGGTTTAACTTCGGGCTCGAATGACATTACATCACTGGATACCCACTTGAAGGCCCCGCATGGTTATTTACGGGCAGTCATGGACCCCATCGGCGCCAGGTGGTAATTTTCTTTCCCAACTTTTCATTACTTCTTACGACTCGAGTGGCTATCATCGTTAAGAGCGTAACGTTTCTGGATATTTTCATCGCGACAAAACAGCGCTAAGTGCTGCGGAGGTTCCGGAGTTCGAACACATACAGAAGCAGCCTTGTCGCAGTGGTGTCAGTTCGTATTGTTTCGAGACAACTCCAGCTCGTGTCTGCATTTTTTCCCCTGCAAATCGGAGAGGCAGTACACTCATTGTGTCTATGGCGGTCAGAAAGTCAGGAATCAAAACTTCACTTTGGCGCGTGACTAACTTGCTTCTTAGGTTGGCGACGAGGCCCTTGCTGGGCGAGAGGAGAACGACATCACTCAGTACTTTCCCGCAACGGCCGAAGATAGAACAATTTACTTCAAAGGCTATTACCTTTCGATATACCAACAGCAGACGGGGGACTACAAAACACACATCGACAACGCAAACCCGTCGACAGAGTCAGCTCCGTATAATGTACCTGCAGGATATTCTGTGTATGTAAGAGGAGGGACTGTATATTTCCAAATTTAAGAGGACATAGCATGTTGGAGGCCGAAAAAACTGATCAGGTGGTATCCGTAAACATTTCCACACCAGACAGTAAATGTTACATCTTGGGTATTGTCTTTTGGTAACACAGTGGTTATGCATCCTGTTGTCTCATGGCCTTGGCTTCTTTCCCATTGAAAGAGCCTGCTGTTTTCGATCGCTCCTTTCAGTGGTTCAGGCAAACGTGCCACGCAACTGGCCGGCGCATTCGTATACATGTGTTTCATTTCTGGTTGCACAATGTGAGTGAGTAGAGCTTTAGACCTAGTTCTGGCATTCGTTACCTCTGTTGTCATCACTTGGTGGGCGAGTTTTCTCTCGTGATGTTGATATGCCGATTTCTGCATAAACGATGTTGGCAAGCTGGGGTGAAAGGCGCTTCCTATACTTACGTCTCTCAGCATTTGAATGCTGTATCGAACTTGATGTATTGGTTGGGATAGTTGTTGTTCCTCGTGAGATCCCGAGCTTTGCCGCATAGCTCTCAAGAACCGGATGTTGGAAGGTAGCATCGTTAGCCTTTAGATAGCTTAGTAGCGAAACCCTCTCTGTACTGTTCAAATCAACTATCCTCCGCTTGCCTAATCCTTTGGAACACAGCAAGGCCGTTCCAGCGCCACATTGATCACGAACATCAATGAGAAATTGCTTGTATATCTTTTCCCGTCGTCGTGCCTGCTCGTTTTGCATTATTTTAGCGGCTGTAGACATTAGACCAGATGCATCATCCACGCGTTGCAACACAGTAAGCTTATGCAACGTAGATTGTAATTTCTCGACGCAGTTTCTGACGCTGGGTGGCAATCCGTTGACAGACGACCGCCCAGCAAGTTCCATTTCCAGGGAAGAGACTGTTTGTCGGGCAAGCCGAAGAAGGGTTTGCAGTTCTTCTGTGTTAATCTCGTCATAGCTGTCTTGGTGGGAAAATCCCCGCTTGCCTCCGGCGTTCATGAGTAGGCGTGGAGATTCCATAATTTGGAGGGGTTGCAGAAGAAAAGTGACGGGCAAGAATCAGGATAATGTTGGGGAAATAATGGGTATATACGTGGTAACTACTGGGCAAAATGCCAATACTGGGGCGTGGCGCTCGTTTAAACGCATAGCGCATAGCTGCTTTACTTCTCTTTACCTGTGTTTGCCCAATATCTAGCCCCTCAAAATTCCAGAAAATACACGGCAATTGCCCGGTAAATACCCAGTAAATGCACAGAATTTCCCAGCCATGTCCCAAGTTGCTACTGGCTTGCAGATGATACATGCAGCCGTCCACATTAGTGTTCCCTGGCTGAACACCGAGAAACATTATTTTATCATGGTTTTGGAGTGTAGCAATGGATGTGCTGCTGTTGGGAATCTCAATGATGAGGCGGATCACAGTACCCTGGCTTTTACATGGATGGAAGGTGATGTATCACAAAAAGTGTGCATACGGCTTGCAGTATACCCCTTCAGTCGGATGGCGATATGCTATAGATGTTCCGCTTCTCTACTCGACATTCGACTACGCTTACTATCATCATCCTGCTAGCATTCTTAGGCTTCTTCCTTCCAATTTATGTATATAAGGCTGCGTTTTCCCGGTACGTCGCTTCTCTGCCTCTGGACAAATTCTATACTCAAAAAGCAGCAAAGCTCTTCGTTACCGTCGCAAGTGATCAACATGCCATCCGACATTTTTGGTGCTCTTTACTCGCAAATATCCTTCTTGGACACCTTGTTCCCTGGTTTTAGCATTGCATTAAACTATATCCAACCTCTGACGTCGGGCAAATCTCATCTCGGCGCCCGCCTACTCTGCATGTATGGCCTGGTCACTTTCTTGATGAGGTTTGCCCATGGCCGTGTTGCTAGGATCGTGGAGAAATATTTCAGTTGGTCTACCATGTTCATGTCACAGGGCCACCTAAACTCTAACCGTTCTCAGCGTTTTCTATGGTGCTCCGCCCCTCCGATGATTCGTACGACACCCTGAGGAACTGGGTGCAATCTCAGCCGTTCGCCACAGATACTCGATCCACGATTGTGACTCTCGGAAAGCAAGCTGAGCCGGGGAACGGAGCGACAAAGAACACATTGCAGTACAGTCCAAAGAACTTACGCAAGTCTTTTTGGTACAAAAGCAAGCTTCTTTACCTGCGCGCTGTCCCAGAAGAAGGGTACTTGCATCGTGAACGGTTTCTGCTCTCCTGCATGGGTACGTCGAACGGAATTCTGAAAGAATTTCTTCACGATTGCCAGGTCACGCTGGAGAAAGAAACGGAAAGCAAGACAGCAATTTACATGAACAGCGATGACCGCTGGAATCTCGCTACGCGACGGGGTCAAAAGCGGATAGATACTGTCATCCTTCCCGAGGACGTGAAAAAGGACTTCTTTGACGACATTGCGGAGTACCTTGACCCAGTGGCCGTATCTTGGTACGCCGAGCACGACCAGCTCTACCACCGTGGCTACTTGTTCTATGGCGTGCCCGGAACTGGCAAAACAAGTCTCAGCTTGGCGGCTGCTGGACAGTTTGGTCTAGACGTCTACGCGATGAACCTGTCCAAAGTCAACGATGCGACACTGAGCGACCTAATGCGCAAACTGCCAACACGATGCATCCTCCTCCTAGAGGACATCGATGCCATCGAAAGCGCAAAGAGTCGTGAAAACAGCGATGCTGGGTCGAGCACAAGCAGCAGCGTGACACTCTCTGGTCTTCTCAACGCGATTGATGGCGCAGGTTCCGTGGAGGGTATCTGCCCTTGTCTAGCAAGACCGAGAGAGTAGGAGACAAGGACGAAGGAGTCGTCAACAACCAGGTCGCTCAGGATACCCAGAAGCATATCCAGGAGCTGGCAGCGATGTTCGCTGATCGTGTGCCTGCGATGAAATATAGCCCGGCTCAGATCTTGTCATTTCTGATTGCGCACAGGCATTCGCCTCGAGACGCAGTGGAAAATGTCATCTCCTGGGTTGAAAAGGGGGGGGAAGGTTTCATTCCTCTGAGGCGCTACACTTCTACGATGAACACGAAGAGTGAGGAGGCAGTAGATGTGTTCGTTAGCATGGATGATGTGCAGTCGTGGTCAACAGTGTGTTAGTTTGCAAACTGCCAGCTGCCGGTCCTTATCCATGTTAGTAGTCCGTATACAGTATCTATCGAGGAAAAATATATCAAATTCCTTGAAGGCGGTTGCACAAAACACGAGTGGACGGTTTCTTATACCACGTGCTGAGTTTAGCCATCTCGTTCTACCCGATCATGGGACTTTCGATTGCCGCCCGTATTGTGCATCACTCCGCCGCTATAACCCGCCCTGCCAACGGTCCCAAGCACCCAAGCCCGCGGAGAGGGACACACTCGTTCGGAGCACACAGCTCTGCCCAAGGTCTTTTCTGCTCAAGCTGATGAGCCTGCTGTGGCTCCCTTTGTGAGGGTTTCGACGATTTGTTCAATCTATTGAAACGATCTTGGTACAAAGAGGAAGAATTGAGGAAGTAAGAAGAGAGATATCCTGGATCTCTCGTGAAATAACTGGGTGCGCACTGACCCCTAGCGCTGGCTGTCACAACATGACACCCTTCACCACGGGCCCTGAATCTCTCTTCTTACTGCTTTTTACTTCTTCGATTCTTCCTTTTTGTACCAAGATCCCTGGATTGAGATTCTAACTTCTTCCTAGTCGTCCAAACCTCACAGCTGGTAATTTGGTGACGGGCAAGCTAATTCTTGCCTGTTTATTTTAATGGTGTTGCTGACAACTCATTCTAGCTTCTTTGTTTTAATTGGCAATGCCTGTGGGCCTTGTTGTCAGCAACGTCTTGTTTATTGTGCTGGCAACTAGACACTGCTGACACTCTAGCATCTCCTAGTGCTGGTAATGGTAGTTTAGTAAGTGTTGATAGCTGAGAGTTACTGGTAGCGGCAGTTTAGACAGTGCTGGTAGCTGATAGTTGCCAGCATACTGCGTCAAGCCAGGCGCTGGCAACTGGTGGCTGCTAGCAGGGCTGTTAGCTGAGTTACCAGGCTTGTCCCTGTGCCGGCAAGTGTGGAATTAATTTTGCCAGCAGATTAGCACTAACGCACCTCAGCGGGCAGGTCTGCCTGGGGAACAGCAACCCCCGTTGCCAGCACCTACCTCCGGCCAACGTGCTGGCAACCTTCGCTAGGAGGTGGGATACTGTAGCTTCTGTGTCTCCAGCACCCCCCTCACATTGCCAGCACACTAGCGAACGCCAGTGCTGGCAACCTGGATCGTCCTGAGGCCCGTAGAACCGCTGCCAACACATTGGCGGGAAGTAGGCGCTGGAAACCAAGAAAGGCCTTCCATAGTCATCTACTGCAGCGGCCGACGAGCTGCCAGCACCCAGCCAGCCCTTATGAACAATTGCACAAGAGCCCCTGTACACACATTCCCGGTGTTGCCAGCACCTAAGGCCAGCGAACATGCCTAGACAAATGATAGCCGGATTTTCATTCTCAGCTAATCAGAAGCAACATAATTGAGAGGGCGAGTGTCACGGGTTAGACCCTGTGTGAGGGTTTGGACGATTTGTTCAACCTAGAAGAGAGGTCCCCCTGGATCTCTCTTCTTCCAAGATCGTTTAGATAGATTGAATAAATCGTCCAAGCCCTCACAGCAAGAACGGGGAGAGGCGGGCATGGCGAGATACCTGACCGGTCAAAGACGTCGACTTGTCGCCGGGACAAGATAGCATATCGGGGCCAGAATCCAGCCGGGTGGGGCTCCAGGGCGGCCAGTCCAAGGAGCTGATGGGCCAGTCAAAAGCGTGGACTTGCCGCCGAGGACAAAAATAGCGAGAAGTAGCTTGACAGGGTCCGGCAGGCCGATCTTTTAATTAGAACATGAGGGGTAGCCTTGCTGTCCAGCCGGCGTCTATAAGAATCCCCTTCATTTCCGCGATCATCGACTGGCTAATGTGAAAACGTGGCAAATTAGCAAGCCTTCTTTCTTTGGCCTCGGGGCTCAAGTCCGAGATTATCTCTCACTTAGTTGTTCATTTATTTATCAATTCATAGACTGTCCTAGCCGCCTTCTGACTTGCCCAAAAAGTACGAATCCGTACCTGATCACAGTGTATAGTAGTTTATTCAAGCTTGCATTGGCAATGCAAGCTTCAATGCGACTGATGGGACGCAGATGAGTTGCGAGAGTTTAACGCTAGCTCAGTGATACCGAGATAGTCTGCTACAAAGCCGAACAATATCAGGCTAGCTGTCTTAAAAGAGCTAACGAATAATTGTTGTTGCTCGGGAATGCGCAGGACTTCACAGGCATAATGCACATCGTCATCTTGGCTAAGACTTTATTTCAGAATTTTCATGGCTGAATCAGATGAGGATAGCATAATGGCAACTGCTCGAGAGCGGGTTGCCGTCAGCACTCAATCTACAACAATAACGACCCATGACTAGTGACAATTCTGTGGCCAGTTTGTTTTAAATGTTACTTTTATCAATATTAACTTTTTCAAGGTACCAGCTGAAAGCAAACAAATGATTGCCTAGTGGACCAGTGCGGACACGCATGGCTGCAGCGAAGCTGCCTCGCTGTCTCCAGTCGCTGGACAACATCATGTAGCGCTAAGTGTGATACGCTAAAACAAGCACTTGAAAGTTAACAATCCCTATAAATATCCTAAAGCGCAGGCCTTTTTGAATCGCAAAAGTTGATATATCATACCACCGCAGTAACGATTTGCCTCGCTGTCGATAAATTAGTTCAGCGTATGACAAGACTGAGTTTGCCGAATAATAGTGCAGACAAGATGAGCGCAGGTAAGCTCAAGTGTAAGCACTATATCTGCTGAAGCTCTAACCATGACTCTAGAGGAAGACACCAGCAGCGAAAATTCCCACCATGATGGGGATATCGAAATGCTGGATTATTTTGACACAAGTGGCAACGAATGCGCTGTACAAGGCGCGTGATAGTTTGTTTCGTTTGCAACTTTCATCACTTTAGTTGACTATGCATTATGAAAACTGCGGCTAATCAAATCTGTAGAGGCATCGACTGGAACGAACTGCCAGAAAACTCGGCACAGTTCCAGGATTGTAAAACCGAAGCGGCCGAAGCGAAAGCGCAAGAGGCCTTTGCCTCCACCTCTGCAATTTTGCCGGCATTTTGTCCGATCCGATGCGATAAATTTTTTTGCGCAGACATGGGAGCCCACGTTCACTGCCTGGTTTTCGCTGTTGGGTAGCACTAGAATAGCACCAAATCGTCCGCTTACCGTCCAGAGGCTTGCTGGCGCCGTTCGAGCGCTAGACAGTGTCATAGGCGGCAAAGCCGAACCCTTTCTTCCTCCTAGATTTGGATATGTACAGCTATTTGACTTCCTGGAATCATTGAAGAGCAATATACAACTTCACAACTACTGCGGTACTATTGACACGAAACCCCATCAAACCAATGCTGCGATAGCATATGAGCTCTATCGTAATGCGCAAGACACACCCACCGCTACAGGCCGTTTGCGTCGTTTCAGGCTCATCGGCGGCCGTTGGAAAGACGCTATTCGCTCATCACCCCTTCTTCTGCTCGCATTCTCCAAGACTGCGGCTTCCTTTGCGTAAGTGCGATTGCATATCTTGCACCCTCCAAGTCTGACTCATTCACGCAGGGAAGATCCTACTAAAGCAAATAACCAAACGACCAGGATATTGCTTTCAAAGGCCTTGGAAAGTGTGCCGGATCAACTAAAGAACGTTTGCACTAAGCTGTCTGATGTCGGTAATTGTGCGGCTGCTGACAGCTCATTATGCAATGATATTTTGGAGAGTGAAATCAAGAATTACGTTAGAGAATGTCTTGGATGATGGCGGAAACAACGAATCAATAGAAAATACATGCTACTATCCTCAGTGGACTCAGAAAACTTGCACTGTTTTATTAATGTATAACTTCGTTAGCTAATCTGGAGGTGATAGGTGCATTGGCGAGTTACAGGGTTGCTCAGTCGCTGAGACCACTAACTTCAACAGTTAGCTTTGTCTAGATCTATCTTTGCTGTTCTGAGCTGGACTGAGGCTGTAGCCAAATTGCCAGTGTCGACCATTAAACCTTAACCGATGAACGCCTGCTTTTTTAATTAAAAAAACCCACATATGAATGATAACAGCATGCGATCGCCCAACTGCTTACTTTGACTGATGGAAATCTACCGCACTGGTCTTCGCTTGAGGCCCTACTGCTCGATTGGCCAACCGCCCATGGTGTGGATCATGCTGGCGATTTTTGCCAGTAGCTAAAGTTAGCTAGTTAGCCAATCCCGCACCACTAATTGGCGCCTTCTGAAGCCAATCAAACAGCAGTACTGACAAATCCGCACACTTGTTTATTTTGCTTTAATTACAATAGGGTGGTTAATTTTGGCGGTTGATTTACATGGCCCACCGACTTTGACGGGTAATACGTTTCAAC